AGCGGGCATCCCCCCCCGCTACGGCATCAGAAAAAATCGGCGCTGCATGGGGCCCTGTGCCCAGTAAAAACCTCCGTATGCATGTAAACAAAGACGAGGAGGGCATCGGGATGCTTTGCATGAGTCTAATGCGGTAGCACGCGAGCTAACGAAATCTTCCCCGTGTTTTGCGAGTAAACACGGACCTGCCTGCCTTGATGATGACGGGATTGGAGAGATGGAGGAACAGATGGATGTTGTTAGTGGGTTGTGTGTTCTGTTGGCCTTTGAGGGTGCAGACTCTACAACATGCATTGACTATCTATCTACCTGTATATGCTGCCAAGAATGAGGAAGTACTAGGTAGTTGATCACCAACACTCTTATTAGACAACTCTCCTCGATTTCCATCTGCGCTGTAAATAGTAGGTCGCAATCGATCGGACACAAAAAGCCATGAGACGATGCGATACGATACGATATACAGTAGGGCGGGGTGTCTGAAACGGCCACTCAAACGGCGCCGCCCGCCTGCAGGGCGCCTGGAAAAGGCAATTGGCCGTCGCCATGGCAACGCGCAGCGGCTAAACAGTGGAGTTGCCCCCCAACAACCCATGATGCCATTATGCCTTGCCGACAACTATTTTTTTCATGCAAAAGGTGTCTCACAGCGCTGCATCTTTTCGACAAATTCAATTCCCTTTCTTCTTCCTCTTCTTCAACCTGAGCAGCTTCGGCCCAAGGCGAGCTTTTGAGTAGGCGGCAACTCTCGTTATTTATTTTATTTTTTACATGCATTGAAGAAGTCGAGTATCTGTTTACTCCTTTTTTTTTTGCTTTCGATACAGAACATCGATTGCCGCTATCAGCGAGGCCTCTTGTTTCTGTATCGGTAATAAACACATCATCGATTTTGACCCCCCGGCTTTCAGCTGCCCACTTGCGCTGCACTGCCCCTGCGTCATCAACCGGAGAACCCCGCGCGCTGTTCCTTTTATCAGCCTCGGACTTTTGCGACAGAGATTGCCTGGCGGTTTTTAATCCAACCAACCGCCAACAATCAACGAGGCTTGGGACTCTCCAGCCGTTTGTACTGTAACAGAACATTCTTAGCAGCGCTTTGAGTCGCCTTGGGGTGGCTGATTCGGTTCGCCATGGACACCAGCTACCTCTCCAAGCAGGTCAACAACAGCATTGGCCAGCTGCACAGCTTGTTTGACGATATTGGTGTGCCGGATCATGAGCGCGAGGCTCGAGAAGCCGAGGTACGATGGATTCCCCGCTGCTATCCCTTTGCGACAGAAGAGAGGAGGTCGCCTGGTTTGCGCCATGATGCTGATGTGAATTGCGACGCAGCTGTTTCAGGCTCTGTCAGAAGCGCTCAACAACCATTTGCGCTTGGTGACGTCGGAGAAGAAGAAGATGATTGACGAGGCCAAGAAGATTGTCATTGAGATCCGACAGATGGAGGCCTCCTTAGATGACTCCAGGCCTCGAAGAAAGAATTCGAATGGCGAGAGCATCAAGATTACCTACCCTCTGATGGAATGCTTGGAGACGCTCAAGGAGAAGCATGGCCAGGTACAGCGGCTGCGCCAGGAGCGGGTTGACCATGTACAGAGTGAGTTGATGCCCGTCTACCACGTTTTCGAGATGGAGGGGCGCATCGCTGACGTTTCACCGCAGAGCTTGTGGAGGCCCTCGAGTCTTACTCGTCACACCTAGAGCCTTCCTTCGTCAAGGTTCCCCTACCGTCTACGGAGCCCAACCAAGCCATTCCTCTCAGCTTTGACCTGTCACCGTCCTACATGGACCGCCTCGACGCAGAGTTTACGCGAGTGTATGAAGAGTATACTCGCCGGCTCGCGACGGTGGAAACATTGGGCGACGAAATCATCCAGCTGTGGGTCGAGCTTGGCACTCCTCAGGCCCAGCAGGACACAGCCATCATCAAGTACTACCGTGAAGCTCCTGAACAGCTCGGCCTCCACCAGGAAGACATTCAGATTCTGCAAGGCAAGCACGACAAGCTGTCAGAGGAGAAGAGGAACCGCGAGAAGAAGCTGCAACAGCTCAGGAGTACCGTCGAAACGCTCTGGGAAAAGCTTGGCATTCCCGAAGAGGAGACCAAGGATTTCCTCAGCCGGAACAGGGGCTGTGGCATTCGACAGATCAACGAATACGAGGACGAGCTTGAGCGGCTGAATGAAGTCAAGCGTCAGAACCTGCACATCTTCATCGAGGACGCGCGCGTCAAGCTTCAAGAGCTCTGGGATGCCCTGTACTTTTCGGAAGATGACATGCTCGACTTTACGCCTGCCTTTTCAGACGTCCACAGCGATGCGCTGCTGGAGGCCCATGAGCGCGAAGTTGCTCGGCTCGAGGCGCTCAAGGAACAGCGGGCCCCAATTCTGAGCCTGATTGAAAAGCACAAGGCTTTGATCAAGGACCGTGACGACCTCGTCGCCTCAAGCCAAGATGCGTCTCGCCTTATGCTGCGCGGACAGAAGGGCGAGAAGCGAGATCCTGGAAAGCTGCTTCGTGAGGAAAAGATGCGCAAGCGCGTTGCCAAGGAGCTCCCCAAGGTGACGGCCGAAGTGAAAAAGGCGCTCGAGCAGTGGGAGGAAGAGTACGACCGGCCGTTTTTGGTCTACGGCGAGCCTTATGTCGACGAGGTAGAACTCGAAGATGCAAAGAAGCCCACCCAACGATCCAGAACGCCCGCTGGCCCTCCTCCAGCATCTGCCAGAAGCCTTCTCAAGTCGGCATCAGCGTCGACAATGAGGCCAGCTACCACCAGCAAGGTCCAGGCACCTCCTCATTCGATGACGAAAACCCCCACGGCCGGTGGCATCTATAACTTGGGCAACAAGTCCCAGCCGATGTTTTCAAAGTCCGCCATGGACATACACAGGAGCAACAGCAGCCCTACCAGAGGGCCAGTGGCAAGAGTGCCCCTGTCCAAGATGAAAGACGGCAACAATTCACCAGAGCGGACCAAGCGGCCCATTGGAGGCTCGGTCAGAATTCCTCCGCCCAAGATGCGCGAGTTGAGATCTGTGGCCTCGCTGGAAACGCCGTTGAACCCATACAAGTCTGTGGGTCTGAATCATAGCATTATCCGCGCGGTTGATCCCGAAGACGTCTACGATGACCGGACGCAGTCGGCCAAAAAGGGTCGACCCGGTTCGAACACGTCTCACCATCGACAGAACAGCTTCATGGATGAGGACTACGAGGATCACTACTCATCCATACGGGCAGTGCCAGGGTATCCTCGGCCATCAGCCAGACATCTTTCCAGCACATCCACAACATCAACGGTGGTTACCGGTTCCGAGAACTGGGAGACGTATGATGACAATAGTGAGCCGGAGCTGGACACGTCAGACGCATACTTTGCCAAGCTCCGCGCTCTTCGGGGCAAGCGAGCAGAACCCGAACAAGGCCATCGCCCAACAAGCAGTACGGCAAAGCGCACACGTGGGGTTCCTGCAGCGCATGATGCGGCGCCCGTGATGATTGACCAGGACGGCAACCGGATAGTGTCTGGAAGCGAGTGGACAGACGAGAGTGCTTTCTAAACGTGGGCTTGATCGTTTTTTTTCCTTTGCTTGTGTTTGTCTGGCGACTTTGCTGTTGGCGAACCCTGGCCACGTTTGTGTGCTTTCACGGCTAATGGTGATGAATGGTGTAAATGAGACATGTGTCCATGGTACTCGCTGCCGCGCCCTCTCTCTTTTTTTTGGCAGCGAGACGAATTGAAGAGCTCATGAGGATGCAGGTCATCTACGAAGGGGCGTTTGGGGAGCCTTGTGTCTGTTCTGCAGGCAGACACTCGGCACAGCGCCTGTTTGCTTCATTTCATTGTGGAATCTTTTTGTTTTGGCTTCTATTCTGTGTCATATATGTTGTGCATTGGCCTTTTTGTGCCGTAGTTCCTCTTCCTGTCTCCTTTGTTGCTTCGATATCACGGGCTGGGGGTTAATGGGAAGGGCTTTAAGGGGAGGGACATGGGAACTGAAGAGGCGAAAAGGGGGAGGGAACCGGCGTTTGCATCTTGTTTGCTTTTTTTTTTTTTTTTGGTTTCGTTTGTACTTGGTATCGGGATAAGCTTGGTTGACCAAGGGAGGCCGCTGTACTCTTTTTGTTTGGTTTTCTGTATTTTAGCAGCATGGAAATGTTTCGATTATTTCTAACTCTTGAGGCTTGTGGTCTCGAAGATGCATGTCTTGGTGATATCCATGTGGTCAATGGATGAATGTTGAATGTCTGCATCGATCAATGTCTTATCCGATAAGCGGCATGAGACAGCTCTCAGGTGATGCTTGTGCCCAGTGCCCGATTACAGAAGGTCGTTCCAGCGCATGCGCTCCTCTGCAAGGGGCCTTTATAGTGGATGCGTGCACTGATCGCGTGGGTCAAATCTCTAGCTCATCTACAGGGTCACATTTCCGCCCAAGCGGAAAAAAAACGAAAGCACACTGGCAGCATTAAAGTCGGGGCTGCCGGCAGATGAGGCCCGAAGTTCCGCGTTGAAGAAAAAAAAAAAAAAAGACGTCCATTTGAAACGAAAGAAGACCCCCGTTTCGGAAGACCCCTGTCCGGGTACCATTTATGGCAGCGGGTTTCCGCCTTGGGGGTTTTACGGTAGGCTGACCCGAGGGTTTGGCTTTCCTTCCACGTATTCGTTTTCGAGGTTTGCTGCTTTGTTTTTTTTATTCTCCTATTTTCTTCTTCTTCTGATTGCTGGGAGTGTCCTTTTTTTCTTTTACTTCTTCTGTCAATCTTTGCCTTTGCTTTTTCGACACAACCTAAGCTACGACTCTCCATTCGAACCGCCGATATTCTATCTTATTCCTTTAACCAATCCATTAGGAATGCAGCCTCGATACGAAATCCCTACGAAGTGAAAAAAAAAAACGAAAACGAAATAAAAGCACAAAAAAAGAAAGAGAATCATTCCTTGTTCTGTTCTTCCGGCCGACTTAGATGTCGTCACCCCGCGCGCCATATCGGTGATGAAGACCGACAACGCCGCCCTCAGGGGCGCCACGCTGGCCTTTCGCAAGGACAAGCTCGAGGTTGGGCAGCGGGCCGAGGGATCAGGAGGAGGAGGAGGAGGAGGAGGTGCAGGCGCAGGGCGGAATAGGGACAATGGCGCGTTTACGGCTGCGACGGAGGCTGTGAGGGGGAGGGCTGAGGGAGCTGCAGCGGATGGGAGGACACAGCAGCAGCAGCGCCCGCAGTTACAGTCACAGCACCAGTCTCAGCAGCGGCAACAGATACAGTCCCAGCAGCAGCAGCAGATGGATGGGACGATGGGCGGGGGTGGCGCGTCGTCGGCGGCGTTTGGCTCTACGGGCGGCAGGATGGATGCGAAGAACCAGAGCTTGATCGCGGCGACGCTGGCGGCGAGCCGGAGCGCCAGTCCGACGGCGGGCGGTGCGAGTGCGAACAACAACAACAACAACACGGGCGCGAGCGTCAATATGATTGTTGGGGGAGGAGGAGGTGGTGGTGGTGATGCCGTGGACTCGGGCCCGTTGGCGTCGGCCGGGTCGCTGATTTCGATGTTTGAAAGGGCTAGGGGGAGGCCTTCGCCGCCGGAGTCTGTTGGGAGCAGCGTGGAGGACAGGGCGGACAAGGCGGACAAGGTCAAGAAGAAGAGCAAGGCGGCGGCCAAGGGGGATGCACCGCCGACGCCGCCGGTTGCGAGGAAGACCAAGCCGCGGCGTGATCCGGTGGCTGAGGGTCCGGCTGGGGACGCAAGGGCGAGGCCAAAGGCGCCGGCGGAGGCGTCGGGCGGCTCGGTAGCTTCAACTACTGCGCAGAAACAGCAGCAGCAGCATCAACAACCTCAACCTCGACAACCTCAACCTCGACAACCTCAACATATACAGCAGCAGCAGCAGCCGGCGAGATCAAGGGACGGCAAGCCTGTCTCTTCACCTCCAAGGCCCATGACGCCAACCCCCGTCTCCAACGCAGCTTCGCAACCATCCACGCCAGCCGCGTCCTCGGAACACAAGAGCTCGCATGCTCGGCCGCGCGCGCTTCATCCGTCGACGCCGCCGCCTCTTCAGCCGCTCATGAGCAGGAACGTCGCTGAGGTTGTTTCTCCGCAGCCGACGAGGGTATCGAGGGCGCCGTTGAGTCCCGTCACGTCGGCTCACCTTACTCTCAGCCCGAGCATACACATTGCGCTTGCGTCGCCGTCGCCTGATCCTCCCAAGAAGAGTCGGGGTACTGCGGCGAAACGACCGCCTACGCCGCCGAAACCGAGGGGCAGTGGGAAGGATGTGCTGGATAAAGATAAAGACCAACCTCGGCGTCGAGGCCGATCGAATAGCCATCATTTAGATACGTCGTCGTCTGGCCAGGCGCGGAGTTCGATTGCCTCCGCGGTATCTCGGTCAGCGGGACAATCGGTGTCTCCTTCAGGCCAGCGGGGAGAGCCTCGTCCATCTTCCATGATTTTGGGCAGAAGACACTCTACAGTGACCGTTGGGGAACTGGCTTCTCAGCGACGAATCGCCAATGGTTCACCAGGTCGGACGCAGCTGGATAATCTCACCGATGCGATTGTGGCGGGTTCATTGGCTTCTACACGGCTGACGCCGCATAACACGGGGCCCGCTTCATTGGCTCCTCCTCCCTTGCCGAAACGGCAGAAGTCACCTCGACTTTTACATACACTCCGACAGCCGCAATTACTAGACGAAGAGGACGATCAACACAAGAAGGGACATAGAGCGCTGTTACGAAAGGGCAAGCATGCGCATCATGAAGGATCACGGAAGAAATGGCGGGAGGAGATTCGACCCCGGGAGAGGAAGCGGTATGAAGCGCTGTGGGCGTCGAACCGCGGGATACTGCTTACCGACACGCGGATGATGAGTCCGGCGACGAGCATAAGCAGCGATCTCGATCGGGACGTGTCGCAGTGCGTGGCCAACGTTGTGGTGAGGGAGGTGTGGAAGCGGTCGAGATTGCCGTTGGACGAACTAGCTGAGATTTGGGACCTGGTCGATCGAGGAAGGGCGGGGATGTTGAGCAGAGCCGAGTTTGTGGTGGGAACGTGGCTTGTTGACCAGCGGCTCAAGGGGAGAAAGGTGCCGGCCAAGGTGACGGATAGTGTCTGGGGGAGCGCGAACGGGGTCATGGTCAAGGGGCCGAGTGGGAAGTGATGATGGTTTGGAGAGAGAGAGAGGCTTGTGTGATGAGATACAGATACCCCCTTTTTATAGAATAGAATAGCATGCGAGCATTGTTGGATGAGTATGGTATGGAATATATATATATAGATTGGCTTGGATTGGTCGGACTCGGTTGTTGCCACTTTATATGGATGGGTTGGAAAGTAGAGATACTACAGAGTATATTGTATATAGATTTTAAAAGGGGATACTTGGAACTACCTATGAGACCGGGAAAAGGAGATGTGTTGAACTATGTGGTTTGTGTTGTTTACTCGATTGTTACAAGATTAACCATTTAGCTTGGCTTGTTTACTCCAAGGTTACAAGGCAAAAGTCACGATTCAACAATGTCAATGTCAATAATAATTCGCCGGTTCCCCGACTCATATTAATCTATACTAATCTAAAACCATCCATCGCAATCAACTCATCAACGTTTCTATCCTTGGAAGTCAAAAAAGGCAGTCCATCTAGTTCCCACCGCCGTTCACACATGCAAGTTTGTCAAGATTTCCATCACGGTTTCGCACTCCTCTAGGCAGTGCTAGACTTGAAGGTGGGGGAGGTGTATTCACCAATAGTGACAGAGACGTTGAAGTTGGTAATGGTAGGGCCATACGTGGCACCGTAGAGGCTGTAGAGGCTGGCGCTGATGAGAGCGTCGCCCTTGGGGGCGCTGGCGGGGATGGTGATGTGGCGGGTGATGTTGTAGGTGACGTTGGACTCGTCTATTGTTTTTGTTTTGTTAGTTGGGTAAAGCCATGTTTTAATCAAGATGAGGAGGAGAAGAATAAGACATACCGGGTCCGAGGTAGGAGGAGGAAATGACGCTGCCGAGAGACTCGGGCCAGCCGGCGCCGTTGGCGTAGCCAAAGACGATGGCGACGTCGTAGACGGACTGGATGTAGTTCTCAGTCAGGACGGTGGCGGAGACGGTAGAGCCGGGGGCGATGGTCTCTGGGACAGAGATGCCGACGATACGGGCGTTGGCGACGGCCAGGAGGGAGGCGATGGCGGCGACGTTGAAGAGCATCTTGAAGATTTGTTGGTGGTTGGTTGTTCTTAAAAAAGAAGTAGATGGTTGTTGAAGAGTTGTTGAAGAGTGTTTGTTGTTGTAGATGTGAGTGTTGATGATGAGAAGGGAAGGTGATGATGAGGAGGGAAGGAGAGACTTTATATATTCAATCGGAAGGCCTTACATGATGGTCTCCTACACGGAGTACCGTGTGTAAGTTATTTTCAGCATCATGCCTACCGGTGGATCGGCATCAACACGAGCTTTTGGCTCCTTTGCCGGTCAACCAGTGACGATGCTGGCTTGGAGGAGTGTGAGGGGGGAAGGGACCCTTGTCTGATTTTGCCCCCTTCTTCTGGTTGGATGTCTTTGCGAATGAATCGATCTAGAACTTTTTGCTACAACTGAGTTACTGGGATAGGGTGGATGATGTCAGGTGGGAGGCGGGACACGACATTCTGTTTGTTACCGGATGCGTATGCAGGTGTACATGCATGTACGAGTAAGGTCAAGGTCAAGGGGACAAGGTGTACGTCGGGACTCGATACGGACATATGTTTCTGCCCTGTGCTCCCCAGCGGCCTGAATTGCCGGTTGACACGAAGCAATGACGCCTTGGGGCCGGATCTGATAGGCCGGGAGGAAGCATATACGAAAGAGGGCCCTTTTTGGCGACTAGAGCTGAGGGGGGTCATGCAGATCGGCAGAGATTGGATAAGCGCATTTCTTTACTGTTGTTTTTTTTTTACTTGAGCCTACGGTATGGTAACAGGGGACCTACGTGGCGATGAGGGGAGGGGATTGGTGCTGAGCTGAGAATTTGAGGAGGGATTGGGCAGGGTTTGGATGGTGGTTGTTTGGGGCTTGTGTATTGGGAGAGGCTGAGATGGTGTATATAGTATATAGACTGGTATACACTGTATAGTAATCTATATCATGCGAATAGTACAGGACTTGTTATTAATTGTGATGAGAGAATAGTTGGATTTTTTTGCAACTTCTAGTGTAGTCTTTCGTTTGTTGTGATTGTTCTAGACTTGCCGGAAGATTGGTAATTGGTACACCGTCTCTTTGTTCGTCTTTGTCAGGAGGGCGAAAATAGGAGATGCTGCGCGGATACGAGCGAGCTGCGTGGCTGCGACTGGGGGGGGCGTTGGGCACTGCTTAAGGGGGGTGCTTTGGAGCCAGAATCGGTAAATTCCAACGAAGCGGGAATGAGTCGATTCAACGTTGTATCGACATACCGAGTTTTATGATGTCTTTGAGAGGATGTTTTGATACAGGTTTTGTTGTGTCTTTGTTGTATGAGTGCAAGGAGTAGCATTGTGTTAGTGTTTGGGCCTAGCTGGAGTTGGAGGGTTGCCTGCATTACGAAGGAATTATTCCCGAATGAAGACAGATCTTCGGGACTTGTCGTCATGCACGACAGCTCAAGCTCAAGCTTAAAAGCCAGTTGAGCACCTGACTATTTGGGCATAGAGGCAACGTTGTATGTATAAAAGAGAAGGTGTGTGGTTTATGACTTCATAGTTGTATGTATGTAGAAATGAAGGGTTTTGGTGGCTTTTCGCCTTATTTCTGCTTTCGGGCCTATGGATCGGGATATTTACAGGACAATTGGCGGTTGACCCCACTTGGCGGGAGCTCCGGTAGATGATTGTTCGGCAGTGAGAGGTTTTGACAGCTCTGGAGGCGTTTTGGTTTGTGATGGTGAGAGTGTTGATGCAATGAGAGTGTTGGTGATGGGCAGACTGATGGGTGATGAAGATGTAAGGTGAAATTGAACGACAGCACACAGGTAGACGGTGACATTCAAGTGCTTCTTCAGCTCTGTAATTCAACCCTGTAAGATGCTGGAGGTGGCGGATACAACGACGGTAGGGGCTGTGTTATCGATGTTTGGTGAAGGCGGGAATGGCTTCACATTGTACCCTAGAATCACGACATTTTTTGCAAGTCGGGATGCGCCTCAACCATTGGCTTTCTTTTGGTTGTTGTTGCACTTGAATCTGCAATTAATAATACTTGGATGCTTCAATGATTAGGAAAATCCGAGTGACACTGGCGCTATGCATCTGTTCAATTGGTTACACGCAGTCAATATATCTTGCAATCTCACAAGGATTATATCAAAAATTGAAGGAAGTCATGTACATGCAGCGTCGTTCTCGCAACAGCGTTTGTATCGAAAGGTCCATTCAGCATGTCTATCAGGGTTAACTTCTCTCCACGAATGAAAAAGGAGCAATCCGACAAGGTAGGGCAATGTACAGCCGGTAAACAACAAAACAACACATACAGAGCCGCTGTGGTGTTTCAACGCTGCGCGCCATTCAGAATTCACTGTGTTGACCCTTTATATAATAATGTTGCGCACTTCTTCCTAACTTACTACAATGGCTGCTCACAGCCAATCATCTTCCGTAGTATAGTGGTCAGTATGCAAGCTTGTCACGCTTGAGACCCGGGTTCAATTCCCGGCGGGAGAGTTCCGCCAATCCTCTCAGAGGACGCTTCTTTTTTTTCTCATTCTTTTTTCATTCTTTTCTCCCTTTCTCCCTACGTCTGTCTATTGTTCCTTTCTTTCTGTTGCTCAATTGTTTTTTGGACATCTCTGCGCTTTTGGGAGTGCTTCGCATTTTACTTTTTCTCGTCACCAGTTGATTGTCATCCTTGCCACACCTCCCTGGCCTACATCTCATGTAAATGACACCAATGAAAATCGAGTGTCATCTTTGATAATGCTCTTTCATATATTCCTGTACAGCATATGGGTACACGTTTTAGCCATCACAGCTGTCCATACTACCAGGCTCACGCTCGTCTCGATGGAGCCAATAGATGGATAGTGATTTGGCCCTCTTGCATATTTGCTGCCACACTTCCCCACAGGCTTACTGAAGCAACGAGACAAGCCAATGACAATGATCATCAAATCGCATATCCAGGTATTATAATTCAGCTCAGGTAGCAATTTGCCTGCCCAAAATGCTGTCCAAGCCTGTATGTAGTCTTCATGTTCTCCCATTGTGTCTCTCAAAGCGCACCTCTGTGCCGTACGAGATCCTAAACGAACGCGCCTTGCGTTTCCCATTTCTCTTGTTGCTTTTTGTTGTTGAAAAGAAGAGCGTTATTACAAATGGAACTAATGCAATGGTTCAAGCCATTCCTTGTTTTATGTCTATTACCGCTCGTCCAAGCCTATACAGTTTTCGAGACGAACTGTTCTGTTCCTGTCACTCGCTCAAACTATGTGTCGTCTCCTAACACTCGTGGTACTCTTGACATCCTGTGGACTTCTCTTTTCACAATCTTTGCCTGTACTTGGACCCTTCAGCATCCGAACGTTCCCAAGCAACGAGACGTACAACAAGAAGAACAAGAGTTGGAGCACGAAGATGACTTCCAGCAAGAAGAACAAGAGGGCGAGCACGAAGACCAACCAAAACTACAGAAATACGTTTTGCTGATGCGCGTTAAATGGGTAAAACTTGAGGAGAGATATGCCAAATGGATGGATGCCACGTGGAAAGATGTCAAATGGAGAAATGCAAGATGGGGAGATGCTCAATGGGCATTAACAAACTTCTATGCAAGTACGCTGCGCATGCTCTTGACGGTCATTGCTCCCGAACTCATAATGTTTGCGGCTGCTGATAACTGGGTGGCGGCACGCGAGAACTGTCGTGAAATGCGGCGGTATGCTAAACAGGACAGAGTTGCTTGGAGTTTGAGTCACAGCTATTTTGCCAATATGGGTGGTTTTGTCATACGAGCCAAGCCGACGGACGAACAAAGGCACCATGACCCATACCATCTTACTGGCAATAGTATCCTTGCCCTTCGAGAAAGAGGGTTTATTGAAAAATTGCATAGCATGACAAAGGCAGAGATCAACGACAGGTCCAAGGGTGATATACTTGTTAAATTGATTGCGCTTGGCCAAATCATTTGGTCAGTAATCGAGATTATCGCACGGGCTTTCAGAAGGCTTCCCGTCTCACCTCTCGAAGTGGCTGTTGTTGCCTTTGCTGTGTCTGCGATTTTTATATACGGCCTCTACTGGAACAAACCACAGCGAGTTGGCGTTGCTCAAGCAATTCAATTAGGGAACTCGGATATGCTGAGTGAGGAAACTGAATCGGAACGAGTCGGATTGGATGCAGGAGCCATATCAGAAGAGAGAGCGATGCCGGATAAAGTGTACGCGCTGCTCAAATCCATAAGGTCTCGCCGGATTCTCAAGGGAGCCCCTGGCAATGCTTTCGGCGTTCAGATGGAGACTCTACCTGGTGCGCCGATCAGCCTCGACTCACAGGAGGAGTCTCAAAATGCTGGGCTGATCATAGGCGTTGTGGGTGTTGGTGCGGCCATGTTTGGCGGGATCCACGTTATTGCTTGGAACTTTGCTTTCCCATCAACGGCTGAGCTGATCTTATGGAGGTACGCAAGCGTCTATACGACTGTAGCACCGCTTTGCACTCTTCTGTTTGATTTCAGCTACCACAGGCGTCTTGAAGACAAGATTGAAGATGTCTTTGGAGAAGTTGTTGGAGACATTATTGGGAAGCTCTTGCATGGTGTCCTAGCCGCGCTTCCTATATTCCTTTATGTTATCGCCAGGATTTTTATTGTTGTTGAAATGTTTCGAACGCTTTGCTTTCTGCCCCCTGGGTCTTATATTTCTACTTGGACATCTAATATCCCGCATGTGGGTTGATGTTGGTTGCGTTTTCGTGTTGGTTATACGGCCTGCAAGAGGGTTTGAACCACACACCTATAGTTACAAAAGTTGGGTAGTTTATGTAACTGTCAACTGTACTCTCATATAGGAACCACCATTGCTGTTGTGGCCTATGCTCTCTGCGCAATCACGACATACACCATCTACTGGCATAAACCGCAACGTATTGATGTCGCTCACACTATTCCGCTAAACGTTCATCAAACGGAATCTCCTCTGCAGGGGGGGCGATTATATATCGGATCAAGCACTCTAAAGTTTACAACGCCATGGCACTCGCTGGGGTTTTGGATCGGTTCTAAAGTCTCAACCAGCTCCAATGGGCGCACCGATTAGCATGGACTCTATTCCACGCGGAGGACTATGGACCACATTTGTTGCAGCTATTCATGTGGCATTCTTCGGTGGAATTCATTTTATCGCGTGGAATTTTAGTTTCCCATCAGCGGTTGAGCTAATGCTCTGGAGATGGTTAAGTGTCTATCCAACAGTAGCTCTGTTCTTTGCCCGGCTGCTCGTTTTCGTGGATTCTAATCCCAGACCCAGCTACTCGTATCCTGACCCTCTGAATCCTGGGTTTCTCTCGCGCCACAGTTACTAGCATAGGTTGTTTATAGGCCGGACGCTATTTGAGGTTGTATTGATCAAGTGGTAGCGTGTGGATAAAACAGCTGTGATTCTTGACCTATATAAGTCATGCATAACAACATGTGGTAAAATTCATCAGAAATAGACTATTGAGCGAGGATTACCTAGTTGTGCATCGTATTTGCTGAATATGTGCGTGTTTTTGCCTGTTTTGTTTGCCACCCGGGGTCTCATAACGCAATTGCAGCTTCAACTACATATATGGCGATGTGCGCATTGATGATTCAATTGCTTCTCGCATCAATGCCAAGCATAGCCTCGGTAATGCCAAACTCATAATCTCTCGTCTATAGCCTCCGAGAGGACGTTTCTTTTCTGCTCGTTTTTGGTTGTTCCTTTCTCTCTGCGTCTGTTGGTATATCTTTTTTTCCGTTGTCATCGCCTGTTGATCACCCATCCACGCTTCTCTCTTTTCCCTCATCACCATCGTCTCCTTGTCTCCGTTTCTTTTCTTATATCCCCATATTCGAGTTTGCCATCACCCCAGCCTTCAGCTCATCATGGGACTAATAAAATCGAGTGTGGCCTTTGCCATGTCTTGTATTCTTGTCTATCCTTGGAAAGCATCCGGGTACGCGTTTTCGCGGTGATTGGTCCCGGTCACCCCCCGGCTTTCAGCAGGTTTCAGCTCCTGTAAATAGAGCCAATCGATTGAGAGAGCTCTGGTTTTCCTTGCATGATTGTAACCACACCTCTCCGCAGCCTCACCGAAGCAGGCAAACTGACCAATAAGACAGTTACACGGCTTGAGGTGTTGTCGCCAAACCAATAAGACGACTGCCACGTACATGGTCATTTTAGGTACTAATCTTGCCTGCCTAAAATGTCAATAAGCCTCAATACTACTCCCTCTCCCCCCTCTCCTGATTTCTCTCTACATTCAATAGCCATTGTCTACATGATACACGATTCGAAGACAAACATATCTATTATTGCGATTTTCCTAGCTTTCTTCTTCTTCTTTTTCTTAACCAAAAAGGACCGCGTATAAAATGAAATTACAATTCTACAGGCGTTGTTTCATCTTCTGCCTAATACCACTCGCTCAAGCCTACCATATATTTAACACAAACTGTTCTACCCCTACTACTCTATCGAATTATGTCTCATCCCCTAATACTCGGGGAACTCTTGATATACTATGGAGCTCTCTCTTCACGATTCTTGCTTGCACATGGACACTCCAGCACCCCAATGTCCCCGAACAACGCGACGGCCGTGACGCTGGACTACTGGAAGACATTAAATGGGGCTTGAAAGGGTTTTACAGAAGTACGCTCCGTCTGGTGTGGACTGTAATTGCCCCCGAAATGATAATTGCTGCTGCCCATCAGGAATTGCTCCGCGCATATGAGGATAATAAAAAAATGCGAAAGCAGGTTGACAACGGCAAAGGTTCTTGGAGCTTAACCCACAGCTATTACGCAAATATGGGGGGTTTTGTCTTACGAGGAGCATTCGAATTAAGCGGAGAAGCCAAGTATCACAATCCATATCATCTCACCTCCGAAGGGATCCTTACACTCCTAAATAAAGAGCACATCGACCAGCTGCCTGATATATCAGAAGCAGAAATTAAAGATAAGTCTAAAGGCGATATGTTTGTTAAGGCGATCGCAGTTGGGCAGATTGTGTGGTCCATCATCCAGATTATCGGACGGGGCATCAAAAGGCTCCCTGTTTCGCCGCTCGAGGTCGCCGTCGTGGCCTTTGCTGTCTGCGCAGTCATCACACACGGCCTTTATTGGTACAAGCCGCAGCGCGTTGGTACTACCACAACCATTCATCTAAAAGAAACCAGTCTGACAGAGGATGGAGCCATACCGAAGGCAGTGCTCGAGGCACTCAACGACGCACAGCAGGTTAAACGGCTTTTTGGAAGCATTTTTTCCGATGCTCCTCTACCCGGTTCACCCATCAGCCTCGACACCAACGTCGACGCAGACGGTTCGGAAATGTTAGCTGCGATGGGAGGTGCGACAGTGTTTGGTGCTATACACGTTGTGGCGTGGAACTTTGCTTTCCCATCAAGGATTGAGTTGATCTTTTGGAGATGCACAAGCATCTTTACGACTGCAGCCTCCCTTGGCTTTATACTTTTGGGCGTACCGGACTCGATTATGGACACAATCGACAAATCTAAGCACCCATTACGCCAACTCAGGAAGGTTTCACAGTCCCTGCTTCCTCTTGGTAGTGGACTTATTATACCGCTATACATCGTTGCGAGGCTATTTATTATTGTGGAGATGTTTCGGACGCTTTGCTTTCTCCCTCCTGGGTCATATATTTCTACTTGGACATCCAACATCCCGCATGTTGGGTAGTTGGTTGCGTCAATCATACGATCCATAAGACGTCTTGAACCATCCAGGGGTGCAATGAGTTTGAGTGGTTATGAACTGTCAGCATGTATCGTAGGAATCGCTGAAGTTCGAAATAGAGCTATTCAAGATGGGAGCATCTCTTCAGCGAGAAGAAAGTGACGAGAGTAGCAGATGCTTCTTAGCCGGGAATCTAGAAGATGACAGGTTAAATACATGTTTCTCTTCTGATTCCCGTCACCACATTCAGACTGCGCATAAACATTGGAGCACTGGATATAGTATCTACTCTATTAGATGTTGATCGTATCGGTTAAAGACCATGCGTGTTTTTTCCTATTTTGTTTGCCACCCGTGGGTCTTGTATTGCAACTGTTAATACATGTAATTGACGAAGCGCGCATTAATGATTTGGACTCAATTTCTTCTCATATCAAACTCACCACGATAACCTCGGTTATGTCAGACCAATAATCTCTCGTTTACAGCCTCCCAACTCAGACGGCGGCGCATCTCCGTCTGCGTCGTCACAGTGCGTCTCCTAAATGGCTCTGCCGCCAATCTGACACGATTCCGAATTTCCGACCACAGCAAAAGAGCTGCCGGCGACACTAAGACGCCGACTCATGTCCGTCAGACTAAAGGGTCAAGTTTCATCCGAATCTTGAAATGACACAAGCTAGCCAGTCTCTCGAGCCAATCGGCTTCGTTCGCAGCTGACGGCAGTTCGCAAATTGGCTGTCTATTCTCGGCGACAGCGTTTCTGGAAAAAACTAGCTCGGCGAGCATCGGTAAACAGTGGATGATGGCTTGCGGATCGATGGGTGGCTTGCATGATTGTAACATCATAGCCTGTCGTTAATAGAGCTAGACGGATCATGAGAGTATATATCACGATGTATATAAGTTGTAAGGGGGTCCATGTCTCCATCATCACCACCACCATCATCAACTGGCAAACAATCATCTCAATGCAACATTAAAGCATCAAAACACACATCTCTACCCAGACTTACAAACACAGTCCATGTATAGCCAGCTACCATACAACCACCCCGGACTGTCTTCACGACACAAGAGGGATCTCCACCAAGCCCTCGTCTCCCAATTCGGCCACTATGAAGCTGAAGCTCGCTCTTCAAGATGCCCACCAGGGGCCGTTTCTTGCGCGAGACCTCGTAAGAGCCTCGTTCGAAATCCGAGGGCCTACCTTTCACAAATCGCCGCGCATCTCGGCCAAATTCGTCGGCACCATGGTGGTGTCGTTTCCCACGCAGGTTAATGCCGCAAGCCCGGGACAAATCACTACGGTGGTGAGTGATATTGCATGATTCAGCTGCAGTATGCACTGGATTCACTGACAGGGATTGTAGCTGTTTGAGCAACACAAGACGATTGAATATCGAGATTTGCAGTGGGACGAAGATGCCTCCACCGGCGAATCAATATACACCACTCCCATAGAATTCGAATTCCCCGACGGCGCATGTTACTGCGGTAAACCTCAGAAATGCCAGCTCCCGCCCTCTTTGGACGTCACGGAGCAGAACATGAGAGTCAGGGTGGCTTACACCATGACTGTTTCCGTGGGCCGCAGCTTGCTTGGTGCAATGACAAAGACAAAGAGCGTCGGGATGGATATTCCCTTTAGCTGCAACCCATCCATCGGAAGACTTCCACGATCGTCCTGCGTATTGTCGGTGCCAATGGACGAAAAGCCTGGACGACACAATGCACGCTTGCGAAATACAGCAATGGAGGATCAAGAGCACGATGATGGCTCATGTCCGTCGTATAACCTGAAATATGCACCATCCATCAAAGTCGAAGTTTTACTCCCACAGCCAGCCATCTTGATCCGTGGCCAGCCAACGCCGGTTCAGATCCTCGTCCATACACCTACCGATATGATCGAATCAGGCAACGTCTATCTCCGAAGCGTATCCATGGACTTGAAGACATTGGTCACAACATCTACCGGCGCGATATCGCGAACAATCTCGCAGAGAAGACATGGATGCAGCATGGCTGGTGCAGTCAAGATTGATAGCGAGCTCTTCGAGGTCGATTCGGGAGCGTGGGGCAACTTTTTCGTCTTGAATACGAAGCCGACGACGGAGTCTTGCATCTTGAGGATGGACCATGTGGTGGAGGTTGTGACGGGGATCTCGGTTGGGCTGGGAAATGACATTAGAGTAAGTTGGCTCGGAAACTCCGAACGTGATGAAGATGGAAACTGACTGACTCGTGATTAGTATGCTGTTGCGGCATTTGAAGTCGTTGTGATGGATCCTCCGCCCGCGTACGAAGTGGGTGATGCGATTCAAGCATAGATGCAAAAATGATAGAGTCTATACTGGAGGATGTACGATAGATATGGTTATACCCAGGCGGAGGAGCCTTGATGGAAAAAGATGATACCCAGCCGTTCTTACGACTTATATGACGAATAGAGATGGACAGCTTCGGAAGCTGCATTATAGAATCAACACAAATTAATGAATACACAACTCATCCACCATGATTATTACAACTGTTGCTCCCAAACTCCATCCGTATGTTTACATCTACTGCGGCATCGCTGCCATCCGCAGCGGCGTCTCCCCCCTCGTCTTTCTCCACCGATTAGTAGACTCAAGCAACTCGCCACATCCGTCAACTGCCCACGACCATTTCCTTAGAAATCCCGGTGTAACCTCCCAGCTATCCTTGTGGAACGGCTCCCCCCATAAAATCAAACCCCTGCGATCAGTCGGAACATCCTCATCCTCCCCCCTGGAACCCAGAAGCGAATGCGTCGTCTTGGGTGGCGGAGCGGTCATGCAGTTGATCAAATTCCCAAGAAGGTCCGTCAGAAACTCCGCATGGCTAAAGTAATTCTCCCACCGAATCAGATTGTCCCTCATCTTCGGAAAGGGAAACACGTCGATCCAGTTGGAGTGGGGGCACGACATCTGCAGCTTGGTCGGAGCGAGGCTTTCAGGGAGGCGGATCTGCACGAGGGAGGTTGCTTCCGGGATGTGAGGGAGGATCTTCTTCAGCTGGGCCGTGGCGCTGCCTGTGCATTCGATGAAGGCATTTGGTTTGATGACTTTCTTGTTGTATGAGAGGCCCCTGAGGACGTTGAAGTGAATTAGATGCAGCAGATGATCGGAGAGCAGGCAGTAGCTGAGGCCTAGCCAAGGAGCAGAAGCACGGCCTGGGGTTGTGGTAGAGACGGAGACTAATGCACCATGCGGAACGAGCTCCCTGCTCGGGACGACCAGCTGATTGGACGGAGCGGACTTGTCCTCCACAGGTACAGAGGTAGAGTCGCTCGGAAGTGCCCGTGGTTTGATGTATGGAATGTCATCTCTACCGTCATCTATCCGCCAGCGATGCACTCGGTAAGGCTGTCCCGTGTCGTCAACTCTCCTATCCCGGGCTCTCGATCCTTGATTCGAGGTGTTAGTTCCAAGGGAATGACTGCTTCACACAATTGTGCTTGCTCTACGTACGATGTGCTCTCTGATTGAGCCGGTTCTGAAGCTTTCTACGTGCCAAACGGATCTTGCTAGCCGTCAGATCTGCATCAGCATCAGGAATCGATCGAGCCTTGCCGGATGCTCGAGTGTGTGTGCGCGGGTTTGACGCCATAACAATGAGAGTGTGTAACCAAAGAGAGAAATAATAGTCATCAACTGTATGCAGAGATACAAGTTACCTCCTTGCATTCCACAGGGTATCACAGAGGGATGAAATAAACAAGAGAGAGAGTGAATCCAGCCAGTTGGTGATGCTGCGGCTAGGGGTCGGCGTTTAGCCTCCACGCCGGCGGACTATCCCCCAAGAGGCAAAAAGTGTCATCACTCCGTGTGAGCAGAATCGGCACATGTGGAACCAGCGGCGTCTTACAAGTCCGCCGGAGTGGGAATGAGGGAGGGCTAAGCTGAACTGGGGAAAAAGCATCAGCCGGGGATTGAGGATATTGTCGGATTTATGGGGGGTTCGTGCATGAGGCTTGAAACTGGAGAGAGATGGAGACGGGATGAATACGCGGATGGACGAGTACACGAGGATGTTTGGGATGGATATCCGGATTCATGAAAGCATGAAGATGGAACAAGGCTGGATATATAAGAGGAATCATTTTCCATGATGGATGAATAGCAGAAGCCATCGCTGAACTACACAGAGTTCATCATCACCACTTGCACCACCATCACCACTTACACCAGCATCACCACTTACACCAGCATCACTTACACCACAACCACCATGCCTCGCTACGCAGAGTCTCACGTCTCTCCTCAAGGCCCCGGCGATGCCAGACCAACCGCCCTCCAAGTCGTCAAAGACGAGCAGATGACTGACCAGCTCAAGGGCAAGGTCATCGTCGTCACCGGCGTCTCATCCGGTCTTGGTGTTGAGACCGTCCGCGCCCTGGCCACCACCGGAGCTTCCTTTATCCTCACTGCTAGAGATCTTACCAAGGCCAAGAGTGCTCTCGGCGACATCTTTGATGCGTCACGCATGAAGCTTGTCGAGATGAACCAGAACTCGCTCGCTAGCGTTCGGGCTGCGGCAAAGACCATCCTCGCCGACGCACCCAAGATTAACATCCTCATCAACAACGCTGGAATCATGGCTGTTCCTGATCTGCAGCTCACTGATGATGGCCACGAATCACAGTTTGGCGTTAACCATCTCTCTCACTTCCTCTTCTTCCAGCTCCTCAAGCCCGCCCTCCTTGCTGGCAGCTCCCCTGACTTCGGTTCTCGCGTCGTCAACGTCTCTTCCGCCTCGCACCGCTTCTGCGGAATCAATGCCTCAGACAACTACAGCTTCCAAAAGGGCGACTACGACAAGTGGGTTTCCTACGGCCAGTCCAAGACGGCAAACGTCTACATGGCCAACGAGCTCGAGCGACGCTACGCATCACGCGGCCTCCACGGCTGGAGTCTTCACCCCGGCGGCATCCAAACCGGCCTCATGAGATACATCCCGGAGGAGGAAGCCAAGGCCATGGTGGCGCAAATCGGGCCGGAGGTGCTGCAGGGCATGAAGAGCCCGGAGCAGGGGGCGGCGACGCAGGTTTGGGCGGCGATTGCGAGGGAGCTGGAGGGTAAGGGAGGGAAGTATCTGGCTGATGTTTCTGTGGCTGTGCCTGGGCCGGATGATAAGGACATGTCGAAGCCAACTACGGTGAAGCACACGTATGACGCGGCGGAGGAGGCGAGGCTGTGGAAGGATTCGCTCAAGCTTGTTGGCTTGGAGGATGATGAGTAGGGATTGAAATAGTGGTATGTAGCAAGCATAATGTATATTTAAAAGCATAGAGATAACGGATGCTTGTTCTTCTAACTGGGTGCCATCAACATCAAAGCTTGACTGTGTATACTTGTCTGCTTGCTTAATCTACTACTGGTGATATTCAATCCAGCAGAACCTTTACGTAAATATTGTACCCCAAGTCAACTTATTTGTCACTTGGCTGTAACCGACTCATTCGGCGCCTAGTATGCAGGTACTTCTGACTCCTGCATCGCCAACAATCGCCTGAAAATCGAAATGGCCCTTTAAGTCCGATGGCGGAGGTAACTGAGACTCTTGGACATTGGTACTGTGATACCTTGGAGTGAAACAACTCCACAGCATCCATTCTCTTAGAGATACGTCGATTTGACTAACTAGTGAGAATTCTAAGAAGCGGGTGAGTTGCTAATGTTGATGCTATTCTGAATCAAAGAGTCATACGTCAACTTGTCTCTCGATCGCGGCACGGTTTCTCAAACCATCTCCTTACATTAGAATAAGAGTCCTCGCGGGGTTCATAACAATACAGATTGATGAATGGTCCTCTATGAGCTTGCCTTCTCTACATTACGGGATCAAAACAATGAGGCCTCTCCTTTCTTCCTCTCCACCCTTCAGCCGCTGTCTCAGTTCAGGCGACCTGATTTCTATCAAAACCGCATTCACCGCGTCGCCTATGTGTTCCTTTGAGACATCCGGCACCAGGGAAGCAGGCCGTGTCTCAGATAACCAGCTGACGCAGCATCTCCCAGCCCGAGTGTAATATGAATGGCGGGGAACACCGCCGGTGGCTGGCAAAGTGAGACATGCGTCTGTCACATCGCCAATCACTCAAGATAAGGGCGGCTGTGATTAACAATTTCGCTATTGGGCACGCAGATCGAAATATCCCTCTTGAATAAAATGGCCGTGCTCTTAACGATAGAAAGGGAGGACAAATGTTTGTCTTACCTCAAGGTGCAACAATGAGCCGATATATCCGCACCGACACCGAAAGATCACAAGCTGAGTGCCAGCATCCCAGGTTCCTGTCTTATGACAGCGAGGGGCCGATAAGGCGCAATGAGACTCTTACTCAGACTGTTTGGACCACCAAGTCGGTGAGAGAAGACAAGGAGCCAGAGAGCCTCATGTTTAGGGATAGACCCCTTGTGCTTGTCATGTGGCCAACATAATGAGATTGTCTCTGTTGTGTGTCTCTGGGATCGCCGAGCGGGACACGCGATTCCAAATGCTCTTGGTATGTTTCCAGCTTGGATTTGTGAGAGAGAGGCATCTATCATAACTCCCTTTATCCCATATAGTAAGAGTACGGTCGAGATAAGAAGGGCTCCCCCTTGGTAGCACAGCATCTGAGAGACGTTGCTCAATGGTCGTGCATTGGACTCTATATATTAGGCCATTTGATGCACTTGCAACAATTTCTCGTATAAACTACGTTCGTGGTCGGAACTCAACAATACCACCATGTTCTACAAAGCCATGATCTGGAACTTGGCCGTAGCACAATGATTGTCGAATCAACTTTCACGAAAGAACGGGTCTTGGTTCCCTCCTGACCGCGGGTATTATTCAGACAGTAATATTGTACGGCAAGATAGCAATGCTTTACTGTACAGACATAAGCTTAATACAGCGTCAGTGATCGACATCGAATCTTTCCTATCAGGCAGACAGCCCTCTGGACGGGTTCACTCGGGGTGTCGCGGCTGGTATGCTGTACATTTAGGGGAGAGCAGAGAAGAGGCAGATCATCATTGAAGAGCTACCGAGGGACATGATTCGATACGGCAATTTCTCGAAGGCGGAGTGACATCGTCGCCAAGATTAGATAGATTCGCAATGTTCATCTTGGCCGCTTGGCGTGTAGAGTATGTCCATAAGGGGAAGCTCAGGGCTTCACTTTTGGCAGTGATGGGGAACAGGGCGATTGCTTGTCTGGTAGTCTCCTCCACTATTGCCTGCATGTCTTACAATAGCATGTGTGCCATTGTGAAACTGTACCCAGAGGTTCCACAAATATCACAAATATCGGAACGATGGTAATAGTAGTCGTAATCGTAGTACCCGTAGTGGAAGGGCTCTGGTAAACACCACTCGACTAAGCTCGCGTCCGCGGGAGCCAGCGACTAGCACCCGTGCCAAATGCCGTAGTCTATCATATTTCATATCGGTAAGCCCGTAGCAAGTGTCTGACCATTGCCTCTTTGAACATGGAAAGACAAATACTGTCCTGAGTGATGAGATACCCTTGAGGCTCAAGCTCTGGGTTCGTAACAACGCTCGTGGGGACTGTCTGTCGTCGTATCCGATGAACCTGGGTGGGTGGTGGCTTATGGCAGTGTGGACGCTTCACAGGTATTATTCATACAGGAACGTGAATAAATACCCATCTTCTCTCTTCCTGGTAAAGGTCCAAAGAAACAAACCGTGAGCACCGCGAAACAATCGTTTGCACACAACAATGAAGCCTCTTGCTGCAGTCGCCACGGCGCTGCAAGTCTTATTGTCTGCCTGCTTGTCTCAGGCCCTCTCGACTGCAGAAAGTGATTTCCCTCCGTTGCTCGACGCTACTCTCACTGAGCTGCGCTCCGGGTTGGACAACAACCACTTCACCAGTGTTGATCTCGTACATGCCTACATTGACAGGATCTCAGAAGTGAATCCCGTCCTGAAGGCTGTTACTGAGATCAACCCTGACGCGCTCTCGATTGCCTTGCAACGTGACACGGAAAGGCAGGCGGGAATAGACCCTGTCAAGCAGCCTCTCCACGGCATACCAATCCTCCTCAAAAACAACATTGCCACAGACGATGAGATGAACAACACTGCTGGCTCGTATGCACTGCTGGGAGCCAAAGTTCCCCATGACAGCACCATTGCCTCCAAACTACGCAAAGCGGGCGCCATCATCCTCGGTAAAGCCAATCTTTCGCAATGGGCTGCCTCCCGAGAGGTAGTCTTGCATGAAGGCTGGTCGGCTCATGGTGGCCAAGCAGTTGGCGCATACTTTCCAAAGCAGAATCCTAGAGGCTCATCATCGGGAAGTGCCATTGCAGCCTCTCTCGGTCTCGCCTGGGCAGCTGTTGGAACAGACACGGGTGGATCAATCCTCATGCCTGGCCATGCGAACAACGTCGTCGGGTTCCGCCCCACGGTGGGACTAACTTCGAGATATCTGGTGATTCCATATTCGCTAAGACAGGATACCGTCGGTACCCTGACTCGGACGGTCAAGGACGCTGCGTATCTCATGCAAGCTATGGCTGGGCCTGACAAGCGAGACAACTACACGGATGCTATCCCCTTTGACACGATACCAGACTATGTTGCAGCATGTTCGAATTCGGGCCTCAAAGGCAAGCGGCTCGGCGTGTCCCGCAACACAATGGCGGTAGATATCGATCCGTCAGCAAACACTGATTCGGAGGCATTTGAGAAAGCGCTGGATGTGCTTCGCGCAGCTGGCGCAGAGATCATTGACAATATTGACTTGCCCTGCAATAACATCCCTACGGACCAAACCAAAGGGCGCAGAAGCGACCCAACGCCCAACAACACCTTCGCTGCCGCCATGGCTGGTGTCTTTTCCATCGTCGGGGCCGACTTTTTATCCAATTTGCCGGAAAATTACCTCAGCCTTCTCAAAGAAAACCCCAACAACATCACCTCAGTGAGCGATCTGCGGGATTTTACCAGAGACGATCCTCAAGAGGGATTCCCGCGGTTCGATACCACGGCTTGGGACAGCTTCCTCAAATTTCGCCTCAACAACACGGACCCGACTTATTGGTCCAACGTTACTGCGACCACAGAACTTCTTGGACCGCTATGCTTCACAGGAGCGCTGAAAAAGTACAGGCTGGACGCAATGGTGCATCCGACGCCGTATTCAGTCTTGATGGCAGCCGGTCTGGGACTTCCCGTCGTCAGTGTGCCGCTGGGTCGCGCTCCAGATGATTCTCCCGTTATTCCATCAGACAGAGGAAATTTGATCCTGTCGGCGCCCAACGGTCCATTCGGCATCGCCTTTTCCGGCCCGGCGTTTAGCGAAGAGAAGCTGTTTGCCATGGCGTACGACTTTGAGCAGCGTACAAACGTGCGTGCGTCAATCAAGCCGTTTATTGTACCCAAGACTGAACTGGCGCATGTTGTGCGGAAACGGTGCCTGCGGGATCCAAGAGGTGCGTGTGGGAAGGAATCTAAGTAAACTCGGCAAAGTATTGGTGAATTGAGCGCAATACGGTAATGCGGTTCTTTGGTTTTCGGCGATGAAGATTTTGTGTTTGTCAAGTCGATAATCCTGCGTATGGAATAGTGCTTGTGGGGAAGCGCAGCAATGAATGAGAAAATAATAAACTTTGTCAACTACTCGTAGAGATGAGATTCATCAAGATGAGAATGATTTCACCATCACGTGTATGCGCATCTGATAGTTCAAGTCAATGTGTCGCCTTTGCTTTTGATGGTGATTGAAACAACGACGGCGAAAACCGTAGGTTCGGCCCCAGTATCACGATTCGAGCCAAAAAGAGATAATGGTACTCCACATCTCATTGCCAGCCACTTAAGCTTCTTAGATATGCATCAGACTCGATCATGCGATCTGGAAGCCGAGAGCGAAATGGACATTGCCAGCTTCAAATGCTTGCCGCGCGCTTGATCTGATCTTGGCTGCGATATCCCTGCATGTCATGCCCACCTGTAGGATGCAGACTTGGTACGCTAGCATGGCTAGGCTTATTTGACGCTGGGCTTCAAGTATTTTGGGCGTATGAGCTGACGATGGAACTCTGCGGCTGGAGCGCACTTCGGTTCGACGACGGAGTCCGCCGTGGGTTGACAGGTCCGATGCTGCAAGCCATCGAGAAACAGCTGCGTTATCACAATGTCAATAAGGCAGTCCCAGAAACTGGATGTTTGGCATACAACTTGGCCGTCTTTGAACGTATCATCTGGCTTTCTTTTGGTCGAGACACCAGATATCAAACCTCTCCAGGCCATTCAAGCTCTCAGCACAGCATCGCCCACTCAAAGCCCCGACAGCGACCCGGACCGTCGGCTCGACCCTCTTCACTAGATCTCGGTCATTGTCCAAATCGTTTGAAAATCCCACGATCGAATCGGAGGCCACACCGCGCAGTTTTATGGAGATGAATTAATTTCATCGTAATTCCGTGCTGACAGATGTCTCTGTAATCCTGTGGATCCCTGGATGAACCCGCTGACTCACCCAGAACTGGCCAATCACCACAAGGCCGAGTCAAGATCTATCAGAACACGAGGAGAGTGTCGCATTTTTCGGAGGACAAGAAGGATCGTATAAGTTTTCTTGTGATATAAAGCACATTTCCGGTCGACTTTTGCAAGAGTTTTGCGGGAAGAGTAATAGAAGAGTAAAAGACGAATGATTTTGGCGAGGATAAAGACGAAAATCCCCCTGTTCAAGCAAACTATTTTGACCGGACGTGGGATTATTGGTGCTGCTGCACCCAGAGGGACAGCTTTGATATCGAGTTCTGCATCAAAGAGATACGCCTTCAACATGGCTGAGTCCAGTGGCAACAATGAGGCGAGGGCTGCAAAGGAAGAGCTTCCTCCTCTGACGGACCATGAGTTCAAGAACTATAACCGTCTTGCCGAGAGAATGGAGATGTTTGTAAGTAACATTGACTGCTCTCACTTATACTCATGTCATGTATAAGGCATATACCTGCATATACTGTGCATGCATACACACATATATATGTTGCATCATCTCACACTTTACTCACAGCACAACAACTTCCGCCGTTCATGGAACATCCTCTGGCAAGCCTGCACCACTGGCCGTCGTCCTCAGGGCATGTCCATCAAGCAACTCCTCAACATCGGCACCGAGTTTGCTGAGCATCTCACCATACATCATTCCATCGAGGAGACTTACTTCTTTCCCCGACTAGCCCAGCGGATGCCTGAATTTAACCCCAAGAATGGCGACCTGGTGAAGCAGCATGCCCAGATCCACGAGGGCCTGGAAGGATTTGAAAAGTACCTGAAGGAAGTAAAGAGCGGCGAGAGGGACTTTGATTTGAGCGTTTTGAAGGAGAAGATGGAGAGCTGGGGAGGCGTGCTGTGGGCGCATTTGGACGAGGAGGTGAGGTCGTTGGGGGCAGAGAATATGAGAAAGTTTTGGACATTACAGGAGATCCGGCGGTTCCAAATGTGAATGATAAGTTAGTTTCGCTGCGGAATCTCTCTCTCTCTTTTTATTTATTTTTTTGTAGATACACTTTTGGGAGTATGGTCATGACTGGTAGATGAAGCGATGTAGACGGATCAAGATGATTGGCAAAAGATACATGCATGCATTCATAAACGTAAATGGTAAAGGATAGCTCAACTATTACATGTGATCCAAACAAGCCAGCCAGACAGACAAAAAACTTACATACCTATCCAACATTCTACCATTGCCCAGGTTTCCAAATATTCTCGCGAGACCAAGCAGATCTTTTACACCGGTAGATGATCTTACCCGCTGTATATCTATATGTTGTACTGAGACAGGTGCCGAAATGCCTGCGCCTTTCCGGGTTCTGTGAATCCTTTCACTTCAACTTCATGTTGCACAACCGCTCACGTCACCCAACAGATATCTTGCCCCTGTCACCGGGGACTTTGAGGAGAAGAAAATCCAGAATCTTAAGCCGTCTCACGCCAGAGATCAATCATCTGTCCCGTTGAGGGGTACATCGCCAGCAAGGCAATCGCCGTCTCAGGGAGAGGTCCTCCGCCAACCATGCCCCATTGAACAGTCAATGGGGCCCACGCCAAGTTGCGGAAGAAGCTCTTGTTCCAAGTCTTTGCCCAAGCGGCGTCCTTGGCCTGGGCGCTCTTGCGCGTACGCTCCAGCAGCAACCTGGCGAGCTCCATGAAGGTATACGCACCCCAGCATCGCACGCTGAGGAGGCCAAACTTGCCCATCGTCGTGGGCTTCAGATCAATGGCCTTTTTGCTGCCCAGGAACGCGAGGTTCTCAAACACTTGGTATAGGATGAGGGCGAAGATCTGGCTGAGACCGAAGACGGTGTCGAACCGCGCCAGAGCAACCGACTCTGATCCCTCTTTCTCACCGTCTTCCTTCTTGGGGCGCGGTCGGGAGAGGACTCGCTTGAGCGCAAAGTACAGGCCGAGCAGACCCCAGAGCCTGTTAATCGTCCGTGCCTCGCTTAGCACGCCTGCAAATGCCTTGAGCTTGGTCGCCAGGTTAAGCGCAAACGCCGCACCGGGAGGCGCTGGGGCTGATGAGAGGACGACGGTCGTGGCGGGCGGTAGTTGGAAGGCCATGGCAATGAGCTTCTGTGCCGACTGCCGCAGCGCATTGCGGCTCAGCGTCTCGAGCACGGCGCCCGACAGCTTGGAGGAGTAGCAGAGGAACTGCAGGACGGCATCGGCGCCGGCGCGGGTCTGGATGCATCGCAGCAGATGGCCAGCAAAGGCATCCGCGTTGGACGGCACGGCGGCTAGAACAGCGCCAATGGGGGCCTTGGCCGGCGTGGGAATCGAGGGAAGAGGATCGGCCACGGCAACGGCTGAAGAGTCGATGGCCGCAGCCACTTCAGTCGAGGCCGAGTCGACGGGGATGTCGGCCACGTCGGTCATTGTGGCGGGCGGAGAGGAGGGAGAGGAGGAGGAAGTAGAAGAAGAAGAAGAAGAAGAAGAAGAAGAGACAAGAAGGAGAAAAAGAGGAAGAGGCGAGGCGAGGCGAGGCGAGGCGAGGAGAGGAACGGAAGTGAAGCCGACGATAAAGGGCGCGCTTATCGATTAGAGCCGATCCGAGTCTTATCTCAAGACCGAGTCGAGTCGAGTCAAGTCTAATGGTAACGGATGGCCAGATGCGCAGACGCTGATGCTGCACTGAAGCGGTTTTGGGTAATGTAGCATTAGGAAATTAATTCAAAGTCATCCAATTGCCCTTGGGGGTGGTGAGCAGCTCAGCTCTTATTACTCTTAGCCTCTTTGCTGCAAACCTACCGCCTCTTGAGGCGCTGCCGAGGTCCACCCCCACAAAACCTCGGATAAGGCGTAGATCCGCTGCCTCGATTCTCTCCACGTTTTGGCTTGCTGCCACTCGGCTCTAGATTATTAATATTTTAAAGTTCCACTTTCTTTTGGGGATCAAGAGAAAACTGTGTAGTTTATTTCATGTAAGATGAGGGATTCCAAGTGCCATTGACGGGTCTGATTGGTGGCTCGGTGACACGGTACACTCAGTGATTTGGCAGTGCGTTGTAGCGTCTGGGGGGCTCCACAGAATCGACTTACAGGGGGCTTCTCACGTCCAACGTAAGATCTCGCAGAACCGAATCTATTAAAATGAAAGGGAATTGCCAATTGGTATAGGAATTGAACATCCGATAAATTTGTTTATCGAGGCGGACAGACGGCCTCTTGTAGAGGAGTTTGGTATCTTGCTTTCTGTGGTTTTGATGCCAAGTACCTGTATATAAAAAGAGAGCTGTGGGCACTACGACTGTTATGGAGAGGAGACTTGATCATGGTGAATCTTTCCCCAGAAGAATGGGAATATGTTTTTTGAGATATACCTATAGAAGAAGTAACATGTCTAGGTACCCAGCTAGAAATACATCTCTTACTTTTGCTCCCTGGGATTGATAGAACTTGAGATATCGGCTGCAGTCAGAGCCACCCGTTCTTCATTCTCTATTAGCACGCAGAGAGCCTATTATGTTGGATACATTTGGCAGGCTTTTCTTGATTTGCGAAACTTCTACTTCAGATTCACCTTCTTTCACCCAAATCTCTACACGTGCGTCTCCAGTGTGCCCATTACTCACGTTCCATAACCGTAGATGAACGCCATACCATCAGCCCAAGGAGAACTTTGTCAACAAGAGCTTGCATCCTCCAGCTGCCCCATCAAATGGCAGCCAGCTGTAACTGTTACTCGCATTGATGTCACTTTACCCTCTGTCACGTTCCAGTCAGGTGACTGCAAGGCACAGCTGAGCAGTGCTGGAGAGGAAGGTTCAATTCACTTCCACTTCACCCCATCGCTGCCCGCTAGATCACCTGATCTGCCAACACAACTTGCAAATTTCCCCTTTCCTTCGCCCAAAACTTGATTTCCGTGTACTCATCTTTTCCACAGTCAGTGGAGATATCCTCGTAATCTTTACCAAGTCACAACGTGGCACCTTCTTCAGCAACAGTCATCAACCGAACGGCCCCTACCAGAATCAGCGACTTTTTTCCCCTAGAGAAAAGCAACCGCAGCGATGAACGAGACTTCATCGGATGATGATCCTGGGAAGATTCTAAAATGGTTTCCAGGGACTGCTGAGCAAGAACAGCGATTTCGAAAATGGATCGAAGAAACCGATGAACCTCTCTTGTTTCAAAATGTTTCCCGGTGGTTGTGGGAAAATGCCGATACTATTTTTGACGACCTCTACGACGAGGATGGTATTCAAGATATTTTAAATAACATGGCCAAAGATTTTCAAAGAGTTAGTACTTGGCCCTCATCTTGCGAGTCGCTTGTCTAAGAATATTACAGAAAATTTCTCCGACCGCCACCATCATGCTCCCAGGCTATGGTTATCCCCTTGATATAATACCTCGTGGCACTTTTCCATTCTTGGAGTCCTTTAATAGAATTGGATGGGCTGCCACACCTCTGTTTGTGAGGGAGTTGTGCATGTTGAAGGTCATCGAAGAAATCACCAATAAGCCGGCTTAGTGGGCCAATGTTCGCGATACTCTTACAACGGACAAGTGGAAGAAAGAGATCCTTGGGCTGGATTGGAGCAATTACATACTGCATGCTGATTTCACGCCTTCTATGGCCGAGTGGGTATGTCTCGAAGATAAGAAATATTCCCCTTACACCGGCGCCATGGCTTCCTGAAGTCTTATCCTCGATAATTGCTTTTTAATTTCGGTCAACTAACTTGCAATGATGCATAGTGCATCGAAGAGCTAAGGCACAAAGCGGACCTTTACCAAAAAACAGGCCTCATTCCAGTTTTAGACCACGCTGCTTGTGTTATTAAATCCGACAAGCTCGTACCCGAAGCCCTAAACCATGAACTCTCTATCGGCAGCCAAAAATTACTACAAGTCATATCTAATGGCGAAATATCCCACGGTGGTTTCGCTTTTGATTTGATAGATCCTTCCATATGCCCGCTCATGTACAACCGCTCTCGAATTCTTCCAGACCGACTTATAGACCTCACCGACTGTCTAGAAGCTTGCGGTGGAGGGGATACTCTTGCAAGCCTTTGGGATCCGAATAACGATACAAGCTGCGAGGATTTTGATACCTCTTTTCAATGGCTTCCATGCAATGTCATTATGGATGATGCCGGACACGCCAAGATCAACAGTTATATCAACAACCTACACCCAATAGAGCATGCCGATATGTATACTACCATCGAAAAGTTCATCACCCTGGCTCTACCAGCTTTAGATATTGTATACAGATGGCCGAAAGAGTTTTCACATCAACGAATAGGTGTTGAGGATATCCGTTATGACTGTAAAACTCCGAATATTTGCGCCGGAGGATGCAATTGGTTGAACATGCCTCTATCTGCAAGTAAGACAATGGCTGTCTAATAGATTCAGCCATTATACTACAGGTTACCATGCTAACAATAAATTCTTCATAGTGGAAGCGTATCTTAAGAGAAATAAGACCCACGAGGAGAGAGAAGCACTCAAGAAGGAACAAAAACCGGTAGCAGCCGATACAAAGTCTGAGTCAGTTACGCTGCCTGAATGCGATGAAAATCACCTGCTCAATCTCAGATTGGAACGCAACGAGGAATATTTGGACAAGTTCCTACGCGTCTGGATCTTTGAAGGCAATGAGATGTGTCGAAACATGCTAGACAGGCATAGCGACCCCATTTTCAAGTGGTTCAACGAGACTCATCCTTTCCAGTTTCCTGAGCTAAGATCAACATCTTTCGATAAGCATGTTCGCTTAAAGTCATCTGACGTTCGCTCGTCTGCTTTCTTTCTACGAAAAAATAAGCATCTTCAATTCATCGTTAAGCTGAGTGAAATCCATCTCACGCCGGAAAATCCAGAGTACGCTGGAGATTTGTGGGGTGTGGATGGTTGGCGCAACGAGCATATCGTGTCTACAGCTTTTTTCTGCTACGATAGCGACAACGTGACGGATTGTCACATCTACTTCGACACGGCCATTTTATCAGGGGATTTATATACCGTGCCACACCCTGAAAGCGATGACCTCCTGCGGGCGTTTAACCTACCACCAGCAGCCAGTTCCCAAGTCTTAGGCCGAGTCCTTGCCAGTCCTGGCAAGGCTGTTTTCTACCCCAACGTTTACAGACACCGCCAGGGGTCATTTTCACTTGCGGACCGCTCTCGGCCGGGCCATTACAAGGTTCTCAAGCTATGTCTAGTTGATCCCGCCCTCCCCATCATATCGACATCCAACGTTCCACCTCAGCAATTTCACTGGTGGACTGAATGCAAAGTCCACCGCGAGGGAGTACGACTTGCCCAAAGGCTACCGCCAGAGCTGCGAAAGATTGTGTACGATTACGTAGATATGCCTATTGATGGTAAAAGGGCGGAAGATATTCGACGCCAATTCGCAAGTAAGAGAATGGTAGCAGGGATTCGCACACCTATTGGCGGAACTGATGAGGTATCAGATTTGAATGGGTCTAATAATCAATAAAAAGTTGGTGGTACTATGGAGATGCATAGTACTAGGTATGTATCAACATCGAGTTAGACGATACATGTATTTTGCTAGTTAGGGTCACTTTAGGCTTCACAGCCGCTCTCACAACTACCAAGTACACATCTCGAGAGAAATACAAGGCCGACATTCATTCTATGTTTTATGCATTCCCTTTTAAAAATTTCCAGTTCAACCTATCAAACAAAGTGTAGCGAGTTCCCTCCGTTTCCTCGCTCGATCGCCCGGGACTTTTTCTTCCATTACAAGAGAAACCCCCTCCTTTGATCCCATGCAAGCAACACAAGGAGAGAAAATAAAAGGGTTTTGAAAACACACAAAGTAAAAGTGTTCAAGAGATCAAATTCGGACGCCCTACCAGCCACCACCCCCCCTTCTCGTAATCATATGCTTCCACCTTAACCGCGGACGGCCGCTCCCAGAGCTCCGCCCGTGAACTGCGTGCCACCAGCCTGTCGCTGGGGGTTGCCGCCGCCGCGAGGGCCTCCTCTGCCACCGCGGGCACCTCCCCTGTGGCCGCCTCGGCCTCTGCCGCCTTGTCTCTCAAATGCACTTGATGTGCCCTGTGTGCGCTGCTCCAATGTCCGCTCGTTGGTCTCGATGAGCGCGCTGGCCTTGTCTGATAGAGCGAGGGCCAGGGACTGGAGTCTGCTGAGCTCGACGCCCTTGCGGAAGATGACGTTGTTGGTGACCTGGTCGAGGGAGGCAGCGAGCTCCTCGTGGCTGATCATCTTGCTGATGACGGCAGCCACCTTGGTGGAGTCGAGCTCGAACATGCTGCTGAGGGTGTCGATGGCGAGGGTGTCGTAGAAGGGGGCGTAGGTGAAGAGGTATGTTCGGAGACCCTCCTCCTGGATTTGCTTGGACAGCATCTCCTTGATCTCATCGGTGTTGGGCATCAGGTCCCAGATCTTGATGCTGTGGATGTAAGTAATGGACTTCTTCCACTCGCCGGCAGCCAGAGCCTTGGAAGCCTGCATGACGTGGTCACGAGTGTTCTCGGGAGGTCCGGTGAAGATCTGTCTCTCGTGGTACTCGAGCATACGGCGGTAGGTCTTGCTAATGACGCGCTTCTTGACATCGGGAGAAGAGCCAGTCTGGGCGAGGAGGGGAATCTCCAGAAGCATGCTGCAAGTGAGGTATACGCACTCGAGCAGCTCCAGGTTAATATGCATGTGGAAGGGCAGCTGTCGCTGCTTCTCAAGGCGCTCCTGCTCGGGAGAGACCTGGCTGTATCGCTGCATCATGACACCCTGGGCGAGCAGCTCCTTTTGACGGCCGCTTCCGCAAATCTCCTGCAGGGTGTTCTGAGCGTCATAGATCAGACCCTTGCGGAAAGCGCACAGACCGACTTGAACAAGAGTTCGGTTGTACAGGATCTGGCTCTGGATATCGAAGCCGGTAACAGTCTCCTGCAAGTGCGACATGAGCATCATGTCGCGAGCCTTGTAGTACTCGTCGTGGAGAGCAAGGAAGTAGACTTGAGAGAGCAGGGCTCTGGCACGAAGGATACCCTCGCTGTGGGCGTAGAGGTAGCCGCAGAGAACGTTGACCAGGCTAGCGGGGTCCTGAGCTTGATCCCGAGGAGTGGTAGTAGAGTCGACATTCTCGCCAACGGCCTTCCAGGAGTTCTCCTCAAAAGTCTTGACAACTTGGGCAGGCTATACATCACGTTAGCAACGAGTTTTGAACAATGAAGATGGAAGATTCCTTACCTTGAAGTAGACGTGCTCCAGTCGTCGCATGACAATACGGTTAACGCTGTCCTGGGGGACCTCAATGGCCTCGTCCTTCTTCAAGGCCTCGTAGTACAGGAGACCGCGGAAGATGACGTTGTACAGAGCACCCTCATCCTGCAGGCGCTCGATATACTCTGAGGTGTGGGGGTCGATGCTCTGCAGAGATCGGTGCAGCTCGTCGTCGAGTCTCTCGACATAGGAGACGATGCTGCCAGCAACCTTGATGTACTTCTCACCGGGCTGCAGAGTAGGGGGCTTCTCATCATCATCCCACTCCTCGACGTTCTCGAGAACGACATACTCGGAAGTCTGAGAGAGAAGAGTCAGGAGCTGAGACAGTTCCTTCTCAGCGGCCTTCCAATGCTCCAGGGGCATAACGTTAGTAGTTCCAGAGCCAAGGTCGAATCGGGCGGAGACCAGGGTCAGAAGAACGCGAATCTTCTGGTAGTCGGTATTGGCAATCTCGTTGAGTTTCTCCATAACCTTGATCTGCTCAAGTCTGTCGGTATTCTTCTTTCCACGAGTCTCCATAATACCTCGCAGGTGCTTGAAGATGCTCTCGGGAGTGTACTGCAGGGTACGGCCACCCTTTCCAACGGTGGCGAATCCCTCATCAGCGTCCTCCTCAGCGCCGGCAGTCTCGTCGAACTTGACGGCCCTGGGTGCCTTGGTGGGTTGGGGAACCTCCTCCTCCTCATCTGAAGACCACAGATAGGTGTCCTTGTCCTCTCGGTAGACGGCAATCTCATCTTGGTAGTCCTTGTTGGTCTTCTTGACCTTTTGCTTGACGGCGTTGAGAGCACGAGCCTGGGTGGCGTTCATCTTCTTGGGGGTGACCTTTGCCTTTGCAAGAGCCTCATTGACGGATTCCTCGATCTCGGCAATGACTTTGATGTAAGCCTTGGGTATTCTGCTGCCGGCAGGAAGCTTGGTCACTTGTCGGTTAAGCTTGTCGAATTCTGTTTGGAAATAACATTAGTGTTTGTTGTTCCGTCATCGCGTCATGATTGTTGCCATACCGGTAGAGATGAGAGACCAGTCGCCATTCTTCTGACCGTTCTCAATCTGCTTAATCGATGTTTCGAGCTCGTCCAGTCGCTTGACCTGTGCGCTCTTGACCTTGTCTCGGACTTCATCGTCGCTACCCTCGCTGTCGGACGCAACGTTGTCTCTCAAGAATCGGAAAGCTCCCTGCTTCTGGTCGCCGCCGGCATCCTTGTTGTCATCTTCACTTTCCTCGTCGGAGTGGTCGAACTCGTCGGATTCTTCTTCGGACTGTTCCTGGTCGAGTTCCTGACCCTCCTCTCCGGAGTAGAGTTCTTCCTCGTCGCTGGAGCTCTCGCTGGAGCTGTCGTCACCGCCGCTGCGGAAAAAGCGAGACATGTTGGCGGATCGTGTTCCTTGTCTTTGGTTGATCAAATATCCCGGTCGACGCTGTCGCTGAATTCGGGAGCCAGGCCAAGGGCAAAGACTCTTTTCGAGGTGCGCGGGGTTGGTTCAAAAGTCGAGGGTCGAAAATTCACGGATTTTTGGTGGGAGGTGGGGCGGCATCTTGGGGCTTAGCGAGTGCACTTTGCACTTTGCACTTTGCTGCTGACTAAGGCCATCTGACCACTAGCATGTAATCGATGGGAATGGCCGGACATTTGCCGCCGCTGCCTCTGTGCCTGAGACGGCTGACATCAGCAGCGGAAATAGACGGCTGGATAAGGTTTCTCGATGTCCTCGGCAGAACTCAGTCTTGAACTCTGCCGTTTCCACAACAGATAGTGCGTTATCTGATTGACGCCCACGATGATATCACTACGCTGTACGGAGAGCTCCTCCGCCGCGCGGTCCTTTGTCCAGCTTGCAAAACGGCGCTATTCAGTGGCTACCGCACATGTACAACAAACACCTCTAGAGTTTCTCATACCGCGCGGAACCTCTCACTCTTCACGACTACGCACGACCAGGATCTCTCATCGATTTGGGAACGGCATATCGGCGACTCCAAGTCCCAGAACATCCGTTCTGTCATCAAGTCGACAGCCAACCAGCCGAGCATTCACAGTATCCGCCACCCGGCTGGCCACGATATGCGTACAAAATCCTGTAAAGGGCGAGGATGGCAATGATATGAAGTTGGAAATCACTTCAAGAGCAGCTCAGGTATGATTTGTGCCACAAAAATTGCGTTTATTCTTCATTCTATTTTGACCTCATTGCTTACAAATTCATACAGCGACTCTCTGAGATCATGGCCAAGGACAAGAACCCGAACCTAGCCCTGCGCATTCGAGTTGAGAGCGGAGGTTGCCACGGCTTTCAATACCTTATGAGCCTCATTACGATGCCAACAGGAGAAGCACGCGAAGCTTCTACCATTATCTCCGAGGAGGACAGCATCTTCCAATATGTTCCGGACGAAGCCAACTCTGCTACTCCGCCCGCCGATAGCCCGAAAATTGTACTAGACGAGCCTTCTCTGGAGCTTCTCACGGGCAGCAAGGTGGATTTTACACAAGAGTTGATTGGGTCGCAGTTCAAGATTGTTGACAACCCATACGCAACGAGTAGCTGTGGGTGTGGGACAAGCTTTGATATCAAGGTGTAGAACACAATAATTCCCATGTACAATTACCCATCTGCGCAGGAGTGGAGAGCCTGACTAATAATCGCCACTCAATGGTTCACTGGAAGATTTAATGGGCTGGGATATCCTACAAGAGCAGATAATGAGACACGAAGATACAATTGCAAATCACAGGTAGATAGTTTTTAGAAGCAATTTGAGCATCACACGGCATGGAAACTCGAGTGTCATTCATCGAAGAGTCAATTTATCAAAAGCCAAGTCGCGATACCAACGCCGAGCAACCATGCATGACATTTCCTTATTCCCACTCCCAAAATCCGTAAACCCATTTTTGTTTTAATTGACTTAGTTCATCTGGCGGATGAGACCGTTGATGGCCTCCTCACGGTTGCCAAGGTCACCACCCTCGATGAAGTGCTTGAACTTGCGGGGACGGAAGCCACCGTTGGGGTTGCTGAGCTTGAAGGGCCACAGGAAGTTGGCAGCCTGCTTGAAGTTGGGGCCAACGGTGAAGATCTCGTGGACGAGATCCTCAACGCAGATGATGCCGTACTTGCCGAGGTTCTCCTCAACGATGGAGTTGTCGGTCAGGGCAACGCGCTGCTTCTCGACCTTTCCGTATCCACGCTTGTAGATGAGCTCCTTGACGGACTTCAGGTTGGGGTAACCGTAGGCGATCCAGGGCTCAACAATCTTGAGCATCTCAGTGATGGCCTTGGTGACCTTCAGGAAGACACCGTTGTTGATCTGGAGAAGACGGAGCAGCTGGAGGACCTTGCGGGGCTTAGGGGGCATCTTGTTGATACTGGATAATTGTTAGTTTGCAAGGTTTGTCAACAAAGATGTCCAGTTCACACGTACCCCTTGATGCGGACGACGAAGATCAGCTTGGCCTCAGCGGGGATGTAGGCAGAGTCGTCGGCCTTGGCGGCACGGCGAAGGCGGATCTTCTCACGCTCAGCGCTGCGGTACTCCTGGACGTACTTCTCGGCACGCTTGAAGATGACACCACGCTTCTCCTTGTTGGCCTATTGGAAATTATGTTAGCAATGTGCTCTACACAGAAAACTGTAACATAGCCAAGAGTGTTCCAAAACAAGTATCAGACCCGAAAGAAGGTTAACGATCAACGACATCGACACATTGTGTCTAGTTGACGGTATGTTGTGCATCATGAAGACAGTGGAAGGAAGAGAGATTATACATACAGCCTTGCGCTTCTCAACAACGGAAGCACGCTCAGCGCGAGCCTTCTCCTGGCTCTTGCGCTTCTTGAGCAGGGTCTCAGGGACCAGGATGTGGTCGTTGGTAGGGACGCTATATTCAAAATTCAGATTAGTACGTAGTCCGCCATACAATTGTATGGAACAGAGCGCCGATGCAAGAACTGTAGCTGAAATGCGACATTCTCAACAAGGCTGACTCGAGCTAAATTTGATCGGTGAGATAGGCGACAATGGCACGCATGTTCCAGCGGTGCTCAATTGAAGCCTGTATTGTACTCATCCGACAACACCCCAGACAAAAAAACTTGTCCAAGAAAGAAGAAGTCGTAGGCAATAGCAACAAGGCCATTTTCAGACCAAAGCCAATTGCCTTTACACGACAATGGATTTAAGAGAGAAGACGCATAAAGAGCGATTCTTCATCTCCAACACCCCATGGCGCCGTCTCTCAGCTCGCAGGATCTGATTGACCAAAATCTTGAATAACTGAGGGAGACGCCTCGGGAGGGATCGAGCTGGCAGACCGATCTCTTCACGAAGAAAAGCTTTTCATCGGCTGCCCAGCGAGAGGACCACGACAATCTGCAAACATATCGAGACCGGGCATCTGCCCCGTATCGCAAAGCGTTCAGGGAGGAGGCACATACGTAGACATTTTGGCGGCGGCTGAGGGCGATGTCTGATTGTATCGTCGAAGCTGTGCTTGAAGGGAAAACAAAAAGAGACCAGACGAGGGAAGGAAAAAAAAAAGAGGGAACAGTACCTCGTTGGTGGAGCTTGCAAGAGGTCCCACTCTCGAAAATTTTGGTGTAGGGCAGGGCTTGGAGGAAAGCTCACTGCCCAATTTTTTTTCGCTGTGAATTTTTTTGTGTGTGGAAATCATTCTGCCGCGCCCCACCGCCCCCCTAACCGCCCTCGCTCGCTGCAACCACCACTCCAGCGCATCACGGCTTCTTTTTTTCTTAGTGACTCGCCAGTTCTCAACAGCCCCGTGACGAATAACCAGACGTCGACAAATTCCTCAAAATGCCTCCCAAGAAGGTCGCCGCTCCTAAGGAGAACATCTCCCTGGGCCCCGCTGCCCGCGATGGTACGTTTTGAACCATCCTCCCGACGAAATAATTGTGTTTGTGAATTTTTGATGGTTTTGCGCAACGAACCTCGAAATCCCCATGTCAAAAATTTGAGGCGGGGTGAAGAAGATGGCAAAATTGACGACGAATTTACTGACAATGGCACAACAGGCGAGCTCGTCTTCGGCGTTGCTCGTATCTTCGCCTCCTTCAACGACACCTTCGTCCACGTCACCGATCTGTCCGGCCGTGAAACCATCACCCGTGTCACCGGTGGAATGAAGGTCAAGGCTGACCGTGACGAGTCCTCCCCCTACGCTGCCATGTTGGCTGCCCAGGACGTCGCTGCCCGCTGCAAGGAGCTCGGCATCAACGCCCTGCACATCAAGATCCGTGCCACCGGTGGTATGTTGGCAAAATTTCGACTTGGGAATATAAAGTATAGAAGCTAACGAGGTCAACTTTTACAGGTAACGGCACCAAGACCCCTGGCCCCGGTGCCCAGTCTGCTCTCCGTGCTCTGGCCCGTGCCGGCATGAAGATTGGCCGCATTGAGGACGTCACTCCTACCCCCTCCGACTCTACCCGCAGAAAGGGTGGTCGCCGTGGTCGTCGTCTGTAATTGCTGTATTTTTTTTACACAAACAAAAAAAATACGGGATTTGCATGCTTGGCGAACCTTTGGTTTGGGATCAAGGCAGGAGTTTCGCTATCTGGTTCTTTTATGTGGCGTTGAGAAAAAACGAGGAGAACGGCCCTTAGAGCCTGGTCTCCAACTCTACCACGCTCTGCTCAGGTTCCTTTGTCCTTTTTACTAGAAAAAAGGATATATGGCTTGATGTTGATGCAGTAGACAGTTACAATTTCGCCCGAAGAAGGCTATGAAAAGTTATCTTCCTGTCAGAGTAACACTCTTCCTGTGAGATGTGCCACATGTGATTCTTCAACTTGAATGAGCAACAATGATTGTATGAAGCAATGTGTGATGATTAATTGTACTTGATATCTGTTTCTAACATTCCCATATTATCCTCGTCTCTGTGTCTTTAATTCCAGACGCCTTGCTAGCCATTATAAAAAGAGATGTAACTTTTCGGAGCATATCAAATGCTTCCAGATTAAAATCGAAGGTTACTTGAACTGTGGTTTCAAGGACCACATGCCTCTCCCAGTACTGCTGGGCCGGTTCAACACCGCAATCATTTCCAGCGCAGACTTGAATTCGTCGCTCTGTTTCTTTCCGGGGCAGTAAGAATTAAAATGGTCCACCAGCATCTTACTGGGCACCTTTCCTCCTTGACGGTTGATGAATGTTTTGATCAAGGGAATAAAGTCCTTCGCCTTCAAGTTTCTTTCGCTTCCAGGCGTTCCGGATCGTGAGCTGCTGCCGCTGTCCAAGCCCTGGCGATCCGCAAGGTTGCTCATAATACCTGCCGAACTTGGTCCTCCACGACGACGATTACCACCAGGACGACCTACGGTACCAACTTCGCCAGTCCAAGTAACCGTACCAATTGGTACTCGGCGAGCTTCCTCTCCCGCATGTCGAAGATGGGCTGCAGCCTGACGAGCCACCATGTTCGCCTCCTGGCGCAGGACAGACATATCGGCCTGCACCTTTTGTGGACCATTGACAATCTGCTCGTGGTCGTAAGCGCTGTTGACTGATCGTGCAAAGATGCCTTCAAGCATTCGCCTCTCTTCATGGGCAGATGGATCTTCCTTGACTTCCTCCGTTGCAGCGACGAGATCTAGGCTCTTCAATTCCCCTTGTTTCCCTTGACCCACGTTTTTAATGGGTATCAGGGATTTTGCGTCAGTGTTGTCTATGTTTTTGTTCAAGCTTACTTCCGCTCCCCTGAATACTTCGCTTCTTGACGCAGCGGGATCTGTGTTCTTCTCAAAAGTGAACAGGTCATACAAATCTGAAAGGTCATAAGAGCTTCGTTGCTTCGGATCTTTGAGAACCTTGTTGGTCATAAACTGCTTGAAGATTTGACGATGATATATCTTCTCCTCAATCGTACCCTCAGTCATGAGACGGTAAATCTTGACGGGTTTATTCTGGCCCAGTCTCCATGCTCGCTCTCGCGCTTGCAGATCGGTAGATGGATTCCAGTCTGGATCAAAGATGATGATTCGATCTGCCCCGGTAAGGTTTGTGCCTAGCCCACCAGTCCTGGTAGTCATGAGAAAGACGTGGATATCAGGATCGGAGTTGAACTTGTCAATCATCGGCTGCCGCTGATCGATTGGAGTTTCACCATCCATTCGCAGATAGGTAATGCCACAGTTCCTGATGCACTTCTCGATAATGTTCAACATCTGCTTGCCCTGTGAAAACAGCAGTGTCTTGTGTCCATTCGGAATCATGACCTTTTGCAAGAGGTCTTTGGTAAGTTGAAGCTTAGCGGACATTTTCGGGTTGCCGACATCATAGCCCGGCTTATTCGCAAGAGATTTGTCAAGCAGATCAGGATGATTGCAAATCTTTCGGAGGATGTCAATTCCATAGAGAGATTGGCGTGTCCTGTTCAGAATAGCAGAGACTTCGTCGGAGCGGAGAAATGTCTCGTATGCTTTGCGCTGGCCTTCAGTCAATTTGCAGAACAAGACCTGCTCTGTCTTTTCTGGAAGGTCGGCAGCCACATCAACCTTCAATCGCTGGAGTAGATATTCGCTGATAGTCTCCTTCAAAGCTTCAGCGCATTTTTCAGCAGTCATAACCTGAAGGTTGGACGCATTTGCATAGCCACCCTGCCGGATGGGAATCTCAAATTGCTGCTTAAAGTTGACAAGAGTACCCAGGCGCATTGGATATATGAAGTCAAAGAGCGACCAGAGTTCTGTAAGGTTATTCTGAATTGGTGTTCCAGACAAAATGAGACGGTTTGGCGTATTGAGCTCTTTACAGGTAACGGTGATTTCAGCATTCGGATTTCGGATTTTATGGCCCTCGTCAAGCACCGCATAATCCCATTCAACGCCCAAAAGCAGATCAGCATATGTCTGAAGACCAGTGTATGTGGTAACCAGAACATGGCCTTTCTGAACAGCTCCTCGAAGAATTCTCCTCGCGGCTTTTTCAGATTTGGTAGCCATTGGGCTGAAGTGTTCCACATCGTAATCATCTTCAGCTGTGGGGTTGAGCATTCCACTGCCCGAAGAATGCAGGATTGAAACACGCAAAGGTGGCCACCAACGGTGAAATTCGCTTACCCACTGGCGGAGGAGCGTGGCAGGGGCGACAACAATAACCGGCTTCTTGAGCTTTTTGCTGTAGTGTAGAGCGGCAATGAATGCAATAAGCTGAACGGTTTTACCAAGACCCATTTCGTCTCCGATGATGCCTCCAACATTTTGCTTGTAGAGTTCGGCCAGCCACTGGACGCCAGTCTTCTGGTATCCGAATAAGGACGGGTACACGTCGCCTGGGAGTTTGAGATGATCGGTGAAATAATGATCTGGTACACCAGGTGCCGGTTTAAACCATTCGTCTTCCTCCTCATCGCTCTCCTCAGTGCTTGCGGCAGAGTCGCTTTGACGCTTAGCTCGCCTTGCTCGACTCCTTCGATCGACCCAATCCTTCAATCGCTTCTTATAGTGAGCCTCATTACCATCATCGACCTTGCTAAGATCGATGGCTTCTTGTTCAGCAGCCGATGCCTTGGCTTTGGCTTTACGACGTTGTTGACGAACAATGTCATCTTCTGTTGTTTGTTGCCATACCGTAGAATCAACAGATTCGGAGCTAGATTGGGCTTCTGGCTCAAAATCAGCAGAGGGCTCACGCTCTGTCTGTCTTTGAACCTTTCTCTTCTTCCGCGGGCGAAGTGAAAATTCGGCCTCGGCTGCAGTTCCTTTGCTCGCGGATGGCTCTGTTACTTCTTCGGCAAAGCCTGGCCGTCGAAGTAGTTGATGTGAAAGAGGCCCTTCGCCGGTCTCATGGTTCAACTGCTCTGCGGTGGCTTCTTCCTCGGCGTCCAGAATGGTGTCAGCAAGTTGACCCTCGATGCCAGCAGGGCGTGCGCCTCCCAACTTGGAAAATGGAGTGATCTTGCCAGTCCGGATGAGATAGTCACGATTGCTTTCGCCAGGAAGTCTCTTCGATTTGGTTTGGTTCAAGCCGTGGAGCGGATCTTCTTGGTGTCTCTTCTGAATACGTAACTCGAAATCGGTAATGTCTAGAGTGGCCTGCTTGATTTCCTGTTCGAATTTGGCAATCTCGTTTTGAATGGTTCGAGACTGAGTAGGGTTACCAGCAGCCTTTTCCAGCCTCTTTTTCTCCTTGTCTAGCAAAGACTTGTATCTCTCGCGGGTTAGCTCCAGTTTGACAATTCGGTTGCGATCCTTTTTGTCTTCAGCTTCCATCAGCGCCGCGTTGGCCTGCATGGTGATGTCTCGCTCCAGATCATCCTGATCTCGGACGGTTCCGGAGAGATTCTTCAGCGCATCTTCTTCACTGATTCCAATGGCTGGCGGAGAATCAGGGTTGGTATCGGATGTTGGGCTTTGTTGGGCTGCTGCCACCATTTCGCTGAGCAAAGCACTGCGGCTTTCGCCGACATCTTTCTTCCTTGTGTCGTTTTCAGAGTCCATGATGTCAGTTGGGGGTTTTCAGATTAGTTGTAGCTGGGTATCGATAAAAGATTGGATATTAAAGCCTTGTATATTCGGAAGAGAAATCACTATAAATGAAAGGAATTTGAAAGGGCCAGATGTGACATGTTCTGTGTTCTCGGAAGGTTGCGCGATGCCTGTGACGTCCACGATTCACGGCAGAGATATGTGCAGGCTAGTGACCAGTAAGAATTGCACTGCTGAATCTTTTCGAGCGCATTTATCATGTCTTGAGAATCTTCATGGCCTGCAGTCGATATTCCTGCGACGAAAAATGGCCCATGAAGAGAAGATGAAGTGAAGAAAAGGTGAAAAAACAAATGACGAGCAAGTCGAAGCTGTGCTTGTAAACAGTGGCTGAGAATGAAGATTCAATGGCGCCTCGACATGTGAGTGGCAAAGCAGCGAGGCGCTGATTGGTCAGCATCAAAGGGAGCCACTGCCTGAGCTCCAGGCGAATCCGTGAAATTGGTGCATTTCGATGTCACGTGATTGTGCAATAACTGTTTTTTGGGGGAATTTGAAAGCAACTCCAAAGCTTCAGGGTAGGAAAAGGTTAAACAAGTAGCCGACTGCAAACGATTATATGGGTTAACAGAGCAGAGAGAAATTATACAAGATTAATTCGTCAATCAACCTGTAGAATCGATCATTATTGCCAGTCATTTTCAAGTCTATTACTGGATGCCTCGTCTGTAAATCTCCAACTACGCCGAGTCATAGCCTTGTTGTATTACTTTGTATGTTGTTTTGCTTAGAACAAACCTCAATAGTCTTATACAAATGAGTCACATCTTCCATCTCCAAAATGTAACAAAATTATACCCACCTATTGCATCTTTTTTTGCTCTGCGCGCCCTTGAAGCTACATTGTTGACATACTTTATTACTGATCTTTCCATCAACACTGTCTTTTCAGTTTTTACCCCAAATTTACTGTACCTGTGTAACCTTTCACTTCGAAGTTGCCCCTCACCCAACTTTGCCATATAATGAGTCAAATCCTCCACCACCAAGTCAATCTCTTCTCTCGCCACTAATCCCTTCAACATGGCAATTTGGACGCGAGTAGTTTCTCGCCCTCAAAATTCATTTCTCCACCTTTATCCACAGGAAATCTTCCGTGCCGCTAAACCCATGGCGGCGTATTCCACACATCCATCTCACCGACCCGCGTGGCTCAAGACCCTCTTAGACAACAAGAGTCCGGCACCCAAATTATACGCCTGGAGCCCGGAGAACGTAGACAGCAGTATCAGCAGCAATGGCAATTCCGCTCAATCCAAATCGGACGACTTGGATCGCCGGATATTCATCCTCGGTGTCGGCAATCTAGGTCGTATCTACGCTAGCTGTCTGTCCATGCAATCTCCTCGACCTCCAATCACACTCGTCGTCCACAGAAAAGAGCTTTTGTCCCAATGGATTCAAAGCCCCGGCATTGAGATTACCCGATTAGGAAAGTTGTACAGCGGCAAGGATGAGTTCCAGATTGAGTGGTGGACTGATGAAGCACCTACCCATGGCCCTGTCAGAGAAGTCGCCCAGGCGAGCAAAATTCGCAACCTCCTTGTCGCAACCAAGGCTGCTGCCGCCATTCCAGAAGCTGACAAGTTGCGGAGATATCTTGACAGTGGAAGCAGTGTGGCTTTTCTCCAAAATGGCATGTCCAAGTTGTGGCCGCCTCATGGACAAGAATACATATCGAGGCGGTATCCCGATAACGATGGGCCCAATATCTTGGCCTGTGTTACGAACCACGGCGTTTTATCAGAGGGACCGTTTAAGAGCCTTCACGCTTCACCCGCAGATGCTGCTGTTGGACCTGTTTTACTGAATAATAGCACCCAGCCTCTCGCACCGAGTGTGCCCTATCTAACGGAAATTATCGCCACCGCCCCGGATCTCAATGCAAGATCCATAACAAGAGCCGAACTTTGGGTCTCACAAATCCAGAAACTCGTCGTGAATTCTTCCATAAATCCCCTAACCGCCGTTCTCCGCTGTAAAAATGGCGTCCTATTTGAGAACCCGAATGGCGTTATAGCCAAAGTTCTCGACCGTCTCCTCGCCGAGTCTAGTGCCGTCCTCCAAACCCTCATCAATCACCCCAGCACCACCGAAATTCTGACTGATCCTGCTGGGACAAGTTCTAAATCTCTAGATGCCCTGAGAGAGGAGCTCACTCTGCGCTTTTCGCATGACCAGCTTCGGACAATGCTTTACAAGATTGGCCACGTTGTCAGGGACAACACCAGTTCCATGCTTCAGGATGCTCGCGCAGGAAAACCCACGGAAATTCGAGATTTCAATGGATGGCTGGTCGAGATGGCAGATTTTCTTGGTACAAATAGCAGTGGTAAGCAGCTAGACGTCTCTTGCCATCGGGCTTTGATCGCACTGGTTGAGTCAGGCGCTGTTTTGGATGAGTCGGAGTTGGGCAAACAGCTGCTTTCGTGAAGCTCCTCTACCAATGCCCTCTTTTTAGGACCTTTAACTCATTATCACAAAACATCATGGACGTTCATTCAATTCAATGTGTCATTTATTTTGCATGTTATCAATACAGGTACAAGTACATATGCCGTCATCACCATAATTTCGTCGCACGTCAGCTTTTACAATCCTTCAACTGTCATTTGGGAATGGAAACTGGGGAGAATCGTCAATGTCATCATTAAACAGCTCCCACACACGATTGCAGCACCCCATCGGCGTCACTCCGCCGCCGACTCGCTGTGCAACGATGCGCCATTTCTCATCTTCATAGTTTTGTAAAGCGTCTAGCAATCTTTCGTCCTGAGTCACAGTCAGAGTCAGCAATCCTGTATCAGGCAGTATAAGTCTTATGAAAGAACAATGAGTATCATACCATCTCTCTTGTCCATGGTGCAGAGTCAGTCTTTAGTCTTGTACAGTATCTCACTTGCAAGGTGCCTGGATTGCGGCCGGGGAAGAAGTCGGCAATTTGCTTCCACGTGAGGTTTCTCTGCTCCTTGAGCTCAATCAAAAGTTCATCTTCTTCTTGAGTGAACTTGATCCTTGGCCGTTGAGGTCGTCGCGCAGGAGAAGGCATTCCTTCTCTCCCGACCAAGTTGTGTGCATCTTGGCTGCTCTCTCCATGCATCGATGAGTGACTCGTGTTTGGTAGATGGTGGTGATGATGAGAAGGCCGAGACCATGGCTCAGAGGTACCGTCCGGACCTGAGAATCCGTATATATTGGAGGCAGATCCTGGAGGGGTATCGTAGCCAGGAGCTACCGATGAGCCGGGGTCATTTGCATACATGTATCGTCTTGCATCTTCGGCCATGTCATGCGTGGTATAGTAATGACGGTAAGATGACGGTGCCATTGGGTTGTATCCTCTTTCGTATGAATTGTGTCTTCCGTCGTGATCCATTGCTGATTGATGTTCTGTTGGTTACTCTGCAACTCCAGTGACACCAAGATATCCCTTGATGGGAGTTGTTTTGCCATCATATATAATCTAATCGCTCAGACCAGAAGAAACATCTTCTCGTTTGTCGTCCTATCGCATCCCGTCTCCCCTCAGTCATCGCAGCGGCACCGAAGAAACAATTCGCCCCCGCACAAGCACATGCTGCGAAATCCAGGTTCATGCGCGGTGGTCAAAATGTATAAGTTGCCGTGATATTGGGAGGTGTGTTGGGTGTGGTGTTGAGCACCGGCTAGCCTCAGTGTAGACAGTCCACCGTACCGGGAAAAAGATCTGATGCCCTCCACCGTCTGAAAAGGGTAATATAGACCAGCTAATTCATCCGATATTGCGAATTCCGTGACCGAATAAAGTATGTGGGGGAGGCTCTCCCTCGATGCCGTCCCGCCTGTTGCATGCATCAGGTCAAAGCGTGCCCTTTGCCAAGGGAATTCACCGATGAGGAGGATTTCGAGCTCGGACGCGGGCTGTGTATTTTGACGCCGTGCATAAGCCTCGGTAGAGGTGTTGGGTTTATATCCGGACAACTTTGTGCCTCCCAAATACGAGGCTCAATGCGAGATACGGCACTTGGTCAGGGGCGCTAATGCAGCTCATTGACCCTTGATCCGCTATCAAGACGCACCGTTACCGGGAAGACGGGCTGGAGGAGGTTGCTTTGAGGTGGCGATATTTTGAATGGGATCGACAGCCGCTATAAGCAAGGTTCAAAGGGAGATTGTCGATCGTGTAACGGCTCGGACGGTCAGACAGGGGATCGGATGGTTGTTCCCGAGGGTAATAGATGACGGTTTCGGGGAGGTAGCCGAAATGACGGTTTATGCAGAGCATTCAAGTCTGTACGAGTCCGCGATTTTGGACTGTCAATCGGCATCGCCGCCTTGGCTTACTCTGCGATTCTGAACTGAATTGCCTTCTTTGGCTCGGAAACACTCGAATCGGGAAGCTGACAGAGTAAAGACACATACATCAAAACTTTGACGTAGCCTAGGTTTTGAGCAGGCAACACGCGATTTCTCACATGTGAGAGGAGGCATTTGGCCGATTTATCAGATCAGTAACAATTGGTCCGCGGCCAGAGTGCGGCGGTACTAATCAATCCCACTTCAACCGAACAGCCGCGTGGTTCGTGATCGTAATCGCTACGACCGGAGCACATTCAACGTGCAATTATTTCACCGTATCAGTTACGATGCGATGCATTCTCATTACCACTACAAGTTGCTACGATCGGAGCACGGCCAACATACAATCGTCCTACCGTATCACTACAGAGACGAACAGGCTTACGGCCACCGATCTGTCTAAAGCATCTTGTATCCAGCGTCCCAGAACCGTCGGGCCCAGAGTCGTATCGGGAACCCCAAGCAGGCTAGATAAAGCTCAGACCTCCCTTATCCATGTAAAATCGCCGCCGCAATACCTACATGGTTTAGTCTCGGCGTACCCATCTTGCCATCGATGCGATGAAAGGCGTCGGTACATGTATCCAGGACTCACCCGCACTCGGGAAGACGAGAGCCGCATGCACAACGATGAATCGGGCTTCGCTTCAACCAAAGTCTGGCCTATCAAATCCTTGACGTAGATGTAGCTCCGCGGCCAATGGCGAGCCTCGTCCGAGTTGCCAAGGAGAAGGCTACAGTGAAGCTTTTTGTCCAATGATATGGTAAGAGCAAAAAACAGTGATTGTGCTTTCTACAACTTTCATTGGATGCTCAGATTAGGTATCGAATTGCAGCCTGAAATGAGAATATTTCGGGTTGAGTCTCGATTTTCCCTTCTATCTCCGTAAAACTACCTATGTATAGCTGAACGTCTACTCAAATCAACGACAAAATAATGGCGAATACCTCTGAATTTTCGAGAAACATAGTCGGAGACAATGCGACGATTGTCCAGGGTGGTTTCCATGCAACTTTCAACACTGGTGGGCTTCATCTAGGGTTCTTGGCACGATGGACGCGTGGCTAACAACCTTGACAGGTTCCTCAGAGACGAACCACGCTTTTCTTGACAAAATCAGTAAAACTGATCCATTGTACGACAAGAAGCGCATTTTAGAATTGAAGGGTCCTCTGTTACACGAATCTTTCAACTGGATTCTCGACCACGAGGGCTTCAAGAAATGGCGCCACACGAAAGAGAGTACCGTACTTTGGATTAAAGGTGACCCTGGAAAGGGCAAGACAATGCTCCTCTGCGGCATTATCGAAGACTTGGAAAAGATGCCCGAAGAAAATCACAATCTTGGCTATTTTTTCTGTCAAGCCACGGACTCTAGGATTAATTCTGCTTCCTCAGTTGTAGCAGGCTTGATCTTCTCCCTCGTCAAACGAAACCCGACGTTTTTTTCGCCTATTTGCAAGCAACATGAAGATAAATTAAATCAACTTGATGGGCCCAATGCGTGGGCTGTTCTCGGTGACATATTCGAAGCAGTTACTCAAATTGAAGGCATATCGGTCCCTATCTGTGTTGTCGATGCTCTTGACGAGTGCGAGCACGATTGCAAGCTGCTCCTGAGGCTCATTATCAAAACAAGCAGTCACGTAAAGTGGCTGCTTTCGAGTCGGAATGTTAAAGACATCGAACGAGGACTACGGTTAATTGAACCCGCTCGGAGGCTAAACTTGGAGCTAAAAGAGAACGCCGAGAACGTCTCCAAATCCGTTGACATTTATATCAACAATTCCATTTCGGGTATCGAAGCCCTGGAAGACGATGAGGAACTTCAAACCAAAACAGTCGCAACGTTGGAACGCAAAGCAAACGGCACATTTTTATGGGTAGCCCTCGTGATTGAACAATTGCGGGACACAGACCGTCGAAATGTCGAAGAAGTACTGGAAGAAATACCAGAAGGTCTAGAGAATCTCTACGACCTGATAGTACAGCGAGCCAACGCAAAGCTAAGGCAAAAGGATCGAGAAGCCTGTCAAATCTTGCTCTCTATTGTTACGACCGCTGAGAGACCCCTCCATCTCGAAGAACTCCATACATTTATAAGTTCTCAGTGGGCACATTACAAATCGTCCTACAATATACTTGATATGCAAGATATAGTTAGAGATTGTGGATCTCTTTTAGCCATAAGAGACGACATTATCTATTTCATCCACCAATCAGTCAAAGATTACATTGTAGGGAATGCCCGCAATAGCATTTTCCCTTCAGGAATCCAATATCAACATCGAAAAATGTTTGAAACTTCGATGAGTGCGATGTCTCGCATTCTGAAGTATGATATTTATAATGTCAAAGATCCTCAAAGTTACATGGGCGATATCACGCCGCCGTATCCCGATCCCTTGGTACCCATAAAATACAGCTGCGTATTTTGGGTCGATCACTTAATTCGTGCATACGCTTCTGGGGGATGCCAGGCTGAGGAATGCTTTAAAGGTGATGGACTGCTCCAAAACTTTCTCAAAACCAAGTATCTATGCTGGTTAGAAGCCTTAGCTCTCTTGCGCAGCCTTACACCTAAAGGAGGATCTGCTTTGCAAAGACTTCATAATCAAGCAGCGAGTTATTGCAAAAGCAGGGCAAATGGGCATGAGGTTACAAACTCACAACAGGAAGAAGAGGCGAACTGCCTCATGAAGCTTATCGGCGATGCTTATCGATTCTTTCAATACTGCCAAGATTTTGTGAGCGAATGGCCCCTGCAGCTGTACTATTCAGCCATTGCCTTCGAGGACAAATACAGTGCAGTCTACAAGATATATTGGCAATCTATCCGAGCTCACTTTGGAGATTTTTTAACCTTGATAAAAAAACCACGAAGACGGCAATTTCTACAACATACTATCGATATTGATCCATCATTTTTTAGTACCAAGTTGCTCTATTCACCGGATTCCTCCTCGTTATGTGTATTACATGATCACTTAGGCAGCATCTCGCTCTACAGAGCCGCCACTATGGAACGTGCACCTCAATTGGGCGTGGACAATAATTACCATCACTTTATCTCCTTTTTGCCCAATTCTAAACACTTAATCTCAGTCTCTCACAATGGCCTCGTGCGAACGTGGGCCGTCGATAGTGGTATCCAAGTACAACAGCTTTCTTTAAACCTTGACGTGGGCAAATCGCACCCTGACCATCCGTCCGAGGTTTTCCGAGAAGATGTGACTTGTCTATCGCCGCATGGAGATCTGGCGGCATCGATATTTCATACAGACAATTACCCGAACAAATACTTGAGCTCGATGAAAATTTGGGCGACAGAAACCGGAGCTTGCGTGTGTGAAATAGATCTGATGCATGTACTCAGCTACGAGGAGCTGTATGCTTTTGCATCCAATTCGGCACTGATAGCCTTGGCGCACGGGCATGATGTTAGAATCTACTCTGTTTGGACAGGAAAACTGGTGAAACATATTTGCACTTCACCTCCCGGATTCATAATGCAAGCGAAATTTTCGCAAGACTCAGCACTGCTAGCTTTGGCAGATAAAAGGTCCAATATTCATCTCTGGTGTACTGAAAGCTGGACAATGATACGCCAGATCGGATTGGATATTGCTATACAAGACTTCGACTTGTCCCCTGATGCGTCGATGTTTGTAGCAGTCTCAGGAAAGAATTTGGCCATTGGAAGCACTAGAACTGAAGAGCAGCCACTCAAAATGTCCATTGGAAATAACACAACAGATGCCTCTTTTTCTCCCGATTGGCCAACTTCCTCGCTTCTCGCATCTGCCAATTCTGATACTGTCCAGATATGGCGGGTTGATACCGGAGATTGCTCTACCGAGAGTGTTACTTACTATGACTTATCTGTAGCTATATCGCCAGGATCAAAATATGTGGCAGCACGAAGTCTCGAAGGGTACATCGACATACGGTGTGGCAAGAGCGGCGAGTGCATTCGAACGCTCAACAGTGGTAATTCTTGCTGGGGCTGCCCCGTTTTCTCACCCAACTTGGAGTTTGTTGCCTGTGCTGAAGGTAATCGGGCTGATGTCTGGATCTGGCATCTTACCACTGGGGAGACTCTTCACCTGCTCAAAAGCCATAGGGACAATGGTTGGATTCAGAAGATGGTATTTTCAGACGATTCAAAATACTTGGTTGCGGGTTATGACAAGAATGAGGCGAGGGTCTGGTGCGTGGAAACTGGCAAATGCTTATTTAAAAGTGGCGAAATCAATGGCGACGACAGCAATCATGACTATCGTGACTATCTTAACATTGTGGCGTTGGCAATTTCTCCCGACACAAAATATGTGGCGAGAGCCTCTGAAAAGTGGTTGGGGCGGGGGATTCATGGTGTTTGGGGATATGAAGTGCGCATCTGTGATTGGCGCGCGTGCCACGACATTTCCAGCTTTGGCCCCAAGCAACCAAACCGAAATATCAAATTTTGCATTGGTAGCCTCACCTTTTCGTCTGATGCTACGATTTTAGCAGTTATTTGCCAAGTGGGTGAAATACGGGACGAAAGATACATGTATGAACAAGTACCTATGTACGAGGCCCAGATCTGGAAAGTCGCTACCGGTACTTTCATCACTTGTGTTGCAATTGGGGAGAGCTTCAGCGAGCCGTTCTTTGACCCCATAACGAACAAAATACTCACAGATCGTGCTGGTTTCTGCAAACTATCCTCGTGGGAGCACTGGAAGGAATTCTCATGGAGGGCATACTCGTTGTGGCAACCCAGTGGGGAAAGGCCTTGGGTTTGTTTTGGTGGAGAACAAATCTTCTTAATACCCGAGGGATTTTGTCCAAGTGATGAACTAGGAGAGTATGAGATAATGTCATCCTCCTTGTTGGCATATACGACTTCTGCGGATGAGATAATGATTATCCAACTTCCTAACCAACATGAATCACAGAGACTGGGAATCGTTGCATTAGATTCCGACAATGTCGGTGATTCTAGCTTGCGTGCTGATGACGCGAGCTCTAAAGTCGTTGGCTATCTACCAACGGGTAAATCTGATCCAGACGAACCCAAAGTTAAGAGTCTAAGGTTGTCGCATTTTTTGGAGTAACAAAGGCTTCTTGGACACTCTGCTCTTATAAACACAAGCTGGCACAATTCATATAGGTACTTGTATTTAAGGATAGTCAGTCTTCTCTAAACCGTCGGCATCAACAGATTTAGTGCAGTAAACATGAGATCACTGTCGTCTTCGGGATATTATGTCTCGACCTCGATTGACTACACTTCGCAGTATGGGGACTTTAGATTAAGAATTATCCTTCAGTACTATTTCACATAGCCCCAGCGATTGAACATAATACATTGAATGGGGCACATAAAGTCAGCTCATTATAACACAATAAAAACAGACTTGACTTTTTTTTTTACTTATAAGAAGAAAGAAATATAAACAAATAATGACAACTACGAATTATGTTTGTTCATTCTTTACTTTTCCATTCTCCCAACCCGGTATCCCTTTTTCTTACAAGTCTCCTGCAGAATTGAGGTGCTCACATTGTAAACAAATCTTGACGAAAATCGGCGTTTCTTAAGTGGTTGTGTGAATAACGAAATGCTTCAAATAAGCGGCAGCAGAAGCTGCTGCATAGTTATGCCAACCAACATGCTTGTGCGAATCTGCATAATCGTATATTCCTCGAGTAACCAAGCAGCGTCCAGTCGTCATGACGCCAGTAGCCTCCATCTCAATGCATATTGCTTTCGTTTCAGTCCCAATACTATCTCTTAAGCTTGCTTCCTTTAAAACTTGACTTTCACATGCGTTATACCGTAATGAACGTATGGCCTTAATGTCCAGGATTCTCTGATGACCTCAGGCCCTGTTTTGACACTTATCTTTGTCCTGGCATTTCTAACAGTATTGTGGAGTGATTAGGAGGACTAGTACAAACAGTATTGTAGCAGAACCAAAATATGTAACTTCATTGATTCATCTATCTAGAAAATACATTCTACTTTGGGACGTCGATACCAAAGCTGGATGGCTCGTGAATGAACCCAGTGCATTACTTCATGTTCCATGTCATGTCGCCCTGGCTAATGTTTACATTGTTGCCAAATGTATTCCCAGAAATACTTCGTGTGTTATTCTGCACACTTTGGCCTGTTCACGTGTGAGTATAGAGTAATCATGATAAATAAAGAGGGGATCAAATCTCACCATTTGTCTGAGCCAATGCCGAACCTTGAGCCCCCTCAGCCACGACATAGCGATCCAAGATGGCCTTCATCACGCAAGCCCCAGTGGCAGCCGCAAAGTCTTGCCATTGCTTATTCTTGTGGCTGTCTGCATAGTCGCAAACACCCTTGACCACTAAGCAAGGGATCTCGTCCCAAGCTCCTGCGCCCTCCATCTCGAACGCAATGAGGTTATGCTGGGAGGCAATCCAGTCTCGGTCTTTTCCACTCTTCATTACCGTATTGCCCGAGCCAATCCGTCCAATGAAGATATTGAAGCCGCCATCATCGAAAGCATCTCTTTTGACAAGCTCATCTTCATCGCAACCCAAATCTGCGCAAGATGCCTTGGACGCTGCTTCGCAAATCTCTCCCGAGCTGTCTAAATCACTGCATGTATCGCATGACTCTAATGGGTGCCGATGGATATAATCCCGTGAAAAGAGTTTGTTTTGAATGGCCCCAGGATTCTGGTATTTTGCTCGTCGTCTTTTCCTCCTCGCGGCTTCTTGCAATTGCTTTAGATAGTCCGCCGATTTGGTTAGCAGCCGTTCCCTCATACGCTCAGTTTCAAAGTATGCCAGCAATCCGCGAAGGTCCTTATTTGCCCTACCAAGGCTATCTTCGATGGTATTTTTAATCTCAAAGGCCCCCGGGTACTGTCGGCCAAAGTCATACTGGACAATCGCCTTGCTTACTACAACGTCGCCCAGAAAAACATCGTCGTCTCCGATCCGGGGCACGCCGCCGCAAATGCCGACGAGCAATGCAAGTTTGAGATTGCTGTAGCTTGATCGTAGACTCGCTGTAGCCGAGGCCGCGTTGTTGGTGCCCATACCTGGGAGTACAGCGAGGACAACATTGTGTTTTCCGATACAACCAGTCGTGTAAGTGTTTGAGTCGCCATTTGCTCGTCCAAATGGATCGCCGTCTTCGTCCCAGAATTCATCAAATAGCAGCATGACAGCATCGGCTTCCCGTGGCAGAGCGCATATGATGGCTATGTGAAACTGGTCTCGGCTGGTAGGTTTGATGGTCTGAGCCATGATGGGAAATTGCGAGAATTGGTAGAGTTAATGATGAGCGAATATCCAAACAGTTCATCCAAAACAACACGCTGTTGAGGTTGTCTACATGAAGTCCATAGTTTTAACTGAAGCGGGGTATGTTGAGGCTGAGGGATCATTCATGCCCAATCCTGTTCAATCAGGCTGCCTGCATGCCCGAGTAAATATATTGAGCGGATCGTAATCCAGTAGACGGCAGACTCGTCGCGTGGGGGCTGGGCAGAGCCGCATGGCCATTGGCCCTTAATACATCGAATCAGCTTTCAATTTTAATCCCAGGAGACCAATCCGTCTCAAGTCACTCAATTCAATGCTTTTTTGTAGTGCCGCGCTGTTTGGGTGCTTTCAGCGCTGAAATATTGAAAAGGTGCAATTGAACCACCGGTCTCGAAGATTGGGTGGTGGATATTTTTGCAAGATTAATCTCTGGTCAGTTGGAAGTAACTTGGAATAGAAACATATATTTCGATGCCAAAAGGCAGCCTGTTGTCCCTCTCACGCGAAATCTTCAAAAGTTCAAAACCCAGCCTAGGCACCTACTAGACATCACCATCGATGTGACCTTGACTGACACGAATATATGCTGTCAAGATCAGCGCTTTTATACGTAATATACGATCAGTGTTGGTGTCGACCTCTTCCTTTCTTTTTACTACCACGAGATATGAGATTTTGCCCCTATTAACGGGCTACTATGGATTGATGCATGGCAACTAACTTAGCCGCCTATCAAACAAGCTTTATCTGCTAGAATAGGAAGCCAATTGCACTTGTTTGGAGTCCTGAATCTCCATGGCGGTCGCGGCTTTATCTTGGGAGTATTTAACTCCGCCTAGTCGTTCTCCGTGGGCCAGCATCTACATATGAGATTGAGAGCCACTGTCAATACAGCCTAGCCCTCCACTTACGCTGGGATAACCTCTCCACTGTATCCAAAAGCTGATTCTAATCGGCATGGATAACCGCCAGCTCTAGAATATCCTAGAATCGCGAGTATCGGCGTCTCTCTTCAGCGTCAAGCGCTAACAGAAGGGCCTGCACTTCATCTGCGGAGTCTCGAAGAAAATGGGAGGAGTACGGCAACTTTCGTGATTACAGTATCACTCCGCATTTTGATCTCCAAAAATGATGTCGTGGTAGCTACTCGGCCATGTTATTCTGGTAGTCTAAGAAGAACAAGTTCAGAAGATTTGTTCCCATACAGATACACAGTTCAAGGGCACACGGAAGCAATCGTCTCTACATATGTTCAAAAGCGGACATGATCATCTCTTAAGTATACAAGCCATATTTCGCAGCTATCAAAGAGAATTAAACGAGAATGATGGTGAATCAATCTGCATATATAGTGACCATTAAGCACAGAAGATTGCCGGGAGGGATGAGGCTGCGCGAGAAAGACAAAAGATGGCACAGCTCTACAAGCCAGTAAAGCGCAATTACATGTGGACAGCCGCGGGCTAAACGAATGCATGAGTCGAAGTCAAAGATAAGTCACGTTTACTGATGGCATTTGTATATTGACGCTTCCCAACAGCAGTGACTGACTTTGTCAAGCTACATGTACATAAGGAGCAGTTATTATGCCTCTGTGTAAACTCGAGTGTCGCTGTCGCATATACGATTCCATCTACGCCACCCATTGATGAAGTACGGACCAGACAGCCCGATTGACGGAATTTCTCACATACCTCATATCAGATTGACGGAATTTCTCACATACTTTATATCAGATTTACCCTTTTTTTTTTTTTTGCCAAACCTCAGGCATTCCTCTTCCAGCCAAAACATTTATCGCTCTGTTCCAGCGTCTTACTTGATATTGTACGGTATAGTGGGGGTTATCATAACGCATGAGAAGACTGCCGCAGCAAACATAGACACATTGCCTCAACACTTTTTTCTTCAATAATAGCATCACGATTGCATCAGTGAATATTTCTAAGCAAATATTGACCGGCACTACGCACATATTTTCAGCTTCGTTGCGCATTTTATGAAGGCAATGCTAGCGCCAATAGAGCTTAGAACAGCCTTAGTGTAAGACATACATTAGTTTGCTTGATGACGCTCGTTGACTCTGTTGAAGCAAATAAATACCGTTCAGCTCCTTCTTTCCTGGGACAATGTTTTTCATTTCATCAATATTGGGACTCTCCTTAGTAGCAATCCATTTCTTCTGGATGAAAAATGGGCGAAAATCCAGATATAATCCACCACAATGACATCGACAAGACCCGCCTTGTCGAGTCAACTGCTCAACCCATGAACATCGTCTGCAACGCTCAGCCATTTGGCGGCGGCCCAGGTGCAACCCTCATGGCCGTCATGCCGTACTTACGCAGCCGGCTAAAGTCTCTGGGTCCTGTAGCACTGCATTATGTAGGATCAAGCCTCACAATGGACTTTCAGAAACTCACCCAGGCTGACTGGGACGGGTCTTACAATATCGACCTCTATTCAAATCCAGAGACCGGAAAGAAAGAGCTCGTTTTTCTTTTGCAACAATTGAAGCCACGGCTTGTTGTGACATCTATGGATGAACTTGTTGCTGCCGCAGCTCAAGCCGCTGGCATCCCCGTGGTCATTATCGACCTGCTATTATGGTTCTGGCCTAGTATTTCTCCTCACTGGCGTCAAGCCGATATGGTGATTGCTGCAGAGTTCTACGGAGTTCAAGAGCGCATCATCAGCGAAAAGATGAACAATGCTGTGACAGTTCCGCCACTTGGACCACCTCCAAGAACCACTGGAGGTCCTTCCAAAGATGTTCTCCTCAATTTCGGAGGAATGGTCAATCCTCTAATGCCAAAGGAAGAGTATGTTACCTATGCACGCCTCATTTATAGCGCGGCAAAGCGTGCTGTCAGCTTGCGCAATGCTGCTCTTCCAAAGTCTCAACATGCCAAGTTGATCGTGTTAGTGGCCAGCTTGGATGTGGCACGAGGCATAGATCCTCAAGATCCCGAAGCAGCTCGCATGGTCCTACCCGATGAAGCACTAGATTTGATGGCCTCGGTGGAACTAGTATGCTGTACAGCAGGACTTGGCAACTTGTATGCGGCTGGCGCTGTTGCCAATGCAGTTTTACTATTGCCGCCTCTACATGAAGGTCACGCAATACAGACACATTTGGTGAAGAAAGCCGGCGTGTCTGTAGACGCCATGGAATGGCATGAGTTCACAGGTGGTGCACCCATCAATTATTACAAAGGATCACTGGAAGTCATGGACGACGTCAGCAGAGCACAGAAGGAGGTCATCAGCAGTGGTCAGGCTCACAAGGCTTTGACCGATCGAATGCTGGCGGCCATGTTGCGCAGCGCTGCCTCTGCCGGTGACTCCTCAGCTCAAGATCCGCCACTGCGAGCACTCATCACTACCTTTGGACAGGATAATGGTGATGCTATGGCTGCTCGGATTGTCGAAGTGTTGACAAGGGCTAGGTAGCTTGGATGAGTAGATATGTAGGTAGAGCAATATGTCTCAAGAGTTGTCATTAAATGTAGATGTGGATGTATATATCGATTTTAAAAATAGTTGTTAAAGCTCAAGTCTTCACACTCGCATCAACACATCATGAGGGCAGGCGGCGCGTGTAAGTCAGCCGTCGCTAACTCCTCCACGGTTCCTATATGTATCCATGGCTTCGCTCAACCGGAGTTTCAGTGAAAAGAAACTTTTGAAAACTCTCACTCAAAATACAGCGCTCGTTCACCAAACTCCTCATCGCGCGTATTCCCAACATAATGTGTCTTGTTCTCCTTCAGCGTGTAATACGGCTTGCATCACACGAAACAGAAAGTTGAAAAATGGGTCAGCTGTCGAGCAGGGGGTTTGCGCTAGAAAAACCTCGTTCGATATACCGCCCTTTAATTCGAGGTGTTACATTTGTCATCGCAGTAACCAACACCCGATAAGTTGCATTACATAGTCTGCAGCTCGAGCTATAGCCCGCATGTCTGTACCAGTTCACGAATACTTTGACCAGCGGACGATTCTCTAGGCAGACGCGGAGCTGTGGCTGTGGCTGTGTCTCTACCAGGCTGTTCTGTTCCTCATTGTGAACCACAGCGATCAACATCCACTGCTTAAAGGCCCTGAGAATCTAACCTCAGTCGTTACGCGTCGCTTCTCAACTCACAGCTCAACTCAGTCCGCAACTCAACCTGCATCTCAGCCGCACCGTTGACCAGCATCTCACCCTCGCATATGCATATCTAGCGTACCAACCGGATTAAACTATCATAAGAACATCTTCTCATAATTGGTCGAGCATCACCCTCACGTTGCGCGAAACTCAACCTCTTGACCAGCGGATTAGTATCCGCCTTCTCCCAGCCTCCTAATCTTCCAGGATACCCTTGCACTCTAAACCTCAGCCGTACGAGGATCTAAGAGCCCATTCTCTCGCGTCTCTCAACTTTACTTCTTTTGAGAATCGAGGTAGGGTGGCTCTATCCAACCCAGCGCCAAGTCTCTTGGCACTCGATTATGTCAAGCTTCACTCTCACCCAAGAAGCACATTGTATTCAATCTCATAGACGGATCGTATAACCCGCTGTGTCACCTACGATACGAGAATTGCCCCCTCTCTCTTCCGGCGTGGCGTAAAGCCCTACGCTGCCCCTGAGTCGCCTCTCTAGCGAATACTATCCTAGATGGAATATGCTAAATGTGCCGACGACATGAGCGAGCAGCATCATTCCCAATGCCCGGTAGCGTTTTCTCCACCCCATCTTCCCACGCCATGCCGTCTCACCAACTAACATATCCATCGCTTCCAGTTCAACACAGACCCGTTTGAGGAGAGCGACGATGAGTTGCAAGATCTCCTACCAGCGTCCTATCACTACCACAAGTCCCATGGATACCGAAAGAGGCGCCACGTCGGAGACCCTTCTGAAAATGTCCCCCATTTCCTCGCCTCGGAACTATCTCTCAAGGGCCTGGACAGCATGTTGAAGCACCTCTGGCTCGCAGGCGCTAAGAGACCCCCTGCACAACTCCATTATCACGTCGCCTTAGGCCGTGAGATTACCATCACCGATCGCATCGATCTGCATCTCATGTGGAACCCCAACGGGAGGATATTCATCAAGCCTCTCCCTCGCTTCCTACTGAGCTCCAAGTTCTGGACAGTGTACCTACTAAGCCCAGAACTCAGCAACGAGCGCAAAGTCGCCCTCGGCTTCCTCTACACATACGCATGCCTCATCTCCTCAGACAACGACTTCCACCTCGCCATCGAAAAACGTCTTCTTCCAAAAGGCCCCGACCAAAGGCCAATATCATGGAAATCATGGAAAATCATCGCCCGGTCCATTCTGCGAAACCATGATCCAGCTGAGATGCACCCCCGGTTCATACACGGCGAGCTCCGCCTCTCCCGCATCAACACCATCAACCGCGTCTTCAACCTCTCGCCATTCGAAGCCTACTTCAACAGCTGGAACGACTACAGCAGTTTCTTCCGCGACAATCTCAGCTGGATCGCCGCGTCCACAGTCTGGCTTGTCCTCGTACTGACTGCGATGCAAGTAGGCCTTGCAGCCGAGCCGCTTCAGAACAACGCCGAGTTTCAGAAGGCAACGTACGGCTTCACCATCTTTGCGATTCTCGGACCAGTTGTATTTTTCGGTTTGGTTATGCTAGGGGCTGTTTACCAGCTTCTCTCTGATTTGCCATGGTTGATATGGCAAGCCATCGACAAGAAACGGGAGCCAACTGAGCCAACGCCAGAGACGAGCACAGATGCAACGACGCATGCGTAGGATACGTGTAAAGTAATATAGTATTGTTAAACAGCGCATTGTGATTAGAATAAGTCATCAAGGCATAAGTAACCCAAGCAGCCATCACACAAGTCACATAATAGATACCACACATATAGCAACATCAAATCTCATTGCAACAAAGCATAAATAGGCTATATGAAAAGATTTGCCAATCTGCTAATTAGTCCCCGTTTTCCATAGTCTTACATATAAAGACAAGAGCATCCAGTTGGGACAAATTGTCCTCCAATTTTTTTTGCATTACAATAACCGCACACATGTACTGAAAAATCCTGTCTTAAAATCACCACTCCTCTTCCAAATCCAACGCCCGCCAAACTCGCGTCATCATCCACCCTTCATGCAGTAATAAGATTCGTCCACCATGGCCGACCAAGTCCCAGGGTATTAAAAAAATGTGCTCAACCGCCAGAGCATTCCTTCCGAATGAGATGATTAAGCAAAGTTGTCGGATCGGTCAACCCAGATATCCTCCAACTCCGCAAAGCTGTGGAAGTGGACCGGTCGGTGGTGGTCGCTATAGAAGGGCAGTGGCGTATCTAGCTTGACATGAACAGACTTCTTTTCCATTCCTGCAAAAGCACTGCCCATGAAGCTATAGTTCCATTTACCATCATCCGGCACGAGGAAGAAACCCCTGAATCTTGGGCTGAGCAGAAGCTTTCGCTTCTCTCCCATAGTAGTCGTGAATCCCTGGGGTTGGTCGCTCTGAGTGTCCTTGTTTTCAGCTCCCCATTTGTAGCCTTGGGGCGTCAATCCCCAAGCAGACAGAGACACACTACCAGGAGTGAAAGACACGGACACTGTGACTGTGTTGGTCTTATCCCACTCCTCGTGCGCATCCAACAGCTTGGCATGCTCCGTCACATCGGCAGCAGGCATGTACGGAAGTTCGCTACCCGACATTGTGTGGATAACGCCCAGTGGCTCCATGCCATCCAGGAAGTCACTCTGAGGCAACTTCTGTGGAAGCTGCACATTGCGAAGACCACCAATCTGCGGCATCATGACGATACACTTGATCTCCTTGACTTGATCATTATCAGGAGCTGAAGCACCGTAAAGGTAACCAGCCACCTGAACACGCAGATCTGCAATGGTGATGAACTTCTTCAGGATATTGTTGGGCATGACGTATGTTACGTCGTCCAGATCACTATCCACTGACGAGACATAGATGTTCTTCGCTCGTGTTCGCAAGTTCGATGTCGCAATAGCTCGTGTTCGCCACTCAGTCTTTGAAGCAAATGTCTGCTGTTCGAACTGAGATGTCGTGGTGACGATGATCTCTTCGCCGTGGACGTTTTGGGTCTTGGTCGTAACGGCCGTCAACTGCTTCTGCTCTTCTTGCTGCTTCTCGATCTCGGCAGCCTGTTGTCTCTGCATGGATGGTGCAGAAATTTCCATACCAAGGATAATATCACGGACTTCAGTGCTCGTCAGACTGGACACGTTGACATTGTTCTTCTTGCCATAGTCGTTCAAGATGAGATCTCGCAGCTGGGTTTCAACCTTGATCCAATCTTCATCGTTCAACGATGGCCAGATGTGGTGGTCTAGCGTGATAACAGTCTTGTCGGGTCGCAGGATAAGCTTTGTTTTGTCGGGATTGACGTGAAGGGCACGGAGGATGAGAATGAGACGAGAAAAGGCAGTGTATGAAGAGATACTCTTCAACCACTCATCGTACAGGTTAAACAGCACCATCTGAGGCTCAGTCGCTCGCAGGATCATGTCACCCAACTTTTCAACCTTCATAGCGGCCTGGAAAGGAAGCTGCAACTCGGAAGCACGGATAGAGATGTTGGGGAAATCAACCAGCTGGACTTCAAGGGGATCCAAGAGACCCTTTCTGGTAACAATCAGCTGCTTGGGCTGCTCTTCAACGGGGAGCGAACGAATCAACGCCGCCACTTCTTCCGCCGTCTTCCACTTGGCGAGCTGTCCAAGACGTTTCTGACCTGCCCACACGCTGGTGTGAATGATCTTCAAGAACAGCTGACCAGTTCGCGGGTTGAAGATGAAGATGGCACCGTTGATGGGCTTGGTGGTCAAGTTTCCTTCAAACGTCTTGTGAATGGTCACACGGTACACGTTGGTGTCGTCGATGAACAGCTGCGTCTGGTTGCTGAAGAGCTCCGAATAATTCTGCGAGTTCAGGAACTCTTGGTTGCTTTCGGAAGCGTACAGCTGCAGACCCTTGCGGATACGCTCCCGAAGGACGTACAATGCCGGGTTTGCCTTCATGATCTTGGCCATGGCTTGCTGAATGAGTACCTTCAGACCTGGGAAGTACATTCCGTAGGCCGAGTACAAATTGTATGCCAAATCGATACCAATCATGATACCAGTAGCAGAAGGATAAATACTTGAGCTATCAGTCGTGTAATCAAGGTACTTGGCACGTGTATAACGCTCAATGTCGTGAGAGTCGTAATCACCATAACGCAGTTGCACATCAACCCAGAATTTGTTGGTCGTGGTAGGCTCAATGACATCCTTCGTGTCATACAAGAGCGATGGGCGGGTGACATTCCATTTGTGGCTGGCAAAGAGAAGAATATCGGCGCAGGAGCTGTTCATCTTGTAGGATTTACGAGGGTGAATCGTTTCCTTCTGCACGGTCTCGATGCCGAGAGACTCCAGTTCCTGGTCAAACACTTGACAGAGATCCATGACCACAGACTCGTGAATCTTTTGCCACAAGTGAGCACGGAAGATTTGGATGAGAGAGATCTTTAGGGTGGGGATCTTGCCGTGCAAGAAAATACCAGTAAGATCCAGCTGGACCTGGAAACCGACGTAGACGTTGGCTCTGTTGATCGTGGGGGACCACCAGAGAGTGAAACGACGGTTAGGAATCTGGTTCAAACCGGACCGCTGGGCGTTGGTGAGCTTTTTGAACTTCATGGACTCTTCGAAACCAGAGGCCTTTTCCCAGAAGAGACCCTCCCAAGATGGGAAACCAGTGGCCTTGAAGAGAGTGTGCTCAAGGATCGTTTCAACACCACCCAAAGCCTGAATGACATCAGTTCGGTAGGCATTCAAGTTCCAAAGCTTGCCGTCATGTCGCTGGCTTGTCCACCAGAATGGGTTGCCCTTCATGAGCTGGTAAATCTTGAACTCGGCTCGAGCACGGAAACCCTTGTCGAAGCTGAGGGTGCTTCGGTCCTTCTGGAACAAAGTGTTGATTCTTGGCAAACCACGATCCCAGCTATCCTCCAAATCTTCCAGAGTCAGACGACGGTTCTGCTGGTTGGCTTCCAAGCGCTTCTGGGAGTACTCGGTCCAGACACGTTGGGAGTCGATGAATTCTGCTTCCCACGGAATAATGTATCGGAAGATGTTGGGAATCAGAGTCTCTTCTGAGTGGGTCATACCAGCTCGGTAGTGAGTGACACCAGTGTCGGTCTGCTTAGACCAACGCTTGTCACTGGCCGGAATAAGGATATGAGAGCCAGAGATCATACCCAATCCACCAAGCTCCTTGGGGGTATAGAAGACAGCAGGAGGGAAACGCGAAGGCATCTTTGAGTTCAATCCGATCTTGACTCTTGTTTGAATCTTGGTTTCGCACTTGACAATGGTATCAAGCAGCTCAATGGTGGAGACTGCGGCCTCACGATAGTACGTAAACAGGGCAATCAGAGCAGTGTTCCATTTATTCGCAATCTTGGTAAAGGTAGTTGAGCCAGACGACATGAGAATCTGTCGAATACGGTTGTTGAACTTTTGGATATCTTCCTCGGTGACTTGCAAGAACGCGTGTGCCGTTCTTTCTTTGGTCGTATTATCGACGAGAGACCAGACGCTGTCTTTGACAGGGAATTCATCATTCTGGTTTCTAATCTTTGGCAGAATACGAACTTCGAATCCGCACATGGAGAAAAGCAGGTTGGGGTTATCTCGGCTGTAAACACTAACGAAACTGTCATCCCAATCAATTGTAGTGACAGATCGTGGCAAGCGGTTTTTAAAGTCCCAGAAGACGGCTCGTCCCAGGTTGACATCATGTCGCATCAGGCGCATACGAGAGTCTCGTGGCCAGCACTTCTTGCTCTTATATCCAATGACGTTTTCGAAATTGGGGTCAGGTTGCTCGGTAAGGAATCTTTGGATGAGATCTCGCGATTCTTCTGCTGTAAACCGAAGGAAGATCCAGATCTTGTCGATATATCGGCTGTATAGTCGGATCGGGTGTCTGCTTTCCGTCTCCCGATCGCGGAACTGCAAGAAATCATTGGGACTTTGGGGTGGTCCAGCAATTTCGCTAGCTCGTTGGGGGCCAAGCAAAAGCAAATCGAGGACAAGGCCGTAGTACTGGAACACGAAAGCCGAAAACTGAAGGCCACGAATCATACCATAGCTGTTGACATGGTTCATGTCCTTGTAGGTGAGCTGGACGTTGTTCTTTGCCGTGATGTAATCAGCAAGGTTGTGGTCCATGATCAGTCTCAGGAGGGAGTTAAGAAGCGTCAATTCCATCTTCTCATAGACCTTGGAGAGCTCAGTCTCAATCATGACATTGCACTCGCCATTTTCAGTTTCCCAAACCTGGCCCAGGTTGTTGATACCCTGAGCCCACTTGTAAACCAGCAGGGGAGGAACTTCGGAATCAGAAGGCTTGATCCAGGCAGGGAAAAGGTGTCTCTGATCAGCCTGGTACCACAGATATTGGTCAAGATAAGCATCGCTAATCTTCTCAATCGGCTCAATATCGTAGACTGGATTGATGGTGCTGTAGTTGTCATTCATATCGATGTTGACTTCCTTGAAAGCTCGCTGAGTGAGGAGGAATCGCTTGATGCGCTCCAAGGTTGTACCCGGACTATCATATGCCTGCTCGATAAGGGCAAGCTCTTCACGCTGGCTCTGGTTGAGACGGCCCTTGACCGAGTACGCCTCTCTCAGTCGCTCCAGTGCAAGGATCAAAATCTTGGTGTCGTGCTTGTAAGAAACGCTGGGGAACGGAATAGGCGAGAACTTGCGAGACTCCAGCCAGTGGACGGTTGTCGTATAGATGGCAACGGCCTCCTCTGATGAAACATATGGACCGTCCTTCATGTGGTTGTGCTGGCGTTCTTGCTCTGCCTTGAGCCAGAGTCGGGTAAGACGGCCAACGTTCTTCTTGGCAACGGTCTTATCGACGGTGGCACCGCGACGAATACGCTCGCGATTGTAATGGGCAACGGAAACCCACCAATCAGCCTTGGATTTGACGTATCGAAGAATGATGTTCTCAATAGGAGCAGGCAAGCCAGGCACCTTCCAAGGGATGTTACTCTTCCAGCAACGCCAGGCCTCGGAGAGATGCTGCAACACAGTGTTGACCTTGTTCTGCTTGATGCCCTCGGGCATCATGTCTAACAAATCGGCCATGACAGACGCACGAAGCTCAAGGTCGAAGTGAGACTCGACACGCTGCTTTGTGACTGTCTTTGCGACACCCTTGCTGTGTCTGCCCTCAAATTGACGAGAGAGCAAGTTTCCAAGCCATCTCTCCAAGAGGGGAATAATACCACGCATGAAGAAGAGCCAAACTCTCCAGGCGGGAGCCCAGAAACCACAACCAGGACCTTTTCCAACAGGACCAGAATTGAATCTGTAGTAGATGAGGTGCTTCAAGTCCTTGCAGGTTCGGATCTGGTGCATAAGCTTGTACTTGTAACGGTACATACCTGTAAGCTGACCAACGTGGTTGAAGGCATAGAGAATGCCATCAGCCAGCTGGAAGGCGTCAATATTGCCCAGTCGGTACTGAACTTGTGCATCAACAATCAGCTTTGTCAGTCTCAAGATTTCACGCATCAAATGGAAAGCGTTTCCGAATCGAGACTTCTTTCGCTCCTTTGTGGTGAGGGTCTTGACGGGCTTCAAGTTGAAGTTGTAGTCAAGATGAAGATATGTCAGGTTCTTCCTGTGAATCAAAAGATTGAGCATGTTGAAACCTTGACGGCAAACCTGCAAACCAGCCTCTACCCAGTCGATAGTAGTCTGCTGGAAGAACTTTGTCTGCTTCAGTGACCGGAGTAGGTTCTGGTTATTCTGAGCCTTGGGCTTCTTCTTGTGCAGGTCATTGAGGACAAAGTTCTTGAGCAGTTTCTGGTAGGAGACGCGGACCTTTACGGGCGGTCGGTTTGCAGGGGGGTGCTCGAGATACCACTGCTTAATCAGGGGTACATCTTGGGCGCGCACCATTTTGCCAGATCGTCGATTGAATGGGAACGGTGCCCACCAGAGCTCAATGGCAGCAGCCGTATCGTCATTGTCGAGATCCTCGTCAGCGAGGAAAGGCTCTGCACCAGCAGGAAGCTCAAAGGCATCCTCTTCGGGCTCTTCGTTGTTTCCGGGTCCAAAAAGCTCATCCTCAAGAGACAATTCCACATTCTTGGGGGCCACGTTACGTGACGAGATGGGGTTGATTCGACGATCGAAGTGGAATGTGGGCAAATCCGGGTCATCGACACGGTTGTAGACCACCTGGGGGTGAGAGTGCCAGGCGAGGTGCACGCTTCGAGGAAGAGAATTGTAAAGGTATGGGAAGGCAACCCGGAACTCGGTTCGAATAGGGTTTCTGAAAATGATTCGGTCGATGGCGTTGAACTCGCCAAAGTCTTCATCATTGGGGTTGATATCCTTGTATAGCGGCTCAAATCGTGGTCCACCTGGCAAGGCAACATTCAACGCCTTGGCTGTGAGAAGACTCTTCAGATCGAAGAGATAGAAGTAGTTCTTATCCACAACATCTGAGATCAAAGGTCGACTGAGACGGAACAGCGCTGCCATCTGAGGCAGTGTAAGGTTCCAGCCCTTGTAGCTCGGGCCATTAACATGGGATGTATCGAGCAGCGGTCGGTGGTCGTAAAACCATTCATAAATTGCCTCGTCTTCGTCCTCATTGAGCTCCATCTGGATAGGCTCGAGCGGCTCCACATCTTCGATATTTTCCGACCACGATAGCGGCGGCTCCTCGTCGTCGAATGGTGGGAACCGCATACGCTTGAAGAGTCTTCGATCTGCCTTTTCCTTTCGCATGAATGTCCACATCATGGCCCACTGTGCAAAGAAAACAGGCTCGATAACTCTGGGGATTTCATTGACCAGGGTAAGACAGCCGTTGACATGGTACAGAACCTTGACCTCTCGTGCAGACTCCCACGGCATGGGCATGTTCTCCAAAAGCTTGAGAACAGCGTGCGGCATGAACTTGAGCGCACCGAGATAGCTTCGCTTGTCGTTTGTATACTTTTTCTGGGAGACATCGCCGATATCCTTGACGATTTTCCGCAGATGCTCGGGGGGCATGTCAGCCTTTTGCGTCTGGACAAAGCCAGCCTTGCGCTTCTCTCCAAATCTGTTCCTCTGATTGCGAAGCCATTCCTTCTTCTTCTGGGCAAACTTGGCAATATGGGCGTCGGCGGGTGGTCGATAGCCAGGCGGCGGCGGGGCTGGAGGAGCAGGTATCGATGGAGGAGGTGGAAGCGATGATGAGGGAGGCGGCGGAGGAGGAGGAGGACCCCAGCCTGGCGGCGGAGGCGGCGGGAGTTGCGACATGGCGACGTCTTCACTCGTTCAGAGGCAATTCGTGAAGTTGCCTGCCTGAAGGCTTGGAGCCGTGGCGCGTGTCAACGACGCGCTGGCAGATCTGGAATTGCGCACGCAGAACAGCGGCCACGTCAAATTCTGCTGTGTGGCCTCTATTCTGATGATGCAGATGCCGGTCTCGCAGGAATCAGACGACGACCAGGGCGGGAATGATGCAATGCCAGATTGATGTTGAGCTTCGCCTTCGCAGAACAATTTCTTGAACGAGGATCCCTGGAGGCACTAGCTTCAATCTCGATGCTAGTCGGTCACGTGATATTGAATGGCTGGGACTGCATAGAACTGATGCTGCGTTTCATGAAAACAAGCATATACGTCTATTATACGGATCAGAAAAATGTTACGTCTGTCTCAATTATGTAACCAGATACAATTTCTCAATTATGTATCCAGATACAATTGAGAAGAAAATATCTCAAGTGATTTATTCTGTAGGTCCCTAGGTGGTACCTATGCCTTACCAGTGGTCCAAGTATACTTTCTTCTTTGGACAACGTACTATTACAGCATTACGCTCAATGCACGTAGCTCAAAATAATCTCAGAATTATAATAAAGAAAAAAATCAATAGAATTTGATTGATTTTTTTCGCCTCAGATATCTGAGCAATATCAATCTCAATACCCTTTTCACTATTCCAGACTGTTGCTCCAGGGTACTGGATGACGGAGTCGAAAATGCAATCAACCAATGAAAACCACTCTAATGTACTTACATAATCACAATTCATGATCTTCTGCCGCCAGCAACATCAAGCCGATCCATCGCGACAACAGCCCAAACTCACCAACGCCCAAGCAGCCGCTGTCACGACTCCGCAAAAATGGCGCATCTTCGTACGTTGCAATTGCATCATTGCTGAACCCTGCTAACCGCGATTCGCAGACGTCAAGCCGGACCCGGCTCTCCTGAAGCTGGAGGGTGCGTAACATATCCGATCCAATGCCCATCCCTCAGATCCCCGTCTAACTCGGCGCAACAGCGATGCAAAAGGCTCGCCACCACCACTTCCGATTTACTGGCAGAACAGCCCGAATCAGCTTCATCTACATTGCCGCTATCCCCGCCGTCTTCGGCTGGGTCGCATACAAGACAGACGTGAGTGGAAATCGAGCAATGTGGGGAGGGGGAGGAGGATGAGGAGGGGAGACGGATTGGATTGATGAGATGCTAACTTTGGCTAGGGGCTGTGGGATCTACGAGCGAAGCGAAAGGGCGACTCCGTCTACGAGAAATAAGCGTCGAGTTTTCTGGTAGGGGCGAGGGTTTATGTATAATTCAAAAGATTCGATTCGGAATAGAGAGCCTAGTGCTGGCCGAATATTCGAATATATAAAAAAGAGACCAATTTGCACATTTCGTACTGGACCCTCTCCATTTCATTCTCTGCAATCTCTCTGTTTGGTCTTGGCAATTGTTCCACCTGAATTGAGAATCATGCTGGTGCAACAATCTGCAGGACTGATTAAGAGGGCCGTATTCTGCCTCGATTAAGCGCTAAATTATCTGGGTATATCGCATCCTTACAAAATCTCAATCATGCCTCTGACGCAAGTCCTCCTTGCTACCTAATACCAACGTCCTCTGCCTCGTGACCCCCCAGGCGGCCCGTCCGGTAGCTGCTCTCCTCTCCTCCAATCACCAGACGGGAATCTGTTGTCTCTCCAGCTCGGCGGCCTACTCTGGCGGCCGTAATTGCGATTAAAATTGCTGTCTCGACCTGGAAATCCTCCCCTGAAAGTGCCACCACGACTATCGCGCCCGCTGGATATAGAGCCTCTTCTGGCATTTGACGGTGGCGCTACAGAGCCGTCTGACAAGGGAGGAAGAACTGCACATGAGATGTAATCGCCAACCACAAATCTCCAGTCGGCTAGTGTTTTGTCCTTCCCATTGTCATCTCTCATCATGACATCGGGGTCGGCTTCATCTGGGTTCTCCGCGCCAGGATAGCCCTCGCCAATGACGATGCTTCCTAGCTCCTTGACGGCAAATTTGGGCTGCCCAGTGTTGACAGTACTAGTGCCACGTAGATCTGGGCAGACGAGCTGAAAAGAGAGTCTCGTGCCAATAGTAGGAGAAGGCAATGCGCTTGGTTTCGCTGCTGCTAGCTCCAGGGCCAGCTCATATAGTGTACAGGTTGACCAGGTGTAGATGGACACATGTGACGGTAGAGATGGTGATGCAAATTCCTCTGGCCTAGTTATAATGCCGATTAATTGTATTTTCTTCAACTTATGGCGATATCATGGTTATAAGCGCGTACCTGTGAAAGCTGCCAGTTCGGTGAAATAGACGAACTAAGAACGGAGATGTATCATCATCCTCATTTGCCCGTGCGTCTTGCATCGTGGAATGATGAAATATGACAGAATAAAGAATCTTATTGATAAAATAGGGCGCAATTTCAAATATGAGACGGATCAATTTGCGCCCAAGTCTTTGTAAAGTTGGAGTTGGAAAGGTCGAGTGCTGTGAAGCCATATTGAACTTATGATGCATTATCCGGAAATCATCCGTAATCGATAGCATGCTTCAACCTCGGTGAGCTCACCGGACTTATCATCCTGCCAACCTCAAACCTTGTTACATTGCCAAATACTTGCATCCAGCGTCGCTCTGCTGTAAAACACTGTGCAGATTCATCAATCCCATAATTTTTGAACACTTGGGCGAAACATTGACTCTTTGACGCGACATCTTCAACCCTCAAGACGCTCCCCAGCGCACCACAATTCACCATGGACTTCGCGGCCCTCATGAACAAGGAGCTCTCCAAATCCAAAAAATCACCCAGCAACGATGACAAGAAATACATGAAGCGCTCCGAAGTAGAGGCCGAGCGCAAAGCCACCTACCTAGCCGAACAAAAAGCCCTCGAAGCCGAACGCGCAACAAAAGCCGAGGCGAAGCGCAAGCGCGAAGAAGAAGTCGCCGCAGAGAACGCCCTACGCGAAGACAAGCGTCGCAAACTCGCAGAAGAGTCAAGAAAGAGGCAGGAAGAGAAGGAATGGGAGGAAGAGCAGGCGAGGAGGAAGAGACTTGGCCTGCCAGAGCTCGTCAAGGGCGAAGAGAACGGCGACAAGAGTGATGGCGATGCGGCAGACGACATTCCGGATGACGAGCTGATACAGAAGCTGAGAGAACTGGGTCAACCGGCGATATTATTCGGGGAATCACATGCGGCACGACTGAGACGGCACAAGAAGCTCACTACGGTGTTGACAACGGGGCCGATACCTACGACGCTAAAGCTGGTAGAAGAGAAGGACATGAAGGTCGACGGCGCGGTACCAAAGGACAAGGAGGGCCGTCTGTGGCTATTCCGACAGCTGGCGAGTTACTTTACCATGGTGCTCACGGAATACGAAAAGGCAATGGAGGAAGAGAAGCGGGAAACGAGCGCCAGCAAAATGGCCTACAGCGCCATGGTCCAAACCCGCGAAAACATGAAGCCAGTAAGAACCCCCTTCCCACTCTCCCCTACTTGAAACCCGCCGAAGAAACAAAGTCAAGGCTAACCCTCGCACAGCTCTTCCGCAAGTTCGAGTCTGGCGACCTCGACGACTCCCTCCTCCAGCCCATCATCGAAATCGTCCAGGCCCTCCAGGAGCGCCGCTACGTCGACGCAAACGACGGCTACCTGCGCCTCAGCATCGGCAAGGCCGCCTGGCCCATCGGCGTCACCATGGTGGGTATCCACGAGCGTAGCGCTCGCGAGAAGCTGCACGACGGCGAAAAGGGCCATGTCATGGGCGACGAGGCCACGCGCAAGTACCTGCAGAGCATCAAGCGCTGCCTGACGTTTGCGCAGGTGCGGTGGCCGCCGCAGGACCTGAGGCAGTTGATGGGATGATTTTGGATGCAATGGAGAAGAGGATAAAGGGCGGATGATTCACAGTACAGCTACTACACGATGCTGGAATACTAGTGCCTACATGATGTGATATGATACCCCGTCTTGATTGGACAAGGCAAGACAGTAAACTAGAATGCATATACGAGGTGTCTCTATTGAACAACGCCGGGCAACTTGTGCCGAGTCCTCATCATCACTCAAAGACGTGACCAATAAGAAGGCAAGATATTGACGACATCACAGATCAAAGGCAAGATTGAAAGCAAACGATGAAATAGTAATAATGCCTCCGCCAGTTGGGGGCTGCTGAATACGAAAAAAGAAAAAAGACACGAAAATCCCCCCTTCTCCTTGCGCCTCCCTCTCTAATGAACAATCATGTGTAACGTTCAGAGTCTCCAAGCATTTGCCGTTATAACCGTGGCCCCCTCCTTTCGAGAAAACGGTCCACGTTGGCCATCCGCTGTCGGATCAAATCTCAGTTTTCAGCTGTGTCGCTCACTGCGGCTGACCGATAAATCTCATTCGCGGTCACAGCAATGTACTCTCGCTCCCTCCAATAAACTAGTTCGACGATCCTCGAGCTTTAGATAGAACTCCATGGAAATACCGCTGGAATCGAGTCATGGATCCTGCAAGGGGCACCTCCTAAGTCTCCTGATCCCGCTCAGCGCCTTGGCTGGGCAACTGAGTAATATCCTCGTACCAAGCCTCGTCGACCTCGGGCCCTCCAGCACCGCCCCCCGGATGCTTTTTGGCGCCGCTGACCTCGAGACCTGCAACAATGAGATTCACGCGCCGTAGCCGCTCCTTGGCCTCTTGCTCGTATTTACGCGCCACAGCAAGTGCATTTGTCTGCACGACTAGTCGTGGGTCGGGAGAAACGGCGACGAGAAGCTACATGGAGTGTAAGCAACATCAATTTTTGCAGTAGGGAAATGGAAGTAAAAGGGAGGGAGATTACCTTGCTCTTTGCATCTATTCGAGCTCTCAGCGAGCCATCACGAATCATTCTCATGAGCTCCAGCTCCACGGACTGGTTGGGCGTACCAAACGCGGCGTCCAAGCTATCTAGTGTGACGCATGAAAAGGGTATAAAGTATTGAACAATGCACTTTTCGCGAATTCGGGAGTAGATGGTGGGTATATGTGGCTGCAGGTAGATATCTAGGAGATAGTCGGCTCTCACAGACTCCAAGATGGCCAGGCAGTTGGAGTAGCGGCCATTGACAAACAAACTAATGGCCTTCCGAATGTGCGGCTCGTGCTCCAGGAACATTCTGAATGATTGGTTATCCAGTATACGGGCTTGTAGAGCCTTTCTGTCCATGGTTGCCAGGGCCAAAAGGCCGCCGTAGACGGCAACATCGTTGGGACTGGCGACTGTGTTGTACTCTGTTGGGGATACATTGGGATTGGTGTGAAGAAGGGTGTTAGCCGCATCATAATAGTTGCCGAGTCCCATCAGAGCAACTCCGGACGCCACTTTGGTGTATGCCTGCTGTGCCTGCTCATCATCCCCAGTTTGGATGTTGGCAATCTTGCCAACGTTGCTCAGCACAGTGGCCCAGTCACGGCGCTGGAAGGCGACGCTAGCCAAGTGCATGCCGCAGTCGAAGATGTGTTTGGTCGTGCTCACGTCGTGGCGCATCTTGTTATATGCGTCGATAGCGTCACTGAGCTTACCTATGCTCTCGAAATGCTTGCCAAGATCCTCATTGCCCATCTAAACACAAGCGGTGAGTTGGATCCATCACGACGTCCCTGAACAATGGAATGAAGCCTACCCGAATGCTCTCCTTGATGAGATTGTTTCTATACCCCTTAAGCTCTGCCTCCAGGCGAGTCGTTTCGGTTCTGTTGGCTAGCTCGGTGCTCTCGATCCATTCGTCGTCCCTCTTTGCCTCAGGCTCCTCCGGAGCGACGGAACGGAGCAGCTGCCAGGCATCCTTATACCGAGTGACATCCGAGCCACTCTTTGCCTCGGCGACGGCGGCTTTGAGAGCTTCGACACGTAGGGGCACGCAGCATCGGCCGATGAGGATCAAGCGTTCGTACCGTGTTCGGCCTATGACGACGACGAGGGGGGACGGGGTTAGCATCTAGCATCCCGCCTGCTTCACTACCTGGCAGAGCATCAAGCAAGCTCAAGAGGACATGGGAGCATCGTACCGACATAGTTCTGAATATAGAGATCGATATCAAGCTTGGGCAGCTCTAGATGGAGGCTCAAGGTCAGCTCCTCCAAGCAGGCATCATGTGGGGCAAGGTCCTGATCTACCGGAGACGATGACATCTGGAGTTTTTGGGTATGCCTGAGCATCCGAGCCCGGCTGCGTTGATGCGGGAGCAGCCATTGGAAAGCAGCGCGGTAGATGCTGTTTTGATAGGGAACCTTGGTTGCTGTTCCGGCGAGGCTGCAGTCTTGAAGGCTCCAGTCTCCTGCACGTGCCTCAGCCTTCTGATGATGGAGGGGCCGTTCAGCGTGTGGGAAAGTGATTTGGCGGAGGCGTTTTGACGGTTTGGCGGGGTTGGAGCTCTGAATTGTACCTTGGTGGCCATAGGTACAAGGCCACTACAGTGGTGTGCTTGCTAATACGTGCATTTCAAAGGTACAGGACATGTACGCTTTGCTTTGCACAACCACTTCAATTAGAATAATCCACTACACCTCAGTAAGTGCAGAAAAAGAGGCGCATTCGAGATGCAATCGGAAGCATTTCATCGTTCATTTGGCCTTTCTTCTGCATTTAATATTGGTAGTAATGCTCAAGAGCATTGCATACCTAGTACTACCTGGTAAGCAATGAATCTACGGCAAAGGCAGGTAGCGCTAGTACCAGTAGTACGAGTTGGCGCATCTCTTCCTCGATTCTTCTTAGCCAAGCATCTCAGCTATATCTCGCTGTAAATCTCTCCACCAACCATCAAGGTGACAGTATCAAGGCTTGAATACAGTGGTAGTAATGCCCTCACTCTAAGAAAGCATAGCCAATAATTCTTCAAGAGGAAGACAGTGCAAACGAAACCACGCCAAGCTCTTGACGAGATCAAATACGTAATCGCAAGACCTTCCCGAGTCGGCACTGGCCCCCCCTTTTGTCCAGATCAACTAGTTTGCCGTCTTCCGATATACTCTGTGGCTTAGACCTCGATAAACCAGCCGGCGCAAGGGGGTTAGACAGGCACAGGCCCCTTCAGCTCGACTACAGTAAGGGGCTATTTTTACAGGATGGCAGGGCAGGCGACGGATCGTGCGTTGTTCGACGCCGTTTGTACGAGGCCAAGAACTGCAATCCGTGGATGCGGGGGAAGAAGAGCGGCAGCTCCGAGTCAGAGTCGCAACGCAACGCAACGGCCCACGCATGCGATGTCAGTACATGTACTCGTAGGCAGCAGTGTAGGATAAACAAGACGCATCTCGTGGCGGTGTTTCGTCACAGAAGTCGACAACCGGCGCATGAGACAGGCAATCTGCCACTCAATCGCGGGCGTGTGCATTTCGGAGGTGAGCCGAAGCCTTCTCGCCATGCTGTCACGGAGAAGTCTCGGGGTTGAAGGGCTTGGCTCCGGCCACGAGCGGGAACAAGCTTGACCGAAAAGCTTACCTCTGGAATACAGCATCGGGTTTCCATTCCAAAGAAGGTCGTGGAAAAGGATCGCCGGCTGGATTCGGATCGCCATGCCGGGCTGTCCCTTGGTAGGGGTTGTTTGTGATGACTTCTGGCGCCCGCTAAGATAACGAGTTGCGACGGCAAAAGCACTGGAAACATGTGTGTGGCACGAGGCTTCTGTCCACTAACAGCCAGTTGGATCCATCGTTGGCGTTGGATGGGTGTAATACTGTATAGTCAAGAAATAATCCGTCAATGAGATGAGGATTGTTTATCACGGTTTGTCATCTCATTGCTATTGAGACAGTGCTACAATGAATGCTGGCTTTTGCGCGGAGTGGGTGTTCGGTGAATTCGGGAAATACAAGTAGAGGCATGATTTCAAAGAGGCTCCAGTTCTCTAAAACTAGGAATAACGACATGTCAAGTTCATCCATATGAGAGAGTAAAAACATGTACAGCAATGTCTTCTTTTTCTGGGCACAGCACAGTACCTTTGTGACATTCCGTATGATGGGTAATAATTCGAGGGCCTGGATGAATGTCAGCATCCTCGCCCTACACTGGATTTGGCACCTTCAATCTTAGCAGGTCTCCCGATTCCAGCCTTGTGGGTTATCCTGGCTTTATCGGCAATCTCGTTCCCACGGCGAAAAGCTTGGCATAGGCAAGGTGATGTAATGCCGCCGTGGCTTGAAGACGCCGTACCGGGACAGGCCTAAGACCACCGAAGAAGCCGGAGGGTCTTTAAAAGAAATCGGAAAAAAAAAAATTTCAAGAGAGAAATCCAAGGGGGAAACGGGAAAAACAAGGTAATGAGAGAGAAAAATGAAGCTGCGTCCTAGTGACTCGTGACCAGGGCCAGGATTGGCGAGTTCTCGCTGCCGAATGTCGCTACAGAATGCGCATGTCGCACAAGGAACATGGGACGACTCATTTGCCTACATGCAGTGCGTACGAGTACAGTGTAGCTACAGTGCCGGCAACGCCCGCCAACGGCGCAATACGTGTATGTACCTCGAGCCTTGCGCATCAATAAGGGTGCTCGACTTTAAATCAAGGTTATCTCGAGCTCATCCCCGCCAATCCCTGCCGGGCTCACCTTACAAATGTGCGGTTTTTGTGGTGGGCGATGACAGCAGGAGAAAAAAGAAGCATGGCATCAAGGTTAGGCATTGCATGACTGCAAAAGTCTAAACCGCGGCACACCCCATGGATTCGACCTCACCGAAACACGACTGCAGAGGGATGGCACACCAGCTGTGCGTGCATGCGAGGGCGAGTCAATTTCCTGCTCGCCCGCATGCCGCTACAGACACAGCTAAACCACAACCACAACCGCAAGCAGGCAGCCAGATTATTCTACTTGGACCTGGATGAACCTGGACCTGGACTTTTCGTCTCTGCTGCGGGTAACGCGTCCTCGTACTTGTACCTGCGGCGCTTGTACTCCGTACTCGTATGCCCGCAACAGCCGCAGGTCGTATCATTTCCCGTTTCCCGTCTCCATAATTTGACCCAAAGCTGCAGAACGGCTCTTGGGGAGGGCGGGAATAAGACGGACATTGGCTGCGGTGGTGGACCAGCACATTCCAACAATTGCCAGGTCTTGGGAGGCCAGTGTGACGTTGAAGTTGCTGGGCATTGATCAAGGTGGTAGTGGTGGTAACGTATACATGTACTTTGGCATGTTGGTTGCGTGAACAGCCAGTGTAAGGCAACTCCGAGTTGAATTGAGAACATGGAAGGAAATGATGAGAATGGGGTAGGTATACTACCAGGTACCTAGTAGTGGTTTGATTTTGCCCATTGGATGGAGTTTTATTCTTTTCTCATCTCTCACCTCCAATGGACGGTAATACTGGGTTTAAACCAACCAGACCCAGAACTGAGGTCGCTCTCGCTGTCAACGTTAATGCCGACCGGGCATCTTTCGCGCACTGGGTTGCTCGGCCCTTCCGATTCTCGAGATAAACTACTATACACGGACTGGCGGCGGGCTGATGACCTCCTCGATGATGCAGCTAGTCCTGCACCTAGCACTAAGCATTTCAACTGCAGTGCGTGTCCAAAAGTCAAAACGGCGAGAGAACACCAATGACGGCCGCGGGAGGCGTTCCATCGCATCATTTCCGTAGCACTGAGACATCAATGCCTCTCGTCCAATGCCTTGACCCCGACTTGTCTACTCTGTACGGTAGTACTGCTAGTAACTTGCAGTACTAAGGTTATCCCATTCTTGATCGAATTGGATCTGCCCGTACTGTACAGTAGCGTTGACGGGCTGCTGGGACCAGAATCCCGCAATTCAAATTGACGGAACATGAAGCTTATCTAGCCAGGCCCAAATCTCGCCGGCACTGTAGCCATCTCAATGTTGCAACGAACCTTTTGAAAGCTTCTTTTCCCCCTTCTACCGCCATCCCACCCCCCTCCAATTGTCTTGCCCTGCCAGCCAAGCTTTTCAGCCAAGCCTTCCAGCTTCATTTCGGGGCCGTCAGTCCACATGCCGAGTGGCAGTTGAGGCGCTGGGATGCCATGTGGCAGTGGAGAGGTCGGATTTTGCTAGTCAAACGCTGCCCATTTGCGCCCCCTTCAAAGACAAAGCAAGATTGAAGCAGAAATTCGAGCCCAATTCCTACCTAGGTACGTGTCTCGCCGAAATGCAAATGCCCTCCCCGGCTGGGCTCTGCAATTTATCACGCGGCAGTAATTCTGGCGCCGCCTCTAGTCCAGCGGTGGAGTTTCCTGCGCTATGTGGACCTGCTCAGCTGTGTTTTTAGCCCCCGACGCCATCAAGAGCTCGATTCGCTGTCGTGGATGATTTTGACGCTCCGTGAATTCTTTTTGCCCGCTGGACGGGGCGACCATCCGCTGAAAGCCTCACCTCGCCGGCGACTTCCCGTGCTCTTGGACGTCTGCGTAGATTGTCGTACGAGGATTTGTTGGTTCGTCCTCGTTGGCCAGTTCGGCCTCGGTGGTGCACTGAGTGCCTTGCAACTAAGCTGAACTATCTAATACCAGAACATGTTAGTTGCCCAGGGCCTGCCTGTAGGTAGCCAAAATCTCGACGCTCGATTCATGCAGTCTGACGGCATTGCGATGCTGGCGCTCTGGACGCATGAATCTGGCCCTCCGCGGCGTTTTGTATGTACGAGTATGCGCTCCGTACAGGTACGTCTGCAGAATCCTGTCGGCAGTGGATCTCGTAGACAAGATGGAAGGTCGCGGGCAAACCGGCACTCTGCAGCATGCTTGCGCTTGTACTGGCACCTAAGGGTACACGTAACTCGTACGCAGAAGCGCGCAAAGCACCATGTAAAAACCAAAATGGTTTTTGAGTAGATGTACATTTGGGCTCAGAGTATCATCACCAAGATTGAGGTTCCTGTACCTGTCGGGTTTGTGTTTTGGATGCGTCTCTTCCATTCCATTGGATCGAATGCTGTTCACTTCCTTACTTTCGCTCAGGCGCCTCCTGCTAGGGAGCTGACGGTGGTCGAGCAAGACGGCCGGGCAAGACGTTCAACGAATTCGCATGAGGCATGTCTCTTGTCGACTATCAAATCCCGGCTGAAATACTCATTAAACGGCTTACAAAGAATTGATTGCAAGCAAGGAACCTTGCGCGCCGAGGTTTGTGGAGCGCTGCATCTTTCTGTGCCTCGCAAAGCGCCGTGTTATCCTCCGGATGCACGATACTGTATACATTCAATACCATCCATGCTTCGCACGTTTCCGGGTTTTATCGAGAAAAGCACGGGCTCGTACCTACTCCGGACCCAGCTCCGAATACAGCAGACACAACGACAAACCCCCTGGCCCTTTTGCATCCCCACGCGCGTCAATGGACTGGAGGTATGTGGTGTTGCTGCCCGGGATGGCTTTCCATCTTCCCTCCGTGCAAGCTGCAGCCCACGCACGGCCCGAACCAACTAGACGCCAACCCGGGCCAGAAGCGGCTCTCGGTGGGATGGGCGGGCTGCGTAATGCTAGCCGCACGGCCGCTCCACTGCGAAGCTGCAAGCCCCAGTGTCTTCAGCGGGCCAGCCACTGTAGGACAGTGCTAGAGGCGCCTCCCACAGGCCCTCAAGTCGATTTATCCCAGCCCAGCCACGGCGCCCTCTCGCTTGCTGTACTTGCGTCGGCAGTACTTGTACCGCCCTCTGGCTACAGTGCGTATTAGCCCCCAGTCCCCAGGCTCTGGCTCTGGCTGACTCCCACTCGCTGGACGTGGACTTGCAGCGCCTGAACGGCCTCTCCCTTCTGTCCATTCTTTATTTCTTCCCTCTTGTCCTCGCGCCATAATCCCGACGACACTCCCGCCAAACCCTCCCCAATTCGCTCCGGACACGGGAGAGACTGCGCTGTCCATCTGATGGCCTAGATTGGCAGACGCCGGGGCAATTGGCACGTACGCTGCCACCGACTTTGCATCCCCGGGGTCCTGTCCTGTCTCTCCGAATCCAAAGGCCGCTCTCCATCGCACACGAAGCATCCAGCCAGAGCATCCAGCCCCGCCCAGCCCGAGTACGTTCCATACGTGAATGAGCCTTGGACCGGGGCCAAGACGGACGAGTCTTGAGGTTGCGCTGCATCTGTTCTAACCTGCCGCGCTGCTACAGTACAAGGACACCCTCAATCACATACGGATCGGCCCTGCGAATCGGCCCTGCGACTAATAACAGCCCCTGCCAAACCGCCGTCTGGAGAAGATAAAAAATACGCATGAAAATGTCCGACGACGAGGCCATCACCGTCGGGTCGCAGGCCGCCGGCGACTGGTCCATCCACGATGCTGGATCGCCGGCCGAGAGCGTCAAGTCGGACGCTGAAGACGACGACAAGGCGGGCGATGCCGAATCGGCACCGTCGCAACCCATCCAGAAGCGACGTCGAGTCACCCGCGCCTGCGACGAGTGCCGCCGCAAGAAGATCAAATGTGACGGCAAGCAGCCTTGCACGCACTGCTCCGTCTACAGTTATGGTGCGTATCATGATTTTGGTGACGGGGGCGGTCTTGGATATCGCTGTCATTTCGGCCTCATCATGTTGAGCGATCCTTCGCTCCACCTTTGCATCCCGCCCGGATCGCTGCCATCTCACTGCCTTGAACGCCGTTGCTGACCCTTTGTTGCGCAGAATGCACATATGATAAGCCGTCAAACAGGAGGAGGAATCCCGCGCCGCAGTATATCGAGGCCCTGGAAAGCCGCCTTCAGCGCGCCGAGTCGTTGCTGCGAAAATTCGTCCCCGATATCGACCTGGCCGATCCAAATCTTGACCCTGCCATCCAGCAAGAGTTTCACAACCGAGAACGAGCGCGTGCCGAGGTTGCCAAGCTGCGAACCCCCCATCCCGCTGAGCCTGACCCCAATGACACCCAGCTCACCTCCATGATCGACTCCATCGGCCAGCTGGATCTCGACGACAAGGGCGGCTGGGATTTCTACGGCATCTCGTCCGGCGCCGTTTTCCTGCGGCGCATGAAGGAGAACTTCCGCGGCATGCTGGGCCCTGTCGGCAAGGGGCCGTTTTTACCACGCCCGTCTGATCGAACCGCCGGTCTCTTGAACTTCGACACGCCGCCCGTTGGCTCGCCCTTCTCTACCATCTCCAGCTACCCCGAGCTGCCCCCCAAGGACGTCGCTCGGAAACTCTGCTACTATTCTCTGAGTTGCGCCACATGCCTTGTCCGCATCGTTCACGTCCCTAGTTTTTACGAAAAGTTCGACTACATCTATGAACGACAGCATGAGCCGATGAGCCCGGATGATACCCAGTTCCTCGCCCTTTTTTATGCCGTCTTAGCGTTGGGCTGCATGTATAGTAATCTTGACGACTCCAGTTCCGGTGGCATGACTTATCGATTTGCCATTGATGAAGGGTAAGTCGGGCTTCTCACCACGCGGTGGCTGTCCATGAAATTAGCTAACTCAACGGCTGCAGAGTGAAATACTACAAGATCGCAAGATCTCTGTTGCGTGATGTCACCGAGTGTCGAAGCCTTGTCTCCATCCAGACACTTGTTTTCATAATCCTTTTCCTTCAGTCCACCGCCAACCTCAACACCTGCTACTCCTTTGTAGGAATTGCCCTACGATCAGCCTTGCGAATGGGTCTTCACCGCCACTTGCAGCACGAGCGGATAGGGAACATTGAGCAGCAAGTGCGGCGGCGGGTTTTCTATGTCATACGGCAGATGGACATTTACGTATCTACCATGCTCGGATTCCCCCTGCTTCTAAACAGCGACGACGTCGACCAGCAGTATCCCATTGAAGTTGACGATGAGTTTATAAGACCTGAAGGCATTCTCCAACCGGCACCGGGAACGGCCTCGTTCTTCCAAGCATTCAATGCCCACTCCCGGTTGATGGATATCTTGGGCAAAATCACAAAGTACATTTATCCGACAAAGAGCGTTGGGCAGACGGTTCTGAGGGGGGACAAGCCGTCATCTACATATCTCATCAGCTATAGCAAGATCAAGGAGATTGAGACGGATCTACACAACTGGTTCGAGAGGCTTCCAGAGGCATGGCGGCCGAGCCCTGACGGCCCCATTGAAGTAGTTCGGTAAGTCGCTTTCTGACATGTCTTATAAGAACCGGCTGACGGCCCTCTTAACAGTGTACGACATTTGTTGCGTTTTGCCTACGCGCATGTGCAACTTGTCTTGTACCGACCGTTTCTGCATTACGTTTCTCCTCGACTCAGCCAAGGCAACAGGGTTGATGAGCTGTCGTATGCCTGCGCGGCGGCGGCCATCAGCGTGTCCCGTAACATCGTCCACATTGGACTCGAGATCCGAAAGCAGCGCGTCCTTAGCGGGCCCTACTGGTTCATGCTCTACACCGAGTTCTTCTCCGTGCTCTCGCTGGTGTTTTATGCCATTGAGAACCCCGAGAAGCCTGGATCGGCAGAGGTACTGGCTGATGCGCGCGCTGGGCGACAGATGATTGCCGATCTGGCCGAGAAGAGCCTCTCTGCTGAGAGGGTCACCCACACTCTCAAGGTAGGGACAGGCCACCTGGTACCCCCCTGACTATCGTACCATTGTTGCTGACATGTTCGTGAAGGTTTTATTTGATCAACTGCCAGAACGGTTCGATCCACCTCAGCCTCGACCATCTTCCACAACGAAGAAGAGGACGGCTCCGGGCGTCAAAGCACCAAGCAACTCTGGCATCTCCGTGGGCATGTCTCTTCACAGACCAGGTGACATCAGGGGCGGTGGTATGTCTTTATATGGCACCTCCCACTCTAGGGGCTCCATGGACAGCAGTTTCGCGCAGTCGTTAGACCATAGTGGATACCCCGAGCCCTCGTTCACCAGCAGCCTGAACGATGTGATGCCGATGGACTTGTCGTCGCGAGCAACGCCCGACTCTACGAGCACCGCCGAGAGTGTACACCGACACCCATACCAGCAGCATCCCCTTAGTGGACATCTCGGCCACAACCACCCGGTTCATAAACTCGACTCGTTAATGTTTCCGTCGGACGATCCGTTCGCTTACCCGAACCAGCCGATGATGGAACTGGGATTCTCTGGCAAAACCGACGTGCCAGCCGTGTCGATGCCTCATCAACCTCAGGACTCGGGATTCTTCTTCCCCGCCTCGCTGGATGATATGGGAGATCAGTTTATGGGGCAACCTCCGCCGTACATGATGCCACAACAGCAACAGCAGCCGCCGCCACAACAGAACCCCATGGCGATGAACATGTCGGCCAACATGTACGACCCCAACGCCATGATGGGGATTCACCAGCAACCGCCACCACAGCAGACACAGCCAGCGCCGCAGCGACGACCCGGCGGGCTATCTCTTCGACGGGCGATACGGGGCGAGAGGCACCAGGAGCGGCAGATTGAGCAAATGTTTACGGATCACGGCATGCAGCCGGACTGGGGGAGTTTCTTTGGTTCTGGCAGGGGCGGATTTCAGGGAATGTGAACGACTGCCACATGATACCCATTTTTTTGACGATATGAAACGCGAAGGCCTTGCGGTCCACCGGGGGGGAGTGAAGGGCGTCTTTTTGCTTTTCTTGTTGTTTCTTTTGTTTTTGATCACCCATTCCTTGGACATCGTGGACGGGAAAGAAGGGTCACAGCGCGATTGCATGTTTTACGACTACTGTCAACCTATCCTCATCACTCGAACCATTTGCGGCTGGTGTTTAGATACTTGGGGTCACTTTTTGTTCTTTTCATCTGTTTCCATCTTTTTTTCTTCTCCCTCTCTCCCTCCCGTTGGCGGCAGGCACACCGAAACCAAAAACAACCATTATATGAGCATATCACAGTGTGTAGATAAAGGGACTTTGATCGAACCATATACACGATCAAATGTCGAAGCACCAATTCATACTAGGTACATACGAAGGAAATAAACTATCAAAGGTACCCATAGAAACGCCTCGCTCTCGTTCCCTAAAATAGTGATTAGTTCGGCAAACTTGTTTTTTTTCTTATCCTCGTGTTTTCCAGCGCCTCTTTTTTTAAACCACGGAATGTCCTTTTGGTGTGATTACGTATGCGATTTAACGCAGAAAGGCAATTCAAGACCGGCGAGCGGCCGACAGAATGGCCGACAGTTCGGACAAAAGACCCTGGCCGCTTCGGCACCGGATACAGTGCGACATAATGAGGGTCTCTTTTCTTCATCTTCTTCTTTTTCCCTTGCTGCGTCTGGCTTTTTGGTCGGTGACCTTTTTGAGGGGCGGGGTTTTCTTTTTCTTTTTTTCTTTTCGGGCTACAGGTGTGTGGTGTGTATCTCGGGGTTTCGCGTTTTCTTCTTCCTTTGGCCCCGTTGCCTACCTGTATGCATATTGACGGGGGCTCTCGGTGGAGATGCTTTTGCATTGAGGCGGCCAGTGAGGAGGCATTGGGTACGAAGGGAGTGTGGGATATTGTATGTACAGCAGAGGGGGGGGATGTGGGAGTTGGTGTGGTGATGGGGGGATTGTTTGATTGATTTGATCTGATTACCTATTGAAGGTTGGTTGTTACCGGAGCGGGGAGTTACGGGGATAGCCTGAGTGACATGGATGGGGGTTGTTTGATGTTACCTGGTATCATGCACGGGGAGATGTGGTGTTGAAGGTGTGTCGGTTTGGTTGCGGTGAGGGACGATGCTGCGGTGCTCTGCTGCGCTTGGGTAAGTACTGTGATTGAGCCTTTGAATGGATCGAGGCTTTCTCTGGTGAGATTCACGACAGAATATACATTCAGAGATGACATGACAAGATGATTGGGGGATTTCTGTCGTGTTGCGATGCGTTGATACTGCAAGGACGGCAAAGGATCAAAGACTAGGGATGTCCCATTGCGGAAAGTGGATGTAGCGGGTAGGACGGAAGCTTGGACATGTGCCAGAGGTACCGGTACCTGGATGGTGTCTGGAGCGGCTGATAGGAGGATGCAGTGAACGTGCTTTGTGCTTGTGCATGTACTCCATCGGCAAAATAACAAAGTACTACCTAGGTACCTTAATGGGTTTGTAAGGATAGTTCATCTCTTTTTGCCTTAGTTCACTAACATCCAGCTTCTTATTTCTCTCGATGCTACTGCTGGCGGTACATGGACTTGGCCCCTGAGATCACGATCAAGAAATGCAGCTTAAGGAGAGAAACGGCGCTAGACTACACTGGTGGTGGCGCCGCCTGGCCGCTGTTTTCCTGGGGTACGGAGTAGAGATTGGAGATTGCAGATTAGATAAGGCACCAGGGACGTTTTGACTCGGTCAGGCACTGTTGCAGGTACCTGGAGCGACGCTCACGTGCTGCTGCTGCGGGATGAAGCTGGACCCTTTCGTCCGTTCAATACGACCTAATCATCATCATCATCAAGAGGGAGTCATCGCTTCTCCCTTTTCTATCATTTATAGCATATAATACTAAGTTTTAGGGATCCGGCGCAATGGAAGACCTCGACTTTAGCTTCATCCTCGACGATGAGTTTGACGCAGTGTAAGCGCGCTACTCCGTGTGCTGGTCGCAAGTCCAACTGCTTACAGGCGGTAAATCAAACAGGGCCATAGCCAAGAGGGAGGACTGGGAGGTCTGGAAGACGCGAAAGTATCCGGGTGAGACTACGATGAATGCGACGACTCTTTTTTACTTTATTTCGCTGTTTGACTGACTCTGTTCCGTGCGGCTTTTAGCCAAGGAGCATGCGCGCAAGGTCGCCCAGAAGCTCGGTGTGTCGGATGGCATCATCTACTTGCCTGGCCATCCGGAGCAGAACTACGAGGACTCGGACCAAGGGCCGCCATTGAGACAGCGCCGATAGTAAGCTCGACTCCCTCTATTCTGCTATCCATGGAATATCTCCCCCCCTATGGCGCTGACAAGACCGGCGCAGCTTCTACTACCTGAGCGGCGCCAACTTCCACGACTGCTTCGTCACCTACGAGATTCGCACGGATGTCCTCATTCTCTGGATCCCCTATGTCGAGCCGCGCCAGGTGCTCTGGTTTGGCTCGACGCCCGACACCGCCAAGGCCAAGCAGCTGTACGATGTCGACGAGGTGCGGTATTCGAGCCAGCTGCACAAGTTCTTCGAGTCGCGTCTTTCATCGCCAACCGTGCTGTACGTGCTGCACGAGGACCAGGCGCCCGCCGTGGCCAAGGGGACCAAGGTCAAGATCAACAGCTGGATGCTGCAGCCCGCCATGGACCGCGCTCGCTGCATCAAGGACGAGTACGAAATCGCCATGATCCGTCGCGCCAACGATGTATCCAGCGCGGGGCATCGCAAAGTCGCAGAGATGCTGCTCCGTCTCACCAACGAGCGCGAGATTGAGTCCATCTTCCAAGCCGTGTGCACTGCGCGCGGTGCCCGATCGCAGGCATACGACATCATTGCGGGCTCGGGCGTCAATGCTTCGACGCTGCACTACGACGACAACAACCAACCCCTGGAAGGCAAGGAGCTCGTCGTTCTTGATGCGGGATGCGAGTGGCAATGCTACGCTAGCGACGTAACGCGCACGCTGCCCATCAAGGGGCGCTTTTCTACCAAGGGCGCGGCCATCTACAACCTCGTCCAGACGATGCAGGAGGAGTGCATCAGCAAAGTCAAGCCCGGCGTCCAGTTCTACCAGCTGCACCTCCACGCCGCAGCCGTCGCCGTCGTCGGCCTCCTCAAGCTGGGCATTCTCAAGGGCGACATTGGCGAGGTTACCAAGGCCGGCACCGTCACCGCATTCTTCCCACACGGGCTCGGCCACCACGTCGGCCTGGAAGTGCATGATGTTCCGGGCAGTCTTCCGCTGATGACGCTCCTTAACTTGGGCCTCGATGGCGGGAAGCGGCAGATGATTAATGCGGAGGCGCTGGCCAAGATGAGCGCCGCGATGCGCCTTGGCGATGGTGAGACGGCGACTGCGCGCGCCAAGGCATTGAAGGAGAGGCAGGTGCTCGAGCCCAACATGATTGTCACCGTCGAGCCGGGCATGTAAGTTTTCTTGTCTCCTTCACTCTATATCCCCTTTACAAGCCATTTTCAGCCAAGTATGGTGTATACTAATGGATGTGTCAAATACATAGCTATTTCTGCCGCGAGTATATTGAGGGTTACTATCTCACCAACCCAGATCACGCCAAGTTCATCAACAAGGACGTCCTCGAGGGATACTATACTGTAGGAGGCGTGCGCATCGAAGACGATATTCTCGTTGTCGAGGACGGCTACGAGAACTTGACGGCTGCTCCCAAAGGTCAAGAATTGGTTGACGTTATCAACGGCAAGAAAGGGCGTCAGTGAAGGACTTTTGTCTTTCTTTCTTTCTTTTGTAATGAGGATATACAAGACTGTTTATGGGAAGAATTTGGATACCGGGTACAGTACAGCATATAATGTCTCTTTTCTTCTTCTTCTTCTTTCTCTCTCGTTCGTCTTGGGATGATTCTAGTTGGTATTTTTTTTGATGTACCTACCTAGGTACCTAGTAGCTTATGATGCGGGATGTCGAATTTTCCATAGCGGGCATGTTACGACGTCAAGATGAAATGTTTGTCTCGGGGTTTTGATATTTCATCTAATTCATGCATGCTATATATGTGTATAGACGTGTGATGTAGTTACAGAAAAAAAAATGTGGGAAGATATGAAAAAAGAAAATCGTCTTTTGTTTATACAAAAAGCCGCCCCTCTGCGTCTGAATCATAACTGGTCGTTCAACTTTCATGTCTCAACTCTCAATATATGAGTATTTTTTTTCTCTTTCGTCTCCTCGATCTTGCTTGTGCGGTACGGAATGTATGCATTGGGAGGAGAGTGGAATCTTGGTTGGTTTGGGAGGGTTGGCGAACTGCGGCGGTTTCAAGCCATCATCCATCGTCCAGGCCATCAGGACAATGTACCACGTCCGCCAAACGCAGTGCGCCGAGACCTTGAAGCACCCTTTCAGAGGTACTTTTTCGGTGAGTTTGCCCTCCGTCTCTTGTACACCACATATGCGCCCACTAGAACAAGCTGCGTCCCGATAATGACGGCAATCAGCTTTCCATGGCCGGGGATATTCTCCGTGACCCTCGCGGTGAGCGACATGTGATGCGTCCGCAGCGCGCCATGGACCGACCTCTCGGTGGAGCTCAGCCTCTCGTGCAGCTCCGTGTTCAAGTTGCGGACCTCGTTCTCGAGGGCGACGATGCGCTGCTGAAAGGTGGCCAGCTGGTCGAGCAGGGCGAGCTTGGAGTTGACGGCGGCGAAGAGGTCCTGGACCTCGCTGTGGCGCTGCTCGTCCATCTGGTGGTGGCGCGAGACGGAGCGGTAGACGGAGGAGAGCTGGTGGTTGGTGCCCTGGAGGCGGTTGTGCAGGTCCTGGAACTGGGCTTTGGAGGTCTGGAAGATGTCTGCGTCTTGGTCGGCGACCTCTTGGAAGTCTTGGCTGTTGGTGGGCACTTGCTGCTGGCGGTTGTAGGCGAACTGGGTGCCGCCGTTGGCATTGCCGGTGGCATCGTTGTTGTTGCCGTTGTTGCCGTTGTTGCCGTTGTTGTTGTTATTATTATTGTTGTTATTGTTGCTGCTACCGTCCTTGAGGTCGTGGCTGGAAGTGTCTGACGTGACAACCACCTTGAAGACCTCAAACGAGTCGGGGCTGTCTGGCGTAGACGCAGTGACGCCCACAAAGTTGCCCTTTGGCAAGCTGACCTTGTTCGTCTCAAAGCACGTCTTGCCGTCAATCTGGACCCGGAAGCCGTCGCCCCTCTGGCGCAACTTGACCTGCGCCGGCCGGCCCAGGTTGCGGTAGCTGAACTGGCAGTGGCCAAACGCCAGCGAGTCGACATTGTGGTGCTGCGAGTAGTCGGTCGAGCCGTCGTTGAGGAAGCCGCGCAACATGCCGCCCTGGCCGCCGTGCGAGTCAACGACCAGCACCAAGCCGTCGAAGCGGCCGGCGTTGTAGACGCTGCGGGTGCGCAGGTTCTTGCCATCGCGGGCCACCCAGATGTTGAGGTTGCCGCCCGCCCTGTCGGGGCCGCTGGCGCGAAAGTCGACGTCGATGATCCAGTTGTCGTGGACCAGAGGGTTCTCGCTCCAGATGGCGCCGCGCGCATTGCCTGGCGCGACGGGCGTGAGGACGACCTTGCTGGAGAGGATCTCTGGCATGCCGGGCTGGCCAGAGACGGCGAAGTTGGGGATGTGGCCTGGGTTGTCGGCCGGGCTTATCCTGGACGGCGCAGAGACGCATTAACTACCGCTGCCATTGTCTCGAAGGCAATTGACGCAGAAACAAGAAACAAGGCAAAAACATACCGCCCTGCATATCCAAAACTGAGCTCGCTGACGAGGAAATCGGCGTGAGCGGCACCGGCGCCCAAGAGGGCCGCCAGCGACAACGAGAATCGCATCGTGACTGAGACGTTTTCAGGCCAGGTTTACGGATGCAAAAAGCCCGGCTTCAGGGTCCCAAAGCCAGGCACCGCGAGAGGGGATATTTATATAGAACAATTGAACCGAAGAGTTGCAGCCGAGTCTGTTCGAGCGGGTTGGGAAAATAGCCAGAAGGACACTTTGCACTAGAGGCACATAGGCACAACAGCTTCTGGAGGCGCCGCCGAGCTTGGCTGGCTGAAGCACAGACGAGAAAGAGAAGTAATAAATAACCTAAAAAAAAAAAAAGAATTTTCTAAGAAGAGCAAAAGACCTGACAAGCAGCGCACTGAAGCAAACGAGAGGCGATTAATGCCGATATACACATAAAATACACACAAGAGAGCATTATCTGGCTTCTATTCTCACCTTCTCCAACCATCGTTTCATGGCCACTTACACAGCTGTGGCTAAATGTGGCGGGGAATGACTTCTGCAACGGCGCGCTAGTCTAAACCAGGCAGTAAAACAGAAAAGAAAAGAAGAAAAAAAAGACGACATGCCAACTACCTTATGGGGTAAATCGCAAGCTTGTTGTGGCTGCTCCGGACCTTAATCTCAGACAAGGCAATTTGTTCTCTGTAGCGCCAATCACCATCGCCGGACTTGGGCTTGCTCTGCTCTGCTCTCCAAACTCCCTGCGGCAAAACACTCGAGATGCGGTAGCAATTCCGCCTGCAGAATAGACAGACACAATGGCAGAGTCGTTTCCTACGCTGACACAATGCGCGCTGGTGGCCGCCGCATTCAAGGTGCTCCTGTTCCCGGCCTAGTAAGTTGAATGCTCTGCTGTACTCTAGCTCTTCCCTGCCCTGCCCTGCTTTCACATGCATGCGATGCGATGCAATGCCGCTGGGGGAAAGAGACGCGATGTTGATTGACTGACTCAACGCTTGGCTTGCAGCAAGTCGACCGACTTCGAGGTTCACCGCAACTGGCTGGCCATCACCAACAGCCTTCCTCTGTCCGAATGGTACTACGAACAGACTTCGGAATGGACTCTCGACTACCCGCCCTTCTTCGCCTACTTTGAGTGGCTGCTCGCCCACGTCGCTCGCCTGGTAGATCCGGCCATGGTGCGGGTATACAATCTTGGATACGATAGCTGGGAGACGGTCTACTTCCAGAGGTTCTCCGTCGTCATCACGGAGCTTCTCTTGGTCTACGCCCTGCAGATGTTTATCGACTCGTCGCCTCTGCAGTCCAAGAGGGCTGCCCAGGTCGCCGCGCTGTCCGTCGTCTTGTCGCCCGGGCTGCTCATCATCGACCACATCCATTTCCAGTACAATGGATTCATGTACGGAATCCTCGTCGTGTCGCTGGTGCTGGCGCGGTGCAAGTCGACGCTGCTGCAGAGCGGCCTCGTCTTTGGGGCGCTCCTCTGCTTCAAGCACATCTACCTCTATCTGGCGCCGGCCTACTTTGTCTTTCTCTTGAGGGCGTACTGCCTGTCGGCGAGATCCGTCTTCCAGATCAAGTTTCTCCACTGCGTCAAGCTTGGCCTCGGGCTTGCGGGGATATTCGGGGCTGCTTTTGCACCCTTTGCCCTGATGGAGCAGATCCCCCAGCTCCTTGGCCGACTGTTTCCCTTTTCACGTGGGTTGTGCCATGCTTACTGGGCGCCAAATGTTTGGGCACTCTATTCGTTGGCCGACCGCGTCTTGATTCACTGTGAGTACAAACTGATGGGCATGAAATTCGTGATGAAGAGTGAAATTGACTCGCAGTAGTCGCGCCAAAGCTGGGTCTTCCGCTCAAGACTGAGGCTCTGAACAGCGTCACTCGTGGCTTGGTTGGCGACACGGCCTTTGCGGTCCTGCCCGAGATCACCCCTCGCATGTGCTTTGCCTTGACGCTCTTTTTCCAAGTCCTTCCCCTGATCAAGCTCTTCAAACGGCCCACGTGGGAAAACTTTATAGGAGCAGTGACGCTGTGCGGATATGCCTCGTTCCTCTTTGGCTGGCACGTGCATGAAAAGGCCATTCTGCTGGTCATCATCCCCTTCAGTTTGATCGCCCTCAGGGATCGACGACACCTCAGCGCATTTCGGCCGCTCATCGTCGCGGGTCACGTGTCGCTGTTCCCGTTGATCTTCACACCCGCCGAGTTCCCCATCAAGACGATCTACACCGTCTTCTGGCTAGTCTTGTTCCTGACGTCGCTGGACCGCATGGCGCCGGCGTCCAACCAGCCCAGAGTCTTCCTTTTGGATCGGTTCAGCACGCTTTACATTGCGGTGAGCATCCCGCTCATTGCATACACGTCCCTCTTCCACCAGGTTATATTTGGGAGCCGGCTTGAGTTTCTCCCCTTGATGTTTACGAGCTCCTACACCGCGATCGGCGTAGTTGGCAGCTGGGTCGGATACATGGTTGTGTACTATACATGCTAGAGCTGGCGATGTGAGAGGATGAAAAGTAGTGGGCTACAGTGATACCCTAATAGAGAAGATGGAACCGTTGAAAGCAATCTTGGCTGTCTTGCCTGCCCGCTGCCAGAGCCCCGAACACGCCCGGATGCCGCGTCGCTTGAAGTGCGGCATTGAGGTGTGCTTAGTCATCGTGTAGGGTCGGGTAGTGGGGCGCTCCACGTGAGGCGAGGCTGACGATTCCCGTTTTGTGCTGAGCCAGTGGAACCGGGGTTGAGACAGGGGGTGGCATCGACAGGGAATTGCGACAAAGACACGCTGCCAGCATTGGGGCAGAACAGCTTCGACGAGGGTAATGCCGTGAGGGAAAACGGCGTCAATTGGCAGCAGGAGAGACTCTGGTGTCTTTTCTTCACAGGGGATGCGAATAGCCGCGGGCGGAATGACGTCAGGGCTAGCGCGGACAGTTGCCGAATTTGGAAATCAGGGACACGAACGTTGCAAAGGACGGCACCGACCAAAGGGCATTGACGGCTGGTATAATTGAGGCATGTGGACGATGTAGTGAGATAAACGGCACGACTAACATGCCATTGTGAGAATTGAGTTGCGTGCATTGTTTGCATCCCTCATGCTGACTTGTCGTGATCGTTGCTCGCTGGCCCCCTCAGGAAGAAGAGCGGCCCCCCCGAGCAAATCGCCCGCCCGCCGCCGAAATGGACCTACCTGCCGCCGCCGATCCGCGCCGCGCACGTACCGGGGCATAAGTCGCTGAAAAATGGGCGGATGCGTGCCATTCAGCGCATTCTGGAATCGGTGAGGCGCAGGGAACAAAACGAGCCCGAAAAAGGGCGTGATGTTGTACGTTGCGAGGTGGTTGTGGGCGGTTGATGAGTGGAGGGTCGATGGGATGGGTATTTCGGTTGTTTTTTTTTTTTTTTTTTTTTTTTTCAACTCGGGGGGATTTTTTGGCTAGGTTGTTGGCGGGCCTAGTTTGGGTTTACTGTGGAAGGTTTCCCTTTTTTTTTTTAGGAGGAGGAGGGGGGCGGATGGCCGGGGGTTGGGATTTTTGGAGAAGGGGGGAGAGAAGAGGAAAAAAGACGGCAGACGGAGAGTGAGTTGAGAGGACGGACGGGGGTGGGAGTCTTGGGTGACAGGCAGGGAACAAAGGAATTGGGCGCGGGGGGGTTGCGCGAGGAGCGGCGGTACGGGGAGGGTACATGTGTGGATTGGGGTGAGAGTGAGTGAGTGAGTGAGTAGGGGGAAGTGCCGGAGGGGGAGGGGAGGGATGATGGGAGGTGAGGGTGAGGGGGTTTGGGGTTGATTATGAGTGAGGGATCAAGATGAATTGATTTTTTAGTATTATTTTGCTTGCTGGTTGGTAGGTTGAAGGACGTTGTTGAGGTGAGAGTTGATGCACCATGAAGACATTAGAGGTATTCATTGGCTTATCCCCAAGGCAGACATGCACCAAGACGACAACCATGGACTGTCAACACAAATTGTTACCAAGACTAGAGATTCAAATTGATGCAGGCAAGCGAAACCATGTATCTTATTTTTACAAATGTCAGCACCATGCATCGGCTTCACTGCCCGTCAATCTCATCATCAACTCTCTGAACCCGGTTTGACACCGCAAGTACCCCCCAGGTACTCTGCACGCCCGCGGTACCGGCCGAGTACAACGCCAGGTACATGGCAACCCGCTATAAACGCTGGTGCTGGTGCTGGTGCTGGTGCTGGTTTTGACCGTCTCCACGGCGGGACGCATTTTCCCTAGGTGACTTTAGTTCCGGTGGCAGCTCTCTCGTTCTCCCGCGCAATTCTTTTTCCCTCCACGCCTCCGTTGCACGTCACTCGCCCTCAGTCGCGTCGAGTCGAGCCCTCACGCAGCTTCACCCACCGCCTCGGCATCCAGGAAATGCCCGCCCGGCGTCCTTGCGAGCTGCCCGGACCGCGTTTGCGATAGCTTTTGAGAGGTGCCAGGCCCGTTGACAGCCTCGTGTAAGTGCGGCATCTGGCCTGCCCCGGCTTTCGGTTTCCAGGCACCGCGACTTTTCCTTCTTCCTCTTCTTTTTTTTTTCTTCTTTCTTTCTCTCTCTTCTACCCTCAGCCTTGTCCACGCTTCGAAAGCTGCAGACGCAGACACGGCATTCAACAACCTCGAACCGCCAGTTACGACCGCAACATCGAAACCATTAGCAAGAATCGGAATCTGCCGTCGTCGATTCCCCTTCGCTGCATCCGCGCCTCGTCTCGTCTTGCGCTTGGCCCGGATGCCTGTGCTGCCGAATCCCTCGATTAGATAACGCGCCAAGTATCCGATATTCTTTGTCGCTTCTCTGCTCCCCCCAATTCTGCCTGCGACAAACCTCCTCCTTTGTTTCTCTTCTTCTTTTTCTCTTTCGACTCCACACAACCGCAATCTCCAAATCTATTATAGCTCACAATCATGGTATGCTGTCACCGCTTAACCCGTCGAAGCCCATCCACAGCTCACTCATATGCTACGACAGGTGCTGTTCAAGAGGAAACCCGTCCAGTTTCTGCCTCCCGCAGAGATTGAGGATGACGATGCCGAGGTATGTCGAGCGTGGTCTGGATCACTGATGGCGTTGTTTCCGACGCGGGACGGAGAGCGTAGGGCTGACTTGGGGGTCTCGTTTAGGTCTGGCACATTCCTCAGACGGGGGAAATATTTGCTTCCTATGAGGACTATCTGAATCGGTGAGTTTGTCTGTTCCTTCTTCTCCGTTTCTTTGACCGTTGCCATTATGCGCCGCGTGCTGACAACTTTGCTCTTTGGCTTTCAGAATGGACTTTTACAAGCAGGTAACCACCCTTCAAAGCCCCGCCATCGCCGGCTATGCAACGAGTCGAGCAATATACTAAACTCGGGATTTCCTATAGCGCCGCTTCAATGACGAAATCACGGGCCACTCAGGTCTCACATTTTTCGAGGCTTACACAAGCGAGGTTGGTTTGCTTTCACCCTGGCGCTCAATTGAATATGCCTGGCTTACCTGATTGTGCGCAGCGTGCTGGTGGTCAAGAGGTCGAGGCTGCCTTCCCCGAAGCTCTCAAGGGCCCTATTCTCCGAAAGGTTCAGTTCCAGACCATCTCTCGTCTCGACAACCTCGTCGATATGGTGTACGATGAATTCAAGGCCGATTTCTATCCTGGAGAGGATGTCTTTGTCACCCTGGACGAGTTTAACAACGAAAGGCGCGCTTGCCTTGTGCGGGAAAAGACAACCTTTGGTGCTAGAATATTGCCGGATGGCTCAAGTTCTCTCCCCACAAGCCGGTATCTAGTCGTCCTCGGCGGTGGCTCTGGAGAGGAGCAAGTAGTCACCAACGACAACCTGAGCCGTGAGCGCGGCGCTTTTACCAAATCCATGCTTCGGTCCTTTCTGAAAAGAACAGTCATTCGAGAGGCGTGGAACGGCGCCCCATGGCTCGTCAAGCACGACTACGCCGGCCAATATCACATCGATACCAGGATCCCCCCCCACCTTCGGCACGACACCAAGATCCAAGAGCGCAAGCAGCTTCTGGCGCAGAAGCGTGAACGGAACTCGATACACGATGCGAATGGACACAGCCCGGCGGTGCAAACCGGTCCGGTGCGCCTGCCTGAGCTGAAGCCCGCTCCCAAGAGCCACAAGGGAAAGCAGACTCCCAACACCGCAGGGACCAAAGGCCTCAAATGGCCCACGGATATGGCGCCCGACGGTGTCAATGGCACTGCTTACCCTCGATTTGACGACGAACGACCCGCTGCACCGCGTGAACCGACGCCTCCACCACCTCCTCCGCCGCCGAAATACCCCATTGAAGATTTGCAGCTGGAGCCGAGGGAGGGCCATGTGCGGCCGAAACTCAAGTTTATGTGCAAGAATCCTCCCCTCGAGATGGAAGTCGACGATGCCATCTCCCGCCAAATCGACATGAACACTGTCGGACCTCTCCTAGAGACGTGGGACACGCTCAACGTTTACTGCGAAATCTTCAAACTCGACTCCTTCACTTTCGACGACTTTGTCGAGGCCTTGTCAGTTGCTTCAAATAACACTCAAGTTCAATTATTCGACGAAATCCATTGCTCTGTGCTAAAGATTCTTGTCGACTCTGAATCTGACGGCGGTAAGGTGCGCATCACTCTGCCCGAGGTGGAAGAGGATGAGAGCGACGAGGAAGAGGGCGAGGAAGACGATGGAGAAGAGAGTGGAGAGGAAAGCGTTGAGCTGGAGGATATTCCAGTCGCGAGGGCTACTCGCAGCAGTCTGGCAAAGCTTGAGGCGGAGAGGCTGGCTGCTGAAGCGGCAGCTGCCGAGGAGGAGACTCTTCGTGCAGAGCAGGAAACCAAGAATCGAGCAGAGGAACTTTTGAAAGAATTCGACTGGGTCGAGCATCTTCGCCTGCGGAATTTCCAAAACGGAGGCTGGCAGAGGATCATAGTTGGTCTCCTGCATCAGCTCTCCAAGAATGAGCGCCTGCAACAAGCCTGCGAGGAGCTGCTGCAGCAATTGGTGCCTGCAGAGATGAATCCCTCCCCAGAAAACGTGCAGCGGCAGTATGCCGAGATGGACATCAACTACCGCGTCAAGGCTCTGCAGATCATTTGCATGCTGACAATGGAGACAAAGGCGGTCAGAGGCTACATGGAAGACTGCAGCGAAACCATGACCAAGTATCGCAAAGACAAGATTGAGTGGCAGCGACAGCGGAAACAGGCGTAAGTTGACCTTTCCCCCCCTACTCTTGACATTTACGGTTTATCTTACTGACTTTTCTCCTGCCTTGCAGAACCGAAGAGCTTCGGCAACTTAATGAACAGCGTAAGCTGTTGATGCCGGAGAACGAGCCAGCAGAGGAGACCAATGGCACTCCTGTCAAGGAGGAGATCGACGTCAAGATGGCAGACGCCGACGAGTCAATTGTGAGCAAAGATGAAGACGCCGAAGACAGCCAAGATGAGAACTCTAGGAAAAAGCGTCGAAGCCGCGTCTTGACGGACAAGAAGAAGAAGCACGAGGAAGAGGAAAAGGTCAAAAAGGCAAAAGAAAAAGCTTTGGAAAAGACGAAACCGCAACAGTCGAAGCAGTACATCAAGCTTCTCAAAGACATACAAAAGAAAGAGGAAATCATCAAGAAGTGCGAAGAAGAAGTCGCCATCATCGACAACGATCTACGGGAGGCTGATTGTCCAAGAACTCGCGTTCTTGGAAAGGATAGGTTTTGGAATCGTTACTACTGGTTTGAGCGGAACGGCATGCCTTATGCCGGATTGCCCGACAGTTCTACGGCGCATGCGGCATACGCCAACGGATGCATCTGGATCCAGGGCCCCGACGACCTGGAGCGAGAAGGATACATTGACCTACCGACCGAGCTTCAAAATGAGTACAAGGCCAAGTTCAACATGACTGTCCCAGAACGGAAGACGATGGAGGAAGGCGGCAGCAGTGTTTTTAACGCCAAGCAATGGGGCTACATCTCGGAACCAGAAGACCTAGACCAACTCATCAAGTGGCTGGATCCTCGAGGCTTCAACGAGCTAAAGCTACGAAAGGAGCTGGTTGCCTACAGAGACAGGATAGCCAAGCACATGGAGAATCGCAAAAAGTATCTCACCGGCGATACCGAGGAGGACGAAGGCGACAAGAAGGAGGAGCCGAAACGAGTGAGCTCAAGGATCCGGGAGAAGACTCCTGACCCGCCCAACTACCGCTGTCTGCAATGGGAGAACACAATGGCTCTGGAAGAGCTGGGCCACTTGCATGGCGATCCGCCCCCGCCTCCGCGATCAAGAAAGCAAACAAAGAAGAGGGAAGCCATGGCCGAGGCTGCACCGAGACCCGCCACGAAAACGCGACGCAAGTGATGGAATATTTTGTTTGTTCCTTGAATACTGGGGCGTTCTGGCCGCACCGACCATGAGCGACACATACCTTATCCATTCGCATATCCAAGCGGCTACATTAGCCACTGAGGGTTGTGAGCAGCAAGTTTGCAACGAGCTCTCTGTGCTACTACCTCCCAGTCTTGTCGAATATAACGCACCGTAACGACTGATTAGATGGCCCGTGTTAGAAATTAGACTGGAGTTGGGGGAATCTACGCATGGAAAGGGCCGTCTTGTTTTGGTTTTTGTGTAATTTAAAAAGAAGAAAACTTTCCATTCCAATTTTTGTTGCTTGCATGTTGCAAGGTTTTCCCCTGGCTGTGGAGGAGGGAGAGATGAAATAACTACTACAAAGGTATATATATACATATAACTGCAGAGGCTGGTGTTGGTTACAATCGGGAAAGGGTCGATTGAGAACTGCATTGAAAGGTTGGCTGAAGGGTGTTTTTTGGAGAAGGATGTATTGTATGGATATTTGAGATGAGAATTGTATTGAACCAAGTACAAATGCCAATTCGAGGCATGATTGCCTAATTTATTGATGCTGTGTAAATCTGTGTTTTGTGAGGGAGGTGATGTAGGGCGAATTGGAGTAGCGTTGAGATTGGGTTTACTATCAACTTGAGAACAGAGTATGCGGCTACGATACTTGTGCCTCGAGTGGTTAGAATGTCACCATAGGTGTTGATATAAGTTAGTAGCAAAAAAACAAAAAAACATACAACAGCCGGTGTTCGCTGATGGTCACCCACTCAACTACTAATCTGCCTCTCATTGGCTTGACGCTGGGGGAGCAGACGGGACCCCGTATTTTCCAATGGATATGGTCGTATGTGCTTGGAATAAGATGATCTCGGTTCATATGTAATAACTACGGGCTTTTGTACCAGTTGTTATTAACCAAGAACACCTCTTCCAGAGGTGGGTGGAGGAGAGACCACTCAGGCCTAGGGGAAGATGAAGCAGTCCAGGCACACCTAGAGTCTCATATATATTGCTCGTTTCTCAGGTAATTCAAGAACTCGTTGGCAAAATCACCTCTCGGTTCTGCGCTGAGGGACGTTTTCCTCTGTTCTTCAGTTACATAAGCAGTTTCTTATATCTCGCTTATCCTGTGGTCACTACTGAAAGTCGTTGCTTACTTTAGGCCTTACTACATAGGCAAGAGGATCTACTTTCTCTTTACAGCTTGTTAACCTGCCCTCTTGTAGGCCTGCCTTCTGCCAGGTAGTGGTTAGTCCCTTTCATCAGTCCATCGAGGCGGGGGCACCGAGTGCCAAGCATTTAAGGGAATTCAAGTTGAATGAGGCTACAGCGGAATGAGGCCCGTGCAGCCTTTGTTGTATAATGTAATTGCTTCGGGTTGTCAGATCTTATTCGCCTCCCGGTGGGATATTAGCGACGCTGGCATGTAGCATACAATACCGTACTACACCATACTTCTACCGAGCTGTGTTAGGGTATAATGTTTCATCATGTTCTGTAAGAGTTATTGAGAATACAAACGGAAAATGAGCTGTTACCTCAATTCTAAGTCATGTTGCTGTTAGTATTGGGGGAGTCAGCCACAGCAACACATTATACATGTTACACCAAGTTTCCCCGCCAGTCGCTATCCACGTTGGGTCTTTTCTGCTGAACTTTATGCCTTCAACTTTACATTGACTGTCGAAGCCTATAACCTTTGGTTTTTAAGGGACGGAGTTATACATAGATTATATAATGAAGAAGACTAAAGGGAAGAGACATATATCAACGCTGCACTAGACTTTACATAATTCCACGTATATGAGGTAAAAGTAAGTGCAAATTAATAGGACAAGTGCTTTATCCGGACGCCATATGTGCGAAACTATATAAAGGATATATATTATCACGATCATTATGTTATAACTTATGGGTTAACCCTGCGAGTTACGCGGCGAGCGACCTTTTCATTTACCTTGCGGTGATGTAGGGTTGGACGAAACTATTTCTTATTTATAGCCCGATCTAAACCGTTTTGAACAGATCAGCCATGGTTCGTCTATGGAAAGTCTCTCAGTGTTCTCTGCCGTATCTCTCTGATGCTAGAAGTGCCAGTAGGCTCGTGATAGAACGTTGTAAGGAAACGCCGGTCTGCTTTAGCGACGAGCGACTGCCATCCTATCCAGGGCATCCAGTTGCTGCTACTTAGCTGTGCGAGTAGTTACTAAAAATACCTGGCCGAGCTGGCGAGGATGAGCATTCATTAGCAATACGCTGCAGCTCGGCCATACAGATGGCTTCAGCATGCCTCTCAACTTCAACATCCTTTACAGCTAGGGACGCCAGATCCGGCTTATCGAGCAGCGGTAGCCTCTCGCACCTGCTATGCCCTAAGGATATCGCCCAGCGGCTAGCTTTGAAAGAGGAGATTACCCTGAATGTGGCCTCGAAGCCAGCGCCCAGCTGGGCTTCTGGTCTTAAACCTCGCTAAGCTGCGCTCTCTTTAGGTGCTGAGATAGGATATAATGGCTTATAGAGCGGAAGCGGCAGTGTGAGCACGCGCATCGGAAACGTGCATCGGATCGGAAGTCGGGTCGGAATTTGGATCGGAATTTGAATCGGAATGAGATCGGAATTTTGGTAGTTGACGGTACGCCCCATGCGGAGATGGTACCAGATTCCAAAGCATCTTTTTTTTATTGCCGTTCATCGACGTTTAGGCTAATCCCCTGATACTAATGGTAAGAGTGTATAAATTAACATATATAGCTATAGTAGGTTCACATCTAATATTAATTTTTTTTTAACTATCCTTAAAATAGTAACCATCTATTGAATTGCTTCTTGCTGCCATTTCTACGCCTGCTAAAATTGAAAAATTGACAAGATCCATTTTATACGTAAGTTCATTCCGCGGGAATATGTTGAGAGCGCGGGACTAAGCATGATTTGCAGCTTCAGTATGTCTACATCCAACGAGCTCTTCGAACAGACACGAAACACCGGTCAATTTGTAAAAAGAGCCTACATTATCAGAAGTGAATTCGTCAACCCTAGCCTTTTCGACGACGTCGTTAAGGAACACCGAGACTACTTGGAAGAACTGGCCGCAAAAGGCAAGCTTTTAGCTGCTGGACCCTTTGTACCTGGCGGGTCGGAGAGTAAATATAGTGGAGTGGGCATGATTGTCGTGTATGCCGATTCTGAAGACGATGCTAGGTTCATAGCAGAGGAAGACCCGATGCATCGAAAAGGCGTGCGCCAGTTCACAATCGATTTCTGGCTTATTAAACATGTTGCGCAGTCTTATAAGGAAATTCTATAGCATTGAGGAAGTATACTTAGTCGATCATACGCTGCGCTTATGGCCATGGCAAGAGTTGGAGTCAGATTACCATCATAGATCACGGTCCTTGTGAGGATCATAGGGCCGGTCTAAGTCGTCTCAACGTCGTCGGTAGTCTGATGAGAATGGGGTCGTTTTACTTCTAGCATATATAGTGGGGATGTAACTATGAGAAAATCAAGGCTCATAGCCTTCACAAAGCCAATAGTGCTACCGCTCCTGATGGAGATGGTGAAGTTCGCACCCTGTGCTTTCGCATATTTAAGACCTTCATCGGTGATATATACGTAGAGTGTGCAAGCCCGGACGCGGCCTGCAACTTTGGACGAGCAGCGGGCACCATATGTTCCTACAAGGGCAAGAGTATGACGGAGCACAAGGTCAACTACCCCCCTTGAGTAATATGACGAAACATCTTGGACACGATTTTTCTAGGGCGGCCTTGTTCTCTCACGCTGTTCCTGGGCAAGACCCTGCCTTGTTGGCCTCCATCATAGATCCTAACTTGCTGCAAGACTTCACAGCAGCAGACAAGAACATGTCGGGTTTGGAATTTTCAACGTTTCAAGTTGATGGATTATATCCCGAAGGGCCAGATGTCGATCTTTCATCAACAATGCTATAAAGAAGGTTTAAAGTGCTAAAGAAGTGCAAGGTAGCTGCAAGTTTGTATTATATGACCGGTGCTAGATCGACTATTGATGTATTTGTTGTTGGGCAGTATATGTACACTATTCTAGTCTACATCAGGGACAGGCAGATCGTCAATGAATATGATTTTGCGACCTAATTTAGCCATTGCTTCCTCGGCCTTTTGTCTGCGCAGCTCCGCGGCAGCTTGCTCCTTAACTAGGACGAAATCATAGGTAAGCAGGGAAGAGCCCAATTTGACGCCGTATTTGCTTGCTATTTCCTCATCCTCGACCTTCTCAATCTGGACTACAAGAGAGTCCTTAACGCCAAAGACGGCATCGGCAGATTCATAAGGGTCATCTTTGAGATATAATGCACTATAAATGCATGTTAGTTTGCGATCATATTCAGGAGTTTTGAGTGTTAGGATAGACTTGCGTGACTAATGGGTCGTAGCCGTCCTTTTTAAATATAAAGTGCATGTGACCTGGCCGGTAAGGATGGCGATTCAGCACATTGAGGAGCTGTCCTACCGGCCCATCGTGCGGGATAGGGTATGGTACGGGCACAATAGCCTTGAACCAAAAGTTGCCCATTTCATCGCTTGTCAAGATAGCTCTGCCATCCGGACCGCTTCTGTCTTGGTGCTGCACATCGTAGAACCCCTTTGAGTCGGTCTCCCACGTATCGATCTTGACCCCAGAGATGGGCTGCCCGTTGGTGTCCTTCAGCGTACAAAGGACGAGAAGTGGCTCGCCATCTGGGTCATGTGATATGAGGGAGCCTGCAATTGCATCCTGGGCTTCATGAGTATGAAAGGGCCCCAAGACTGTGCCTTCAGTGCTGCCTTTTGGCTTGGGATGATCGATTGAGTCCACTAGAAGGGAGAGTCCTAAGACGTCTGATAACAAAATAAATTCCTAGGTCATGGTAAGTTTTTGCATATTTACGTACGCAGAGAGAGTATGCATACCTGTCTGACATCTGACGAAATCTGACCTACTCGGGTCAGGAATTGAATAGCCGTCATCCACTCGTCTGTGGTGAGTCTAGTTTCTCTCGCAAGATCGTGCAGATGTGTAACGGTCCGCTCTAGAATATACCTTATCCGCAGATTGTTGCACTGCGAGTTGATGACGTGAACATTTTCAGTGATGTTATCAACCGTCAGATCTTTTAAGCCGATAGGGGTGGCCATGGTGTAAGGCGTGCGTATGATTTTAATGGGATGTTAAAATGTACGGCTTAAGCATGCAATTTAGTGTGATTGGTTGCTCGACTTGGTATTTAAGTGGTAAGTCTTCAGGCTTCAGGAATCTTGAATACCAGGTTCGGGATGTTTCCTGCTTTGACTGTTAAATATAGTTGTTTATACGGAGTAAAGGGTGGAGAAATATGCGATTGGAGAGCTCGAACCAGGAAACGGCAAGCCGGCTTTCCGGCCGAAAGACGCGCCACATCCGGAACTTGGTGGGGACGCTTTCCGGACTTCCGGCTTGCTTCAACGGCCAATGCACAAACAAGCATGAGTGCATCCATTAACTTGACTGCCATATTACGGTCCTTCACCAGGCTTAGTGTGACAAACAGCTAGAGACCAACTAGACGTTTTATTCTTCAATTATCAGTCGCGCGGGACGCAGACTTGAAATAACAATCCAGTTACCTCTCCGACCTCACATTTCACTTTGAGAAGAGCATTACAACTCTCACTGTCAACAAAATTCGCCCATCATGATGAAAGAATTCGAATACAATGTCCTTGCAAGCCGAGTCGTCTTTGGTTCCGGCAGTGTCAAGAAGCTCCCGGGCGAGATGGAGCGTCTCAAGGTTTCTCGACCACTCCTACTCTCAACGCCTGGAAAGAGCCATTGGACAAATCAGCTCTCCGATCTCATACAAGGCGCTTCCATGACTGCAGCCGGTACCTTTGCGCAGGCAAAGGCACACACGCCAATCCCGGTGACTGAAGAAGCAACAGCCTTGCTCAATTCAATAGCAGCAGACTGCGTGATTTCCATTGGCGGCGGCTCAGTAGTTGGCCTAGGTAAGGCTATCTCTATTCGCACGGGAGTGCCTCATATCAGCATACCCACGACTTATGCCGGCTCTGAAATGACGCCCCACCTCGGCGAAACCCAAGATGGCATCAAGACCACACGATCGGATCCCAAGATTCTGCCTGAAGTTGTTATATATGACGTCGACTTTACAATGACGCTGCCGCTCGCAATCTGTAGTTCATCAGGGATCAATGCAATTGCTCATGCCATAGAGGCTCTCTACGCGAAGAATACCAGCCCCATTATTTCAATGCTTGCGCTGGAAGGTATAAAGGCGCTGGCAGAGTCTCTACCTCAGATCGTTCAGGACTCCAACGCTAAAATCCCGAGGGACAAGGCGCTGTTCGGCTCTTGGCTTTGTGGTGCTGTGCTGGGCAGCTCGTCGATGGGTCTGCACCATAAACTCTGCCATGTCCTTGGAGGATCGATGTTACTCCCTCATGCCGAGACACACACCATCGTTCTGCCACATGCGTTGTCTTATAATGCACCTGTCATCCCTGAGCAGATGGCCAAATTGGCTGCTGTTCTTCCCGGAAGCGGTGGAGATGCCTTGAGTGGTCTAGAGCTGCTAATAGGAAAGTTGCCAGTGCCTCGGACATTAAGAGACTTGGGAATGGAGGAGAGCGATGTTGATAGAGCGACCGAAATAGCCACTCGTAATCAATATCCAAATCCGCGGGCATTGGAGCCGGAATGGATACACGAGCTTATGCGACGGGCTTGGGCAGGGGAAACTGCCAAGGCAGATTTATGCAGTATGTAAATGCCAAACAAGCTCGTGGTTCCTTTGCAAAGAATCTCCCCGCAAGTTCGTAGTCCACTGCGTGGGCAAATAAGCTGACTCGTACCGAAGAGTCTGGCTCACATTCATGCCCAGATACTTTGCCAACGTGAATATTTGTCCCCAAATAAGCCTTAGCGAGGCGACGAAAGTTTTCATAATGAGTGCAATTCGGACTACTTTTCATTGGCTAGAATTGCATCTGGTTGAGCAAAGAAATGTCTACCATTGGTTTGCTGAGATACCCCTCAATGCCCTCCTTTCTCGGTTTATGTGGCCCTCCATGCATAAAGATGAAATTGCATCACTTTATAGTATTATGTGGGTCATAACAACCAACACAAACAGCGTCGAGTATGTCTTCACTGCATTTAATCTTAATAGTTGACTGGAAATTCTCCACCGAGAAAATTGACGCTGACGAAAGACCGAACGAAGTTAAGGAGTTCAATATTAGGAAAAGGGACATAGTTCGCTGGTTTTACAATGCAGGCGACGTGATAACGGTATTGTTCATATGACCGTCGCAACGCTTCTCGGACTAGTCTGAGACTTTATCGAGGAGCCCCTGACTGGAACGTTCCGGAAGAGGTGTCAAACTCAGCATGTGCGAGGGGTCATATCAGCTCCGATCCCATCCGGTCACGGCGAATTCAAGGTTGTCTATCTCGGAACATTCCGCCCCACTCGGCCGCGATGGTAGACGCGGGTTCGAAGGGGGTGGGATATGCTACTCAGCCTGTGCGCCGCCAAAGATCTGGAAACTCGGAAATTATTCCGTAATGCAACAATTGACTCCAATGGAACTTGTCATAGTTCCGCTGCCTGAAGCTTTTGGGTGAAGACTTGAGAGTGCAAATAAGGATAAATCTACTCTCTATGGTCCCGCAAGATGTGAGACGAAATTCCACTATCAGTTCAATCTTTTATCTGGCATTGAGTCTGATATCGTATTGGAGAATCCTTTGGACAATCGCTAAAGTTTCATACATTTTTTAAGGTGGTTCATTTCATAATAACCACTATGGACGCATCCCAGAAACCTCATGTTATTATTATCGGTTCGGGCGCCTCGGGCTGCCTCATCGCCCAAGGCCTAAAGAAGGTGGGTATATTGGCTTCTAGTTTCCTAGTTTCGTTAATATGCTGACTTAAACCTGCAGAGAGGAATCTCGTTTAGCATTCATGATGTAGTGAACCCAGCAAAGCGTCCTCGAAATTGGAGCATGAGCATCTACTGGGCCTTCCCATATTTCGAGAAACTGCTTCCCCAGCATTTGTACGAACGATTGCAGGAGGCACTGGTTAGACCTCATTATTATGCTACCGCCGATGAAAAACTTGTTATTAGCAATATTAAAACAGGTGATATCGTAAAAGAGTTTACCTACCCATACGCGATCAGGACGAATAGAATGGGAATTAGAAAGCTGGCGGTTGAGGGAATTGATGTCGTGGTATGTTATCCCTTTCGTTTTTGGAAAAGAGACACAGTGTCCTCTTTACTGAAGAAGAACGCCTGCTAATTGAGTGCAGTACGACCATGAACTGAGTGGCATCGAATACACCGAAACTGGCGTGATCGCACACTTCGCCGATGGAACCTCCGAGGCCGGAACAACTCTAGTCGGTGCAGATGGGGGAGGCTCATTTGTTCGACGTCAACTACTCGGGTCGCGTGGGGAAGCGCAAAGTTTTCCCGATTACGAGATGGTTAACATGAACGTGAAATATCCTTTGGAACATGCCAAGTATATTGCAGAGCATGTTGCTGGCTACGTCGACTATGGGGTTCATCCAAAGGGCATTTTCATGATGTTGCTCTGTAAGACTACGGTAAATCCTAAGACATGCACGAAATAGCAACTGACCTAATTTCAGACTGCACGGCCCCTGATGCGAATGATTATTCGACGTGGACTTTTCACATTGCATTGACTTTCCCTAGGGGCCTTCTCGAAAAGCCCCTTGAGGGCTTAAGCAATAGCGAGCGCGTCCGTCTACTAAAGACCCTCGCTGACGACATGACTGAACCAAGGCGAACGATCTTGAAGCATTTGCCCGACGACCAGGTGGTACCTTATGATCCTATCAGATATTGGGTACCAACACCATGGGATAACCATGACGGTCGGGTCACACTAGCTGGGGATGCATCGCACGCCATCTCTTTTCGTACGTGTTTTCGGTACCAAAATCCTCATACATCAGACTGACTCCTCAATCATGCAGACCGAGGCCAAGGGTTTAACAATGCTGTCACGGACTGCGCTCACTTCGTCTCAGCTATGGAGAATGTGGCAACAGGAAAAGCAAACCTCGTTGATGCCATAAGTGGCTATGAGAAAGAAGTGATTGAGCGAGGCATTCGCGAGGTAAATCTGTCCAAGGAGCTCACGTTGAGTATCCACGAATGGAATCGCTTTTTAGAGAGTCCAGAAATCAAACACGGCGGCAACGACTTACGGGGGCTTAAGCAGGCTAATGCCACAGGAGAGGCTGTTGTAAGCAGTTGAGCCAGCTCTAATATCAATGTAACAACTCAAGTAAGTTAAGTTTGCAGGTTCAACTTGATTTTGAAGTTGTCCATAAAAAGCTTGCTTAACTCAACTTGATATCCTTGATATATTAGTTAGTCAGTATTAACTAAGTTATTATTATATGGTTATAATACGACATTATTTCCATTTTAGTTGTAACGAGCACTGTAAGATAAGTCTAGTAGATATTAGGCAGCATATTCACACTAACGCAACTATTAACAAAAGCCATAACCTTCTAGCCTTCTATGATTGGCAAATAAATTCCCCTTTATATAGCTTAGTTAAGGACCATGTCCACTGTCTATTGCACCTATAGCTAGCCACTTTTGTGATACACTATCCTTTACATCTTTATTTACTATCTCTTTATCCCTTCTGTATCTCTTGACCTCTCATCAGTTTATATCTCCTTATCTCTTTATATCTCCTATCTTGGAGAGCAAGCCTTTAAATAAGATACTCTACACCTAGCTTAGATAGACTAATCTAACCCTCATCCTAGGTTTGCGATCCACGGTCCGTTCCAACTACTGATTCGGTAGACCCCCTGCCCAGTCGCTTATTATACAGCATACAGGCTAGAAAACAAATTAAATCCGCTAAAGGCTGTTAACCAAGGAGCCGCCAAATAACCATCCGAAGTCCTGGATTAGATCTGGCTCCGACAGGGACGGCGCCCTAGTTAACGGCGATATGTCTATGTCCTGCAAACCGGGAGGTATCACGTTGTCCACACTTTCAAACACATATGATTCCGCCATCCTTATCAGCTCCGTCGTGGCGTCTCTGGCACTTCGAACTTGTTCTCCCAGGGCCTCATTCTGTAAACCAGAATCATCTGTGCCATATGATCCAGGGACCAAGCGGTCGAAAAGTTTGAGACGTCGTGCTAGGCCACGGACGTGCTCTAACCAAAACTGGAAGTGATGTGAAGTCTTGGCTAAAGTGTAAAGAAGGTTTAATGCAACCACGGCATTCTGCTGAGCCTCGAGGTATGTGGTTTGTGTCATTGGTATTCGCTGTTCTCCTAATGACATTGAATCCGGATTTGATGATCCCCGGGAGACGGCCAGAAGGAGTGTACCTAAAGCGGCGATGAGGAAGTGGTTGTACTTGGACTGGTGAAAGCGGAATGACCTTGTCGAGCATTCTAGACAAGATAAGTGCTGAATGGTATCCGCAGCTGCGCCGACGGAAGAAGCCCAAATATCCAATGGTGCTGCAGAACATCGATTGTCACATATAAAAGAGCGAGCGACGATCATATGAAGATGATCCTTCCACAGATGCAGCAATGTGCGAAGCTGTTGATTCTGTAAATCAGTTGCAGCATCATGGGCTAAGAACTGAAAGTCTGTGCTGATTCTTTTGCCCCATTCGTCGAGTCGATATTGAAAGAAGGCAAAATGTTCTTTCCTCTCACTGATCCGGGTGCAGTCGTCACTCTTGTCACTGAGGAGAACATCAATGGCCTGGGTCCCAATCCGGTCAAACTCAATCATAGCCTCCAAATAAGGTGCATCTACCTGATGGAGAGATTATCAGTAAATTGGGAGGCTTCTCGTTAGGGTTAGATACATACTGGACCTGGAAAGGTTGGATCGAGGTGAAGATTTTGCATGGCCACTGTCACACCCAATAAATAGCTGAGAAGGCGATTTAGGAGGAAAGTTGTCCATATGGCGTTGATAGCCTGGGTACGGTCTGCCATGTCGGGGAATGATCGCTCCAAGACAATTTGGCGATTCAGCCCTAGTTCAAGGACTATCCGCGCCACGTTGCCCAAAAATCGCCAGGCAAGGCGCCATTTGCTCTGGTGGATATAGAACAAGCTCTGTGAAAACCTTGCATCAGCTCAGACTGGCAGCAATATAATAGTGACGGTGCGTCTTACCACCAGAGGTAAAAGCATCAGGCCCTTGAGATCCAACTTCGTACTCCATACTATAGCTTCTACCTCTGGTAAAATACTGTGATACAGGCTCAACGCCAAGTCATTACGGCCTTCACCCTCTGCCAAGAGCGCGATCGCTGCCACAATTTTTAAGATGGCAACATCTTTGCTCCCAACATCCACGCCATCATTCGAGGGTGTAAGTTCCGTCAGCCTTGCAGCCCACGTCAGTCTTGCTTGTTGTACTAGGGACGGAAAGTTCAAGAAAGGGTACAAGGTGCCAGCTAGGTTCTGGTAAATATAAACTAGCGAGATGAGGTCGTTGCAGCTTAGGTCAATATGAGTCTGTGTTTCGGTCGGTTGGGGCCTTGTCCCCGCAGCGCGAGGCAAGACGATCGGCCTACTCTCGGATCCCCCGTCTGCCGCCTCTTTGGACAACTCATTGATGATTTGGCCGTGGACAATGGAAAAGGTTGTTTGAGCACGTGGTGAGTCACTGTCATCTGAGATTGGTGGACCAGTGGCGTCGGGCTCAAGCACTTTTAAATTCGTGTCGGCGACGACGATGGAGAAAACAGAACTTGTAGAACCTTGGAATATCGGCAACGGCTGCTTCGGCGGCGTAGATGTAACCTCTCTGGCTTCGCATTGGACTCTTTGGGCCAAGAGAGCCTTTTCCAGCGCCGTGACCCGGTCAATCAGGAGATCCAGCTTTGTCGACATCAAAGTTTGGGATTCACCGGCCGTCTCCCTGCCGCATAGTTAGCTTGCAGGTATTCATCTCGGCTCTCGATTGAAGTATCTTACAGAACTGTTGCTGCAGCGGGAACACGATCGTTCTGGAAGCTTGGTAGACGCGCTGCGCTGTAGCAACAGGCGTTTGGAGTACGGGCAACACAGAAGCCACAAGGAAGTCCACCATCACAGCGAACTTTGGCGGCCCTACATGGATTACAAGCATGTGGTATATACCGGCTTCTCTTTCGTTTGTGTACGCTGTTGGGATTAGTTTGTTCCATGTTGGTTATCACGAGAGTTGCGTGCTCTGACAGCCTCGGAGGAAATGGTTACGGAGACAGAGAAGATGGGTTGGACGGAAGATCAGCCCGGGTATAAATACAGGGCCGCTGCTGGATAGCCGTCCTAGAATGACCACCAAGGGCCTGTTTTTGGCTCGGGAACCATGGCCAACCCCGCAAACTTCCCCATAGTGAACCCGCAGCACCTAGCTGGACCTTCCAGTGAGTCCGCCAGTTCAAACAGACCGCACCACAGCCGCCCCCAACCGATTCCCGCCAAGTACCGGTCCGCTGTTGATCCCAGCGTCCTGCGTTGGTGCTTGTCGAAACCATGGCCGGAAGAGTATATCTCCCACATAATCGGCGTGACCTTGTGGTATTCTCGATAAAACTTCTGGAGCGATAGATTTATTGTTCATGTAGCCAAGGTGAGGCCAACGCAGCTGCAGGTAGTCCAAAAGGAATATTCCATTCTTGCTTGCTCTTGTTGGACCTCCTAGCTAAACTGCAAGGGAGTTTGCTTTCGTGTAGATTTCCACCATTCGCTTTACCTGTTCTTCTTTTTCTATGTTTCAACTCTGGTTTATGCATATCGCATCAATCTAGATGGTTTCCACGCCCATATGCCGCAGATAAAGGAGCGCCTTGTGCAAATTTCGCGTCACTTCTAGTACCCTAAATTTTGGTGAGAAATACCACAAGGTACTTCAGTAACTAAAGAGCTTTATAAAGTTCGCAGACTAAAAAAACGTTTAGAATATTTTCTTTTCAGAATTTAATAATATATATATAAAACAGAGTTTCTGTAGCTTTTTTTTTTTCATAGAAATAAGGACGATTTCCCAGGTCAGTCAGTTATGGAAGTAGTCACGCGGCAGCCTCGTGTATGGAACTGGTGGTGGTGGTGGCCACGGATTCCTGCACGCGGCTCGTCACCGCATAAGCCATCTACTAATGCCGTGGAAATAAAGCTGCGGCTGATGTTTGCACGGGCTCCTCCACAAAGTTGCGCCCATTTCAGGCTGCGGTCACTCGGCTGCATATTGGCCCTCAGCTGGGAGGCTAAGCGGACGATGGATGATGGACGGTTCCAGTCTCACCTGCATGTCCTAAGCAGGGCGGAGTTTAGACGAGCCCAACGGACTGACTGGAAGGTTGCAGGGCACGCAGTCAGCATTGGTACCGTGGAATAAGGCCAGCGTGGTGGCCAGTGATCAAACGACCCTCTTTGTGCTGTTCAAGATGTACATTGGGTCCAGATATAAGTGTATCGCTTCCGTTATCCGAGTCTTCCCAAGACCAGAGCCAGAGTGCCAGCATCTTCTCGACCCAAGGCACTTCATTTGTTCTTGATACAACTTTCTCCGCCCTGCCCACAGGCAACAAAATACGATGACTCTAAATCTAGTCCGTCTCTTCCCTCTGGCGGCTGCCGTTCTTGCTGACACTGGTATCACCACCCGATACTGGGACTGCTGCAAACCGTCGTGCGCTTGGCCTGGCAGGAGTCAGGTATCGGAACCCGTTCGAACCTGCAATAAGAACGACAGATGGCCAAACCCGCTGAACTCTAGCGCCCAGTCGTCTTGCGATGGTGACGACGCGTACACTTGCAGCAACAATGGACCGTGGGTTGTCGACAATAACCTGGCGTATGGATTCGCAGCGGCCAAACTTGCTGGGAAGTCTGAGCAGGATTGGTGCTGTGCTTGCTACGAGTAAGTCCAATCTGTTTGCAGGACGTTGGATGAGGAATACCGCGCTGGCAATGGGAGATGGGAAAATACCGAGGACCAATGGTGGGGATCATCATGGTTTATTTGACCCAACTGACGAAGTTTCCCAACCTAATAGGCTCACCTTCACGTCAACGTCGATCACCGGGAAGCAGATGATAATCCAGGTGACCAACACTGGCGGCGACCTTGAAAACAACCACTTCGATCTCGCCATCCCCGGCGGTGGCGTGGGCATGTTCCCCCAGGGATGTCAATCACAGTTCGATGGCGCGTGGATGGGTGACACATATGGCGGCTACCAGAACAGGAACGATTGTTACAATCTTCCCGAGGGCCAATTCCGCGACGGCTGCTTCTTCCGTTTTGACTGGTTCCAAAACGCCCAGAATCCAACTGTCGAGTTTCATGAGGTGTCTTGTCCGCAGGCCATGATTGACAGGACGCACTGTGGTCGGTGGAGTTACAAAGACTTCGTCGACCAAGGCAAAGACGGGCCATTGGAACGGGTGGGACTAGAATTGTAGAATTGTAGATTACTTTATAGTCTTTTAAAAAGTGCCTTTTGTCAAGAAGGCTCATTGAAATTCAATGACTGAAAAGGCTATATTAATGAGACCAACCCGCAAGACGAGCTGTCAGGGTGAACAGGATGAGAATAGCAGCGTAGCTTTAGCTTATCAAGCGGCAGGAGAAATTTCTTGCCCTTACCTTATAAAGCAAGGAATATAACCGATCTATTAGCAGGAAGAATTTTCCCTTTTTCTTCAAGCTGATGGGATTGCGATTGCGGCGGTCACAGTATACTGAGGAAGTCATCTAACGGGCCCTAACTAAGCTGAACTAAGCTGCATATCCTGGAGCAGATGTCTAAGTGCTCCTGGTGTGCTACAAGCAGCAGCTTAGTAGATATTACAATGGTGCATTTTCGACGACGACGGCGGCGACGGCGACGACGACGATGATGATGATGATGATGAAAACCACAATGCTATAGGAAGGAATGTAAAAAGCAACTCAGGAAACGCTAGTTGGCCTTCCTGACAGCCTTGCTGACAACCTTCCTGACGATATCAGTAGCGAGGATGATTTCTATAGGTACATCTAGCCTACTATCATCGCCGACCTTGCCTAGGTTGAAAGTGCTGTTAAAACACCATACAACGCATTATAGGCTTCACCAAAGAGGGCAAGGAAGCCCAGAATTCATAGGAAAACAACATATACAATTCTTTTCTCTGAAATTGTAGTGCTTCGCTCTTCCGGGCGTTTCATGAATTTTCAGGCCAGTTTGAAGCGGGCACCACGTACTTTCTACAATAGCTAACACCTTACTCATCAGATGCAAGCTGAAGGCATGTAAGCACAGGAGGATGAATGGGACGATTCTTGGCTTCCAGCCTCACTATAATTCAAAGAGTTGTTCGACATGCTGACTTGGAAGCCACATTTTCATTTGACCTCTAAATGCGCAACAATGGCATTGCCCGCATGCACTCAGCCTTCGGGGACCTCGGAGTACGCCGAAGGTATGTGTCTAATGCACGCTGACGCGCCGACTTGAAAGCCACATTTTCATTTTTTGACCTTTGAATGCGCAGCAATGGCATCGCCAGAACTCCAAGCCAAGAAACAATCAAAGGAAATGCATCCTGCGGTCCCACTATCGTCAGGCTGGCGGACTTCAGACCCTGCTGGAGAGGGTATCTCGCCCGATAATTGCTCAACTCTCGACGTATATAAACTAAGCTTGTTTCCGCAGAGGAAAGCATTTTAAGATCATCTCGGACTTATATCTTCACATCTTCGTTGCTTTGGAAGATTAGTGCTGGCTGGTTTATCCGGAAGGCTACAAAGACCAACCGGTACACTACACTGTCAAAGATTACGCACAAACCATCATTGTTCAACTACGACCTCTGAAATTTCGATCCTAACCCACCGTCGACGCCATCCTTATCTGATCAGGATGGCCACAACCCTCCTGAAGATGCTCGCCGTCGCAAGCGTCCTGGTCTCTGCCGAGACTACCTGGAGCGAGAACCTTGTCCTTGCCGACTGCGGCATCGGTCTGGGGCCAAATGGTGGCTCTACATCACGCGAAATGATGTACTACTCTGCTGAGGCTTGGGGCGCACCAAGATACATGAGGAACGTGCCGTGGGATGGCTCATACCCCTGGCGTAACAGCGGCGTGTCTCAAACCCTTCCCAACGGTGATACATGGACCGCATTCATCAACAACGGCGTTGGAGATCCAAAGTTTGCTGGCTGGGCTACTCATACATATGATTCTGTCGCTCTAACGTGCTGGAGTCGGCACTTGGATGGGCTCTTCACACTGGCCGACGGCAAAAAGTGCAGCATGGCGTACATCTGCAATCATCAGCCAGCTCCAAGTCAGCCTCCAAACCCGCCTCCAAACCCGCCTCCAGGCCCAATAGGCGAGAATGCGACTCCTGGTGCCCTTAAATACCAACCTGTAATCGACTTTGACAAATCAGCCTGCTACAACACCGCGGCCATCACCAGTGGCGGGCAGTGCAACGATGGTCTCGAAATCGGCCAAGGTGATTGCCGCCAGTTGGATCGCCTGTACAACAGCAACACATACGTACGCGAAAAGTGCACAAATGACGGCTGGTGCTTCTACCTATACGGTTACTACTTCGAGAAGGATGAGGGAGGCGCTCTGGCGCACGGTCACAAGCACGACTGGGAGCATCTGGCCGTCTGGACGTTCAACAATGAGGCCAAGTTCCTTGGCTGGTCGGCTCATGGAAACTACAAAGTCAACAAACCCAACTCGGTCGAGTGGCAGGGGAACAATCCTAAGTTTGTGGTGGAACGCGATATGGCCACCACCCATGCCTTCCGCAGGGCAGAAGGAAACGAGCCGCCTGAGAATGCATCGGGAAAATGGTATCGCAGTCCGTTGGTCAGTCTAGAGAGGATGGACGGAACACTCAAGGAGAAGATGTTGACTCACGACTGGGGCAACGCTCATCCTGATCTGACTGATGAGCGATTTGATAAGGCCTATTGGTCTACTTGGGAGAGTGCGAAGGCTCTCGACCATGTTGTACCACCCCGGCCAGATCCTTCCCCGCCACCACATCTAGAGTTGTAAGCGTAATGCCAACGTACGGGATACTACGGTGGGGGAGTAAATGTGACGACTAGCCTTATAGTGCACCACATATAGGGGCATTAAAGAATTGATTACTTTTAAAGTTATAGCTAATACTGCCCCAGAAATAGACGTTGAATTTCTCTTTTCCCTAAGGCTTATTTAGGTCTTTGTCTGTAATAATCTTCTTCTGGCCGTAAGTCTCTTTGTGGCCATTATGAAATTTCCTATTAAACGACTTGACTATTGCAAAACCACGGGCACAAGACCGGAAGATCTCCCAGATAGACTTGATATTCTTTGTGGGAACAGTGCACACTTAGACCCTAGATGGGCCCCTTGACCTCTGGTAGCTGGGCTAAACACTTGATCGCCTTCGATTCCACAGCGAGCGGCGTAGACGAGAGAGGCTCTAGGGGCTCCAAAAAGAGTGATCTATCACAACAGTAGACTTCTGGAGATTGATATTTGAGCCTCTTAGATTCATTTATGAGATAAGAAGCTAGAAGATGAGCTGTATGATGATTGTATCAACTCTTCTGTGACATTTTCGCTTTTAGTAAGCCCTGGGAATTTCTCAACGACGCTACAACAATCTTCTGGGCAATGGGCATACCACAGGGAATACATGACAGTTGAGGCTGGTTCATCAGATCTCATCCAGCGGCGGTCAGTGTTTCGATGGTAAGTCAAAGATGCCTCAAGATTATCAAGTGGGGGAAATGTCCTCCAACCGACAGGCCAGTGAGAGTAACTGCATTGTGGCGGCTTCCGTCGTACGGGAACAAGAGACGACATTTCAACATCTAGAATGACGGATCCCATATATGCTTAGCTCATACATATAAAGAAACATTCAAAGACCATATTGATGGTGACGTATGTGAGAGTTGCTTGCGGAGTAATCTTATAGTAGGACATGGGAGACACTCTGGGGAGGAAACGTGTCTGCTTATCACTGAGGAGGAATAGTCACCTTGAACCGGAATTTCCACCAAAGAGGTAGATATGGTTGAGTGCCGCCTCGCATTCAAAGCCATTGGCATCATGGAGCTATATAATAGCTCGCTACAGTCGCAAAGGGGCTTTGTGCCATTTCATTGAAAACTCCATCATTTTTCATCATGCTATGTATTGCCTCGAATATACCAGTATGTATACAGGGATCTGCCTCCAATCAAGCCACGAGAACAGAGTTTTGCTTTGCTATATACACCTGAAAATAGATACCGGTCTGTTCCATTCGTAACATCTGAGCTCATATACCACTTTCGTCCAAATCCTTCACCTCCAATTTCCCATTCTTATTTTTGGCCTCGGGGCGCTTAACACTGGACCGAGTAGCCGTGGGCGGTGCCAAATCCACCCCAGCAAATACCAGTTGGCGAGCCACGAGGGATGCCGAAGCTGAAGCCATCGTTGCAGCCGCCCAACCAGATACGGAGATCGCACGAGGTGTCCGTTGCGAGGATGCTGTTGTAGCCGAATGGCAGGACCGAGTTGGTGAGCACGCATCCGACACCGCCAGAGACACATTGGCTGAACTGGCTTCCTGAAAAAGAGCACCCTCCCTGCTCGAAGAAGTTGCCCCCCCAGCTGCACGCTCTCTTCTCTAGAGAGGCATGCTCGGCGCCTGCAGTCGAGTTGGTTCCTTGGGAGGCGAGCGAGAGGGCGAGCGAGTCCTCGCTGCAAGGAACGGGCACGGCAAGTTGGAAACCTCTGTCCGACTCGGTGGCAAGTACGGTGCTTGCGCAACCGAGAGCGAAGAAGAGAGTTGACTTGAGGGAAAGCATTGTTGCCGAAGTATGAAGCGTGGTGAGTTGATGTTGTAGAGTGAAGTAGTGAATTGAGAAGCTGGCTTGGCAGTTGTAATGTTAAAGAAGATCTGTAACGTGAAGAGATCAGCCCTTATATACATGGAGAACTATATGGGTAGGTGCCCGGAAGTTGCAAGTTATTATGGAGAATATCATATTATATTATCCTGACCCAATCGGCAGTTGAAAGATGCACTACAGAGGATAGTAGTATAGTAAAGCTGAATGACAAGGTCGTAGGTAAGCAGAGGTATTTTTGCCTATAGTCTAATTATGGTTAGACTATGAGCAAGGTTATAGTTGTGTTTTATTGTATTGAGAGATAATCCATAATAATGGAACCATCAGCTCCGAGACTCGAAGAACGGTATTCGGAAAGTAATCCCGCCAATTGGGCTGTTGAATAATCCACACCGCTGTTTATCTGCCGTTTTTTCTTATATGCCTTCCTATTATGTATGTATATTTCAAAGGAGAAGACTGTCAGATGCTGACAAGCGAGTTGGAGCGGGCCAATCTGGTTGAATCAATTCACTTCTTCCCCCACTCAACCTATCGTGTACATTTAGTTAACTGCGTATTCCACCTTAGACTTACCACTTTTTCTTTTTATACCCTAGACTTCTGATAAACTATTAACCCATATTCTATTGGCAGACTATTAGTTACTTACTTTTCATAACAGCAGAATGTGGGTTAATTTCACCAAGCTACATACAGACTTTACTGAGCTCATTGTGACTTGGTAGAATACGCTTATTTTTGTGCTTACGAGGTTAGTCTATAGGCGTACTTAACACCATGTGCTCCCCTCAGCAGCCAATCATTATGGTCTTACTTTGTCCAGAGATATAGGTGATTAGGTGAAATTAATAGATGATTAGGTTAGATTTCTAGGTGATGAGGTTAGATTTACAGGTGATTAGGGTAGACTTACAGGTGGTTAGGTCAACAATGAAATCAGCTGTTCTTTGGTGGTCTGAGCTGACTGCATGTTGAGGACTTTCTGACGACCTAATAGTAGGAAAGTCTAATCACTTTGGAATACACATCCGCCATAACGGAACCTCGGCATTAATACCTATAGTGTGATGGGACGTCGGCATTAGGATTATTTCCGTCGCGAACTTCTCTGACTGCATGAAAGTAAGCACCACACCTCGCAGCTGGTAAGGACAGTACCGAGGTAATATTGAGTATGCACATCAGTTGTGCCTTTATGTGGGCCAAGGGCACTTATTCCAGGATATCTACTCCGTAGTCTCTTATATCTCGCTTATCCTTTTATATAGTCCTGTGGTCTCTGCTTTGGCCGGGAAAATCATTTCTTCCTTTGGGCCTAACCAAGTAAGCCAGAGTATCTTCTTTTCCTCCTTGCTGTTTATCTGCTCTTTCGTAAGTCCGCACTCTGCCAGAGAAAAAATGGAATATAAGGCGGCTTGGTAAGGAGAGGGAAGGCAATGCACCAACAACCTTATACAAATATGAGTTATACATCTTTGAGTGAGCTTCTGCTTTCACATAAACTGTCGGAAGTGCCAAATTTCGTAACGCAGATTGGTGGTCTCTGAAACTGAATCTTGAGACTCCAAACTTAGTGTCTTGAGCCGCGAAAATGAAAGAGGTTCAACTCAGGACAAGACCTTGACGGGACCCCGGATTCCCCTCTACCTATGGTCGTATGTGGAAGAATAGGAGGCTGGAAGCGTATATGACATGACGATTACCCGTCAAGATGGAGAAAATCAAAAACATGCAACAACCAGTGTTACCTGATGGTCACCCACTCAACAGCATGTAATATGCTGGTTAGAGGCTCATCTATATGGGAGCAGATGGGAGATATAACACATCACAAACCACTTGGCGATGTGATCTAGCACATGTGTGTTTTGTAAAAGGAGCGTTGAGCTTATAGTCGCTTACTATTATTGACCGACCTACCTAGTAGGCTCCAAAGTGAACAAAAGGAACCCATCCAATAAAGTCGCCTGGTGATACGCTTTTCCTTACTTTCTTGAGAGCATAATGAAACGCTTCAGGCACCTCCCCTGCTCCGCCACTCCCCTCGAGCAGGCGGCTGTAGAATTCCTTGGAAAAGAGACGGCAGCTTTCGTCATCCGCCTTCCACATGTTTCCGATAGCATGCCTAAACCCAGCTAGCTGAAAGCTGCTGACCACGTGAAGACCTTCATCGGCCAAGTTCATGACAGAGTTGTTGGCCGTGTGGCAGGCGCCGAGGTACGCTAGATAGGCATTTTGGACCTTCATGGATGAGACCTCTCGAACAGATAACCCAGCGGCTCGAGGTTCGTTGGGCTTGTTGGAGGAATCGCCCATGTCCCCAAGTAGCAGAACATGGCTCTCCAGCGGATTCCTCGGATCTGACAAGCCATGGCATGCAAAGTGAATAACGCGCAGCACGCCCTCATCGCAGTGCTGGTGAAGCTGCTGCAAAACCCTCCCCTTTGCCGGCCTATCAAGGAACTCGACGTCTACTTTCTTGTCGGCAATATCGTGGATGCATCGGAGCTCTTCCTCGACGTTTGGCAAAGAGGGATGGCCGGGTGTATCCGGCATGCTGATGAGCTCAATCCGCAGCCGCGACTTGCCCTCGTCTGGGTTTGCGACCTGTCGTGCGTACCAGAGCGCCTTGATAGTGGCTATATACGACGAACTAACAAGACTGAGGATGTTCTTAGACTTGGATGGATGTTTTCCTGCCGCGTGAAAAGGTGCTTTGCTCAGAGGCCCTGTGCCAATCCACCAGATGTGCTTCACCGCCTCCTGCTTCGATTCAAGGCCGAGTACTCGACAGATTGGCTCGACGGTGGTGTCCCAGAGCCATAGCAGTATCTTTGATAGCGTCTTGTTGTCGCCGCCACGTGTTGCAATGCTTGTCCTCGCAAAAGCGACATTGGCGTCGTTCATCTTCTTTGTAATGTCTTCGTACTTCAGCTCCGGCAGCGGCAGGTGTCGAATGAAGGAGCTCGTGACGATGAGTGCATCGCAGCGCAGCTCAGTTGGACTCACAACCACAATGGCCCCATTTCCGGCGAGGCTCATCATGTCTACCTCAGTCAAAGGCAAGAGGAATCTATCATAGCCGTCGAGCTTTCTGATCTCTTTGATTAGAGCTTCGAAAGATTGGTATGAATCTCGAAGGCTTTCACGTTCTACAGCCTTTTCATTCACAGAGTCCCATTGCTCGGCCAAGGCAAAATTGGCCCCGCTGGGATCCTCTAGAGTGGGCGACTTGTCGCTGATTTTCTCTCGAAGATTGTCAAATCTCTCATAGAGGTCCGGGTGAGCCATCTTCAGTGACGATATATCACTTCGAAGATCGATTGCAAAACTCATAATCATGCCACGACCCAGCTCAAGGAGCCGAAGGGCTTCGTATGCAGGGTATCCCGCTTCTAGAGCGTATGAAGCAGCCTGTGCAGCAAGACCAGAAAACTGGGAAATCATGTGCTGCTGGTCGTCTCTCTGAAGCGACCGGGGACTCACCAAGGGCAATAGATTCAGTGCGGTCGTTAGACAACTCGTAGCCATGGCCCAGTTTTTCGTGAGAGCATAAAGTTCACCACCGCTACGAGCTCCATGGATCCGATCGAGTGGGCGAGAGAGCTGATAGTTTGCTGTTTCAACGTATAGACTGGTGGCCTCCTCAAGGTCCTGTAGCATGTACAAGCGATAATATCTCGACACCAATGCGGCTCCTGTGTGGTATATTATCCGCGCTCTATAGACGCTGTCCTCAGGTAGAGCATTCAGAGCATCTTTATAATGCTTGATGGCCGCGTCGAGATCGTCGATATTGAGACGATGATGGCGGGATTCGATAGATTGAAATAAAAAATCCATTAGCTGCGTATTTTGGGTTTGCGGTGTTGCATCACGGATGCGGACGGCTTCTATGTTGTTTTTGGCTTCGTATCTTGCGCGGAGCTGGTTTCCGAGATTGAACACATAGAGAGGATAATGGACATCTGTCTCCGGCGTAAGCGCAAGGGCGAGCTCCGTCCATTGAATGGACTGATCAATATGCTCCGTATTGTTTGATAGATCAAACTTTTGGTGAAAACACGCTCCAAGACCACTGCATATAATTCGTGCATCATGCTCTGTCAGGTCTGTCTCGGTAGCCTGCATGGCAAGCCGAATGGCCGAATCCAAATCTTCCTCGTTCCTACTCCTCTCATAACGAGAACGATACTTGTTCGCCACGTTACTAAGTCTGATTCCGAACAGTTCATCTTCTTCGCCTGTATCGTTTAGCACCCTCTGCGCATACATGATTGACTGTTGGAGGTCAGCTATGGCCCCCGTAAGCTCGTATCTGTCCTGGAGCCGAATGGACATGATATTCCTCGCGGCAGTGAGATCTTCTGCTCGGCGGAGCTCTTTAATCATCTCCTGTCCCCAAAATATGGACTGATCGAGATGTTCCGGTTTGCCCGTTCGTGCATAAAGGTCGTGCAGTAAATTACCCAGCACTCGAGCACAACAGCTTCGGTGGGGGGCACCTGGAGGTGTCACGGCGATGCCTTGCTTAGCCCACTCAATCCCCTTCGTGAGAGCACTAGACGTCCTTGTTTCGAGATACCTGAAGTTGTGCAGTTCCGCTAGGTGGTAGATAACCTCTTTGGTATCTTCGTCATCCTGTGGAAACGTAGATTGAGCTTCCTCACAAAGTTGAATGGCGCATTCAAGGTCATCCGACTTTTCTCTCCGTCTATAGCGTACTTGATATGCATCCGCTAACAAATGTAGCATGACTGCACGATCTGTTTGTATTTGACTCTTGCGAATCAAGATGTTATCAAGCTGCCAATGAGTAGACGCTATAACGCGGGCCAAGTCGACTTCAATCTCGTCTCCTCCTCCAATGTTAGGGTCTGGATGTTTACACGAGGCATGCATCTGTTGCATTGCCGCGATGCTTCTACTAAGAGAGGCCATAAATTCATGTTGCCTTTGAGGTGGTAGGTCTTTTATATTCTGTCCCCAGTCAACGTCATCGTTGGTGACAGCCTCGCATCTCTCATATGTCGACATTCTGCGACGTTACTTATGGAGCTTCTAAAAAAGGGAAAGCAAAGTCAGCCCTGCTTACATGTAGTGATGCCTCCACTGATGAAGAATACCTATCAAGGAAATGATTAGATAGCAAACGCTCATGCGAAAACTTTCTTGGCTTTTACAAACCCCAGAAACGCCTTTAGGATAGACTTGGCGATTTCAACTCGTGTAGCTAATAGTGCGGCGGAAAATAGCTATGGGTTGAAGAAATGAGTTGCCTTATATATATATAGGGGTGGGCGTATTTATGATTTAAATAGGTTTATGTCTGTTTTTGGTATCTGAAATCACTTGCTCTGTATGATCAGCTCCATGGCTTAGTCGTTATAAGTGGCAATCGCTCACACCAGACCCAATTCCCTGGGGGCCAACTTAGTACCTATTCAGATTGGGGCGGAAATACTGCTCAGGCATTACTATACTCTGCATATATGTGGGTACATTGTAAGATATGTGCTCTCCAATGATCGGATATCTCTTTTTGCCCCATCTTGTAGTTTACAGCCTCTTTGAGTACTCATGGGCTGCCTGTGAGTTACTACCCCAAAAGGTCTGGAGATAATATATATGTTCAATAATGAAGATATCATTGGATGCCTTTCTTAATTTGCATGCCAGTTGCAGTCTCGAAAGGGTGTAGTTGACGCCTAATTGCGGAGAATCTCGATGCGAATCAGGCAGCTTTGTTGTCTACAGCGCAGACAGCTGGCCCAAGTAACCGACCTGGAAGGCATATTGGCTTAATTGAGGCCCCATGTACTCGAAAGTGTATGAACATAGTTTTTATTAGTGATATCTCATTTTGAAACATTCTGTTCCAAAACACTTTCTTTGGTCAACATAATAGTTTTTACCCTCCATCGCTTAGAGCTGCACTGCTACAGGATTGTCACCGAAGAGAAATTTGATTCGCTCTCGTTGTTATTTCTAAACTGCATTGCCGCTAGATTGCCACCGAAGAGAAATTTGATTCGCACTCGTTGTATTCCGCCCCCATCTGACACTAAGCGATCCTTGCAACGCAAACAATGATTTTGTTTCATTAGGCATCTACGCTTCATTGGGGGAATTGTTATCCTGATATTGGGTTGTCAGTTGTGGCGGGAATCGAGAAACTCGATATATATACCAATCCTCTATCCTGCTTTCATAAAGTAAAGACAAGGGGTTATTTCCTCCAAAATGACTCGAACTATCATACTCGACTATATTAACGGCATCTCCGTGGAAAACGCCCGCTTAGGGCGCCTTGTCTTAAACATTCGCCACCCACACCAGGATTATTATGATCCTTCATCAAGTACTGCTGCCTCGTCAGTAACAAAGATCAAATCCTATGAAAACTTCCGCGATGGCCTCAATTCCACCTCTCTTGTCGCTAAACTCGCTGCATTCTTGAACGCAGGGTTCACGTATAAGCACAAAGGTACCAAGGATATCTCAGCTGTAGATGTTACAACCACATCGCTGCATAATTCCGGTACCTGGTTTGAGGAAGCCTGCGTCGACGCAAAAGCCCGACAATGGATGGAAAGGGCAATAAAGAGAGGTCGTTCCATATACCTGATTGTGGGCCACTGTGTACTCACAGACGCTCAATCGAACTTTACGCAGTGCAAGGACTTTACTACTTCGGCGAACCCTCTAATCCCCGCACTGTCAGTCCCTGGGAGCCTCGTAGATATTCGTGCAGAGGCATCCCAGCAAAATATATACAACGAGAAGCTTAGTGTGCACTTTCCCGGCCAAGTCGTCTGTGCGGTACAATACCGCAAGCTGGTGTTTAGCTGGTTTTCTTGCAAAACGCTTGGGAATGCACAATTGGAGCCTGACAATAGATGGATTGTAGGAGCAGCATTTCGAGGTGAAGATGGTGTTGGCGAGAAATACGTTCTCGAAGTGGCACTTAATGATGATGAGAATAATGAAGAGGGTGATTCTGAAGGATCTGAAGAATCTGAGGAAAGTGAAGATGAATAATTAATCAATATGCTAATATATAAAAATGCTATTATAATCTGACTTAAAGTAGATATATTCCCAAGTAAAATCACAGTCATTAATTGTGTTTAAAGTACTAAACTATTGAAAACTATAGCTAAGGTTATTTGCTATAGTATATATTAGGTAATTTAGTATGGTAGATGCCCGTCTTACGCTACATAATCATAATTAGTCGTTATAGTCCTGTTGCCATGGCGGATTCCTGGGATATTACTATATGTAGCAGAAAGGTTGTTGAATCAGGGCTTAAACAGTGGTAAGCGTCTTAGCTCGCGGTCGCTTATATGTAACCACTAAAACGGAACTATGCGCCTCCAGATTTAGACAGGAGTCTTAAAATGCAAAGAATGAATAGAGGATATCAAACTTTATAAAAGAGCCTAACAGGACCCCGAATTCTCCTTTACCTATGGTTATATGTGACTGATGATACGTCAGTGCTGGCTATAAACCTATAGCAGATATGAATTGCTTGAATCTCTGTCGGTACTAAGACTCAGTATGGATATATATTTCCCGGCTGTTCAATTCATAATGTTGCCCTTTGAAGAAGATTTGTCTAGTTTATCTGGTGAGTGCTCCAAGCGCTGTTACTGAGTAGATCTTTGTGGCTGATGACGGTTTGCCTTGTCAACTTATCAAACTGTTGTACTACAGATTCTAACACATACAACCATAGGTAGAGGACAATTCAAGATCCCGTCAAGCTCTTTTCCCGAGTTCAATGACTTGCATTTTCGGCGCCCTAGGCTTCTGTTTTCGGAGTTATGTGATTATGTTCTTAGCAGATATTGAACCAGCGCTGGGGCTATAATACGTACAGGTCATATATAGCCCACCGCCGTAATCATCGGGAAAAATACCGTTTCGCTTAGTACGGGCATACTAGGGGAGGCTTGGCTACTAAAGCCACTCCCCTACCCATTACTCGGGCAGTTATTAATGAAGTGTCAGGATGGTGTGTACTCCGGTAACACTTGATTCGCCTGCTTTTCTCTCATCAGTCCCGCTGCGACAGTGACCAAAGGACTCAATGTCTTGGATGCAACTACAGAAGCCAGTTTGTGAGTTGATTGGAGCTCGAAACACGAATTGCCGAATGCTAATGTCTTTCTAGGCTCTCTAGCTCCGTCATCATGCAGCAAAGGTTACGGCCGCTATTGCCTCGGCCCGCTAGGGTCTTTCCAGACCTCTACGCTGATGGGGAAATACTACCCGCAAGGCATTCAACCCCAGTATAGGTAGGTAGTCTGCGTCATGTCGTGGCTTGCGGTACGCAGCTGAGCAGACACACTGCACCGGCGCTAGGCTTTGTCTGTGTTTGGCTTACACGGCTGATTGGCTTGTCATGCGTATATAACATGTATTAAATCAAGGCTCAGCCCTTCTTCGACAGGCCTTTCGTTCGCCATGGGCGAGACATGTACGTTTGCTTAAAATTGATCCACAGTTAGGTCAATTGGTGGTGTGAAAGATGCCCGACATGTTCTGCTGGTGATTTAGCCTAAATACAAGTGTTGATGCTCTGTACTCCTTACTCTGCACACGTAGCTGAAAAAACTGCTTGGCTCCCCATTGACTACCCCCTGTGGCGATCTATTTATTCAATCCCAAGTGCCGGGCTTATCGTGCGGTTAAATCTGATCTGATAGCCCTCGACCATTACCGACTTTCGGCGCTTGTTCTAATGTGTTATAGTCGTATGGAAAGCCTAAACGGCTGGCTATATTGACGCTATGTGACGAAGGAAGGATTCCACTTGTAAGCTAAATATGGGCTTCCCCGCTTGATGGTCTGCCACATAATGAAACCCTCCCGGAGAATTGTGGCTGGCTGAAGATGCGTATTGCATGGACATAATGAAACCCTCCTGGAGGATGTGGCTGGCTGAGGATGCAGATTGCATGGATGGGGTTATCAGAAAGGCCAGTGGGGGTTGGCTTGCCAACGAGGTGAGCTGACCTCAACAGCTGGTATAAACTGGCTATGTATCGTCTCGTGTAAGTGTTGGCCAGACCATGTCAAGCCTCGGGATCAGTCTACTATATACTCAAACATGTCGACATACGATAAGGCATCTCGCCTGCGAACTAATCTGCACACGGCAGATGGCTACTATGACCAGGGCCTAGCAGTTTCCCAGGCTGTCATCAATTCAAGCTTTGGAAAGCTTTATGACAGGTATCCTGCTATGCAAACCATGTCTTATGACGCCGGCATTGCCCAGATGGAGGGAGAGATGTTACCCTCGCGTCTAATTATTCCTAAAGCTGAGATGAATCTTGCTAAAATTATTCATCAGTTGCGGTGAGTATTTATGATAAAATGAAAATGATAATTAAGGCAACATTTGATTTTTAAAACTTGTGATTTCTTTATGTTGAATTTTTATAAAAAAGTGTTGTATATATTTACTTTATAAACGCTTTTTTACATATTTGGTTAACATCTTTTTTGACGCATTTTCAGATTCAAAACGGGCACCTTGACCGTAGCAAACAACCCCAACCCCATCAAACTGGACAAGTTCGTCATCGGTGTGATCTGCGACCTGGACATGCAGTTTGTCAAGGAACGGCCTGATGAAACGCCCGAGGAAAAACGCCAACGCGAGTTCATTGAAAAGGAATTCAGAGTTCCTGGCGATTACCGGCTGGAGAGACTGTACTCTAAATTTACTTGTGAGTGTGACGCGTAGTCGCGCTGTAGGGGGCGGTCCTGACTTTGGTTGTAGCCGCACAATGGAACCACTTCGACCTATACGGCTCCCAGTACTATGACGCAGATGGCAATCCCATGACCTATGAACAGTGGCAGAAGAAGGATCCCACGGCGGCTGCGGCGTTTGGTATCATGTTGAGCATGTACGGCACGGATATGGAGGCACAGGGCCTATCCACCCTGGGACTTAAGATTACCCTACCCGATCTACGTGGGTGACACAGCTGAGCTGATCCTGGAGATAACTAACTTGATTGCTAGCTCCGGAAACTAAGCCCACTTTCAGTATGACCTCTTGCTCCAGGGCTCCAAGTCTCTGACCGGCTTGTCTGATTCTAACCATGACATGATAGTACCCACGGACATGGTTCACCAAATCTACCCCTACCGCGACGAACAGGGCAACTCGGAATACGGCGACAGCCCCAAGGGAGACAGGAACTGCCTCCTCTATCTCGAGGTCGTCAAAAGGGCAGACGGAACCGACGGCCAGCTCCCGGATGCGAAGCAGGTCGGGTACAGCGGCAACTTCTGCTACCCGTCCCTGAGCTCGACCCCCGGAGTCGACGGAACCTTTCTCCTGGGCGGCCCGCTGTTCATGGGCCGGTACCTGCTACCGCAGCTCCAGATGCTCAACGAGGCCTCGTCCATATACGTTGACAAAAACACCTACGGCGGCGGCAGCGGCGGATGGGCTTTTCCGATGACCATTGGACGCGATCCCAGATATGCCAACTACGAGAATGCCGCGTATGCCTTCAAACAGTCCGGCGATGGCCTGAAATGGGTGTACGAAAAGAACGTTGACAAATCCACACCCGTGAAGGAACGTACCGGTGGCGGCGAGTGGTGGAGCTCTGACCATTGGAGTATGTTCCCTGAAAAACCTGACATGTACACCGAATCATTGGTCCACGCTGAGTCTATACTGACAATCGTAGGCAAGGCTACGACGACGGTAACCTGGCAACCCGGGTCTGATCTATGCGTCACGTTCAAGGGGCACTACGAGTATTATCGTGGCATTACATTTGCCAAGAACAAACAGTTGACCAATCCGTCAACATGGAGCAAGTGAGGCCTCAACCCCACCTGGTCTCTCTTTACGTGGCATGTGGAATTCTGACTTTTTTTCTTCTTCTTCCTTGCAGGGAAGACTATACGGGAGACTGGAATCTCGACATACGAATGGTCGTTGAGAACGGCGTCTTGAAGCTAAAGCTAGAATCCGCAGAGGACTTGGGCTTCGTGGTGACGGGCGACGCAAAGACGTCAGATAATCTGGGAAAGTACAGAAACAATAAAGAAACGCTACGTGACGATATCAAGAAGCGTATCCTTCCCAGACTTGAGGTATTGCGCAATAGTCTCCGAGACGGCTTTCAGGGAGACCACCAGTTTGTCTTTCCCGGCACCGGTCAGCTAGAGTTCCAGGACGTCACGTTCAACAATGAGGGCGACATCATTGCCAGCGTGGTTTGGAAAGAGTGAGTAGATATACATGGTTACTTCTGGCAGTTGTGCGGTCAGCAGGCTAACGAAATGGAATGGAAACAGGGTGGATGGGCCGGTTATTGTCAAGCCGCCGCCTAAGACGAGCAGCGCCAACTACTCTGCCGGCTTCCAGGATCCGATAGAGCCTCACATTTGGGAGACTACTTTTCGAAAGACGGAATGTGAGATGGGGGGAGAAGAGGAGACTTGAGGGTGGCGAAAGATGAGTTGGATGCTGGCAAGCGGATAGAATGGAAAAAGGACTGTTCTGAGCGTGTGTAGGGCATGGATCGTCCACTGAAGTTGTTTCGCTTGGAACTATGTAGCAGCGAGTTTTTTGGCAGATACCTTGAGTGATGATTCCTGAGCGACAATATGCAAGACGCAATGGTAGCTGAAATCCAGTATGCGTCGGTGTCGTATCAATAGTGGTGTGATGTGACAATGACTAGAACTTGCATAGAGCAACTCGCTATCAATATCCTCGGAGGAATATCCTCATAAAGATACCCTCGCATCAACACCCTCGTACTGACTGGCGATTGGCCCTCATCAGGCCGTCTGTGGCCCAACTCGAAGACGAGATGTGTTTGATGGTTGCCCAATGAGGGGTGTTTTGATGATGGTTCGGGAAGACGGACCACATCATGGAGATCACTTGATGTATAACGGCTCGCACGCCAAGGCGTGTCTCAAAGTAAGGGGTACAAATAGCCCCCCCGCCGACTGTCTCCTGTCGAGGCCTTGCGAGTTCTGAGAGCAAAGGATTCTCGGCCATCTTTGATTTTGCTCTTACGAGCACAACGCCATTGACAGTGCTTCTGCTTCAAACGTAGCCATCATGGTGAGTTGATCATGTAGCCCGTGCTCGCGTGCATTGTCTATGTCTAACCTTTGTCTCTCCACAGACTTTCCAGACTTCAGAGACTCCCATGTCTCAATCGCAGGTCGACGCCCTGTGCGCCGACCTGTTGCCGAGGGTCGTCGTCGGTGACGATCGGTTGCTCAACGCTATCCGGGCCAACTTGGGGGTGACGGGCTCCTCCCTCAGGGGCTCCATCGATGCCGCCATGTCCATCTCTGGGATGCAGGCCTCCAGAGACAACCAGGCACGGCTGGACCTCGTGCTGCTGCTGGACGACATGAGCGCCCAATCAGTCGACCTCATCATGTTTTGCTTGGCGGGAGACACGCCAATCGGGTCGTGTAGGCAGCTTACTGCCCGCATCTTTGCCTTGCCCGCCGCCTCTCCAGACGTGCCAGCCGGCACCGAGGCCTCCTGGGCACGGGTTCGCGAGAGGCTGTTTGGTCTCGAGCCCACAGCCGCCGTGCTGGGACTGGCTCGCTCGGGGAGCCTCCCGCTGCCCGACGACCCGGACGATGGCAGCGTCGTCCTCTCTGTCCTAGAGGCCGCTGCTGGGCCGCTCAACTTTGACATGGCCAGAGAGTCTATGCGGCGCTTCCTGGACGGCGACGCGGTCAGGGCCGAGGTCCCGAGCGTCGGCGATGAGCAGCGGCAGGCCTCGCGCGACTTTCTGTTCCGGCTTCAGCGGCTCCAAGCACTGGTCAACGAGCCGGAGGACATCGGGGCGCTGATCAAGTGTGGTTTCCGCTCCGCCGACGACATCTCCAAGACGGGCGACGCCGCCGTCCAGAGCATGGTTGGCCAGGGCATCCCCCGGGAGCGCGCCGCCAAGATCCGCAACCATGCCGTTGTCGTCGCCATCAGAAGCGAAGGGTTGTTCACGGCGGCGCTCAGGGCCCGCGGGTCTGGAGACGGCCGAACAAGCGATGCTCTCGCCGACATCACCGACCCTGTCTCGAAGGCCGCGGCCTCGCAAGACGACGAGGAGCCGCCGCCGCTGGCGCCCGAGATTAACCTGAGCGCCATGTTCAAGCTGGAGAATATGGGGTGCGCCGACTGCGCCTCCATCACGGGGCCGGCCGCCTACTACGTCGACCTCCTCCAGACCGTCGCCGGCATCAAGCTGCCGGACCAGACTTCGCTTCTCAAGAAGCTGTTTGAGCGACGGCCCGATCTGGGCGACCTCCAGCTCTCTTGCGCCAACACCAAGATCCTCATCCCTTACATCGACCTCGTCAACGAGGTGCTGGAGTCGGTGCTGTGGTATTTGAAAAGGGGCGGCGACCAGATCATCCCGCCCTTTGACATGGACGACTCGGACACATGCGACAGCGTCGTCACCCAGCCTCGACACGTCAACTATGCCGTCTACAGCGACATGGTGCAGAAAATGGTCCATCCCATGACCACCTCCCCCTACAACCTGGGCACCGACAGCACGCGCGCCTATCTCTCCGCCCTCGGGAGTTCGAGGTACGGCCTGCTCAGCACGTTTCAATCGCCCCATGTGGTCGCAGACCCTACGGGATCCCTCTCGGGCGCCCAGCCCGTCCTCGACCGCGCCCTGGCCGCCGAGGTGCTCAACCTGCAACACGAGGATTACGTCGCCATCTCCAAGGAGGGCTTCTACCCGTTGGACTTTCTCAAGGCCGTCGACTCGACCGTGACGCCGCAAAAGTACAGGCAGCTCATCGACCTCCGGACGGTCGGCCAATACTGGGGCTATGCCAACGATGCCGACATGGTCGCTACGACTGGCGGGCTCACCAACGTCAAGGACCAGCTGCTGCCTCGCGGCGGCCTCAACCTCAAGGACCTCCTCGACGTCCTGATGACAAGATACATCGGCGGCCGGCTGGTGATTGAGTCGGCCGACGGCGGGCCCCAGTTCACCGGAGAGCTCGCCGACATGCGGCTGCGCCTCCTGAAGCCGGACAGGACCACGGGCCCGCTCGACGCCGACACATGCTGGCGCCTCCAGGCCTTCCTGCGGCTGAGGAGAAAGCTGCGGTGGAAGGTCGACGAGCTGGACTCCATTGCCGTCCCCCTGGCTGGCAGCCGCACCACGGCCTTTGACCCGCGGCTCCTGGACGGGCTCGCCGCCGTCAAGCAGATGGTCGATCTATCAGGGCGCTCCCCAACCGAGCTGCAGCCGCTCTGGGGAGACATGAACACCCACGGCGCCAACTCGCTCTACGCCCAGCACTTCATCCGGGGTCCCATCCCCATCGCCGAGCGGCCCATCTTCGAGCCGGACGAGAACGGCAACGTGCTGCAGGGCAACTACAGAATCTCCGACCACATCCTCACGCTGGCGCTGGCCCTGCGCGTGTCGACCGCCTCCCTCGACGCCATCGTCTCCACGACCGAGCTGACGGACCGCCTTACGCTGCCCAACGTGTCCTTCCTCTACCGGGTCTGCCTCCTATCCCAGCTCCTCGACATTTCGCCAGCCGACTACGCCGCCTTGCTCTCGCTGTACCCAGCCAGCTTCGACCCCTTTGAGAGTCCCAAGACGACGCTGGCCCTTGTCCAGCAAGTCCGGGCGTTGCTATCTGCCGAGTCGGACCCCTGGACGCTCGAGCAGCTCCTGTTCGTGGTCAAGGGACAGCCCGGCCTGCACGGCGGCAAGTATGACCTCGACATCGGCAAGGTCCTGCGGGTGGCCGTCTCCATGTTCACCACGCTCAGGGCGTCGGGGCTGGACTCGGAAAATGGGGAGGCGGCGGAGGCCTCGTCTCGCCGCGTGCAACGCATATCGAAGCGACTGTTTGGGGCCGGCGCCGGCGCCATGGTGGCGAGGTATATCAACGGCTGCCCCCTGGACAAGCACGAGGAAGGGGAGGCCCTGTCCCTCATCAGGCGTCATCTCGCCGCCAGAGTCGGTCCCGAGAGGGCCGAATCCGTCTCGAGCGGGCTGCTCTCCGTCCAGGGCACGGCGGCAACGATCCCCGAGGAGCGCCGCAAGCTGTTCATCGAGGCGGTGGGCCTGCTCGTACCCCAGACGCGGGAACGACAGATCATCATGGAGAGCGTCAAGTCCCAGGCCGAGGATACAGATGGCGCGATCCTTCAGTTTGCCCTGTCGGAGATTGTGCGGGTGCCGACGCGGAACCAGCAAGCGCTCCGGTCCGGCATGGACGTGCTGCTCTCGCTCGCCGAGAACACGGAGCTGCCGGGGGGCGACTTTGACGGCTACATGCTCCCGCCAAACACCGACACGTACATCGTCTCCATCGACGCCGAGACGGCCCCCGCGGCTCTGGTCCTCGACGGAGTCAGCGTCGACTTCAGCAAGGCGACGGGCTCCAGCATTCGCTGGGAGGCCAAGACGGTCCCGCTCATCGAGGGCCGCCCCTATCGGCTGACGCTCACCGGCAATGCCAGCGACTTCCGGTGGATCGCGCAAAGCATGATGGGCAACCCGCCGGCGAGCTTCAGCCAAGAGGTGCTGGTGCCCGAGGAGGTCGTTGCCGATGCCACCGCGGTTCTGTCGAGGCTGATCCAGGTGTCGGACGTCATCGGCTCCTTCAGGCTGGAACTCGGCGAGGTCGCCTTCTGGCAGAGCAACGGCGCCTTCGACTTCAACGCCCCGACCTTGCAGGCCATCCGAAACCTGCAACTGTACAGCGGCCTCAAGCAGGAGTTCGCCGGTCGCGGCGCCACGGAGCCGCTGCTGTCGCTCTACCAGTGGCTTTACAACCCGACCTCGAGGGGGAGCGGCGCCGTCTTGTCGGATGTCTTGTCCGCCGTGGCCGCCCGGCCCAAGCGCATCTGTCAAGACTTCCTCCTGGCCAAGTACCCGGGCGTGGGTGGGGAGAGCAGCGACGAGATGACGGGCATCTTCAGAGACATTGGCGCCCTCGTCCAGATGCAAGAGTCCCTCAGGCTCATGGACAAGCTCGGCCTCCAAAGCATGTCGCTCAGCTCGCTGTTTGCCGTGGCCAAGCCGGTCCGACCCCCGACGGTCGCCCAAGACTTTGCCAACGCCGCGACTCTGCGCCTCGGACTCCAGTCCACGTTTACGGGCGCCGATGTCGACGGCGTCAAGAACGCGCTCGCCGTCGCCAACGATGAGATACGCAGCAATTCCAGAGACGCGCTGGTCCAATGCCTCCTGCTGGAGGACTATGCCCGGAAGAAGCAGCTGACCAGCGCGGACAAGCTCTTTGCCCACTTCCTCATCGACGTCCAGATGGGCTCGAGCCTGCAGACGTCGCGCATCAAGCAGGCCATCGCCACCGTCCAGCTCTTCGTGCAGAGATGCATGCTCGGGGCGGAAAAGGCCAACGGCATCACGGGGGCAGCGCTCATGGGCCGGGACGACTGGGACTATGTGATGCAGTACCGGCTCTGGGAGGCCAACCGAAAGGCCTTTTTGTATCCGGAGAACTGGCTCGACCCGAGCCTGCGAGACGACAAGTCGCAGCCGTTCATGGCCATTGAGTCGTTGATCCTGCAGATGAAGCTCGACGGCACTGGCGTGAGAGGCATCGTCGAGGACTATGTCCGGCAGGCGAACGAGGTGGCCAACCTGCAGATCGAGACCTACCTGTGGGAGAGGGAGAACAAGAACGACTCGAGCAACTACAATGCAAAGCTTCACTTCTTCGGCCGCACCCGCACGAGCCCTCCCGGCTATTACTACCGCCGCTTGGACGTTGGCGGGTCGGCTCTCACCCCCATCGCCTACTGGATGCCGTGGACGGCGATGAACGTGGGCATCGCCCTGCACGAGATGGACCACACCGGCCAGCGGCTGGCGCGGCCTGGATCGTACATGCTCCCGGCCAAGCTCGGAGGACGGCTCTTCGTCTTCCTGCCCGACATCACGGCTGGGCAGCGGCCGCTCGACGATGACAACGGCAAGCTCACGTTTGAGGAGTTTGCCCAGAAAAAGACGTTGAAAGGCGGCCAGGCCGACCTCCAGTGGGAGGTCCGGCTCGGCTATACCGAGTACCGCGACGGCCTGTGGTCGGCCAAGAAGGTGTCTCACTCCACGATTATCATACCGCCAGACAGCAGGGGGGAGCCGTTGCCGGACATCTCCAGCATCAAGTTTTGGGTCGATGTAAAGAAGCTCCCACCGTCGAACAGCGATGTCCTCGTTGTCCGCGTGGAGCGGCTGGGACAGGACAACGGAAAGCCAGCCGTGCAGCTCCTGGGCCAGTACCAGCTCAGGGGCCAGCACTTGTTGCTGATCGGCTCCGAAGACCTGCCCGTGTCGACCTGGACACAACCCACGGGGGCTGCCAACGCGACCATACAGACGACCTTCTCCAAGTTCGGCTGGCTGGCGCCGGCCCACAGCGACAACGATGCGGCCAAGAGCGACATCTACAACGGGAGCCGCGTGGTGAAGCCGTGGTTGGGCTACCTGGGACGCGGGACCGACAAGGCCCGATACGACTGGACCATGTCTCTCGACACCGTCAACAACGAGGCACCGACCGGGTTCGTGTACGACGTGGCCAAGGTCGACGGCACCGAGACCTACTTTGCGTTCCCGCCCTTCATGGCCAACCCAAACGCCCCGGAGCGGACCATCTACTTCAACGAGCGATTCTACGACCGCGTCAGCCCCCTGCTGATGGACACGGTCAACCATGCCGCCGGCCTGGAGGCGCTCTATGGCGTTCTCGGCCAGCTACCCGAGGAAGCATATCCGGACGCCTTCGGTCAGCGGAACAGCAAAATCTTCCACGAGAAGTCCACGCCGTTTGCCATCTACAACTGGGAACTCGGCGTCCACATCCCCTCGCTCATCATGGAGCGCCTCATGGCCACGCAGCAGTTCGACCTGGCGCTGGACGTGGCGAGGCTGGCCTTTGACCCCAGCGCCGATGGCGATCGCGTCGACCGGCCGTGGAAATTCCCCCCCTTCAAGGACGAGCAGATACGCACCAGTAAAGGCCCGGACTTTGACCTCGATTGGAAGAAGAAGATGTCCATGGACGAATGGCGGGCCAACAGCTTCAGCGTCCACGCGGCGGCGCGAGGAAACCCCGTCTCCTACATGAAGCGCATTGCCATGAAGTACATCGAGATCCTCATAGCCGCCGGCGACCACTACTTCCGCCAGAATTCGCTCGAGACCATTCCATTGGCGCTTCAGCGCTATATCGAGGCCTCGCAGGTCTTCGGACCGCCGCCCGTCGAGCTGCCGGCCCTGGGGAAGCGGGCCGTCAAGTCATATAACCAGATCGCCAAGGACCTGACCATCATGTCCAACGCCACGGTCGACATGGAGCTGGAGCTGCCCTTTTACAGCGAGCCCGGCCAGCGCGGCAACGGCAGCATGGACGGCCGCGCGACCCTCGGCTTTCTCCGGACCGAGTACTTCTGCCTGCCCGGGAATCCCTTCATGGTCAACCTGCGCACGCTGATCGACGACCGGCTGTACAAGATCCGCAACGGCCTCGACATTGACGGCGTCAAGCGGACGCTCGCGCTGTGGGAGCCCCCGATCGACCCGGCCGTGGTGGTGCGCGCCAATGCCCTGCGCGCCATGGCCGGACTCGCCCCCCCCGGCGCCGATCCCGACGCCCCCGTGCCCAAGTACCGCTTCAGCTACGTCGTCCGGCGCGCCCAGGAGGTGGCCAAGCAGCTGAGGAGGACGGAGAGCAGGCTGCTGATGATCAAGGAGAAGAAGGACGCGGCGGCGCTGGCGGCGCTGCAGGTTGAGCACCGAAAGACGCTGGCAGACTTGTCCAAGTCGATCGAGGACGATCAGAAGACGGACCTCCAGAGGCAAATCGATCTCCTGAAGCAGCAACGCAAGACGCAGGAGATGATCCTCGGGCACAACTCCCGACTGACGGGAGACGGCAAGGCGGCCCCGAAGACGGACGAACGCTGGGAGGACATCCCACAGGAGTACAAGACACTGAGGAGCGACGCATTTCGCATGTCGTACTACGAGGATGACGAGATTGGGCAGTTGCACCGCGCCAACTCCCTGGGCGATATAGCCAAATATCTAAAGATCGCCTCCGGAGTATTCAACGCGATCCCAGTTACGTACGTCCAGGTTCAGCCCGTGGGCGTGGGCGCGTCGTGTTCTTGGAGCGGCAAACAGTTGGCCGCGGTTACAGACTCGTTGGCCACCGGCGTGGAGATACTAAGAGAGCAGCATGTAACCAAAGCCAGCATAGGTTTCCGCCAGGCCTCGGCCATACAGCGGCTGCAGCAGCGCCGGCTGGACGCCAACAAGGCCGGCCGGGAGATTGAGCGGATCGACATGCAGATTGCGCAGCTCACGGCCAAGATGGTCACCCATGAAACGACCATGAAGCTCAAGCAGGAGATGGTGGACAGCGTCGCGGCCGAGGCCAAGTGGCTCCAGTCCAAGTACTCCAACGAGCAGCTGTACTCCAGCCTCGACAACTCCTTGGGCGCGCTCCTCTACCAGACCTACGTCACGGGCAAGGAGATGGCGGCCAAGGCGCAGGAGATGCTGAACCGGGAGAAGCCGGGGAGGAACGATGCCGCCATGGCAAAGGCCAACCAGGGCGGCGGCGGCGGCGGCACAAGCTTCTTGGACCGGGCCGTGCAAAGCGGCCATCTCTTGGGCGAGGCCCTCTCGCTCGACCTGGCGCGTCTCGAGGCCGCCGAAATGGAGGATCCGGAGCCCGACGCCGAGGTGCAAAAGACAGTCTCGCTGCGCCAGCTAGACCCCCTGGCGCTCCTGGAGCTGCGCGAGTTGGGCACGGCGAGCTTCCGGCTGCCCGAGTCCGTCTTCGACATGGACTTCCCCGGCCACTACTATAGGCGCATCGTATCGGTTGGCATATCGGTTCCCTGCGTGGCCGACCGGCATACGTCCTTGAACTGCACGCTGAGCCTCCAATCGCATAGGTATCGAGTCACGCCACGGGCCAAGGATGTCGACGCCTACAACGAAGCTGCCGATGATGACAACGGCGGCATCGATGCTTGGGCGTTCCGCACCGACCGTATCCCCATTGCCTCCGTCGCCGTGGGCACTTGCGCCATCCCCAGCACCGGTACCGTCCAACAGCAGCATCAGCAGCAGCATCAGCAGGTTGAGCTCAACTTCTCGCTTGGCAGTAGTAGAGGAAACAAGGACAAGTACGGGCCGTTTGAAGGCGCCGGCGCCATCTCGGACTGGCAGATCCGGTTGCCGTCCGCGGTCCGTCCCTTTGACTACGACACCATTGCCGACGTGCTCTTGCACATCAAGTACACGGCCTTTAATGGCGGGGATGACTTCAGACAGATGGCCGAGAGCGCCCTGCTCAAGCGGCTGGCCAGAGCCGAGGGCACCGCGTCCGTCATGGCCGTCGAACTGGCCAGCGAGTACTCGAGCCAGTGGCAGAGCTGCGTGGCGGCGTCATCCGCAGACTCGACGGCCACGCTCGACCTATCGAGCCTACGCAGTGCACTGCCCTACTGGGCACAACGGGCCAAGGCCAAGGCCGAGAACGTCATGCTGCTGGTGACGCCGAAGCCGGCCGCGGCGGCGCTGGACAAGCTGGAGCTGCGGACTGGCCATTCAAACACGGTCAAGCTGGCGGCCAACGCAGCGCTCAAGGTAGGCGGACATGAGGCGCTGGTCAGTCAGAGTGCCGTCGGGGACGTGACAAACGACTGGAAGATTGTGGGCTTGGGAGGCAACTCGGCCATCACTCGAGCGTGGCTACTCATCGAATACACGGTTACGGGGCTCAATCGATAGGCTCCTGCATTGATCAAGGGCCAAGTTCTAGCTGGCTAGTTGATGTTGGAATGTGCAAGCAAGTCATCAAGATGTCATGGCCTCAAGCGACGCTCGCAGCTCGGCCGTCCGCCTATTCAAGTACGTTGGGGAAGCCGTTGCATACATCTCTGAAACCGGAGTTTGATCTACTCAAGGTATTTATTGCATTAATAAAGATGATTGGAGTCAATTTTTAGGATTCTGAATATTGACCATTAATCTTCCCTACCAAGATAGTCATTCACAGTCATCAGCTTTCGTCTTTGGCCAAACGCAGGCGATTTATCAAGGTTCTTGAATCTTTGGTCAGGGGCATTAAAAATGACCTTAAGGACATTACCTGGCTTTCGCACTTCCATCTACCGAGGGATTTCTCATAATGAGCATCATGTTTTACAGGTTGCTCCTCAAGCCTCCCGTCAAACCTCACTGCCTCGACCATGGTCCATGGCGTTTCCAGCAACGACGTGTTTACAACAGGTGAACTAGCAAAAGCGTGTCAAGGAACACAAAGAAAGACGGGACTCGAAGGGCATACCTCCAAACGATTGACCGTGTTACTCACTCATACGCCACAGCAAGGATGGTTTGAGCATCACGCATGCTGCACTGCAAAATACCGTGTATGATAATGTTTCAACTGCACAACTACACTGTATTGTTGTTGCAATGGTATTGAAATATGATTTGTAATGTCATGTCTTCAGAGGTACCTTCTTTTTGGTGTAATTGGCGAGGTGATGTTATCTTTTGGGGGAATGACTTGGCGGATTGACTAATAGTAAATGTCTCCTCGGAGGGGAAAAAATGAAATGCTTATACCCTCATTGATAGACCAAATAATGTTTGATATTTATTTTAGAAGTAAAATACAAAATCTTTCCCTATACTGTGCCTGAAGAGAGGAAACACCAAAATTCCCTCTATAGAGTTGTACTTTGTAGCGAGTTGTGCCATCTACCAATGTACATACCTTTCGTGCTGAGAAATTGATAGGGAAAATCATCCGCGTCCGGGATCTCTTAAACAGCTTTACTTGCCGCCTACAGCAATTGATTTTCTCATAATACTCTACGGCTAATCTGAATTTGACTGTGAATCTATGCCAGCCATTGCCAATTGCAACGCTTTATTTCAGTTAATAAATCAAAAGTCTGGAAAGTTGACTGGCGAAAAAACTAAAGGGAAACCCTTTCGTCGCTTGGATTCCTCAAGACATACCCCTCTTCCCATCAGCTTTGCATTGCCTATGCTTTGATAGATGGACCTCTTCCCGTAGGGCTTATAATGAGCCCTTGGATAGGTTGTTATTCCCCGCATCTCTGTCTGGCGAGATGACGAAAAAAAAAACCCCCAAAAAAACAAGGAGCTGCGGGAACCCCTCAGCTGTCGTCAGTATACTCGTATGCGAGCATTTCGCGGCTAAAACAGACGAGCTGAGGTCCTGATGAGTGACAACCTGACTCTATATCCACCCTTGTAACCAGATACCGTCATAGGTCAGGTTATGTGTACACACTCCTTCGAAAGTACTCGCTATAGACTGTACAACATCCCCTCAGCCAGTCAAAGTAGGGAGACGTTATGCGGCCGATGTATGTGGCTGGCTGAACATGCAGCAAGGCTCCATCCAAGGTGATGCTACTCATATTGCAGTATGCATACGCCCACGGCCCCACTACATCAATGCAACATCACATCAACCCATGGCAAGGCATGTGATGTGAGAGGTGCTTCATCGACGTTGTGATACGATAACGGTAACGGGCTTCTCTCGCCTGTCTCACGGCCTTATTATTTATATACCTAATGCTATTCCCTGTGTGCTGCCTCACGCGCGTTCGAGCAGCCACATCAGGAAATCAAGCCGACTTGGAAAAAATGTCTGCCTTTGACAGAGAATCCCGCCTCAAGACCAATCTGAACACCACAGATGGCTCCTACGATCAGGGCCTGGCCATCTCCCAGGCCATCCTGAACTCGAGCTTCGAGAAGCTCTATGAAAAGTGTCCTGCCTTGCATTCGTTTTCCTATGATAGTGGGCTTGCAAAGATGGAGGGAGAGATGCTGCCTTCGCGTTGGATTGTGCCCGAAGCCACCCTTAACCTTGGCCAAATCCTCCATGTGTTTCGGTTGGTATACACCGCTGCCGCCTCTCTCCCTCACGGGAATCTACTAGCTGACACACATATCAAGGTTCAAGACCGGCACTTTGAAGGTGGCAGGCTCCCAGGCCCACGTTAAGCTGGATAACTGGGAGGTCGGTGTCTTGTGCGACCTAGGACAGCAGTTCGTTGGGGAGTATGCCGAGGAGGACAAGGAACAACGCGTATTCGTCGAAAAAGAGTTGAGCGTCCCCGGAGATTACAAACTGCAGCGATTATATGCCAAGCTTGCTTGTGAGTTACTCTAAAACCAGCCGAGCTCGTCGTTATGATTGGACTGACTCTGGCGGTTAGCTGCACAATGGAACAAATTCGATGTGCACACCTCTAAGTTCTTTGATGACAAAGGCAATCCTATGACTTATGAAGAGTGGCAAAAAAAGGACCTTATGGGCGCCACGACCTTTGGCACCACATTGAGCTTGTATGGCGCTGATTTGCAGAAACAGGGTTTATCTACCCTGGCAGTCAGTATCATCCTGACTGGTCTGCGTATGTAATTCATGTTTGCACGGTCATCTTACCAAGACTAACTCGATCGATGTGCTAGCCCAGGAAATTATACCAACGTTCAGTATGCAGAATACCACCTCAGCCTTGGCTGTTTTGTCTGCTTGTCCTGCTAAACGTTGTATACAGCACCTACAAACGTCACTCAGCAGATCTACCCCTACCGTGATCAAAACGGCGAATCGGAATACGGTGATACCGTCAAGGGAAGTAGAAATTGTCTCCTCTTTCTCGAGGTGGTCAAGAAGGAGGACGGTAGCGACGGCCAGCTACCCGACGCCAGGCAGGTCGGATACCACGGCAACTTTTGCTACCCGCCAGCCGGCCAGCCTGGAGTCGACGGAACCTTTGTCCTTGGGGGGGAGCTGTTCCTGGCTCGGTACCTCCTAAGGCAGCTCCAAGCCATCAACGAGGCCTCGTCCATCTACGCCTATCGAAACACCTATGACAGCGTCGGCGGGTGGGCCTTCCCAATAGACATAGGGAGGGATCCTAGACACCGAGACTACAAACACAAGGCCTACGAATTCGTCAAATCCTCCAAGGAGCGGACCTGGGTTTACAACAAGCGGAGTGATAACTCAACGCCGGCGGCTCTCGACGGGTCGGGTCGTTGGTGGAGCTCTGACCACTGGAGTGCGTCCAGCCCCCCTTTCTATCCCAAGACGCGCCGGGTTGTATCAGGCATCAAGTTGCTAATAACAGCGCTGTGTTATATAACTTATAGGCGAGGCACGCACAATTGTGTCCTGGCAGCCCGGGAAGGCGCCGTACGCCAAGGTAGAGGGAGAGTATATATACTATCGCGGCATCACCTTTGCTGATAACAAACAATTGGCCGATCCATCGACTTATAGCAAGTAAGATTGACCCATTTGTGTTTGGAGATTTCAACCGCTTATCTCTTCCAATGACAGGGAAAAGTTTACGGGGAAATGGACCCTCAGCGTGAGGGTAGTTATTGAAGACGACGCGCCACGGCTCAAGCTGGAATCCACACAAGACTTGGACTTCTTGGTGACCGGCGAGGTAGAGGCATCGCCGGATTTGGAACCCTACGAAAACAAAAAATACGAATTTCGCGACAGCGTCAAGCATAGAATCCTTTCACGGATACCGGTATTACGCAATAACCTCCGAGAAGGATTCCAGGGAGATCACCAATTTACGTTTCCTGTCACGGGGCAGCTCGCCTTCCAAGACCTCACCTTTAATAAGGAGGGTGATATTCTGGCCGGCCTGATTTGGAAAGAGTGAGTGCATGTCTGGGTGCCCGTCTTTCTTGTTGGCAAGCTAATGGTGGAATGAAATAGTGTTGATGGACCGATTGTCGTCCGGCCTCCCGACTTGACCGATGTCAACAAGCTAGAGCCGTTCCTTCCTCTGACAGATACAGTAAACTTTGGGCCCATTTCTTGGATGCTCAAGGGCCACAGAAAGTAATGATCTTATCTTGGGCCGTGATGCCCGTTGACATTTGTTTGTCCCCGTTGGCTTTGTGGAATGGCTTGGATTGGATCTACTAATGTACACAAATGTAGAGAAATATGGATAGTTGCTTGATCGCTGCTCACACTAAGTATTTGACCTCTGGAAACTCTGACGAAACTGCCATTTAAACGACTCCAAATTATCTCCAACGCTTATATTAGAAACATGTCAGGCGAATGCAGCGTTATCTTTATCCTTGGAAGAGTTTTCTTTACGCTTGGGAATCTTCTCCTCTTTATCGCAGGCTCAAAGCCGAGTGATTACATTTCATAAGGCTCTCTCATTAGTTCTCTCTAGATTAAACTGGTCCATTCTCTTTGCAGCGTCTTCCTCTAATGATACTCATAGTAGAAATAAGAGACCAAATGGCTATTTATTTTACGAGTTGACGTTGAATCTTAGAGTGAAATACTGCACCTTGACTGTCCGAAGGTCTTGTTAGGCCGCATATACGCCAGGTATGTTAATAGAGAAGTCATGGAATACAGGTCGAGAGAAGTGATATATATATCAGTTTATATTCGAGCTCATAATGAAGGTAGCTAGCGTGGAAACATGATACAAGCACTGCGGGGTTTTCAAAGGAGTGGGATTGACCCTTTTCTTCTTTTATCATCTACTATTCTACCTACATTTTTCTGGTATATGATGATAACCGTAGAATAACTTGTTAGACTCGCCTTGATCTTCCTGGTATTCCTGCCATCGGCCACCTATCTATCTTGTATTACATCATATTATTTGTATTCAAATGTAAGGGAGGAATCTTGTTGGGTATCATGAGGTATTTATGCCTTAGGCCTTACTGCATAGATGTGCATATGGCTTGTCATATTTTCTTTATAACAAGACCCGTACTGGGCACATATAGAGCCAGATAGATGCTTTGACATTGATGTGCTCACTCTCTTGTCCCAACTTTATAGACTACGAAATAGGTATAATGCCAACGCATGAATGCAGCCATAAGCCCAACGGCGGGTTTGATGCCTGAAGCCCTCGAGTTCAGTCACTGTATATATAAGGACGGATGGAGAGAAAACACCAAGTCCAGGATTCTCTCTACTAGCCAACAGTCAAGTCTCAGACATTTTCCAATCTCCCATTCCACACACTATATTTCATTAATCATGGCATCTGCTATTATCAGTGTAATCGGCGGCGTTCTGACCATCGTCGATGCTGTCCAAGCAATCCGTGGCTGGGTTGTTCCTGGTGCTCCACAAGTCATCACATTCAGGGAGCTTCAGCAAGTTGTCCAAGGCGAGCACGCCGCCTTCTTCCAGGTCATAGCCCTTGGCAGACTGGACTATCGCTATCGGCGTTTCTATGGCGTTTGGCTCCCAGCCCTTACAAGTATGTCTAACATAACGTCGCAAAGCTTCGAGTCTGGCGAGGTCCGCGAAATCTTCAACAGCATCAAGGAGTCCATCGATGATGTGGACCTGACGCTCAACCTACTAAGGACCGTTTACGAAGAGCGTTACAACGTCTTGCACATGGACGATGTCACACGCGGTTTCTTCGCTTCTCTGAGCGGATACGGTCTTCTCTTCCATATGCACGGTGTGTACTCCCAGCTGAACCGCTATCGACTTGGCGCGGTTGATTTGGAAGACAGTCGACTTCGCATCGATTCTCTGAATGGGCTTCAGTACATCTCTGATGCTGCAGCGCTTATTGGATGGTTTGGGAATAACAACATCATTCGAAACAAGCGGATGGGGCTTGTCCCCGAGCAAGTGACATCGGTCAACACAATATTCAGGCACTACTGGAATTATCAGGATCGATATACCCCTCTTAGCAACGTCTCGCCAAACCTTGAACTCTCGGTCGCTAGACCGCCTGCATATTATGAGTATGACGATATCCACAACGTCAGAGGCGCTTTGCGAGACCGCAGAGCTAGGGTAGATGAACGTGTGAGAGCCGTCATCTTCAACGTGTACTCCCCCATGTGGTGGAGATTCGATCGAACAAGAGCCATTTTGCAAGCGAGAGCTAGAAGTCAAGGCGCCACCCAAGTTGTGCCGCGCAGACGACCTGTGCGCTCTATTCGCGGTTCGTCAAGAGCGGCGCTTTTTAGCGTTCTAGGAGCCAGTATTGATGATACGGGTAATGAAGATGAGGCGGCAGAATTTGAGGAGGGTGTAGGGGGGTTCAATGCCGGAGGAGAGCCCGAGGACCCCAATGCTCCAGATGGTGACCCTTTCAGCATCACTGCCCCTGAAATTGTCGCAGACGCCGAAGAGAAGCCAACTGATGGAAACATAGCCTTGGACAGCGCTCAGCTTGGTGAAACAACCAAGCTCACAGTTTGTGTTTAATAGTCTCTCAATTAATTAGATTTAGTCATGATATAATCTAAAAGAGCCTGTCTCGTTGCCCAGTCCTATAATATGCTTTTTGTTCTACCATCGCTGTCTTTAGTGATGACTTTCTGTGGTGTTTAGAGCGATCGAAAGGTGAGGGACTCGTAAAAGCGACATGACGGTGAGATGGAGTAGAATATTGGGGATAAATAAATCCAAAAACGGGAATTTTGAGGCAGAAAATAAATGAAAAATGTCCAGCTCAAGAAAAAGGGTTGGTCGGAGGTTGAATTATGCACTGCTGGTGGTGGTATCTGACAGGGTATGATGGTGGGTTGACTGTTATGAGTAGTATAAAATATGTATAGAAGCTTTTTTGGTATTGAAAGGTCTATCATCATTAAATAACATTGAATATACTCATAATATAGTATACAATTATCGAGATTGGGCCGCTTCCTTTCGGCGCAGTTGCAACTCTACACCTGTGTCTCTTCGTCCTCTCTCTGCTGTAGCTGCTCGTCTTGAGAACCCATGGCTGCCTTCTCATACCGCCCGTTATTCCCAGTTGGTGGGAAAGAGATTGTCAGGTCCTTGATATATCGCGGCGTCGGGTCCTTATTTTCAAGAACGTAATGAAGATAGTATTAGATAGAGTAGATATAATTCTTCTTGTGGAACTGCTACTGCGTGGATGCAACGGATCGTGGCTGTAGAGTATCAATATCCTAATCGTTTCAATCTTTGCCTTTTTGGCTGTTCCTGGGAGACACGATTACGAACTTGACTCAAGAAAAGGCGAGAAGAGGTGCAAGAAGCGGGAAGATGGACTGAAGAAATCGCACACAGGAAAATTTTACTTCACATCCTAGAATAACAATTCTAGTGTTGTATTGAAGATTGGAGCACTGGAAGAATTTAACAGGCCGTAGAACATGCGGAATATAGGTATGCTTCGTCTTTGTCAAAGGAAAGAAGTTTATTTTAATAGCAAATGACTAATATTATCGAAAACTGCAGCAAAAAATACCCAGAAGTTTTTGTATCACTTGAGTAGTTTTATCCTCCGACCCTAATTCCTTCTCTTCTCTTTCAAATGTTTCTGTGGGGTTATATAAAGCGATATTGTATTGATCTGAGGCGATATTGTATTGATTTGAGGTGTTATTATATTGATCCGAAATGCCATTGTATTGATCTGAGGCAGTATCATAGTGCTCGAGCCTCGCGCAAGCATAGCGAAGGCTGTCAGTTGTTAATAGTGTGGATGTATGCTCAGGCCCAAGTATCTTCTTTTTTACAGTAAGTACTTTTGTAAGGTACTCTACTGCCTTATCATATTCCCCAAGGCCACTATAAGCACTACCAATGTTATGGAGAGTCATTAGTGTATCTTTATGTTCAGGCCCAAGTATTTTCTCTCGTCCTGCATGTGCTTTTGTGAAGTACTCTATTGCCTTATCATATTCCCCAAGGTCATAATAATCGCAGCCAGTGTCGTTAAGACTCAGGAGTGTATGTTTATGCTTAGGCCCAAGTATTTTCTCTCGTCCTGCATGTGCTTTTCTATCGTACTCCAATGCCTTATAGGGTTCCCCAAGGTCTCTATAATCGCAGCCAATGTCATGGAGACTCATTAGTGTATCTTTATGTTCAGGCCCAAGTATTTCCTCTCGTCCTGCATGTGCTTCTATATCGTACTCCAATGCTTCATCGTATTGATTGAGACAGGTATAGATATAGCCAATCTGGCGAAGGACATAATACTTCAACGGCGTTTCCTTTTCCTCTACTTTATCAAGAGCTGCAAAGTAAATCTTTAGAGCTTGCTCAAATTGTCGGATCTCACGGTAAAATTGGCCGATAGCTAAGAGTGCATAAATGGGCATATTCGAAGCATTGTCCAATAGAATACGGAAGATAATCTGTAAAGGATCGGCCAGTTGTTTAGCTTTTCGAAGATAAATTTGCATTTTCAGACACAAATTCGCTTTCAGTTCACGCGATAGAGGAGCCTCATGTCGAAGTATTTGTAGAATTGGCGACATGTCGGTTGGTATTCTCACACTTCCAACTAACGAGGGCTCCACAGCTTGAGGGCTGTTCCATGTAGATTCATCTTGCATAAGAGTAAGGAATAAGCGAATTCGTTCAGTGCGGAAATCGGTATCTCCGTACTGCTGTGACCGTCTCTCCATTTCATGATTCAGACAAGCAGAGACTCGCCGTGAAAGTTCTAGTGAGTGTTCATCATCACCCAACCAAGATATGAATACCTCAAAATCGTCAACAAAAGAATGTAGAGACTCGTTATCAAACATTTCCATAGCGAAATGTTCTATCCAAGGCACACATCTATCCGAGTTTAGAAACTTGTTGATCTTTGCTGTGATGAAATCCGGCTTAATGTCGGATTGAGTAATATGGATCGTAAAGTATCTAGAAACGTAGCTTAAGAGTTGATTGTGTTTGTCGAGCTCGGCAAATTTGCTCCAATCGTGTGTCTGAGAACTATAATAACACATTTCAAGATACTCAATAGAAGCAGCCGCAACCCAGCTATGCGCCTGTTCCAAAGAAACCCGAAAGAGTTGAGCCTCACAGCTTTCCCATTCGCTCTCGGGTCTGGTCAAAAACTCCATCACAGAGAAGTGGACTAGCCGAAGATGACCATCCATGATGCTGACGAGGCCACCGCAGACATCCAAGATTTTGCGGTCTGGTCGTGGAATGTAGTGTTCAATGGGATGTTTCCTGCTTTTAGATGCAGACATGGCATTTTCGGCGAATAAATATTGGAATTCCTCAATTCTCAACGGACGTCGAGCAACGATGATGAATGCAAAAGTCTTTTGAGCAAGATTTAGCTCAGAGCGGTTCAGCCCGCTGATAAGTCCCGAAAGTAAGCTTTCATAGGCCGTCTGAATATCCCGTGGTAAATTATGTAGCTTTTCAAGAGCGTCAGCTACCCCAACTGACCCGTTTAAGTGCCCAAACATAAGCTTGATCCATAGAAAGTTTCCTTCTGACTGCTCTGTGAGAGTTTTGCGAACTTCAGTTCGCAAGTCTGGTGTATCAAGAACCTTGGAGTCGGCTATTCCAGTTTCAATCACTAAATCCAGGTCGTGTTCTGTCAATATAGAGTCCACCTCAATTTTGTGTTTGATAGAATCATATGAATGAAATACGTGGGATCGACCGAGTATAATAAAACGAACGCTGGAGTGAGTTTGGAGGAAACCAAGTAGTTTCTGCACCAATCGATGAACAATGTTTATGCTTTCGTCCACACCATTGACAATATTTCCACTCTCGTCGACACCATCGACAATGCAATAAATCGGCTTGGTGATGAATGTGTCAGCTATCATGCTGAAAGCCGTCCAGAGGTCAAAACTCGTAGCCTGGCCTTTCAACATTAGGTTGCTAACAATGCGGATGGCTTGTCCCTCTGGTAAAATTTGCAACAATTGCGATAGAAGCGAGCGAACAAAGTCATCCAACTTGCCATCCAACTTCAAGTGACTGGCGTTCATGCCGACGAAGGCGAAAAATAGGACATACGCCCCATCTTCACGTAGGTGATCAGCAATATGAGAGGCCAAAATACTCTTCCCACAGCCCGGGGGGCCGCAAATGCAGAGCAGCCCATCCAGAGGTGATGGTGTAGATAGAGATTTCCAATTTATAAAAGTCGTGTGTGACCAGATCCAATCACAGGTCCCAGCAAGCCTTGCTTCGACTCGTTCCTGATGGATTTGTCGAACGTTCGGAGGGTTCAGCCATCTTTCGCATCGTATTTGCTGATCATTCAGATCCCTTTTTCGTGCTTCTGTGCAGTTGTTAGAATGGCTGGTTCAGATGCTGGAGACTGTTATGCCCACCGTTCTCAGCGTTTCTCCGTAATCTCGTATTTTCAGCTGTATTCTCATCTATATTTGCTATATTCTCGAAAACTAATTATAAAAAGTCAAATCATTTCCAAATGATAGAACATCTCACTGGGTGGAGGACTGACTGGAATTCAACACTCGAGAAGCTATCGGAGGCAACATTTCAACATCTGACGGTTCAATCAATGAGATGAGTTCTTTGGCATACGCCGATGCCACAGCAGCGGCACGTTTTCGCCATTGATCGTTTTTATGTGAGTCGGAATAGTCGCTGATTCCCCGTATAATAAGACATGGGAAGTTGTTCATTAATCCGGCCGCCTCCATGTCAAAGCAGAATATCGTGTTTGCATAACGGCTGTCGATTTTGTTCCTTTCAACACCATTTCTAACAACCATGCTTCCAGAAGCGATAATACCATAATGAATGTGTGGGGTAGATGCGGAATTGCGAACTCTTCGCTGGACGAGCGCCTCTTTGTCACAGGAATCACACGTTTCAGCTCCAATATTGTGATCACACTCTGCTTCAAACAACAGATCGGGTGTCGCATGTTCTTCTGGATACGTGTATTGTTCGCCTAGCTCGTTCAGAATGCCAGGTATATTGTTGCGTGGATTCTTAGGCCGCGAATGATATGCTTTCAGAAGATCGACAGTAGCCAGGATTTTAGGCGCCGGCGCACAAAACCAGTCTTTCCTCTCGATGTCACCACTGCCGTTCAGCTTGCCATAGTCGTATTGAACAACCCCGGTGTAGGTCCCATTTGGATAGCTAACCACAATATCACCCAAGCGGATGTCCTTTTTCTCACCTGGGACACCACCTCCGATACCCACGAGGAGCGCGAATTTGATATTCTTGAACGTACGGCGCATATTTTCTGCCACGATAGCAGCAGGTCCTGTGCCCATTTGACCTCCAGACAAGCAAGCCATGGTAATGTTGTGTTCACCTATTTTGCCTAGGTGATATGCGTTGGTGTCGTCTCGAGGCGTTGACTGAGGTCTCCCATGCTCCTCGTCTAACATGGCCATGGCGAGCATAAACTCTTCATGTAGTGCAGAAATCCATCCAATGGTATATTCATCATTTGAATAAGGAGAGCGCTGCATGGTCAATACTATGCGTGGTACAGAACAGTACGTTGTAGTAAAGCTGTATAATAGTCAACAGAGTAATGTAAATGAAGAGATCAGATCGTTGTCGGATGAAGAGAACCTGACATGCTGACGCCGAGAGTTGCTGCCTAACATTAATTTCAGCCCAGAACATACGCTGCCGTAATGATTGGCGACCATGAGAGCAAGGCTACCTCATGCTGTGCAACTGGTGCGCGGCCTATCACGAATTATAGCCAATTAGAAGGCAAAATGGCGACAAATCGTTTTCCAAGGGACGACTTGGAAAGGCCCAAGATGAATTAAAGTAGTATATGATCTAAAACGGTGATATGCTGTCCAATATGAATCAGTGAATACATCGTTGATCTTGGAATGGGTTTAGCCTGGCATGATGAGAAAAAAAGGGCCACAAAGTTCATTTTGAAGCCAATTCACATTGTACGGTGAAATGCTTCGTTCGGTTTAGCGTGGTCAGGCAGGCCCAAGGATCTCGGAGAATGAAGATGTGTGGTCGCGTTTTTGGAACCCAAGGGCGGCAGAAGCAAAAGGCCTTGAATTGTGGTAAAGAAATCGAAGGAATCTTGTACATTCTAATGAAATTGGTCATATGCGTTGATCACAGGGACATTTGGTATCAAATTCACCCACAATATGGCCAGGAAGAACATGATCATCACCCCAAGATAGCTTCCATACTTCCATAGCAAGAACCTTGAAGTTTCGATTGCGGCTCTTCTTTAAAAGAAAATGAATCTCTCTTTCGTATGGTCGGCTGACAAGAGTAGATTGGGAGCAAACGGTAGCGGACTGTATCAAGTGCGGCATCAGTTTACAACAACTGTATCACAGAGGAGGCTCAAGCCCAGCGTTCTATTACAAGTTACCCAAGTTGACGTTCATACTGAGATATGATTGAAAGGAACTGAGTATTGGTCTATTACCAAGATCCAAAATGACAGAAAATAGTTTTCAAACAGCAACGTTATCTAGGCTATTACCAAGCTCCAAAGCGACATTCTTGACGCCCTTTAGTTTTAGACGTTTAGAGGTTGCTCTACATTAGCTATACTTTATAGCCTTAAATTAACTCTCTAGGTGATGCTTCCACGGTTCTGGGCCGCCAACTTTAAATCTATCATCAGGCCAGCGGAGAATTCCCCCCTTCCATTTGTGCTCCTTGTCGGTAGTAAAACAACACGATGTCAAGTGATATTTCCAGGCAGAATGGTCCTTGACGATCATAAACTTGATGGCCTGAATCTCGAATTGGCGATCTTCAATTTAATAATGACTTACCAACGATATCTCTTAAGATTCCCATAAAGAAGCTGCCATGATTAGAGGATCCTGTACTATAGCATTAGATTTCTCTTGAAATTGCCATAGAGTTCCCTCCACGTTGCCGCGCAATGGCCACTCATGGCCGTATTCGTCGACTGCCTCAGCTGGCGCAAAACTAACCCGGTATGCCTTGCGTAAACATCACATACCCTTCTTTACTCATTCTGCCGTGCAATCTCCACCATTTCTACTCTTTTTCATGATGCCAACTTGGAGAGACGCAGATCCAGTCGTTCAAGGACCTGCCGGAGCGCCATTCACCTGACACTAGATAGTTCGCACCACCAGAAGCGTCAATTCTGGGGAATTGCGGAAATGTAGACAGCTGTGGATAAAGAGGGATTTTTGAAGGCATTCCAAGCCAGTCGGCACTTCCACCTTTCTCGAGGATCTCGGTCCTGAGTGTGCCATCGTTTCGATCCAAGTGAGGACGTTGGATCTCAGGAACTGCACGACAAGTTGGAACGTCCCTGCTTCCAATGGATCAGCCCTCGAGAGATGATATGAGTACGCTGTGTATTCATAGGCGGAATCTAGTCTTGTTGCTAGTACATTTGCCGAAGAACGGCGTCGACAGTTCCTCGGAGGTTTCATTTCCTCCCTGAAAAGGTAATTGAGGCACACCTGAGCCATCCGTGTGTGCACCTTCGTTTTCTCGATGGATAACTCGGACTCGAGTCCGCCGGCTACATGGAATTCTCTGGCAGGTTCATGCACCATACCAACTCTCTCCTATTTGTCTACGACCACTAGTTGACCACAGAGCGCGGCGATGCTTTCAGCCGATCTTGGGAATGAGTCGTGCAAGTCCAGGATCAGAGTACCGTCCAGCTCGCTGATTGCCATAGGTCGAACCGCGCTTGCTGCCCACACGAGAATAGTTTTGGCCAGCTCCTTTCCACGAGCGGCCTGCGACATATAGTCTAACATCCGCTTGTATAGCGACTCCATGCGTCTCGGCACATCGTCAAGAACCTGGTGAATTTCCTTTGTGCTGTGACAGCGTAGGAGCTCCTCAAGCACCAAGATTGTCTATGAGAAGAAGCCTCTAGATTTGTCTAGAATCTTCTCGACTAATGTTCCCCAGAATTGACGCCTAGGCCATGGACGAAGATGAAGTTGATCTCCAGCGCCGTCGGGGAATAGAGGAGGCTTGGTCTAAGCGGGTTCTTTACGCCCTCCGCTTGATCGCCGGAGGTGATTGACGTCCTGGGTAGGATTTCTGACAGAGGAAGCAGACTACTAGAGCTCTTAGGCGAGTCGCGACTACTTAGGGGACTGTCAGGATGTAGGTCGGGCTTTGTGCGCCGCTCCTTTCGAAAGAACTATCTAGTATAGTCAACGATCTGGTAGGAATCAGGTCATGTTCCCAAGAGGTTAAGGAGGTGAAAGTTAACCATTCTAGTCCGCAGACCTCAGTGCTATGCTGGGGGCGCCAATCTCGGTTGCCCAGACTCATACAAGGTGACATCGGCAGGATGGCTTGTCTCTTCAAAGTACATAGAATGGAGTTGTTTCAGGGGAGACTCTTGGTGGTGCTCAACCACCTGTCGACCGAAGCACGTAGCAGGTGATGAGCATCGGCCCCCCCTCCCCCTCCGAACCAACAACTAGCAGCGTGGTTGCTTCAATCGCCTTTCGCACAGGCTCGAGAAAGTCAACAGCATGTGTTGCCCAAAAAGATCGCGCACTCAATACGTACCTTCAAGAATACCCCCATTGACCTGCCATTTCTTGGCGATGCTGTGTTGATTTGCTTTATAAGATGGACTGTCCACACATTGTGTATGATTTCAGCGAGCCATAGACCATGGATACACAGACGAATCCAACCTTTGCTGTTGGGGACCACGAGGCTTTCATGGAGTTTGCTCTCGTTTAGGCACAAAAATCACCGCTAGCTGCCAACAAATTCTGCGTCGGAGCCGTACTTGTCGACGCCTCCAAGGGAAAGGTCTTATCGACGGGATACTCGCTTGAATATCCGCGAGATTACAAGGGAGATCCAGGCACCACACACGCAGAGCAGTGCTGTTTTATCAAGATCGCCGACGAACACAACCTCCCTGAGGAACGCATTCATGAGGTCCTTCCGGCCAACACGGCGCTGTACATGACCATGGAGCCATGCAATGAGAGACTAAGCGGCAACATGACCTGCGTGACAAGGATCTTGAGACTCAAGAGCGCCATCAAGACTGTCTACGTGGGAATCAAAGAGCCAGGGACATTTATCGCGCACAATGACGGGCAGGGAAGGCTGAAGGCAAACGGTGTCGAAGTCGTATTCCCCGTTGAACATTGGCGTGACAGAATCACCAAGGTCTCAATGACTGGGCACTGAAGACGAAGAAGGAAAATATCAAGGTTGCGAGAACGCCCAGACGGCCTGGACAGCAACCCAGCTCGAGTTTACCTTGACCCCCTTACTGTTATCTAGAGATAAAATTGTCATAGATACATAGAGATGTCGCAGAACGAGCTGCAGCCTCGGTGCATCTCTCAATAAGCTCTTGCTTCTTAGATAACTCTCATCAATTGGTTAACACCGCTTAGTGTGCCTCCCATCACCGTCTAACACAATAAAACAGCAACTTAGAATTGATCAAGATTTGTGGCAGTGGGGATTGTGTGTCGTTGGCTGCGAGAATCGGCGTCTATACGTCCTTCCGGACGTTCTCCTTTCAGGTCGTGTCGTGTGGTCTGATGGGTGGTTTCGGTGAGACTCGAGTCACTCGCCTGCAATTGGCTACCATGATGGTAGGGGCATCTAGAAACGCCGTCTATAGATAAACCGTGCGTCTCCGAGAGCAGGATGACCTTCAACCAGCGGGGGCACTCAACAAATTCGGCACATTCTTTGATACAAAAAATGAACTACAACGGCGCAGATGGCCTTGAATTCGGGGCGGGAAATACCAAAATAGACCCAGCCTTGTTGAAAAGTAAGCTGCAAGTCCTTGGCGAACTCACAAGATGGTCTTCATATTGACTGCCTCCCAAGAACTGCCGGAAGGATGCAAGGTCACATCCACCGAGAACCAAGGCGAGAGCTTCTGGGCGAAGACAGGTCGCGTCAATGTTCGGCTCCGCGATGGTACAGCTCCGCGATGGTACACCACAGTCTTTCTTCATCAAGGTCATTTCGAAAGAAATAGGCATGAATATGACCAGGGGTGAATTCCACTCAATGAGCGCGATGCACAACGTTCTGCCTGAATTTGTCCCAAGGCCCATCGCTTGCGGCACCTACGAGACGATAGCAGACACCCACTTTTTCCTCTGCGAGTTTCGAGAAATGACTGACGATATGCCTGACCCTTACAAATTTGCCGCTTTTCTGTCGGCACTGCACCAGAAAAGCGAATCGCCTACTGACAAGTTCGGATTTCACATCGCCGCCTACGCAGGAAACCTTCCTCAGTTTGTGGCACGGGAAGGTAGCTGGGAGGCATTCTTCGCTAAGACTATGAGACAGGCACTTGACTTGGAGATTGGAAGGAAAGGTCCTAGTGAGGAGCTCGGGGTCTTCTCTCATGCTCTCTTCGAAAAGGTCATTCCGAGGCTCCTGAGGCCTCTCGAGAGTGACGGTCGAGTAGTGAAACCCTCACTTGTTTATGGAGACCTTTGGTACGCAAATGCAGGGATTGATGCTGACAGCGACCAGCCTCTTGTCTTTGATGCGTGCTGCTTCTTCGCGCACAGCGAATGTACGTCCCACTGCAAAATACTCGCGGTTACCCATGCTAAATAACTTAAATTTGAAGATGCGTTTGGCCAGTGGCGACCGACTTGCAATGGGTTTGGGGATAAGTACGTTGCTGCCTACAACACATTCACTCACGACATATGATAGTCTGTATCTGATTCCCTTCACCTAGATATTCGCGGCAATGAAGATTTAGATGAGATAAAGAGAGATACTCGTTGATTCAATCTAAGCGCTCGAAGTGTACGATATACATCAAGCTTAGAACTAATACCGTTCATAGAGCGACAAGTCAATGTCCAATCTCCTCTAATACTTCCGATATTCTTCTGACCCGTTCGTGATCAGCTCCAAGAACAGCACGAAGACCGTTCTGTGCACGATGATAATATTGCCTGGCTTTTTCCAATTTTCCTTGTTTGTAACAAACATCCCCAAACCACTCAAGACAATCCAACGTGGGGATGTGTGTCTCAACACCATGGGGCCCCAGGGCCTTCTCAAATCCTTGAAGTGCTCGCTCATGCATAGCTTCAGCTTCGTTGAATCGGCCTTGTTTAGTGTAGAGATGGCCCATGTTATTGACAATTCCGAGTGTTGAAGTTTTCTCTGGTCCAGATGCCTTCTCAAACCCTTGAAGTGCTTGTTGAAACATAGCTTCAGCTTCGCCAAGTCGGTCTTGCTTAGTATAAAGCAGGGCAAGATCATTTACTGTCTCAAGTACTTGAATACTCTCTGTTCCAAATGCCTGCTCAAGCCCTTGAAGCGCTCGCTTATGCATAGCTTCAGCTTCGTCGAATTGGCCTTGTTTAGTGTAGAGCTGACCCATGTAATTGACTATTCCGAGTGTTATAGGGTGCTCTGGTCCCAATGCTCTGGATCCCTGAATTGCCCGTTCAAACATATTCTCAGCTTCGCTAAATCGGCCTTGATAAGTATGGAGCAGGCCTAGACCGCCGACGATTCCAAGTGTTATGGGATTCTCTGGTCCCAGTGCCTTAGACCTCTGGAATGCCTGCTCAAGTATATCTTTAGCTTCGCTGAGTCGGCCTTGTGTAATATAGAAATCTCCTATGCTCTGAGCTGCCAAAAGTGTTGATGGATGCGTTGGTCCTAATGCCTTCTCGTAACCTTGAAATGCTTGCTTACACATCGCTTCAGCTTCATTAAATCGGTCCAGGTTCTTATAGAGACTTCCTAGGCTCTGGATAGTCATTAGTGTTGATGTGTGGTCTGGTCCTAATACCTTCGTGAAACCTCGAAGTGCTTGCTGAAGTGTAGCTTCAGCTTCTTCGAATCGATCTAGGAGAGTGTATATATCTCCTAGACGCTTGGCTATTTCAAGTGTTAATGTATGCTCTGGTCCTGATACCTTCTCAAAGCCTTGAAGTGCTTGCTTTAATAAAGCTTCAGCTTCAGTAAATCTAGATAGGTTCATATAGAGCATCCCTAGGCCGTGGGTTACTGAAAGTGTTGATGTATGATCTGGTCCTAGTACCTTACTAAACCCTCGAAGTGCTTGGTTAAGTAAAGTTTCGGCTTTATCAAATTGAAACTGGTTTTTATAAACAAGCCCTAAATTGTTGACTGTTTCAAGGGTTGATGTATGATCTAACCCCCATGCTTTCTCTTTCCCTTCAAGAGCTCTCTTGAACATGCCTTCAGCTTTATCAAGTTGGTGTTGATCAAGATAGACAAGTCCAAGATTGTTCACCGCGTCAAGTGTTGATATATGCTCCGGTCCTAAGGCCTTTTCTTGTCCTTGAAGTACTTGTATATATATAGCTTCAGCTTTATCAAGCCGGCCTCGGGCGCTATAAACAAGACCCAGGTTATTGAGTATGTTGAATATCGTTTTGTGGCCTGGGCTGATTTTCTCAAAGCCCTGAAGTGCTCGTTCAAGTAAAGCCTCAGCTTCATTAAGTCGGCTTTGCTCTTTGTAGACCACTCCCAGGTTGTTGACTGTTTCAAGTGTTGATATATGCTCTGGCCCTAATACCATTTCTCTTTCTTGGAGTATTTGTTTATATATGGTTTCAGTTTCGTTAAGTCGGCCTTGATTGCGAAGGGCTTGTCCCAAAGTGTTGGCTGCGTTAAGTGTTGATGCGTGCCTTGGTCCTAATGTCTTCTTGAGCCCTTGAAATGCTTGGTTAAGCAAAGCTTCAGCTTTGCTAAGTCGGTTTTGATCGGCATAGAGGAAACCTAGTAATTGCAATAGCCGCGAGTCTTCATATCCCACAAGCATGGTACTGATCAAGTCATAGCATCGATCCGCATGCCCTAGGAGCCGCCGTTGCTTGGACCAAAACTCAGGTTGTTCCCGGTTCGGGACATGAGACCCTACGCAATCAATGGCTGCGTGCGCCATATCATTGTCAGATTCCCGATTAAGAACGTTAATCATCCAGGAGTGAACGCAAGCATGCACGCTATACCCAGTTGACTCTGCAATCCGCGATAAAGTAGCTGTACCAGCCTGCGCAAGCCCGTGATCGCATAGTAGCCTCATGGTCGCATGAAAGGGGATTCTGTCTCTTGTCAGATCTCGAAGCCAGTCCAATTTGTGTGATTGACCGCTCCGCAGTAACTCATACCAGAGGTCTTTACTGTCGAAATAGGCCCATTGGTGGAGCAGAAGGGATGCAGTTGAATTTTGCTCCTGGATATGTTTATGCGTGATATTCCATGTTGTACACAAGACTTTATCATAAGATTCTAGGTCTTTGGTATTTTTATGCAACTCCACCCAAGACTTTTCATAGTCCTGAAGGTATTCGGTGCAACTGATAGGCGCTTGTCTCAGGTAAGCTCCGGCTGATGCAAGGGCAAGAGGAAGCCCATCGAGCCGCATCGCAAGATCGACAGCTGCCGGATCTGTTGCAAAAAGGTTACGTTAGTCTCTTCTTCCCATAACAGCCAGGGTGACATACCGTCAATTATGTTTCGGCCGGAGGTTGAAGCTAGAATCTCTAGACAATCATCGAGACTGTTCAATTTGCCTATTTCAATAGGCCGTCCTAACTTCCTTGACGATACTCGACTGGTTATGAGAATGGTGCCATGGTCGGCCTCGGGGAAATACTTGCGAATATCGTAAGACTGCGATCTCACCTCCTTCTTTTGGCCCCCGGGATTCATGGAGAGAGTCTTTTGACTAGAGGTACCCAAAAACTCTTCGTCCTCTGCATGAACATTATCCAAATCGTGATAGTCATAGTTGTCATAAATAATCAACCATGATTTGTTGGCAGGCTCATCTAGCCACCTTTTCACTGCTTTCAGAATGATGCTTTGATCTTGGCTTTCCAAAGCAGTCTGAATGTAAGTTACTTGCTCTTTCTCAAGGATCCGTTCTGCTAATCGGCTGAAGCTTTGATTTATCGTTGTTTCATTTCTCGCCTCTAGCCAAATCCTCGTCGAGTAGTGTTCATGATGCCGCTGAGCATACTCAAGTGCCAGCTGCGTCTTGCCTATACCTCCCAATCCATGGAGAACAACAGCACGACGCCGGTGGGGCCGAACTGCGGGTTGGAGAGCTTCTTGCATCTCTTTCAGCTCTTCTTTTCTTGCAACGAACTTTGAAATTTGAGTAATGCCTGGTAAATATGACTGGAGATCGAAAGCAGTTGGCTTGATAGATGTCCTTGATTGAATGTAAGCTATACATACAACAAATATCTCTAATCAAAGTTCACGCTTACTCCTCTTCCAATTCGGTGGACATGTGAAAAAATAACCGTCTGGCATAAGCCGCAGCCGCCGCCGCCGCAAAACCATGCCAGTTGTTGTTCTTGTGGGAATCGCAATAGTCGGAAATGCCTCGAATAACCAAGCAAGGAAAATCGGTAAGTGCTCCTGCGGCCTCCGTCTCAAAGCATAGGAGGTTGTATTTTTGAGCCAAAAAGTCCCTCTTCTTTGCATCCTTGATCACCAGCTCCCCGGACGCTATCGTGCCTCGATGCACAACAATAAAACACTCATCGTCTTCTTCCACTGGTCGTTCAATCCGCTGCTCCGGACTGCATCCTTTCTCGCAAGTCATTCCCATCTGTTGGTGGTTATAATCTGACTGATAAAGATAATCGTTCGCGGTGCCTGGGAATTTAAAGCGTCGCAAACCTCGACGTTGCGTCCGGATCCTTTGTGTATTCTCCCAAATAGGATCATTATCTGACCTGGATTGTTCCACAGCCAAGGCTTGTGCAGCGTTTAAGAATGCAGCAGGCGGGGGCATAAGAGAGCCGGTACGCTCAATAAAGCCATCTATTGCTTTGCCGTGATCATATTGTATTGCTCCAGAGTGTTCGCCGGTCGGCTTGCTGACAACCACATGCCCCAGTCTGATTATTCCGTTATCCGTCTCTACTGGTACACCGCCGCCAATGCCAACTAGCAAACCATATCTAAGCTTCTTAAATGTCATTCTCATCTGTGTGACAACTGTGGCCGTAGAGCAGTTGCCGGTTTGGGGAAGGCCGGCGATTACAACGTTATGGCCATGGATGCTGCCGAGCTTATAGACGTTGTGGTCGGTAGCGGATTGCTTGAGAGGCTCGTGCTCTTCGTCTAGCATCTCCATTGCCGCGGTCTGTTCAACTTCTAGGGGACAAATCCATCCCACTCGATAGCTGTCGGGTGCGAGCTTTTTCAGGGACATCGTTAGTGTTGGTCGGACGGCGATGAGATTACAGCACTAGAGCTTCAGACGTATTTGTACGCGTTGTTGAGTAGATGGGAAATTGATAATAGATAAACGGAAGGGATGGTAGAAATTCTCATTCAAAAACATCACCTCTATAAGCGACCTCAAGCCGGGAGAGGTTGAGGGTTGAGGCTCTTTGGCCGCGCTCCAGGCGCCAGCCTCGTGAGAAGCGCATATCGCCGGTTAATTAGGTGCATTAGCGTGACTTGAAAATACATGAAATTACATAGCATTGAAATATTGTATAGCCAATAAATGCGAAATTTAATGATATTGATGTGCAAGTATGCAGGTTGGGTAGTATAAGCAGACCTGTGGAGGGTCGGAACCCTTCTGCCTTTTTTATCCCTTTTATCCGGTATCTACGGAGTAGAGCTCACTGGGTGAATAATTGGCTGGCTATACTCCGTAGCCTTGTGTTGACGAGCCTGATGGCTTGGCAAGATCTACATGAAATGGTGCTGCAAACTAGGCGTCACTATCATGGCTCAAGTCGAGAAGAAAGGAGTTTCATATTTGTTCGGTCGATTCACAACAGAAAATCTGCGTGGGACCTGAGAAAAGAGAAGAAGAAAGAAAGACAACACAAATTTCTAGCAGAGTACTGCCTAGTAGTATGTATGTCCAAGCTTCCATGTTAAAAGGGAAGAAAGGAGGGATGAGCAGGTGTGCATGTGTGTAACCGCCACCTGACCTAGTTCCCATAGATTCAATTGGATGCCTTGTCGTTTGAGGCTCAACGCTGACCTATTCCTATGCGACTCAATCCTACAAGAGGCATTCGGTCGATTCGCAAAAGGGTGTAGAGGATACAGCGCGTGATTAATCATTAGCGCAGGGTTCCTGTTCCTCTGAAACATGGATTCGGGGCTATACCTAGAGTCTTTGGCGTAGATGTGTTTCACATGATATATAGCAGTCGCGCGATTACACGGTGATCAGTGGTGCGTTTTAAGAATATCATCATTGCGTCTGAAGTTATTAGATGGAGCAAATATGGCTCTTCTTGTTGGACGGCTAACGCGTTGGTGCAACGGATCGTGGCCGTAGAGCCCCAATACCTGAGTCGCTACAACCATTGTCTAATGTGTTTGATACCAAGAAGCATAGCTACGAAGCAGTTAATACATCGTTGACCTTGGTCTTGGCTTAGAAGAAAAATACGGTCACAAAATTGGTCTCAAACCAATTTACACTGTAAAGAGGGAAAATAAAGGCGTGTGGGTGCAGTTTTGGAACGCAACGGTGCAAGGAACAGAAGAGATTGAACGTTAGGTAAAGAACTCGAGGCATTCTTGTGCTTGCTTGAACGTTGCCTGTGTTAAGGTCCGTGGAGAATGCAAATTCCTCCGTCGCGTTAGTTGAGTGGACTCAGTACATGTACATAAGCTGCAGATTTGAGACTGTGGTAAGCAGTCGGATTACAGGATTCGTAACAACATTGAAGTCTTAATCGAGTTGCCGGAGATACAGAGAGAGTAGCACAAAAAGAGAAATTGGTTGAACAATCTGCCGAATGTTGATTCTCCCCCGAGGATTCTGTATAATTTGATGTTCTTTCCGAAATCCAACAAGGGCTGATTCGACAAAACGACGCGCGAGCAGTTTCAGACAGTGCGCTGAGTCGGCCAGTGACTCACATCCGGAAATACAGAGTCTAGCGCCACACTTCGAAGCCACTTGCCGTGGTGTTATGACCCTTGCGGTCATCATGTCAAGGTTTTACGATGAATTGACTCCTCAACTCGATGACTCTTGCTGTGACAATGGCGGAAATTGTCTCAAAACAAGCAATGCACTTTACTCAAGAAACCATCACATCGAGAGAATTACATTGGTAATACTCCGCATGGCCGAGACTGAAGGATCAATTACTACGACCTTTTAGGCTGGTCTAGCTTCCAACGAGATGCGCTCTGCAGCCGGCCAGATATAAAAACCCAATACAAAAGGACAGTTCCAATACTTCAACCTAGGTGCCGTCCCGAATTCCTGACGAATTGACAAACAATTCAGCGCTCCGACAGAGAGCCATTGAAATAATTTACAAGCTCTTACACCTAAATGATGGGGGCGAAAATTCTAGAAACAAGCCGGCTGTACCCGTCCTCCCGCCAACAATCGCCAATCTCAACCGTGTTATCCATTCTTGATGCCACGGTTGTTCGATTCGCTCCTACGGGAGCCATCTGGATCTTCAACAATGATTCACCAACTGAGATCGCCGGGAACCTTGAAAGCTCCTTTACCAAGGCACTCGAAGCTTTCCCCCAATGGGCGGGCCAGCTTCAGTGGGCGCCAGTCCGCGACAACGGCTCCCACGGAGAGCGTTTCAATCGACCGATGATTACCTATGGGTTGGATTCAGATCCTGGCGTGGAATGGAACGTTGCTCAACTGGACTCTTCGCCAGCATCAGTGGCTCCAGAACCCGCCCAACGAGCCTCCGATGAATTGTGGATAAAGGACTTCCCTCAATCCGATCTCATGATCTCGTCAACAAAGATGGCTCTATATGACCTCGATACATTCCAAGGCCTGCCGAGCATGATTGTGCAGGTCACTCGTCTAGGTGACAGCGGCTTTGCTGTGGCCGTGAAGATGGCCCATCCACTGGCCGACGCCCATACTCTTATGCTTTTCATGCGTCGATGGGCGTCCATCTGCCGCGATGAGCTCACGAAGCAACACCTCACCAAAGATCTGGCGTACCCTATCTTTGAGCCCAACTTACTAGACTCTAGGGCAGCCGGCGACATTGACGCTCCGGACGGTGATGCAGAGCTGATCTCAAAAGCTCGCTCTCTTCCTCTCCTTCGGCATGACTGGTGGGACACTACTGCCGGAAATCTAGCAGCGCTTACTCCGTCAACGATAAACTCCAAACCGAAAGATGCCGCGCTGCTACAAAAGGCCATGATGTCGCCTGCGTGCGCACCTCCATGGGAGACTTGGGACTTTTCCAAGCCGGTTACGACTGCTATCATTCACTTTACGGGAGACGAGCTGGAGCGGCTCAAAAAGTCGGCCACTGGGGCCACGGCCAAGGTCTCGCGCCTCGATGTTCTGCTAGCTCATATCTGGGCAGCTATCGGCCGGGCTCGCTCACCATTATCACAAAATGACGATGAAGTCTTCTTGAACTTTACCATTGGAGTCCGCGGGCGGGTTTCGCCGGCCCTCCCAGACACCTTTGTCGGTTCACCTTTGGTGCTGACGCATATCAGCACTCTTGCGCGCAGCGTCGGGGCTTCAGATACCAAAATTGAATCAATAGCCTCACAGATACGGACATGCCTTGATCGGTTTACGCCTGATGCTATAGCAGCTATACTTCATGACGAAGCACATGAAGTCGCGCCTCAGCGTCTTTGGAGATCATTTCTTGGCACAAAGCACACTCTTGTCACTTCGTGGGCCCGGCTTGGAGTTTATGATATCGACTTTGTAGGAAGCGGACTGCGGCCACGCTATGTACATGCCATCATGTCCCCACTGGATGGTCTGTTATGTGTGATGGATAGTGGGATGCTTGATGGTGGCTTGGACGTTTCGCTGTCCCTGGAATCGGAAGCTTTGCAGAGGTTTCTGAAATATGGCAGGTTGCGAAAATTCTAGATTATGGATTACATTGTATTGGATTATCTGGACCAAATGGTATAACTCAGAATTTGTCTGGGTTTTTACAAAGGCGATCATTTGTAAGACGATCAATGAGAAACAATTTTTACAGTCTTCTTGTAATTGCCGAAAACACACTCTCGAGACGCCCCGGATTTGGCACTTTCGTTGAGCATTTATCAAGTCAATCACACTTATATCAAAGCATCAAGAGCATCATAAAATACTTGTTCCGAACACACTCTCTCAATGGCAGAGTGCAAACAGCGGCGATGTGATTACCCAGCTTCTCGCCATCGCGTGGCATAGCAGCAATGCTCAAATTCCCCGGATTGAGAGGTTAATTGGAATGACGCTACGCATAAAACGTAAATGTAGGAACTGAAGCTTCATTTCATATCCTCAGAGAGGATAAAGAATCGCCAAAAGTGGGAGACCTACTGGAGCGCAACCGGGCAAGTCTCTTCTACTACTTATCGCAACACAATCACGGTTTGGCAAGGATTGGATGAAGAGGTCGTCTGGAAAGCCAAGCTGAGCCGCGGCTCAACGAAAAAAGTATTCGAGCCTCTTAATAGCGGCGTATAAGCTGTGTGACTCCATCAAGGCTTGCGAAATGAGTCATCTAAACCTTCATGACTTTACAGAACAAACGCCGAGAGATGCATGGAAATGCCGGGCTGAAATTAATGGGAAAAGAAGGTGTCCGCCGTTGGTACATGTGGATTTTCTAGAGATCACCTCGAAGTTTCGTCTTATCGACATGCAATTCAAATTGTATTACATAGGCACTCATATCTCATAGAAGAAGCTTGCTAATGCTTTCACGATAAGCGCTGCTGATAATTTATACAATGCCCGCTTCATGCTCAGCCTCGGAGATTTAAAGACTGTACGATGAACAAATGATTTGTACTCTCCCAAGAGTGTGTATCATTTGGCGAGAGCGGATAAAGACGAGCGAATGAAAGATCTTGGTGTAGGTGAATTGTTGAGATACAGCACGTATGGTGTATTGGACTTCAGTATAAGATGTATCTGTGCCGTTAAGACAACTTATACATAAATGAGAAGCGACATTTGTAGACTTGATCAACTGAGGATGTACTGAGAGAAAAAGTTCCTGATAAAAGGCCGTATCTTGTTCAATCATAATCAGCGAGGCCGACTTTTGCAATCTCTATCAATACCTGACGCCGATTAAGTACCAAAGGATTAGACAGCCTTGGACATTGATCACTAGCGGCAAACTATGGGAAGAGCATCTGGATATGGGAGACGACTTCAGAAAAATTAGTACAAAAGGTTGCGGCTGAGTCTTATTATTCAATAAATTCTCAGTAGACAATGTCAGCTTTTCTGTGGCCAAAAGCAATGCAGTTTACAACGAAAAGAAGAACATAAATCAGGAAAGCTGATTGTTTCTAATAAAGCTAAAAGTTTTACGATACCCAATAGAGTCAGTTGGTGAAGGGTAGCCAAGAGCTACTGATTCGGTTCTCAAATAAGATACAAAGATTGATATAATCTAGATAGGAAGTAAAAATGATAAAATAATCATATCTATTTCATTGTCTTTATCTTTTGAAACCTTCAGCATAGCCTTGCTGTCAATCAATGGTCGCGGCAAGCATTGCGTGGGTAGATATTCTGAGGGTATTAAGAGACTGCCATGGTTAGATTTTAGATTCTATATTAGTGGAATATCGTAAGCCAATAATGTAGCTCCAATTCCGGAGACTTAGGTCACGAAAGATATATCAGTCCGCTTAATCCCATACAAGCACCTTATACTTTAGGTCTAGTTCTTAATTGAACAAGATAGATAAAGTACTACTACAATACTCAATCTTACTGGGGGCGGTCCATCATGTCAATACCTTATCAAGGGATGCTATCAATCAGCCATCTCGCGATCGACGACAGCTGTACTAACGCTCTTTTAGCTAATAGAACATAGGTATACGCTCATCCCCAGTATTCAGCCGCAAAAGCCTTCCACTTTGCCCAAAGCTCCAGCTTAGTGTGATAAGCTAACAACCTCATATATCTCCTGTTGAGCTAAAGACGCTTAAAATCTCACTATCAATGATTCAAAAGTGGCTAGTCGTTCGTGTCAGTATCGGGTATGTCGCATTACATCAAGTCTCAAGGAAGGACCCTTGCTAGTTACGTTGGCAATTGAACAAGGGATTCCCAAGTTACATGGCTCTTCTACCAATGTAGACTAAAAATGTCAAGAATCATCTTCGGAGAGTTGTATGATAGATGCCGTCTCGTCAGCTCTGCATTGCTGCCTAAAGGTGCTAAACATGCATGCCGCGGGACCTTCATCACTAATTGGGCCTAAGGTAGGATGCGGCTCTTCCTAGCACATTTTGTGTTTTTTTCTCATCTATCCCGTATTCGTCATGATGAACACAATCGTAACCTCCCGCTTACGGCCAGGATTATCTCCGATTCGAGAATTACACGATGGGATGGATTTGTGCGCTCCCTGTGTGCTTTGTACATGTTGGATGTTCGGCATCGAGGAATATTTCCTTTCGTCCATGGCGATGATAATCAATACGAGGCGGGCAAGATCGCTGGCCACAATGTGGTTCATCGCCTCACTGCCAAAGAAGTCAATTGGAAGCGTATCTGTAGTTACGCTTGCTTCCCAAATGCGTCAGAGCTTTCGAAACTCACGGTACGGATTGATGGTAGGAATTGGGGCTGGGGTGCCCGGGCGCGAATTGGAACCCAATATTCGTCTAGGTGATGTTATCGTGGCCTCGTCCTCCAACCAGTCTATCGGCCCAGTAGGCGTCATAGAATACGAGGGACTGTCAATGGTTTCATTCGGAAAGGTTGGCAGGCCGACACCCATAGGCGTCTGCGAAATGCTACTGACTCTTTCGAGAGAGACGCGCAAACTGATGGCTTTCACGACTTTTTACAACATGTTGATAGTCTCTAGAAAGGAAGAAACGGCTATAAGTTCCTGTACCTAAGAAGGGACAAGGACAAATTGTATACCGGAGACGACACGAACGACTTGGTAGGGCGCCTACCGTGGCCCTCTCAGGATCCGGTGGTTCATTATGATCTTGTCGCCTCGGGTGATAAGATCATAAAGAACGCGGCACTCAGGGACAAACTAAGGGATCAGTACATATAATCTGTTTCAAGATGGAAGCGGCCGGCCTCATGACCGTTATGCCCGTTGCCGTCATCCGAGGAGTCTTCGACTATGCAGACTCTCACAAGAATGATTGGTGGCATTTATCATGCTGCTGCAACTGCCGCTGCCAATGCCAAGAGTCTCCTGCTCAAAATCGGTCCAGAAGAGCCTCCATCTCTCAGCGGTTAGTCTCGCAATTCCCTTGAACGCTACACACCAATAACATGAGGGATTGATATTCTCCTAGGGGAATCTATGACCCAGTGGGCGACGTTACACTAAGTAAGCAGTGAGTTTACGAGTACTGTTATTCAAGAATTACAGGGGGATAGAGTCGCATCTGCAAAGATAAAGCAAGATGACCGCAGCAGGTACTCATTGGGAGCCGTGCTGTGCGTGATAAAATATGATATCATTCGGATAAACTGTAATAGTAACAACGTCGATACCATTCTATGCCAGCAAGCGAAATGCCGTATACTCGTATCGTCGAAAAATTGGCCTGTGGGTACTCTCCATATTTTAACCATGCTGCATGATCCTACAACAGCGTTATACTATAATCAGTAAGATCAACTGCTTCATAAGCTCTTACTTAACTTATAATAGTGTAGCTTGATGGATTCTTCTTCTTGAACTGCTATAGATCCGGTCTAAAATTAGGCTGCTGGGTTATGATCTGGAGGTACCTACTGGCCAATTTGTCGAGGTTATACGTGTATAGTACACTTGCGCGATTTAAACTGACTAATTTATGTCCTAGTGATGCCAGCTTCCTAATCAACCCGCCGAGTACATGAGTCTTTTTAAAGTGCTGATATAAGAACGCGCGGATTGATCCGGAGGAACAATGGAGACAGTGTTCTCCGTTTTACATGGCACAGTCCGGTGTCTGGCTACGCGCGAAATGATCCGGAGGAACAATGGAGACAGTGTTCTCCGTTTTACGTAGCACAGTCCGGTGCCTGGCTACGAAGTAAAGACGCCGATCCGGGCATGACAGTTATTAATCAGCCAATGCCGTAGCCAATGAACGGATCGTGTACGCGTAGGTGTATGTACTCATAGACTCTCATCCCGACGCAACAGACTTGGATCCACATGCTGGGACTCAACATACTCGATCCACATGCCGAGGTTGCGGCTTATACTCGTCTCTTGTAAGTCAACATATGTAGACGAGCCGTACCTATTTTATTCTCAAGCAGCTTGATCGAACAGGATGGCAAGATAAGCTAGCAGCCAAAGAGTGACCCAAGCAGCTAGATCTAGCCAGATGTTGACAACCTGGATCTTGATTAAAAAGGCTTATGTGGTGAATCGCATGGATCTAAGTGATTGCTAGCAAGATTAGAATTTGTGTCTTATTCCGTCGTAGATAATCTTATCGTTCTGTATGGGCGTCCTATAAGAAAAAACCTCACCTTTTTTTCTCTCCGTAAAGTAGCTCTCTTACAATATACCTGTTAAGGTCCCTTGAGAAATAATATCAAAAGCTCCTTATCCTCGCTTGGTGTCAGAGTCGTAATGAAATGAGACCTGATATCATTTACGGGTCTGATATCATGTATTGGTAATCGTACGATGCTGGATGCGCATCCTGTGGGAGGATTTTCACCCTGTTCCTTATTATATCACCCCTGTTGCTTCTACATGTATGATTGTTATCTTTCCTGGATAGGTAAACGATGGCGAAAATGCACCGAGATGGAAACATTCCGGAGCTTGTTGGCACGGAACAAACACAAACAGTCGAGGTAATCTATAGGATTTCGCAATCCTAGTGAAGGACAAAAAGATATATAAGGAACGTAAAGGAAAGGCTTTGTGTATTCAGATTATCGAAGACACACAGCTCTAAGCTTGCCAGCTGCAGTTGAACTGAGCTGTCTACCCTGTGTGACCATATCCAACGTATCAGCATTGCATTTGCGAGTCGTTGTGTTCACTGATTGCAACCTTTCAACGCCGTGGCGTTTTTGTTTTTGCCATCTTCTAGGAGAATTTAGCTCTGCCATAAACAACCATGACGGCCTCCACCAGCATCAAGGCTTTTTCGGAGAGTGAAAACAATGCTACCAAGCTCAACCAGGGGCTGAGGATAACGGAGGATGTCGCCATTGTTGGTGTGTCTTGCAGAACAGCGGGCAACAACAACTCACCAGAGAAGCTGTGGGAATTCTTACTAGCCAAAAAGGATGGCTCCGGCGAGGTTCCCTCGCACCGATGGGAGCCATGGCTGCGACGTGATGTGCGCAATGCCAAAGAAATAGCCAAGACCATCACCAAAGGCTATTTCATCAACGACCTTGAGAATTTTGATGCAGCTTTCTTCGGCGTTTCACCTAAAGAAGCCGAGCAAATGGACCCGCACCAGCGTTTAGGTCTGGAGCTGAGTTGGGAGGCCTTGGAGGACGCTGGGCTGGACCCCAAGAGTCTCGCCGGCTCCAACACAGCTGTATATATGGGCATTGACTCTGACGACTACTCTCGTCTGCTACTCGAGGATTTGCCCAACATCGAGCCCTGGATGGGCATTGGTTCGGCGCCACATGGAGTGCCGAATCGCATCTCATATCATTTTGACCTCATGGGGCCCAGCTCAGCCGTGGACGCTGCATGTGCATCGTCCCTGGTTGCGGTTCATCTAGGAAGCCAGGCAATCTTGAACGGCGAATCTGATGTTGCCATTGTCGGTGGTGTAAACGTCCTTCTCGCACCAGCACTCACGTTGATGCTGGGTAAAGCCGGCGCGTTGTCTCCTGACGGAGTGTGTAAGTCGTTTGACGAGGATGCAAATGGCTATGCCCGGGGTGAGGGCGGAGCTGTGATTATCCTCAAGCGCCTCAGCCGGGCGATTGCTGATGGCGACAATATCAAGGCCGTCCTCAAGGGCTCTGCGGTCGCTCAAGACGGAAAAACCAATGGCATCATGGCTCCCAATTCAAAGGCGCAGGAGTTGGTGGCGAGACAGGCATTAGCACGTGCGGGAGTCGATCCCCTGGCCGTGTCCTACGTCGAGGCCCATGCCACGGCAACTAAACTCGGCGACCCAACCGAAATGTCGGCGATTGCTGCCGTGTATGGCGCGGCGGCGGGACGGTCCGCCGGAAACCCTGTCTTCGTCGGCTCAATCAAGCCTAACGTCGGCCATATTGAAGCCGCAGCCGGCGCGATCAGCCTGGTCAAGACGGTCCTCGCTGTCAACAAGGGTGAGCTGGCTCCACAGGCACGGCTGAACAGGCTGAATACACGGATCGACTGGGCGACAACCGGGCTGCAGGTGGTGCAGGAGACGACGAAATGGCCCGAGGAAGACAACCAGCCTCGACGAGCCGCCGTGTGCTCCTACGGCTACGGCGGCACTGTGTCACATGCCATTGTCGAGCAGTTCGTGGGGGGTAACAAGGAGGCAACCTCCAACGTTAAGCCCGACGCAGAGCGTGCCTTGTTTACCCTGTCAGTGCCCCAGGAGAAGCGCCTAGCACAGCAAGCCAGGGCTGTTGCCGAGTGGCTGTCGTCTCCTGCGGCCAAGGCAACAGACCTCAAGGCCGTGGCCAACACTTTGGCTCAGCGCCGTGCCCATCATGATCATCGGATTGCTTTTGTCGCCGATAGCCATGAAGCGGCTGCTGCTTGCCTTGAGGCCGCTGCATCAGGCAAAGTGACAACGGGCCATCATGTTGCAAAGGGAAACGTGCTGGGGGCATATGGTGACCCGGCGCGGAAGGCGGTTTGGGTGTTTTCGGGACACGGGGCTCAATGGAAGGAAATGGGCAAGGAGCTTCTGCTCAATACTGTTTTCCGACAGACCATTGAGCCGCTCGATGCCATCGTCCAGGCTGAGGCCGGCTTTTCTGTCGTGGAGGCCTTGAAAACTGGGGACTTTCTCGAGGCGTCTGAACGTATCCAGATCCTCACTTTTGTTGTGCAAGTTTGCCTCAGCCGAGTGCTCATGTCGAAAGGACTGACACCTGGGGCTGTCATTGGTCACTCGGTCGGCGAGATCGCCGCCTCTGTTATCGCGGGCTGTTTGACTCCTGAGGAGGGCACCTTAGTTGTCACACGGCGAGCTCTGCTCTATGCTCATGTACGCAGTCAATCCGAGGGAGGCATGGCTATGATCAGCAGCCCGTTTGCTGAAGTGGAAAAGGAGCTCGGGTCTAGAAAAGACTTGGTGGCTGCTATTGATTCTTCCCCGTCCACTTGCGTCGTCAGCGGCGAGGTTATCGCTTTGGACAAGTATATGGAAGACACAAAGGCTAAAGGCATCAAGGCCGTTCGCGTCAAGACTGATATTGCTTTCCATAGCCCAATGCTTGACCAGTTGGTTGACCCGCTGAAAGTGTCACTGAAAGATTCTCTACAGCCCCGGCAGTCAGCCTTGCCCATTTACTCAACATCAGATCGTGATGCACGAACTAAGGCGCTTCGAGACGTTGGCTACTGGACTAATAACATGGTTAGCCCAGTGTTCTTACAGTCGGCCATTGATGCCGCAGCCGATGATGGTTACCGCGTCTTTGTCGAGGTTTCGACGCATCCTATCGTGCTCTTCTCTATTAACGAGACGCTACTTGAGCGCGGTATCAGCTATGACGATATGGCCACCCTCGCCACAATGAAACGAGATACTTCAGTAGAGGCGACCATTTTAGATCTCGCGGCGGAGCTGTACGTCAAAGGCATCACTATCGACTTTGAAGCGCAAATCGGTGGCAAGCAGAGGTGGTGTCCATCCGTTCCCGGCACCTCGTGGGTACACAAGCCTTTCTACAGAAAGGTCGAGACCGGCCCTATTGGCGCAGGAGCTCTGCCTCATGACAAGGTACAGGTACCTGATGTGAAGGTGCCTGATGAGAAGACGTCTGATAAGGCGTCTGATGGGAAGCAGCACGCCGGGGAGAAGAATGATGGGGAGAAACACATACTCCTAGGTCAGCGAAATGTTGTCCCGGGCACTAACATCTTCCACTATACCACCGAGTTGAGCGACGAGATCAAGCCTTTCCCAGGTACACACCCATTGGACGGCACCGAGATCATCCCTGCCGCTGTCTACCTGAACACGTTCCAGCAAGCTACAGGCGCATTGCTGCTGTCCGATATCAAGCTCAATATACCGGTATCGTTGGGAAAAGATAAGCGAATTGTCAGCGTTATCGTCAAAGGCGAGGAAATTACTGTGCTCTCAGCTGAGCCCTCTGCCCTTGAAATTGGCAGTAATGAAACCTGGGTTACTCATAGTTCATGCTCATGGTCTAAAATCGCGACCCCCGACATGGCCGCGCAGCCCAAGACGTATGATGTGCCCGTGGTGCAAAAGCGCATCGGCACGATTTTACCAAACAATTTTGCGTTGGACTATTTGTCTAGAATTGGCGTTGAGGGCGTTGCGTTTCCTTGGGAGGTTGTTGAACACTATGGAAATGACTCTGAGATGATAGTCAAAGTCGACATGGATCCTTCGGTTGAAGTGCTCCCATGGGACTCCAGGTCCTGGGCGCCTTTCCTTGACGCTGCCACTTCAGTGGGTTCGTCCATCTTCTTCAACGACCCTAGGATGCGCATCGTATCAGGGATGGACCATTTGTATCTCTACTCATCAGAGACTCCGCCTAAGATTGGGTATCTGTACATCCAAAAAGGCGCCACTACTAAAAATCTCACAGCAGATATCAGCGTTCTTGATGAGCAAGGCAACCTTTTAGCGATGATTAAAACCATGCACTTCTCGGACCTGGTCAGTGGTGCTGCCGATAGCAATGAGGGCCTAGTTCATCAGCTCGCCTGGGTGCCACCAAAGTTCAAGGAAAAGCCGCGCGACTTGAAGCATATCATCCTTGTATCGAGTGATTCCAGCCTGCTGGAAACATATAGCGTACAGCTGAGGTCTGAAAAGTCAAAGGTCTCATGTATTGCCAAGGCTGAGGATCTCCGCAACTTTGCAGCTGCCCTCAACGAGAAGGGGTCTATCATTGTCTACGCCCCTCCAGCAATTCAATCTGCGATACACATTGCAGATGCCACTGAAGAGTTCATCTGGGAAACGACTAGCATTGTTCAAATTCTAGTGAACCTTGGCCCATCCATGATGGCCAAGCTCTTTGTGCTCACCAATCGTGTTTTCACCGGAGAGTCCGCTGCTGGTCTTGCTCATGGAGCGCTGTATGGATTGGCACGAATTATTGCATCCGAACACCCGGATTTCTGGGGAGGTTTGATAGATAATGGATCGCCAAACACTTTCCCCATGCTGGCTGTCAAGTACGTCGACGAATATGATATACTTCGCGTTGACGACGGTCTTCCTCGACGAGCTATAATGAGGCCTCTGTTGGAAAGCCAGAAGTATCAACCGGGTGTAGCCAAGACGTTGCTGCCAAAGTCAGAGGGGACATATATTGTTACTGGAGGCCTGGGTGACTTTGGTATAGAGACATGTGGTTTCCTGGTTGAAAAAGGTGCCCGTACCCTTGTGATTCTTTCTCGCCGCAGCCTACCGCCTCGCAATTACTGGTCAGTCCTCGCTGCCAGCGATCCCAAACTCGATGCGGTAATCGAGCGCGTTAAAGCCTTTGAAGCTCAAGGAGCTACTATATACTCTCTAGGCCTCGATATCACTTTGCCAAACGCTTCGGATCTTATACTGGAGGCCGTTGGATCGCTCAAGGTCCCTCCTGTGCTGGGAGTTGTTCACGCGGCCGGTGTCCTCGAGGCCAGCACTCTTGTTGAGACTACCCGTGACTCGTTTGCTCGTGTCTTGGCTCCCAAAGTAAGCGGTGCACTCGCTCTACATAACGCCTTCCCACCTGGCTCACTGGACTTTTTTGTCATGTTCTCGTCCATCGGACAGCTGGTTGGCACGGTTGGACAGGCTTCGTACGGGTCTAGCAATGCCTTCCTTGACGCCATGGCAACGTATCGACGCGCACAAGGCGACAATGCGGTGGCTTTCCAATTTACAGCCCTTCGTGGCCTTGGTATGGCAACCAGCACAGATCTCCTCATGACAGAGCTCCGCAGCAAAGGAATTACTGATATAACGGCTGATGAGGCTTTCCGAGCATGGGAGCATCTCAGTCGCTACGACATTGAAGGTGCTGTTGTTACGCGCTGCCTGCCTCTGCTTGAAGGAGAGCCCGCTGCTATTCCACTGCTTGAGGAGGTCGTGGTGCGGCGACCTAGGATGAACGTCAAAGGCCTAACAACCACCGGTACTGGCAAGACTGCTACTACTGCTACTGCTACTGCTGCTGCTGCAAATGATGACGACAAGGGGGAGGCCATGCCGACTGATCCCCAAGAGAGAGAGAAATGGGTCGACGTACGCGTTCGCGAATGTATTGCAAGAGTTTTGATGATGGATGACATTGACGACATTGGCCCGCGCATGCCCTTGTTGGATCTGGGCATGGACAGTGTTATGACGGTAGCTCTGCGGCAGACCTTCCAGACTGTGTTCAAGATCAAGGTGCCACTCACGTTAACATGGAACCATCCCACGGTAAAACACCTTGTCCCTTGGTTTTTTGCTAGGTTGAGCGGATAAACTGTGCGTGAGACGATTTGTGGTTGCACAAGTCAGACCGATTAGAAGACATGGTAGAGTTGGAAGAGGTGGTATCCTATGGACAAAGAAACATGAGGCCCTTAGAGTACAGGAATAGTTTTTGTCTCAAGAAGAAATAGATTGGAAATAGACTGTAACTGAGATTTAAAGTTTAGGATTTGAGAAAAGAAGACATTTTCAAGTTTAACTTAAAAGAGAGTTTAACAAAATCGTGAATTTTGCCTTACGTACTTGTAGTTAAATTATAGATTTACTTTAACCTGTGTGAGGTCCAGGCTGGACTCACAAAGCATCGTAACAGGAAACCTGCAACTAGAGAACTAAACATATAAATTGATATCTGGGAGCTATATAAGACTATACCCCTTATTTATTTTAGGGATTATACGCTAGATTGTTCAATGTAAGATCGGTTGCATCTGGAGTCAACGTTGGCGAGGTGTGGAAGAAAGTTGAAAGACTCTTGAAGCACTTGTGGCAAACCTCTCGAGACTCGTCTTTCGCACTCAAGAAGGTAAAGGCACGTCTACAGAGTAAGACTGGGTAGGAATACTCGATACAAAACTTACAAGTCACGGCGTTATCGAGAAACTTCTGTAAGAGTGAACACCCTTGTGTGTGAGGTCGCGTATAAGAAGCCAAACAGCAAGGACGTGTTAATCCCTATAACAGGATACTTCAATTGCTAGCCAGCTACCGTGGAAGAAGGTCTCACGGATCATCTGCAACAGAGAAAACACGCAAAGACTTAGCCGCCGTATGACACATGACACACCAGGTGAAACACCTCGTGCAACCTCGGCCGATCCATAAATTAAACCCCCCTTGTATCGCCGCAGGATTCCCTAGTTTAGTCTTCAATCCATAGCGCCCTAAGGATGTTCTATCAACCTATGAGCTGCGAGGCCTTGTACAAGCTGTAATTTTGGAGAAGAGCGGCAATTTAGAACCCACTCATAGCAATAATAATTTCTGTTGTCCTATGTACTTCAGGCGGCGGCTAACGAAACATCAGCCATTTCTTGGCACGGCAGACTAGGCTGAACGACACAATATAATATGTACATGTAGCGGGGTAGTCGAAACTGAGGTTACAATCACGGCAGTCAAAAGAGCGAGCATGGCGCTGACTTATGAATGCCCTTTGTCAATCAAATCACTTTAAAGTGTTTGGACGAGTTCTAATTGTTTCATTTCTTGCACCATGGCGTCTAGTTACGACGTATTGTCCCAAGATGGAGAAGCTACTGGTTTCCAAGGAGCTATCAAAAATGACCACCAGCAATCGGACGAGTCTGAAGCCCAAAAAATGAGCGGTATATGGCGCATTCATTGGCAGTCTCCAACATCGATGATCGGCTTGTTCTTAGGGGCTACTGGCGCGGCTGTTGCTCACCACTTGTACTATGATAGTATAGATGGGTCAGAAGTTGTAATTGTACAAGACGAATGGACTCTACAGGCTGTGCGCAATAGTCAAGAATGGAAACTGCGATTCGGGGCGGGACTCGCATTCCTGGCCAAGGCCATGTTCGCTGCCTCTGCCATTGTTGCTTATGAACAGCGAGCTTGGCTCACGGCTAGAAACAAAGCTATTACGGTCGCCGGCCTAGATGCAATGTTTTCAGCAGCTCAGAGCCCTCTGAGTTTCTTCAGTTGGGACTTTTTGCGTAAAGCTAAAGCGGGAGCTATCATGGCCCTTCTTGCATGGTAAGTCTATCTCCATCTCTATGTTCTTTCCATCCCGTGTTTCATAAATCGATGAAGACGACTGATACATCACACAGGTGTATCCCACTTGCAGCTGTCATCACTCCTGGCACACTCGTGGTAGTACCTACAACTCTATCAGCTTCCAAGTCTTTCCCCGTTCCTGTCGTCAACTTCTCTCAGGTTCAGCCTCTTTACGACTTTTATTCCAGTGTCATTGGATATGATGATCAATCAACTAGTAATGGAATCACTCCATATTTATCACGTCTTGTTTCGTCAACAGCCACCTCATCACAAATATTGCCTATGAATATTGGCATTGCTAATTCGACATATAATTTGACCTTTCACGGCCCGTCTTTCCGCTGCCAAGAGTCATCTCCAGTGATAGCAGAAGCTATTTATTTGACTGTCAATGCTACATGGTTTATGTTTGGTAATGGTGGATTCAACTCAACCATTGACCCACGGGAATTACCCTCCATGGCCTGGCTAGCATTTACACCGCCTACTACAATACTGTCCATAGTAGCCGATTCAAAAATCACGCCACTCCGAAACCAGTGGAATTATTTTCTAGCTTTCGTATTTTCGTGTATTACACAGCCGGCTATGTGGCAGGAAACCCTTCCAGACTTGGGGTCTCTGCCCCTCTGCGAGGGCATCACGGGTTCATATGAGGGAGGTCCAAATATAGTTCCTCTACAAAATGTAACATCCGTGGAATATGGACAATACAACCATGGCAGGCTCTGGGTTTGGGCTCAAAATATCACGTACGATTGTGTTTTAACCGACACCGAATATAGCACGCGCTTCTTCTACTCTACATCCGAGCAAGCGCAGCGTATTGACCCCGAATACAGCTTCAAGTGGACTGAAGAAGACTTATATGGCAGCTATTTCTACCTTGCCGATGCACTTGCAAATCTGCTTGGAGGGGCTGTGCGCGTCGTTGGGAAAGGCATCATGGCATACAAAACACGAGTTATAGACACAGGCATTTTTGGTGCTCTGAAGGCTGAGTCAACGAACAATGCTAGTTCTGGCCTCTTGCCCAAATTGCTAGCACAGGACTCAAGAGCTTTGGCCCGGAACAAGACTGTGGGCGAGCTCATAGAGGAACTTTCGCGAAACATCACGTTGAGTGTGTTCAGTCTCGATCAGATGCTGTAAGCAAAAAGGCAACCCTGCACACGTTATGACACAATGGACATCTAACGAACCATGGTACTGCCGCAGAATCCAAAACGACACAATGGTCAAAGTTTCCTCTGATGTCAATGTCTACTCATATAACCGAAGAGTTCTCATCATCACATACGCCGTCGTCTTTCTTGGCACGTTGATTGCGTTGCTCATCGGAGGTGTTGCTTATTTCAAAAACGGCGTCAGCCACGAAGTGTCCTTTTCAGCATTCATGTCAACAACGAGAAATTATCGGTTAGACGAGATAACAGTAGGAAGCTCCATGGGCGCCATGCCGCTAAGGGATTCTATTCGGTCAACAAAACTTCGATTTGGGGTCTTGCGGGATGCTGACGGAGAGGCCGACAGAGAGGAAGCAATGCGAAGAGTGGGATTTGGCCTCCCCGATCAGATTGTGCCGCTGCAAAAAGGAGTTCCTTATTATTAGATCACTGAGCTTTTAGAAACTCGATTTCGAGAAGGATTCAGGATGACTAGCTCGGGATTGTCGCGATGCATGCAATAATATCACTAATATCGAAACTGCCGTCGTGTATGAAACGATTAGTGCAAGCGCTCCTTCGTGGACTAGGTCGTGTGACTTGACAGTGATAAATTTCTTAGGGCGTGGGTTTACTGTCCTTTAAAAACGGAATCATTTTCTTGAGTAACGTTGTTATATATAATAGCTATGTACCTGGGTAGGTTTTAACAGAGCGTGATTCCAGGTCTTTTAATGGCGGACAGTTCTAACGGATACTTCTGACAGACACTTCTGACGGACTCTCTTCCATGTTACCAATTTGCCCACACATCTTCAGTCAATGCACTCAATTGTATAATTGTTGGCGAAGCGGTCACTACTTGCGTAGCTTTCGTGTAAAGTTGCCTAACACTTAATCACACTGAGTGTGCTAGACCCCGCTCAATGCCATGTAATTGCTCGAGTCCCTGTTCAAGATACATGTACTGTTTACGGGTACATATGGAGAGGCAGGTGTTGATGAAGATTGCGCAATAAGCCCACTGAAAATAATTTACTTTAAATTTCTGCTTTTGGAACATGACACTGCTGAACAACTACTCATTTGGAAAGTCCGCAGGTGTCTTCATCGGCCCTTTACAGTGTCCGGACCGGCTGTGTTGTTGTAGCTCCGGGGTCGCCTCCTTAACAAGATATATAAAACTACGCTGTGGTCCCAGATAAAGAGGCTCAAATCTGTACAAACACTTAACCGCAAGAGAATAAATAAAACATAATGGCATATACCTCTGTGGAAGAAATTCTAGCGCTGAGGGAAGTTGAGTAAGCAGCCTTCTTGTGTATATACATTAATAGCGAGCTGTAGCTAATGCTATCACTTAGCCCAGAGTATGAGTCGGTATGATAATGTTACCAAGCCTCAGCAGACTTCATCTGCTCACCGCTCATTTACATTTAATTAGCATCTGGCGAACGTCGCTGCTGGCGCCTCTGAAGCCCTAATTCACAGCAATGTCGAAGTTGGAGAAACGCTTGCCATCCCCATGCGGGATAGCTACATCAGCCAACTTCGTATCCACAGGCCGAAAGATGCAGCCGACAAACCTCACAGCCCGGGCTATCGTGTCGATGTTTGGCGGAGGGTTAGTCCTCATAGTCCTCACTCTTACTTATCATTTACATATTGATCAAGGCCATGGTGCTTATGACACCGCAGCTTCTATACAGGCGACAACACGCAACTTAGTCCCCTTGCGCTGGCCATGACCAACTTGTACGACGTCAGCGTTATCAATATCTCATACCGTCTAGCCCCAATGACGCCTAGGATAGCCTGAAATGGATTGCCGCAAACCAGGAACGCTTACGAGTTGATCTTGACAAAGGGTTCATCGTCGGGGGTATCTCTTCTGGTGCCAACCTCGCCGCCGTCTGTGCTCAAAAGTGGGTAGACGAAAAGGTTTCTCCTCCGATGACGGGCAGCCTCATTTTGATCCCCATATTGCTACTCCCTCCATTGTGCCGAAACAATATGAGCACTTATGGCTGTCACGGGAACAGAATTACCAAGCGCCGGGGTTTAACATGAAAGACGTTAACGCAGTCATGGCGGCCTGCGAACTGGACGAAAAGTCGGCAGATTTCTCGCCCTTCAATGCAAAGAATCCGCACAAAGGATTGCCTCGTACATATATATCTGTCTGCAGTTTAGATCCCCTGAGAGACGACGGTCTTATTTACTATCATGCATTGTAAGAGAACGCTGTTGAGACCAGAATCAATGTTTATCCTGGCGTACCGCATGCTCACATATTCTTTACTCATTTACAGTCTGCCCAGGAATCTGTACTGGATTTGCTAAAAGCTGTTGGATGGCTTACGAATAAAGAAAAGTTAGACGAGGATTTAACGGCTGTACTGGCGTCGAAATGATATAGACTTCGTATTTCTATACCTTATTTTACAATTATATATTAACTCTCTTTTGATTATAGGTAAGGGACTAAACAGTTATAATTATATTAAGCGTCGAGTCAATTAACATTTACAAACTGTATCCTGTAACTTTAGAATTGGAGCCGCAGCATGTAAAGTATGAAGAATACTACGCTTAAGAGTGTGTTTTAACAGCACCCTAAATTCTTCTCTACCTATAGCCGTTTGTATCTATTAGTGTGATGAGCCAGCGTATCAATCATAGCGCACACTCCCAGTTGCTTGCTCCTTGTGTCGTGATCAACAATCCAATATTGAACCAGTTTCTAGTGTCCACTATCTCAATGAATAGGTACCTTCAGTTAAGTTCTTACATCTTTATCAAGGCTCAACGAGAGCGCGCCCCCGCAAATCTGCATAATGACTCTCTTCACGCCAGTCACCTTTATTAAAAATCGTTTCGCCGTCTTGAGAGAAGTCTTTTCTGCCGTCTTCAACTGTTAGTTGAACAGCCAGGTTCTGTTCATTTCCGCCTGTGGACTCACAGAAGTGCAGACCGTTGAGGTTACCTTCCGCATCATCTCGCCTCATAGATTCGTAGTCATTGTACTGGCTCCAAAGTGTAGCAAGATGCAAGCACAACTCTCTTGCAAGATACTTCTACTTCATAGATGCTAGGCAGCGATATCCACCACTTGCCTACTCGCCAAAGTGAGCTAGCAAGTATGTATCCGTTTTAGTAAAGGCCATTTTAGTGCGCTGTCTGATAGTAAGGGACCAAGGGATTTTAGGAGCGTACGAGACCAGCAGAGTCCCATACAAAGCTCTTCCGACTAAGTCTGTCCACGACCCATTGTTTAGTTGCTCGCAAAGAACACGGCAGAGGAAGTGGGAGAGGACAGTATGTACATCTGTTCTGATGACATCAGCAGCAACATTTCTCATCGAGCCATTAGCATAGACACTCAACAACGAATAAAGTATAAGAGCCAGCAGCATATACCATTCTCAAGCAGTGTGGAGATGGACCATGAAGTCTCAAACACAGGGGAGGAGAAGCCGCTTGGTACGCCGCCGCGAGATTCGTAGCTGCTAACAACATTCTCGAAACATGATGGCACTCGAACCTCTCGCTCTGGTGACAACCTCTCACCCTGGTGACGAAAAGAGACATGTCGCTACTGGTGCTGGGGCTCTTAGGTGGCAGAGCTATAGCTAGTAGTCTTACGGGCAGCGTCAGAGGCGGGCCAGGCTTTTTAAACAGTCTTGAATCCAAGGCTGAATAATAATGACCTCCATTGCCGCCGGCGTTAGACTGCAATTTTGCATCGTCAATAAGTACCTTTGACTAGACATAGGTTTTACAACAAGTCAAAAATAACTTTGAGGCATTTTCATGTCTGTTTTCCATGTAAGTTATTAATAAATTCAACGCGAAGGATTCTTCCTTGCTTACGGAGTGGCAGATTGCCAGACCTAACAACATATTTGACTGTGTTAAAGGCAGAATTGGTAAACTGTTGGCTGTATCGCATTACGTATGCTGACAAGGGCGGAGTTGCATCTAGGACGCGAGGCGATTGTTCAATATGAAGGTCGTGAAAACACTGCCATCAGGACAACCATTTTAGTATAAAAACAACCATTGTGTTCCAAAAGTGTGTTCACCTTAATTCTATATCCATCCACTTCTCACCAAGATGAACGCCTCTACCTTGCTCAAAATGGCGTTACTTTTCAACCCGTTCTTTGACTTCACCTCAACCAACTGCAGCACCGACGGCTTCTCCAATCCTGTTATTGGCCCATCCTCCGGTGGTAGCTCGACTTGCATTTCTGGCCATGTCGCAGTATCTGTCAATACAACCGGTACCAAGCTTCTTTACGAGGCACCTAAAGATCAGCGGGCCGTAACGGAGTCATTCGTCGAGTTGTTCCAGGCTGACGCAGCCTGGATCTCTGAGGTCATCGCTGGTGGGCCCAGTGTTATATCCGGCCGTTATAATATCTTCGTCAAGCTCTGCCTACCCACAGACCCCGACAAGTTGGTCCAAGTCAAGACAGTGCAACTGTTGACACACGGAGCCACTCTCGACCACACTTACTGGGACATTGCCCCAGGCCACAGCTACGTCGACGTGGCATCTGAAGCAGGATACGCCACGCTCTCCTACGACCAGCTGGGCGTGGGGAATTCCGATCACCCGGATCCCATTCAGGTTGTGCAGGCAACTGCTCAGGTCGCCGTCACGCACGAGCTGGTCAGTCTGCTCCGGCAGGCCAAACTTGGCGGCCACAGTTTCGACAACGTCGTGGGCGTCGGACACAGCGCAGGAAGTACGCTGACCCAAGGCATCACCACGCGATATCCGCAGGACTTTGACGCCGTAATCTTGTCCGGCACCAGCGCCAGTGCTGCCTCAGTCGCACTAACCGTCGCAGCCTTCAACTTCATTGACGCAACTACAAACCCGGCACCCCAGTTCAAAAACTTGCCCGCGGGCTTCTTGACGCAGCAGTCGGCTGCCGGCATCCAGTTTGCCTTCTACCGGTATCCAAATTATGACGAGGATGTGTTCAGAAAGCAGGTTGCCAACAAGCAGACGAATACGCTGGGAGTTCTGCTCACGCTGGGGGGCATCGTTGCGCCGTCAACAGAGTTCACTGGGCCAGTCCAGATTGTCAATGGTCAGCATGATCTCGTCTTCTGCGGCGGCAACTGTCTCTTCCCGACGGATCAAAATGTCCTGACTCTGTCGACATTCTATCCAGCCGCATCGAAGGGAGGTCAAACGTATATCGCGGCGGGTGCTGGGCATGCTATTGCAGCCCACAAGAGTGGGCCAGATAGCTTTCAGAAGATGATCCAATTCTTGAAGACAAACAGCCTATGATGAATCTGGCAGTACCTCCGTAATGGTAGGGGTTTTGTTTGTAAATATTTATCGAGGGGATTAATCAATAATACATCTTAGCGCAGGGGTTAGCCTACTGTTAAAATCGTAATTATATAACTCTATCTCTTGTCTTTCTTCTAGGGTTGGGGAGTATACCATGAATTGGTGAAGAAAAACGTCAGTACTTGACTCGTTCCGGAGAGGCAAGAGAGAGGAGTGGGAGGAGCCGAGTCTCCGTCGGACAATGCCCACATGTCGATGCGGACATGGGTTTGCGGATAGTGTGTTGTATTTCGTTCTGCAAACGAGCCATTCTTGAACGCTTAAACGGTAGCTTTTGTATGTCTTACCTACCACTAACATTTGCAGACCCATGTCAACTCAACTCTCGAATCTGTACCGTTCGCTGATATTACCAAGGAATTTCTGCACTGGGCAATTCAGCTATGGGGTTTTCCCGCTGGAATGAGCATGCATCCACGTCAAGTCAATTCGTTTACATCTTGCAAGGCTTTATCCTTGATTTGACATTAGGAAATGGATGAGTCTGTCTTGCAAAGAGTGCTGAACAATTCGCTATGCCCAGACTGTTCCAAGAATTCATTACATGTGCACTTTTTCAAAAACCATAGAGGCAAATATGTGTAAGGAGACAATAGTTGGGGCATAGATTTGTGGTACATGATACTTCTTGCGTTGTGAAGGTCGATAATCCGCCTAGCAGATACTTGTGTTCAGCCGACAGACCAGCTTTTACTAGGAACCTGTGGACAACAACTCTTTAACTAACTCTCCTAAGTAGTCTTTGAATCGGGAAGGGAGCTCTTGCTATTACAAAAAAAAAATGCTTTCTTCTCTAATCTGGACGTGAGTCGTCTATGAGCTCGCTACCCGACTAGACCTGGCGCTCGGCGAGCGCAATCACTTACACAATCGGCCTATGCACAAGGGATAATAAGTGCATCTCGGGGGTTTTTACCGTCTGTCTCTAGGATACACCTATCTCCACCTCAATCTTCTACACATTGTCTTGCGCCATCCTGGTTGCCTTGGAGCATACGCTCATCTAAGTAAACTCGGCCGCCAGTCCCGCCGTTTAGCTCGGCCACTCCGCAACAACAGGGCCAGCATTTTGACTTATTATACTTAACACTTCTCGTTGATAGGCCTATATAAATAGCTACTGAAGCTGTTATTTATTTAGTGTGCCACTACCCCTCCTCCTCAGCACACTATCTCCTTGCTTACCCGTTTCGTTGCTATTTTTAATCACCGTTCTTTATAAATTCTTACCCTGCATTACGGTCACTGATATTTCCATGTACGATTAAGGTAATTCAACCTCAAGTAGTGATTTGGCATGAATCACAGCACCTTTCGTTTTACGAATTGTTCATCTCTTCATTCCTTGTTCTTTTACTTTACATGGATACCGACGCCCAACTCCTAGCAGTCGCTTTGATCGCTAGAGAGTCAACCTCTAGTATACAGGAGTTCAAGCTCTATCACTACAATCCTACTATCGGCGGGGCTGTTACCTTTGTCCTCCTTTTCTTGGGTACAACCAGCTTCCATACGTACCAATCATTTCGAACTCGGTGCTGGTTCGTCATTCCCCTCATCATTGGCGGTATTTGTAAGATTCTGTCATCCGTCATTATGAGGAGGAAGGATTGAAAGCAGCAACACCTTTTACTAACGCTGATTCTCCGCTAGTTGAGTTTATTGGTTATGCGGCCCGTGGCGCATCCGGCAAAGAATCGCCGAACTGGACTCTAGGACCCTATATCACCCAATCTATCCTACTCCTCGTCGCACCTGCTCTCTTTGCTGCGACAATCTACATGGAACTAGGGAGGATCATCTCCCTTGTGGATGGCGAGTCTCATTGTCTTATCCGAAAGCAATGGTTGACCATGATCTTTGTCTTCGGAGACATTCTTTCCTTTGTCCTTCAGGGCGGGGGTACGTATAAAAACAAGCCATTATCGTCGTTAGCTTCGTTCTCAGACTTTTCATGAGACAATAGCTAATATGTCAATTCTGTCTAGGTGGTGGCTATCAGGCATCAGGTACTGCTTCTGCTCTAGAGACCGGAGCGCGCGTCGTCATTGTCGGGCTCTTTGTTCAGCTCGTCTTCTTCGGCTTCTTCATTGTGATCGCTGTCAAATTCCACATATCCATTAGTCACTCATCTACGATCCGTTTATCCACTGAGCTCCCATGGCAGAAACACATGAACGCCCTCTATATTGTAAGTACCCTCATCATGGTGAGATCTATTTTCAGAGTGGTAGAGTATCTCCAGGGCTTCAACGGGTATCTGCTTCACCATGAAGCATATTTGTACATTTTTGATGGTCTGCTCACGTTTTTGGCCATGGTTTTGTTGAATGTAGTGCATCCGAGTGAGTTGGCAGCATCAATGAAGCACAACACTGCGACGGATTATGAAGTCAATTTGAAAGCCTTCACCGAACGCTATCAAAGACTTGGATCCAACATGAGCCAGGACGCATGAATCTGAATTCTTTCGTAGTGAGGCTTTGAATCACTATTTGTCTTAGAGACTTATATCTTTAACTCCCCAAAGATAGACTCATTCCTACTCATAAAGATAGATACGGGTAGTTAGACAAATTTTCATAACCGCTAAGAAGACACTATGAAAGAGCTACCACCCGTTTTGGCCATTCTGTCCAAGGTTTCCAGTACTCCCCCAATAGTTCATCAACTACTTCTACGATATTCCTTCCCCATCCCTCAAAAAACCAGTAACCATTCAAGCTATGAATTACCACACCAAAATAAGCAAAGAGCAGCATCGCATGTGGTTGCCGTTGATGTAATTGCTGAAAATATTCCCCAGGTGTGGTTAACATCCAGACAAGAGGCCCAGACAATCTCCTGTTATAAGTCAAGCTCCCGGCGGTCTCGGCATTCATAGTTTCGAACTGTTTCATATATGCTAGAGATTTTCTGAGAAGAAATAACGTCTTGTCATAGATTTCGTGATCGCCACTATCTGCCCATATGCTTCCAAGGCTGCGGAAGCGCTCATCATCCGCTACACGCTCGGAGTCCGGTTCTAGGTGATCCCAATTTCCAGTGCTCAATAGCGAACTCAATGGTCCGAGTCGGACGCGCTGATACACGGGATGTAGAATGGCTTCAACGCCACGTACCATTGGAAGCCACTCCGCGCCTAGTATTCGTGATTTTCGGGCTGCTGGGGCCATATCGAGTTCCACGTCGTCATAAAGTTGCCCATACGTGGCAAACACGTAAATGATGTTTAACGAGGACCACGCGAACAGCGCATCACTATTGTCATCATTCATATGCTCAATGCCGCGCTGGAAGCCGTGTATTGCCTGGTTATGATACCGCATAGCCTCCATTGTCAGCTGCTTCCTTCTTTCCGGGTAAAGGTATGCCTGATGCAAAGCCGCCAAGCTGAGAATGGCGTGCATGACGAAAGTGTGCTCAAACGCAATCTGTGGAAACACGGTTTGCCAGTAGCGGCTCACATCGGGGAAGTCGGCAACACTTTGGCTCGTCGACCATGTCCAGTGGTGTAATAGAGCCATGTCCTTGATGGTGTAGGCTGGAATTGTGTCATCGCTTTTCTCAAATCTTCCAAGAGGGGAATGGCATCGAGAGCTTGTTGCAGCCGGCAGAGGAGACCGTGGCAGTTGAGTGGCGGTGGCAGCGACAGTATCACTTGTTGCTGCTGTTACCACACTCACGGGAGATGAGCTTGCCTTCGCCGGGTGAATCGGGAGAGGGTCCCGAGATGGATACAGACATGGGATACTTCGTCGGAAACAATGTCTACAACTCGGCTTCTCTTCTCCGCACTGTAGAGACAAGGCGTTAGATGGATTTGAGTACTACTGTACACCACGAGTGCTTTCATGCGCAGTTGCAGGCACATGAATTTTGAAAAGTTACTCACCTTGACACGTCTCCTCCTGCACTCGGCACAGCCTGTTCTCGATTTCGTATGAGCTCTGCGTTTGCTGGGGGCTGTAGATGAGCCTGTCATTTCCGTGGGTATAATGCGTGTGAGGAATCACAAATCGCACAGTGAAGATACCAAGGAGAAGACCGAACGAGAGAAGACGAGGAACGAGCAGATGCGAGTGTGGCAATACGAGTACACATTTACATTCCAACCGACGAGTAGAAGTAGAAAGGTGGGTGGGTCATGTTCGGACCATGGACACGAAGTAATACGAGATACAGACGCGCTACGAGGATCTAACCGAAGAACTGACGGGTTTAATTTGCGGAACGAAATGCGATGAGCGAATCTGCATGGATTCATCCTTACATCTGAGCCCTACTAACCACTAGACTCAAACCCCCTTCCCAGCCCATGTTACCCATGTTGTTCTTGAGTCAGGCAAACTTTTCTGGATTTCAAATTGTGAATCTGAGCAGGACATGAAAGAAGAATATTATGGCATTACATTAAGTAAGAGATTTTCCATGTATCGTCTTGTACCTGCGCCTCCCGAAGCTTTACCCCCTTGTCCCTTACCTTCAGAGTCCTCATGCATACCGGCTTTATACTTGCGCAATAGCTTTTCGCTTTACCACCCTGTTATTATGGTGCTCGCCGAATTAGTTTCTCAGTTGTACATGCGACGGCCTCGGGACATTACATGACTGATTGCGAAGCCAGAGCTTGATTGCTCTATAGAATCGGCAGGCATCGAAGCAGAGATGGCATACTGCGACGTGTCCAAGTAATTAGGTCGCCTTTCTTGCACTCCGGACTCAGAATAGGTATCTGCGAAAGAGATGACGAATACTTTGCAAACAAACGTGAGAGAGTTTCACTTCTATTTGGGTGCGGGGAGTCAACGGACGTATCTGAGTAAAGTTTTATTCTGTCCTCAACTTTTTTAAAGTCATAACCACCACTGTAAGTCATATACCATGATCTTAGTCTACTACAAAAGAAAAACAATGAATATTAAATACAAATGAGACAACCTTCAAGTAACGATCTATACTCGATGGCTCGGGTGTTGCGAAGATCCTTTCTGTTTCAAAGTGTCGTTTGCGCCAATGACCAAAGTATAGGACGATTCGTTGGAGGGGACTAAAGATCTGAGTTGACTTGGATGAACCCAAAAAAATAGAAGCATGACAAGAAACATGAGGGTGGCATCGAAAATGTAAAGAAGGTACTCGTGATGAAGTAAGAAGCCGTTATTACCCATCAGGTACTCGACGACGCGAAAAATGGACCGGACCATGATGAGCGAGGAGCCAACATACAACGCGTGCATGTGCTTCTTCCATTTCGCAAGTCTCGGACTCAATGCCTCTTGATGTCGTGTGAATCGTACCTGAAAGGTTATAGCAACGACGATGAAGAATCCAAAAAAGACAATTTGTGCAAAAAGTCCAGCAATGATAATTCTTTCCCCCAAATTGAGGAAATCTAATGTGCCAGCTGCTTGAATACCGCCGCCTGAGTCTCTCATCAGTACGTCACACTATATGAGAGGGGCTATTCTGCGAACGTACCAGCCATTTGTAGAAGAAACGAGACGACATCTCCAGCGACAAATACCTTCGTCAACCATCTCCTCGACACCAAAGAGAATTGTGCTCCGTCAACGAAGATCATGATCTGGCCGAGTATTATATAAATCGATGCAGCAAATAATGCCGGCGCAACAAGGAGTAAGATGCTTTGAACAATGTATGGTCCTAGAGCCCAAATGTCTCCGGCTGATATAACCCGACCGATGTAACCGACAAGTTCAACTACTTCGTGTTAGCTTGCCGAGTAGCCAGTGTATCAAGAGAAGAAAAGAGAAACGCACAAAGACCACCGATAATAAAAGGCGTGAATGACCATGTTCGACGTGTGACGATGATAACGATGTGAGCAATGGTCACGATAAAATAAAGAGCGATGAATACGGCGGCAGCAGGAACGCTGGGATAGTATCGGTAGGGTACCCAAGCGTTTGGATCGTCAAGCGAAGGTTTGTAATTCTCGAAGGCCATGGTAGATGCTACGTGCGGAAAAAACAACCAGGACAAATAAATAACATAAAGAGGTATAGTAAGCTCGTTGTGTTTTAGTTGACAAAGTAGGGCGAATACTACTAGGTAGATAGCCGGCAAGTATTTAAAAGAATTGGAAGCACGACAACTCCTTGGTCACACTTACGAGTACAGTTCCATTTCTTGGACCAAAGGAAGACCCGCTATGAAGACAACCTTGGATTTTGGGTCTCTAAGTCTTCAATCTCAGTACACGGAGGTTCCGCTTTGGGCGTTCCAACAGGAGCATAAACTAAGCTGGCTAAACGAGAAACGAGCTCCCCTTTTGAATAGGCTATCCATCATAACGAGATACGACGCATTGGCTGGGCGCCACACAGTCAGGTCCACTTTAACCACGGCCAGCATCGAGGCTTAGCTCAACTAGATTTCTTCAAATCTCTTGATCGTTGTAATAATATTGATACCGGATCGATCGCCTTGTTGCTTACAAAGGTGTGTATAGCATGAATAAAACAACTAGTGAAGCCTGGCAAGCAGATATCAGGAAAAGCAAAACCGCAAAATGTATAAATGAATATACTCAGCAGTATAAGTACCGAATCAGCTCATGTAAGGAAGCACCTATTCAGCCAGTACACTTATTTTGCTATATATTCAGCATTCTATATCACATAAAATTGATCAGAAAAGTTTCTCAAATATAATAACAATAACAAATATTAAAAACATACAATTATTGTAGCAGTTACTAGATACGTGTAGATAGAGTTGTAAAAACTAGACAGATATAGCTGTAGTAGCAGCTACCTAAAGAACAGGCGTATAATTTAACACCTGGGTGCTGGAAATTCTCTCGACCCTGGTTTTCTGTCCCCCACTTACCTGGGAAATATCTTCGAATTCTTTCTCATGAGAGGCTATGGGTTAGCGACTCGCATAGATGGTCGAGGCGAGTGAGAGGTCCCGAATTTTTATACCATCTTCTTCAATTTGGTTAATGTCGGGTGATATACTGCGCATACTCAGGCTGTGGAGGTGCATTTCCTCCTTCCTTGTTTTCATATATTGCGTCATTTTATGCTAATCCTTCCTAGTTATTGTTAACATTTCTTACAATAGTGCAAGTTCTCCAGCGGTTGGCTTTTTTTTTTTGCAATAACCTTCGAATCTTTTTCGATCTCGCTGAGAATAACGTTTTCCGTCGTGGTCAAGTCCAAACGATTTAAATTATTTTCGATTTTCCCAAGTTTCTTCTCACTTTCTATTACTAGGAAATACTATGGTTTCATTACCACAAGGCAAGTAAGACAGAAAGAAGCAGCAGCAAACAGGGTCGCCAGTATCGTCTAAACTGTTGAAATGAATGATATATAAGCCTTAACCGCCCTCTGGTTTTCGGCTTTTTTGCAATTTCAACATAAACAATCGCGAACCAGATAGAAAAGTCCTCAGCAGCTATAGTGGTATCACATAAAGAAGCAAATCAAAGTGAGTATAGTTTCAAAAAGAAACGGAGTCTGACGGCTACAGAGAACTTGAGAGTGTGATTTTGTTATGAGCAACGCCTATTCAGCACCCAAAACTTGCTATCAAGGATCCCCTTTTGCAAACAATAGTGGGTACGACTCAGTAAAGTTCTGAACAAATGTAGTTATAGCAATATATACAAAAGAATATAGAGCTCCATTACATTTACTAGATAATTGTATATGTTGTAGTAAGTACAAGAGAAATATAAATATAGTACCAGAGAGTTAAAAGATTAGGTATTTATTACTTAAGTTAAAGATTATAGTAATATATAAATAGCTTCTGGTTTCTAATGCTTAAATTTCACATATCCGCTAGGGTGCTGGTTCGCTAATTTATGGTACTAAATAGTTACTTACTTATTACGGGAGAGCTGTAAGCTTACTAGAGGAATTTTCAGATACACATTTAATCAGTTTAATATATTGATAGCAGCAAAGCTTTTAGGCATTTAACAGTTGTTCAGAGTTAATTGAAGGTATAAGAGAAAGTATCAGATGCATTCTGCAGGGTTAACCTGTTTGACTTAATGCGTCATCCAGCAAACCACAAATATTTAAACCCTTCAAGTTAGTGTTACCCATTCTCCCTTGGGATAAAGTATATGATCATCCTATTTGCTCCTGTTGAAAATAGGGGCACCGACTTGGTAGATGGACTGGTACTTGGTTCAACAGAGGCAGCCCGGCCACCAGGTATAAGTAGGAGGCCTGATCTGGCAAGACTAGAAGAATAGACTAAAGCCAATTGACCTACATTTCAACAGCTCCATATATGCCTCACGATCCCTGGCTGATTTCCTGATGGCTGTTTGTGTGGGAGGTATCTTGGCGGCCTTATTAAGATAATATTCCATGGCAAGCCAAGTCTAATCCTATGGCAATTAAATACCTACTATTATATAATATATAATAATCTTAGTTATATAACTATTTCTATTCTAATTGATGTTAATGTAATAGTTAGTTATATATGTGGGGTAGGAATTAACTGATTAAAGACGTTAGACAAAGTAATATCGCTGAGAGCCGATTATAACCTACGTGGGAACCTGATGGTGAGGGAACAAAACTTCAGCCGTTAGATAATAACATAAAGAAAGTAATCTAGCGTCGAGAGTAGTTCTAAGCGTCTCAGAATCCCCTAACCTTCTCAATAGTCAAACTAACATTCAATTGTACACTAGTCAATAGCTCTGGTAAGTAACCGTGCTAGATAAAGAATCCCTTGATAAAAGCATGGTCTTATGCCGAAGAAGCTGTTGGCCTTGCAAACTGCTGCTGATCTGATAATATGTAGGCAGAAGGAGAGCTGTTTGAGCAAAAATCTTACAGGATAGAAATAGCTGTTATTACTACACAATCTGGTTTGCTGCACGAACAATCTTTCATAGTGTGGAGATCCTGTAAAACCGCTGACCACAGACCCTCCCTCCACATATAGGTACTCCTCACTGATCTATGGCTGCCTCCCTTGCGGCTTTATCTTACTGCATCTAAGCAGTAAATAGCTCTCGCCTTTTTTAACATAGGCGGTGAAATAGAAGAGGAGAGAAGCAACGGTGGTAGCCAGCAATAATAGAATGACAGTGGGATAGCATCATACATGGTATTCAATAAAAGTGCGCTTCCGCATTCCTGAGACTCTTGATAAAAATACCCTCCGCCTGATGAGAATCGAGACTGAAGACATTACAAAGAGTTGTCTTCACAAATTCCTCGGCTTTGGATATAGCGGCAGACCAGTCACTGCTGCGTTGGGCGTGCTTTTTCTGGAGGAAAGCAATTACGCAAATGGTAACCCAGACTTGCTCCTTGACATTACCGCTGCCGTTAAGAATTGAGAGGAAAGCTGGAATAGCAGGGATGGCAGTGCTTGCGAACACAAGATCTTCGACTCTGTTTGGATTAAACGCGCCATTGCTGTCTTGAAGAGCGATCATCTCTAGGACACTATCGGCTTCTTGTTCAGCGCTGGGAGTAGATGTGCTGTTAGAAAGGCCTGCAGTGAGGCTCAACGCCAACGCGCGGAATGGTCCCTGTAGGATCTCCGGCGTTGCCGTGTTTGTGGTCAAGGTAGACGTCGAGCCTGCCGTAGGGGCCAGGGTTGTCACAGTATCAACAGAACCTTTGCTGGTAGGCGTAGAAGCCACAATAGACCTGCCTGTTGCGGAAACTGATTGAGGAGGCGATGTATGAAGTAACTCTACATTCTGCTCGCTTACGCCAGAGGTGTTGTTGACAGGTAAACTTGACAAGAGACTCCGAGCACCGGGGGGAGCATTACTAACAACATTGGTGCGAATGCCAATGCCATTCGATGTGGCGATGAAAGAAGTCTGTGTACTTGACAAACTGTACATCTTTCCAAGCCTGACAATCTCGCATTTGTTATAGTAGCTCTCGTCAGATTTCGCATCTTTGATGGAATGGGCCTTGTCTTCCAGTGTTTGAATGAGGGCTTTTGCCGCCAGACTGTGGATTAGGTGCCCGCTGATTTCGTTCTCATAACTCATCTGAAAGACCTCTGTAGAACTTTCAGAGCCGCGGATTTGATACGAGATCTTGACTTTGCGGTCTCTAATGGTACCGTTGATGATGGCATACCAAGAGCTTCGAAAAGCCCAAAACATAGTTCCCGGTAAAGGGGCCTGCTGGATCGCCAATGGTGGGGGCAGATTATCGCCTTTGTCTGCTGCCCCGAGTTGTTCTCTATTTGGCTGAGGGCGACTGCTGAGTACCTGTAAATTGTTGCCGTCATCGGCACGGACTACAGCAGGTTTGTTAGGTTTCACCCCCCAGTCAACCGAGATAACTCGGATTGGAGCATAATTTATGGCATTGATCAGAGTTTCAGCTTTGAGATCTTGATTGTCGTATTGATTGTCAAGCTGTCCCTCGCTTATGTAGGCTGTTGCTCCAGCACCAGCTCGCGCCAGTGCTTCACACATGCCTCTTGAAACTTGGTCTCCGAGGCCCATAACGAACACCCGTAAGAGCTTAGACTGCGCCTCGGCTGCTTCCACATTGGCCTGAACGGTCTGCAGGGCTGCTGCCACACCCCAGTCCAGCCCGTCGGTGATGACGATGACAGAGCAGCGAGGCTTAGAAACGTCGCGTTGCTTAAAGACTGTATCCAAAGCAGCTTTAATGTCTGTGCCGCCTGAGACATTTACGCTCAGCTTGCTGGTTGCGTTGGCGACTTCAGACGTATCGTAGTGGAGGCTTCTCTGGCCGCTAACGATGGACTGCGCCGTGGTGGAGAATGTATAGATGTTGAATGTTGACTTTTTCTGCCTCGGGAGTTGTGTCAACATTGTCTTGACAACCCTGTTGGCAGTTTCTATGCGAGATCCAGCCATGCTTCCACTTGTGTCGATGAGAAATATATATTCTGTACTGTTTCATTAGCACGAAATCAATTGTATCCGATTCCGGGTTGCTTGGCTCACCATGCTCTTCCAGAGGCAGCTTCACATTGGACACCATTGTGAGAGCAAAAGCTAGAGTTTCAGGTGTGTCCTTTACTGGATTATCAAGTCGCTCAACATTACAACGTGGTTGGTCAATCAGCGGAACAGTCCAAACGAGAACAAAGTGATTGTTCAAGCGTCGGCTGCTGGAGAAAGCGACGTAGGATTTCCAGTATCGGCGATTCTGCTGTTTCTGAACAGGGTTCATGGTACTGAACGAATTGTCGGAGAAACCTGGAACAATCGTTACTTTATGCGAGATGCAATCAAGTGATTGGACCTCGGAAGTCTGCTGGACCTCGATACCAACGGTGATGGTGATCACCGGGTCGGTCCCTGCCGGCGCTGCGGGTTGGATGCTGATAGGATTGGGATTGCTTCCAGGGCGAGCAGCAAATCCGGCAGGGATCGTAAGACGAACAGAATCTTCTAAATTATTGGTCGAGATGACGTGAACATATGTAACACTAACGAGAGACAATGTTGTAAGCGCGAGAGATTTGAGATTAATAGCAAGAGCCTTACCGAGTTATGATCAACGAGTCAGGCGAGACATTTCCTAACGTGATTTGGAGCACTGTGACGATTGATTAGAGGTCAAAGGTTTGTTTTGGGATAAAGTAGATAGAGAAAATGGCTATGGGCTACCTTCATCATTGATTTTATCAAGTAGCCAAGCCTTATCATTTGCCTTCTTAGCTTCTTGGTACTTTCTTTGGGCCTCTTCTTTTTCATCAACAATAGCCTGAACTATGATATCTCCAACTTGGGCAGAAAATTTAATGACTGAAGCTTCGGGCGGTATCTCAAACATGTACGAGACCTCCTGAGGTCCTCTGGCCCGGGCTTGATAAGTCTCTGTCAGCGTTGCTTCAACGAAGACATCGCGGACCTTGTAGTCATAGTTGGAAGTGAGGAGCGGATAGTCTGTTGGGGACCAATTTTGTTGGCTGTAGACACCTCGTACGTAAGTCATTTTGACTTGAAAGATGATTTAAAAGTATGGATAAACGGAAAGTCGTGTATTGGCAAGCTGAAGGGTAGGTGGAATGAAGAGCCACGAAAAGAGCCACAGAGAGAAATTCATATATACATATGGGTATGGATATAGGTACAGTAACAGGCGAATAAAGCTATAAAAGTTAAAGACTAGAGATCACAAGAAAAGATAACATTTGGTAATATGCTGCTGTAACGACTGGTCTTACGGCGCGGGGCAAATGGCCATCCGGGTAGCAGGAAATGCGATAGTATGAGCAGGAACCTTTGCCATGGTTCAAATGCTCTGGATACACGACATGAGCAAGTTAGAAACTTTCACGATCAAACTATCATCTACCTACGTCGGTATGATATCATTATGGCCTGTTGCTCTTATTAACGAGCCTTCGTGGCTGTTGGTGATAGGCTTTTCATCGCTCGTATTGGAACCGGAATATGGCGGTGTTCCCTTGCAATCTATGTATTAGCACCCAAGACCACCCTACTTCAAGAGTTCCTCAGCTTACACAGGTTCCCGACATCCTCCCCTTTTGACTCCGCCAAGCGTTATCCGATGTGTCCACGTGTTTGGTTTGTCTAGTCCTGGCATTCCTATTTGATGCGATTGAAAGTATCGAATATCACATAGGGGTGTGCTATTAACCATTTATAGAGACACTGTTATACACGGCGTGATATTCGTGTATGCAAATTCGTTTTATTAACTGGAATAAATGCACGCCGGTGGAGCTTTGGGGGTTAAATATATGCACCCGTAAACGAAGCTGCGTCTACGGCAGAGCCTCAGATTTCGGATATCCAGCTCTCCCCATCACTTTTCGCAAAATCGAGGACAAAAGAAAGCGTTTTCAGATGGTGATAATTCTATCTGCGTGTGGGACAGTGTAGAGTATTCTACTCTTGACATGTACCGTTGTTCCCAAGGCCTCAGGGTTCTAACTACCTACTCTTGGGATGATTTGGCATATTTCTTCGGACGATTGATCTACGTTAATTCTTAGGCCCATAGACATGATGAGGTCTTATTTGGATATATTATGCACATAATGCTCAGGACTTTCAAGCGTGTTGTCGGTTATCCTTTTCAAATGAACTCTGTTGGTCTTTCATATGCTCGGGATATTCTCAATCCATTCATATGGCGTGAGAGGCCATCCAGAGAAAAGTTTCCAATCGCAGAATAGCTTTTTGATTAGGCATTGAATATGAAACCGACTTATTCTGTGTAGACTGCAAAAATATTGATATGACACGCGTAGAGAGAGAGAAAAAGAAAGAATAATAAGTCAAACTGATTAATAAACAAAAGAGTGTCCTATTCCTAATCCTCCTCCAAGTATTCGAATTGTTGCGTTCCAAATTACCCTCTACTGAGTATAAGTAGAAGAGCAGAACTTGTATGGAATTCGAATAACGCTGTACTTGATGATGCGTCGCTGTTTCTCTCGGCTAACACCACGCCCAAGTCCAGTACTGAACGCGGCTACAAGCCTCACCAATTCCGAGTCAGACTCTTCGATATCCCTTGCTGAACTGCCTGCCGTCAAAAAATGACCAAGATCCACTGGGTCACTCGTTACGAACAGCACAAATGTTTCAACCACGGAGCTCGATTTAGGTACGGAGTCTGCCCAATCGAGGAGCATACCTCTCACTTGGCTTTCCCCTTCTTGATATCCGAAAGTGTATCGGTCTTTCTTCTTGATTTCTATGCCGTCTGTTTCTGCCATCAAAGATGAGACATTGCCAGCAGCGTCAATTGAGAAGCCCGAGACGAATACTTTCTCGCTACTCTCGTTGATCAATCGAATGTAAACTCTGTTGCCTTCTGTTATAGTAGCAGTGCCATCAGTGGCGTGGGGGTGGAGGGTGCTTCCTTCGACGAGTCCGAACTCAACGTTCAACTCCTGATTGAACGCTTCTTTGCCTATTCCGCTAGGAAGGGCCAATAAATGTTGAGATCTGGCAATTATCTCGGCTCTTTGAAAGGCTAGAGCTGAGACTTTTTCCGGAGTTTCGTCTTTAAAGGACATTGAGAAGCACTCAACCATGTCGTTGTTGTAAACGACAAGCCTCCCATCAACTTCTTTGATCTTGACCAGCACTTTCTCTTGGCTAGTTGCTGTTGAACTTTGCGGGAGGATGCTTAGGGCTAGCTTATGATCAGCCAGCTCCTGGAGATAGGCATCGAGAGCTTGCTTGTAGTCATCGACCATCAACGTGTGCGTGACCAGAGTGTTGCTGTAAGCCGTGAATGCTTGCTGATAATCAACCGACTGGAATTTAGCATAGGCCAAAACAAGCTGATGATGTGTCGCAGCAATCTTCTCATTAGCCACTGTCAGCTGTTGATGGGCTAATGAAAACTTGGTGTCGCATTCAACAAAGCTAAACTCCCCGTTTGTGCCAGATGAATTCGCACTCTGTTCAGCCACTGGAGAAGATCGAAGGAACTTTGAGCGTTGGAAATGGTCTTTGAGATGTTCATTATTGCCCGGGTATTCAGCCACCCACTGATAGGTGGCTTCACGCTTCAGAAAAGCGAGTGCTCCTCCGGCGGGGTCGATTTGCCCTCCGTTCGTCTTCTTGGTAAATTTGCCAATGCTGTGGAATGCGGCGACAGAAACAATTTCAACTTCGCCAAGACTGTGCTCATCGTCTACTTGCTCAAACCCAGCTGGCATAATGTCATACACATTACATTCTCTCGCTCCGGCAACTCGTCCAGCTTCAATAACAGGCTGACCGCCAATTATTTTGATAACGTGTGACTTGGAGTCGCTCTCATCTTTCGAGAAAAGGATGCGTGTACTTGGGCCCTCCGCAGCAGGATGCTGAATGATAATTTCGGAGGCTGTTAGCTCTCTGACTCTGGACATAACGGTCCGCCATGATAGCCCACGGCCCTTGGCTTCATGAAGCGTCTGTGTAAGAAGCCTAGTCATGACTCCACCAACATTGCCATAGATATCTTTTACCTCAAAGGCCACTTCAGTTGGATAGGCCGCCACTATGCGTACCACATCCTGATTGCCTTTAAGGGGCACATCTTCCTCGACTGTGCCTTTCTTGATGAGATCTCTCATGTGGTCCGCTAGTTTCTTATGCTGCACGGCAGGGGTCATTCGGACCTTGAGTCCTGGGACATCTGGCTTGCGAGCCATACGTCCGGAATGACAACAATCCATGATGAAGGTGACATTCTTCGTTTCAGCAGTGAGCTTCTTGAGAAAATATGCGATTTCATGGTCGAGGATGCCGTTGAAATTCTCCTCATCATCATTATATCCCGAAGGGACAATGAATTGATACCTTCGTCCGTCAAGGCCGAGAGTTCGGTCAGATTCAACCATGCTGCCATGACCGGAATAGTATAGAACAACTATGGGCTCGATGTTGGCTTGATGTTTGCCTTTGGCCCATTCAATAACGGATTCAAACTCTGCTAGAATCCTCTCTCGGGTAGCGACATCACCCTCATGGCATTCGTGGAATTCGAATCCCAGGCCAGTCTCTTCAAGAGCTTTTTTCATTCTCGCAATGTCAAGTGCAGTTCCCACAAGGCCATTGGGGCAGGCAATCAACAGTGCGTAGCTTGCACGAGTTATGGGAGCCATTGTTCACTTGGAAAGTAGTTGATATTGTTTAGCACGCAGGTGAAGGGAGTATCCAGACTTCAAAACTTGAATGCTGTTGTAGAGATTTTCAAAAGCAAATATATTCTACACACATGTTTTTAATAGTCAGCCAGTAATTGAATCGTGAAATGTTCACCTAGCAACCTCTATAGTTGTACCCATTGCATCATGAATGGTCACACCAAGCCACGGTAATGGAGGGTCGCTCAGAACCAGCAAACCATGAGAAGGAGGCGAATGCTCGACGGGTTGACTAATGTGGGTTAATTAGGCTCTAATGACAGCCAAGTTGCCGGATAATACTCAAATCTAAGAGGGTTTTGATAATTGGTATTGATAATTGATGCAGATGCACGGTGCAACATCAATGTAAATGAGCAAAGGGCTGGGGATTAGTGCCATATCAGCCGCAGTGATTATCCGAACTCATTCTAGTTAGGTAGTCGTATCATACATACCTATACTTGGATACATATAGCTGGCACGGGTTTCGGAATAGTCCATTAGACATCTGGCCTAACGTAGTATAGATCTAAGGTAAGAAATGGTTATATATTAAAATCCTTACTAACAACAATACACATTTACTCATCTTTGAGACTTACATGCTTACCTACCCGTACACGAAGACCTTGATTGACTGAAGTGATCAGACCATGTGGCGTAAATCAAGATAACACAAGGCTGAAACCCCCTCTCTTTTACTAAACTCGCTCGCCCAAGAACAGTCCAAATGTCTCCGGCCGTCATCACATTCCGAAGGAAACACAAACATGACGTAAAGATTCAGGTGAATAAATACATATTATAGTAGGTCTACATGATGCGTCAAAGTTTAGGCTGCATTTTGAATGGTTACACTAGTCAATTATAACACATGTCGGGCAAATACCCCACAAGAAGTGAGGGCTTCAAATGACCACTCAACCTGCTCAACGATAATAACACACTTAAACTCGAGTTTGATGAAGTGAGAACTGACGCTTATTGTCCGATGAGATGGCTGCATCCTACCCTCTTACATTCTCACACCCTACCATACAAGATATATCTCAAACAACCAGCGCATCAACGTCGTACACTGTTAAGCATATGACTGAAAAGCTACCAGATAACTTTCTCGGCTGCTCCAGTCTCGCCAAATACTGTTATGTAAAAGCCAATTCGTCTCACCACATTGAGTATGGACCGAGTCGAGACAATCAGAATAACCAATTGAAGTGGAGAACTATATTAAACAATATCTATTATCTTGCTGTTAATATATATGCTCACCGAAAACTTCATATCATTCCAGCGTGGCTTGCAATAGATTAGCAAAAGCGAAACATATGACATAGTACATGAGATAAGAAGATCGCCTCAAGGACGGGATTGGATATGATTAGATTGCAGAAGGTCATAGGATCAAGGGGCTGACGTTGTATCCCTATATACTCAAGCTTAATTAGCTATATTGACCAAAACACACGCTGTGCTCTGAGGGATAAAGCATCAGAGGCGTGACCGGCAGATGCTTTGGTGAATAATCATTGTCTTGGGCTTACTGTGGCACAAATGGAATATCAATTTTGGATATAAATATTGTGGTCTTCCTCGTAAATTTTGTAGTCTTCCTGTCCATCAACCATCATCATACATAGCCATTCTCCAAGTTCACACAAGACAACACAAAACTATCCCGCTTGCAAAGTTTACCATGGATCAATACAAAGACATCGCACTTTGGCTTTCTGCAGCCGCTGCCAACGCCCGGCCCGGCCAACAGGGCAACAATCTCATCTTTCAAGAGGGAAGCACTCTTTATATGGAACAGTGGACTAATGACGGGCTCTCTGGCAAGACCCCCATTGTTGAAGGCGTGAGAGATGAAACGCCAGTCGCCCTGATTGTCGATAACGTAAGTTTGATACCAATCCGACGCTGCACCTAGAAGTCAACTATATGACGATACCTGTGCTGACGATCTGTCTATTTGAGCCAAACAGAAAATCTTTGTCCTCAACGCAAACAGCGTCCTGACTTGCCATGTCAAGCCCCAAGGAGATGGAAAACCCGGCGAACTTTGGCCCGAGGAAAACCTCGGTGATGGCAACATTCAGATTCACCCTGATAGCCAACTGTTCGCTCTTCAATCAGGAGGCCAAGTTATTATCTTTTATCAAGACACTGATGGGGACTTGAGCTCAATCAAAGAGTCCAATGGTATATGGACGGTTTCGAAACTGCTCGCGACCAGCCCCACGCTTGGAACTCCCCTGGGGTACTTCCCCCACCTCGGCAAGGAACACCTGCTCTATGTTACGGAGGATGACTTGGTGCGTGCTCTGGTCAAGGAAGAAGGCGAAGAAGAATGGAAAGGTATGCATTACACATTGTCCTACGACGTTTCGATATGTTAGCTTACTCACACATACCAGATCAAACGTTCTCACCTGCACGGCTCCAAGGTTCTGTATCGAATCTGGTTGCGATTCCAACTCAGGAAGATGATGAACCGGAGGGCCTCAGCGTATTTGGTCTCGTTTCCTCTCAGCTAGTGATGATAAACGGGACTACAGAAGATGCGGTTGTTCTTGGAATGGTGAAGAACCGTACGTTTTCATCAGCTAGATGCCGTAGGAGGATTCGGGTTATTACGCATCACGTTCATCACCACTGCCACTATCCGGTATGCAGCTGTAACCCATGCTGCTACTAGGTACCTACCTAGGTACCTAGGTAGGTATGAGCTACTGGGTATCAGATACCTATCTTCGGGCGCCGAAGGGGTTTTGGGTACCTAGTAAGGGGCCTAGGTAGTGTTTTTGGACCTGAAGTTGGTTATTGATTGGAAACTGCTGATGCAACGACTCAAATTGAAAACCCGGTTGCAACGAAAAGGATCAATGGGCTTTGTTTCTCTTTTGTCTTGGTTATCGATTTCTTTCTGATTAGCAAAACTACCTAGGTTAATGAGGCTACGTTATTTTTTACCCTTTATTGTTGCGATTACTTGAAACAGTAATACCAGATTGATATAAGTACATTAGGCCGGCCTGATAGTGTTATAAGCTACCATCAGGAGGTCAGCTACCGTTAGGCTGACCAGGGGACCTACAACTGTGACCAGGCCTGCAATAGAATGGCCGAGCCCGTAACACGATTACAGTGGCCAAAAAAAGGTGCTGAACTCCTTACCAAAACAACACCCCGAGGCTGCCAGGTAGTAAGACACATGTACCTACTTATTTACACGTATGTGTCCCTACATGTAATTAGCTCGAGGGGTAAGCATTGTGCGAACTCACATCACTTCATGATATTCATTTTATTCCTCTGTTTAGCTACACTCGTGAACTACCTACATACACGTAGCCATATTGAGTCAATGGTGTTGTTGTGACCTACAATCACTGGCAACTGGAGGTCTCTAATAGTGAATACAATTAGCCGAGTGTGCGTAGGTAAAAGCTGGAAGGGTAATACGACGGCATATCCATTCAGAGTCACTGGTTTAGAATAAGATATTGGAGTAATAGCTGATGTTATGTTGGTGAAACCTGAGTAGACTGAGTTCTGGTACTAACAACAATATTACGAGCAACTCAAGTCTGGGTATAGAGAGATAGCTTGCAAGTGTCCTCAACAATTTCGGGATATGATTACGTGGTGATATCGATTATGACGAACGGCTATCAATCTGGAACCATATACTATAATAACCATAACATATGAATCCAAAACCCAAGAGCCATAAAGACATCTGGAGTGTATATGATACGTCGCTTTATCCATACGGTCACGAGCACATCTAAGACAGTAGGAATTCAGCAAAACAGCCTTATTATCAAGTAAACTATCTTATATTCCTCCTAGACCTCATTTAGCTAGTAAAAAGCATATTTGGCATCTTAACAGACTAGAAACGCAGATACGTATCACCGTTACCATCTAACAATTCATAACTTTCATCAAAATCCTCATTCTGAACGTAATCTCCCACTTGCATATCCACAACCTTTTCAGCAGCTTCATCACCTTCTCCTCTAGCTCCCAGGTAGACTTTCCAGCGATTGCCAGATTCAAGGGATGCGCGGTCTACATCCTTGTTGGAGAACCAAGACACGCGTACCTTGCGATATTGAACAGCAAAGATCTGCTCTCCAGGAGCAACGAAGTCTGTTTGATCGGAACCATCCACGGATCGCTTTATCTCGGTACCGATATCCAAAACGCCATCAGGGAAAGGAATCCCTACCGCACCTGCGGCCAGGCTTGCTGGTACTTGGGCTTTCCCTTCCGAGGACCTGCTTTTGCTTTCAGTTATGCCAATCTTAGCATCCGCGACTGTTCTCGTCCCAGTGACAAGATAAACGTCTTGTCTCTTCCTAAGTGCCCGCTCTAGCCAATATCTGGTCTTGCTATCCTCGCATAGCTGTCCAAAGAATTGGCCAGAGTTTTCGAGCCGACGAGTGATGCAGATGGAGGATGAGAGGTCGATTTTGGAGCAATTTTCGGAACTGCGTTGTCCAGAGATGAGAGTTGAGAGTATTAAATGGAGGCCGGAAGATGCCCCCTGTTTTGAAGAATAGCTGAAGTTGTCGAGCTGTTGAGCAATAACGACTTTAGTAGTAGATTCGTCGGGCTCGAAGAAATCTTGTTCTGGGTTTCGAACATCGAGGACAAGGCGTCCAAGCCTAACGGCGTTCACGGGAAGAAGTGTCTCGAGGAGCACTGAAGGAGTCGGCATAGTACCAGCTGGTGGATCAACTACCTAAGGTTGTTTAGATTCAAGATTTAGCTTTGACATGAAGTAAGTTAACACATGAAGCAAAGGGCGTTTGCGAAATTTACCTCATAGTTAAAGCAAGGTCAGGTATGTACGGAGTACGAAGAAGGTTGCACCAATGAAATGGGTGGGAAACACTTTGTAAGTTTACCCCACCCTGTAAGGTAGGACAACGGATTTCATCACAATGAAGCCAGAATATCACGTTATCAAATCTACATCAATGAATGGTCGAATACTTGTACATAGCCACATTATTATCTCCTTGGTAATTAGTCGATGAAGAATATTATAAGGCAGCGCGACTCTTTATTTTGGGCTTTAAATATATATGTATATAGATGCGGGGATAGTATACGCCGTATCTAGGGTACTACTTCATTCCGCTGCAGATAAAGAAACGGGATGCAAGTTACATGTAAGTAGTAAGCATACATGTGTACATGTAGTATTCACTTGAATGTTATATACGTTTTAACAGCAGCACTCTAGTGGCTATCATCCTTGGAGATGCCAGTAAGAGAGTCAATAGAGACCCCGGAGTTGGTTTTCTCTTGTTAATAATTCACATGGATTTGGAAGGTCTTGGGTGTAGGGGAATCATGGGAAGTATATCGAGCTCGGGACCGCGAGAGTCGTCCTATGAATGGATTCCTCCTTGATAGACTCAGGTTGTGCCCCTTCTTTTAATAGGGATTTCAGAAATGACTGTAAACTCTTCAACGTATGAGCCTTTTTGTAGGCAAAGGAGGGCCGAACCCCCCCCCCCCCCCTTTACCCCTCGAGTGGCGATGTCGTCGCCGCTCCGCGTGACTTCAGCTCAGTAATAGTGGCTAGCAGCCAGCTCGGGATCGTACAGCGCATGTTCGTAAGTTACTGGCTCGAGGGTTTCACACTCGTAGGGTGCATGCACGGGTGCATATATCCTCCCGTCAATTATTATTGTGCGCTCATTATCTTCATGGGTCGGTACATGGGGCTGGCCGCCAAAGACAACTGAGCTTCCATCCTCTTCAATTTTGACCCCGGGAACACGTACAACAGCTTGTTCGGATAAACGAATGGCAAAGTTATCTCCAGAGGTTTTCAATTTTCCGTCACTCTCGCCGAACGCGCCACCGTAAGTCGCACGATCCGAATCGGCGATGCTCCCCTGTTTAGCTCTCCCGCGTGGCCATTCTCCGTTCTTAGGCACTCTACGTAGTGCTTCGGCTGTCAAGGGGATTGGAGCGGGAGGCATTGGCATGGGTGGGCGTTGGTAGATCTCGGCCTCAGCCTTAGCGATGCGATGGAGGCGAACGCGGCGTCGTCGCTCTTCCTCTTCCTCATGAAGGCGTCTAATGGCATCCTCATCGTCTGCAGTCCAAGAGAGTGAACCTTTTGACGTTATGTTGTCATCAGGAAGCGCAGCTGCGGTGGTTTTGAAGGAGAGGGCGCTGAGTGAAGGGGGAGGACTCGGCACGGGCGAGCTGGCGTTGGACTCGGCATTAGCCTTAGCGATGCGACGGAGGCGAACGCGGCGTCGTCGCTCTTCCTCTTCCTCATGAAGGCGTCTAATTGCATTCTCATCATCCACAGTTAAAGAGGGTGAACTTCTTGACGTTATATTGTCACCACTAAGTTTGGCGTTGGCCTTGGCGATGCGAAGGATGTCGCGTTGTCGCTCCTCATCTTCCTGGCGCTGAATTTCTGCTAACCGCAGGAGAGATAAGTGACGATGCCGAATCGCTTTTTCATCATACGTGTTGGTCCCACAATTGTCGTTGCTCCGCTCGTGATCGTTGTGGGAGGTGGTGAAAGAATCGAGATTATGATCAGGAGCTCGGTTTGAAGGGGTCGACTCAACTTCCTTGGTTTGACTGCCAGGCCGCTCAAACCGATCAAACCGATCAAACCGATCAATATGAGGCGGCTCATCGGTAAAGACTGGCCGGCGCGGGAATCTGAAGGTTGATTCACTGCGAATACCTCCGTCGTCTCGAATCAAATCGTCAATAGCTTCCTGAAAAACTCCATCTGAAGCGTTGTTCACAGCTGCGGTCACGGAAGCTGGGGCAGATGGCTGGGCCTCAGGATCCACTGGTTCGATCTTCTCCACGGTTGAGAAGAAGGGAACAGAGACCAATTCTCTATGATCATCAATCTGAAGCTCTCCTAAACGCACTCCCCCATCGGTGGTATCAATACTCTCAGAGTCCACATCACTCCGACCTGAGTTGCTTTCATCATCACCAAAGACATCCTCATTTTCCTGGGACTGTGAAGGGGGAAGAGCAAAAATCGCAAGCTGCTCCTGATGCCGGCCGACGTGTCGCTGATACTCCTTCACCGAGTCAAGGCTCTCCTTGCATATGGGACAAGTTATCCCATCTCTTGTTCGAATCGGCCTAGAGTTGAGATTAATCATCGCCTCAAGTTGATACCTTGGTGTAGCACTAGGGTGGCTTTTGTGGATATGCTCTAAACACTTGGATCGAGACTGAAATGGTTCACTGCATAAGTAAGGGCAGGAATAGAATTTCCAATGGTTCTCGACCTCATGTAGCATCCATTCGTGCCTTCTACCAAACCACTTTTCTGTTGTTGTGCAATCCTCTGAGAGACAGATGTATGGCCGAAGATCAGCGAACACATGCCGTCTTGGTGGTTATTGTTAGTGTCCATATTGCTATAAAAGCGCAGACTAAGCTTCAAACTCACTTCCATGATATTCTGTTTGTAGCTGTTATGATCATATAACAAAAAGGGCATTCAAAAGGACCGCTCCCAGCCCCCTTTGGAGGCGGGGGGATGCGAAGCCTTTCTATATCTGCAAGGGAAGACGCAAAAGATGTTTGCGAAATACCTGAATTTGAAATAACGTCTTCATCTATTGCCGATGATTCCATATTAAACCCACCGCCCTTGGCACGGCCTGGTATTGAACTTGCAACGGTACTTTTACCATCGGCTTCATTTGTGAGATCCAAACCATGAGCGAGCTTCAAGCGGTGGCTTTCACGGTACTTAAAGTATTGTCGTCGTCTAGAAATTGCATGTCCTAGTCTCTGGGCCATGAGATTGTCTATCTTTTGAAACTTGGCCTGGACGTGATGAATATCGAAAGGTTCATAATATGATACATCTACCGGAACCGATGCTGCAAAGCGGTCGTGAGGAGCCGGATTTCTTATGGCGACGCTCAACCTTAGCAGACAGTTAACAGTATCTGGCACATTGGTGGAGATTTGTTCCAGTTCTGTCGCTGGAAATTCGTTCTTGTCACTGTCAGGATCTTGAAGCGAGTCGGATTCGTCGGCCAAAACCTCGTCATCCTCAATTTGATCCCATGGGACTTTACTCCCGCTCACAATGGCAAAAGCGTCTTCTAATAACTCTGACAGGTCTGCTAAAAGTGCAAGTACTTGCTTTTGCAAATGAGATGCATCTCGAAGACGATACTGCAGTGATTGCCTTCCTAACGAGTGCGCGCCAATATTTCCGGACCAAATTTTGAAGCGGGCCTCTTCTTCTATAATGGCCGTCAATGCCGTTTGATGAGAGGTATCGAAGGGAGACGAGGGCAATGAGGCAAGTTTCTGGAACAGTGCAAGGCACTCTCTAACTGATTTCGCGATACTCTTGTCGTCCATTTTTGGCGATATCACCAACTACCCAGTGAAAGCAAGGAATCCAATGTTCTTTAGAGAAGATTCAGAAACCCATAAGGATACAGCGCTCTTTTACATTCATCATTGGTTCCTCAATGAGGCTCACGGGCGGGGTATTGGATAATCTCCTCTCGTTCGTTGAGCTGTCTTTTAGTCATCTCTGTCGTGTAACGCAACATGCATGTACATATAAGTATGTAGGTAGATTTAATATTATCCCGCCCTACTCACTACCTGGATTTACTCGGTCATGTCGATCAGCAGTCATTCCTATTCTGCATCAACCAGGGGACGAATTCCTAATACGTAGACATGTCTGGGTTCGAGATCGCGGGGGCTGTGCTCGGAGCTATTCCGTTGGTAATTTCAGCTCTTGAAAATTATAAGAACGGGGTGCGAGTAATACAACGGTGGAGGAAATACGACAAAGAGCTGCAAAGCTTGATTCGAAATATCGAGACCGAGCGGGTAAAGCTTCAAAATGTGTGTGAAAAGCTTTTGGACGGACTGGTGTCCCCATCTCAAATCGACGCCATGGTAGAAGAGCCTAATGGGGAATTGTGGATGAATGGCCAGGTTCAGGCGAAGATTCGAACAAGACTTTGGAGGTCTTGCGACGTGTTTGAGCAGACATTGAGAGACATCCAGGAAGCTATCAAGGATATAAGCGAGAGGGTAGGAAGCGGAGACGATGTGGGTTATCATAACATCATTGAAAGTCAGGAATGAAATGTTGTTAACGCGATTCTAGGTACGATGGTCAGATGCATCTGTGGTAGCGAAAGAGCTCAAACGTGCGGGATTTACATTACGTCGGTCAACATATGAAGGCCTCTTGACCACCATTAAAGAGGGCATCTCGAATCTCGAATCTCTAGCAGCAATGAACATCGAGCTTGAGCCGAAAAGACGAGTGAGATCGCGTATTAGGCTCCTAGACATCCTACGCAATCTGTCCTCGAGCGTTTACCGCGCTGTCTGCTCTAGCTTAACATGTGCGTGCAGGCATCGCATCTCGATGCGTGTCTCAGAGTGCACGGATGACCTTACTCCTGGTCATGATGAAGACTATGTCGTCCAAAAACTTCGGTTTCACCTTGCCATGTCATTTTCTCAGCCGCAATTTGAAGGTCATCAGTCTATCGCAGCAGACAAACAATGGGAGGAGCTCCTACTACGAGCAAGCTTTCCGCTACAGACGTCAGTTCAAACCCCCAATTTGGCGCCGGATAGGGCCAACCAGATTATCGGCTCTACGAAGCAAAGGAAGTCTGTCAAGTTTTCTCTTTCTCGCTTCTCCTCATCTTCAACGACCACTATGGTTCAAACGCAAACTTCTTTGGTTGCAAGATTTGCGACTAGCATGTCTCTAGAAGCAGCAGAGGTTACCTTACCTAAACCCAACGTTCAACCATGTATCAACATATGTGGCGAATTGAAGAAATCAACACTTACTGAGAGATTGGGTTGCTTGGGAATAATCTCTGATCAGTCTCATACAAGCTTAAGAAGTTATGCAGTCTACCCATTGAACTCATTTTCGCCAGGCGGGAATGGCTGGGAAATGATCTCGCTGAGAGAGATTCTGGAATCTCGGGGTGGACAAACTCCCCCGACTTATAAGCAAAGGCTCCGACTTGCAGTATTCATTGCAAGAAGTGTACTGCAATTTTTTAAGACTCCATGGCTTCCTGAAATGCCAAGCAGCCAAGACATATTTTTTATTCAAAGTGGAAGCTTTGCTTATTATGATCGACCATTTCTCATGGCGAAAAATGACAGGACGAGGAATAAACCAAAGATGGTTTCCATCATTCAGAATCCAACGCTGCTAGCAATTGGGGTTCTATTAATTGAGCTTCACCGAGGACAAACGATTGAGTCTCTCCGGGTGCGGGAAGAAGTGTTTGGGGACGATCTTTATCCTCTCTCAATTTATATAACTGCGCAAAGACTCTTGGGCGAAGTCTTTCAGACAAGTTCCAATTATGGCAGCGCAGTACGTCGCTGCATCGACGGCGAGTTTCAAGAGAAGGAGTTCGATTTGGAGAACGAAGACGGCCGCCATAATGTCTACTGCGGAGTTGTTGCCCTTCTGGAAGAAGACTTGAAAAATTCGTAACCTTTCGATTCAAGCAATGAGTTATAAACTAACTCGGGAAATATGTAAATAACATGTGAATGAGCAAGAAAGAGTACATGGAAAGAGACACCTCCAAGTCATCGGTGATGCCTCCCGCAGAGCCTGGCTCGACGTCGACGCCCTTGGCTCTTCTGATTTGACTGATGTGTGCTTTCGCATCCTCGCGCGTTTTCGGTCTCTCCATGATGTAACCTTGACCTGGAATTGTCAAATGATGTTTTGATTGGTCGGAGCCGGGGTGAATGAGAATCAGGATGTATGAAGCCGTTTAAGAACACAGGAAATATTGGTGGCTTGCGTACCGGTTGCTGCCCAACTTGAAATCAGACTCATTGGCTCGAATGCATATTGAAAATGCCCATACTGCTCAGCTTTAGTCTATACATATGTAACTAGCTGAAAAAGACAATTGGGATGGGGTTCTTCAAGGCTGCGAGGCTGCCCTGCCAAAGTAATTACGACAGTGGTAAGGCGCAGCTCAATCAGGTCCGTTTGATTTACGTATGTATTTCATTGTTCTAGTAATTAATTGACTGAGCCGCACTCCGTACATGTATGTACACTGTTAGCCCAGCGCTGGTAGCTCTACCGCGGGGTTGCTTAACCGCCAACAACAGAACACAATGACCCCAAATTTGAAGTTTTAGAATTCAAAAAAGCGGAATACATTAGATACAAGAAATGAACTTGACAAGGTTCCGAATTATCCTACCTATGGTCGTATGTACTCAGAATTAAGACATAAACTTGGTTTATATTCAGACTGAGTCACTGAGGGCTCGCGTACCGTGATATGATTCCCGTAAGATTAGAACGGTACGGTGAGTTCTAGAAACAGTTCGTCCTTATGTCGATAGACACATAGCGATGTATTAACAACTCATACGTTCTATTGTCTTTATCCCAAGGTAGAGTCCATCCTCTCAGCATATTATTCATTTCTTGGTATGATGATATGACGCTAGGGGTATCAGGCTGCATTTGACCCAGGCCTTCAAGGCCCGTAGACATCTGTAGAGAAACTTACTATGCAAGAACGCCTTGGGCAAAAATGAGACGTACAAGAGAAAAATGCTTGTGGGGTTACGTAGTAGTTTTTTTATGCCCTTTGATTGCGTCGCTACGTGGCAGGCAACGAAGAGGTCTGACAGCAAATCCTGCAGTGCGCCTTATGCAGCTTACAACCAATTAAAAGTAATGCTTGACTATGATCGGTGAGAAAGCAATAAGTTAATGTGACAACTCAAATGGATCGCGAACCGGATCAGTAGAGGCGCAGCAGTCCATGCGTCCCTTGCCTATGGCACAATATAAGGCACATCAGGCAGTGCATGTATACATGCATATACCCCCCAGCCACCATAAGCATCCGGCTATCTCCCACCACGCTCAGCCGGTCCTCTTTTCTTTTCTTAACACAAGTTTCATTGAATAGCTCATCAGCCTCATTTTCTCTCTGCTAGAGTCATTCAAGCCTGGGGTCAACACTTATGGACGACAAATCCCAAAAACGCCAGCTAGGCGAGCAATTACTCCATGAAGCCGCTGAACATGTGGTCAAGAAACCGCGCGTGGGGTCATTTGATACAGGCAGGACCTCCCATTTTTCTGGCCAAGGAATTCAACTTGCAGGCCACGGCGATTTCAACGTTTACAAGGGCAATGTTAACATTGCAACGACTAACGCCGCGCCAACCACTGAGGCAGGAAACTGTCTGCGCGACCTTTTCACAACCGATCCGTCTGATGATAGAACTGCCATGAAGCGCAAAAAAGGAAACCGTGCTACCGGCACCTGCGAATGGATACTCGAGACGGAGGAGCTTACTGCTTGGCTTGGCCAGGGACAGACAAGCAATGTCCTATGGCTCTATGGAAATCCTGGAACAGGAAAATCCACGATGGCTATATTCCTCACTGAACAACTTTCGACAATTTTCTCGGCAACAGAAGGGAAAACGCTTGCCTATTTTTTCTGCGACTCTAGCTTCGATAAACGGAAGACAGCTACGTCAGTCGTTCGAGGACTTCTCCTCCAACTCGTCCAGCAGCACCCGAACCTTATCGACTACATCTTACCAAAGTATAATGAGCGTGGCAAAGACTTGTTCCAATCGTTCGATGCTCTCTGGGCAATATTCATGGCCGTGGCGACAGATCAGAAGACAGGCCAAAAGTACTGCGTTATTGACGCGCTCGATGAATGCGATCAAGAATCGCAAAAAGTCCTATTGCAACAGTTTCAAGAAACCTTTCATAGCCAAGACGCCCCATCAAATGTTCAGATATTTGTTACCAGTCGACCATATTCTGAGATCCGCGAATACCTGGATGAGTTCACAAATAAGGACTTGGCATCATTTTCCCAGGCGAAGAAAGACATCGATCAGTGCATCGAGGAAAGAGTCGCAGATCTTGTTAAGAAAAAACATTACACCGCTAAAGTTAAAGAGCAAGTCAGCAACATCCTCAGAAATAAAGCCGAAAATACTTTCCTTTGGGTTGGCTTAGCATGCGAGGAGCTAAAGGAAGTCCCTTCGAAGGATGCTGTCAAAGTCTTACAGAATATGCCCAAAGGACTTCACTCGCTCTATGAAACACTTCTAAACACAGCTCAAGAGGAGTCTGGAACTGACATACTCCGACATATTCTGAGCTTGGTTGCTGTATGTATGCGGCCACTAAGCGTATTGGAGCTTTCTGAAGCTTGCCAGCTGTATGAAGAAGAAGTGGATATAGAGACCCGGGTTCAGTTTACACGCGATCAAATTGCATCCTGCCGCCTAATGATCATCGTCCAAGATGAAAAGGTGCTCTTACTGCATCAGTCTGTGAAAGACTATTTGGTTGGAACCAATTCTCGCTACTTTATCGATGAACTCGAGGCACATGCAAATATTGTCCATCGATGTGTAAGTCTTCTTATGGAAGAGTTCCATCGCAGAGAACAGTCGAGAATGCACTTTATCTCTTACGCAATCGAAAGATGGCCTGATCACGCGCGCATGGCACAGTTAAAATTCGAAGTTAGAGACTCAGAAGCCGAGTTCTTTCAAGTTAATTCACCGAGTCGGGAGCACTGGCTCAAAGCCTTACTACACGATCGCTTGTGGGATAACGACATCACAGCTCATATGTCCATATTACACATTGCCGGTCGGTGGGGAATTGCTCCCTTGGTAGATTACATTACCGCATGTAATCAGAACTATCCAGAAGAAACTGATGCCAAGAGAATTTCATCTATTGATGTGAATTGTGTTGATTCACACAACGCAACGCCGATCGAAATGGCCGCTAAATGGGGGTCCATAAGCGTCATTTCTAAATTACTTTGCTTAGGCGCAGAGATAAATGAATATGTGGTGGCTGCTGCGGCAAAAAACAATAGAAATGGCGAGGAAGTAATGACATTGCTCCTTGACCAGCGAGGAGACCAAATCACTATTACAGAGTATATTGTTAAGGCTGCAGCAAGAAATTCTAAAACAGAAGTAATGGCACTGCTCTTGGACCGTCGGAGAGACGAGATCACTATTACAAAGAGTATTGTTAAGACTGCAGCAAGGCATTCTAAAAAGGAAGTGATGGCTTTGCTACTTGACCGGGGAGGAGACCAAATCATTATTACAGAGGACATCGCCAAGGCCGCAGCAATAAATTACAACAAGGAAGTGATGGCGCTGCTCTTTGACCGTTGTGGGCACCAGATCACTATTACGAATGATATTGTCAAAGCGGCAGCAGGCAATTACCATAGCAAGGAGGTGATGGCATTACTCCTTGGCCGGTATGGGGATCAGATTGCTATTACAGAAGACATCCTTACAACCGCAGCCACGAACGGGGGGGAAGGCAACAAAATCATGACGCTGCTCTTTGACCAGTGCGGAGACCAAATTATCATTACAGAAGATATCGTTAAAGCTGCAGCTGGAAACCCGAGAAAGGGCAAAGAAATCTTGGCACTGCTTTTTAGACAGTGTAGAGAACAGATTATCATTACAGAAGACGTTCTTAAAGCTGCAGCTGGGAACTGGGAAGAAGCCGAAACAATTATGACGCTGCTCTTTGACCAGTGCGGAGACCAAATTATCATTACAGAAGATATCGTTAAAGTTGCAGCTTCTAACAGGGGAAAGGGTAAGGAAGTAATGGCATTACTCCTTGAACGGTATAAAGATCAGATTGCTATTACAAATAGCATTATTACAAGTGTGGTTCTGAACGAGGAGAATAGTAAGGAAATAATACAGTTACTCCTTGACCAATGTGGAAACCAGATTACTATTACAGAGCTTGATCTTGAAACTGTAGCAGAAAACTCGGGGGGTGGTCAAGGAGTACTGGCGTTACTTCTTGGCCATTGTGAAGGCCAGATTGATATTGTGGAGGATATTGTTATAGCTGCAGCTCGAAACATGGAGAATGGTAAGGAAGTGATGGCAGTACTACTTGACTGGTTTGGAGACGAAATTACTATTACAGAAGATGTTATTAATGCTGCAGTGACAAATGAGAAAAGTGGTAAAGAAGTTATGGCATTACTCCTTGACCGGTGTGGATGCCAGATTGCTATTACAGACGATGTTATTGAAGCTGCAGCAGTATGCGGTCAAACCGAGATGCTTAATCTTTTTTCACAGCGGAATTTTTTTATTTCTGATTGGGATAAATGGCACGACATTTCAAGGTTCTATGACGCAGCACGCAGCGGATACGTTCATATTATTAAACAGCTACTGGATCGAGGAGTGAATCCAGATCTAAAAAATGATCTTGGTCATACGCCGTTGAGTATCGCAGCATGGTATGGTCATGAGGCGGTTGTCAAAGTCCTAGCAGAGAGGATAGACGTGGATATCAACTCGAGGACGGATTTATTCAGGGAAACACCTCTTATGCTGGCAGCCAGTGAGAACTTTGAGCGGACTGTGGCTATTCTATTAGATGCTGGTGCGAATCCAAAGCTTAAGAACCGGCGAGGGCATACGGCATCTACTATAGCCAGAAGGTCTGGTTATGAGAAAATCGTTGACATACTCGAGAAGGCAGAATAGAATATAGCTACGTATCTAATTACTGCTTCAGTTCCTTCGAGCACGAAGCCATGTGAATGCAAATGAGAATCTCAAGACTCCAACAATCACAGACCCCCAACTTGGATAAAATGCTTGATTCCCGGGTTATCCTCTAATTATGGTCGTATAAGCTAGGGTATAACCTTACTCAATCTAGATGGGAGTGTTGAATCGCTAAATTTACATTGTCCAGCGACCTCACACGCACGATCAGATGAGCATGGAACAATTTATATGTCTCTATGATAATATTGGCCACCTTTCCTACCACTGAACATTTTTCACACACCCATTGAATCTCAAGATCTAACAAGTGTATCCATCTTAAGGCATCAAGTCATATGCATGCCGAGAATACCATTTGATACGCGGCCCCAAGTGAAAATTGCGGCGTAGACCTGAATGGACATGGAAATGACTGGTTATTAGTCATTGAACCACAGTTACTAGCCATTTTCTCATGACCCAGGTTTTCACTGATGCTGTGGTGGTTTTGTAATAACCCCCCGAGCATGGGATCTTTCGCAGCTATTTTCGGCTTCAGCCCCATTATACAACTCTCGAGATTCAACATATTAGTATCCCCACATGTGTCTTCATCAAATTTACAATAGTATTGGCTCACTGTTCTCGTATTATTGCCTATAATACTCCCCAGTAAGTAAACATCTTTTTATTATGAGTTGGTATAGCAAAATCCCACAGCTTTTGTCCTCAATAGGCACCCGACCCAATCCTACCTAGGTACTCAGAGGAACCAAGATATAACCTGTTGGACCATTAATTCGTTCCAATCTTCCCATTTACATACCTCGTACTATCTATAGGTAGCTCCTTCCATGTTAGCGTCACTTGGGATTCAGCGTGTTATACAAACTTGTTGCGAAGCTAGAAAACTCGTATATACCCCCATACGCTACTTGCCAGAGAGCGGCCCTTTTTTGCAACAAAACCGAAATGAAGCCAATTGCTAGACCAGCTTAGCAAACAAAATGACACTTTTGTTAAGAGAAGACGGCATACGCATACATCAGGTCTGAATCATGGAATACCTTGAAAATCCCCTAAAGCCAACTTCGTCTCATAATTCCCGATTCAGCTTCAATCATACAAAGATTATACTCCAGAAGAACAGTAAATGGCGTTGAAGCGACAACGCACTATCCCAAAAGAGCTTTGATATGTAGTCCATTTAAGTTTGGAACTATGATCTATGAAGAAGATGTGACGGAAAGAATGGCCATGCCACCGTCTGGTGGTGGCACACATCCCAAGTCATTGCCGAGTCTCATCGAAGTTACGCCAAGATATTGACCATTTACGGCCGCCCATGCGCCAATAAGGTATAGCTTCTGGAAGGCATCTCCGGCTAGGTTTAAAATGTCAAAGGAAACCTGTTCAACCTTCCTTTGGAGAACGGTCGCCTTGCCGTCAATAAGCTTGCCGTCGCCAACCGCCCGCAGACGCTCATCCCAGACTTCTTGTGTCACGTTGTGTCCAAACGTATGGCCCCTTCCAATCCCCCCACGAGCATCTTTTAGCACCAGTTCTTCCTTGCTATTTGGTGAAGAAATCGCTGCATGCCAACCGGCCGAACCTGGGACAAAAGTAGGCGCAATGCTTTCCCTTAATAGCTGAGCTTCCATGGAATCCACTACTCCCGCCTGCAACAGGCTATCAAGTTCTTCGAGCATAATGCCCAAGAAACGCTTGTCATGAAGCAAAAAGATGGATCGTAGATCGTTGACGCAAATACGAGCAATCTCGCGCAACATCTCTGGAGAAAATTCTCGGATCTCAGGCTGTACCATGTCTATGCTAATCTGCCACACTCGCTCCAGTTCTTCGCTATCCTTGACGGCGCACGAAAGATGGTAACCTGTAGGTGAGCTCGAATCTTCTATAAGCCTTAGTTCGGATGGTGAGATTATCCGCATCTCTTGCCCGGTCCTCTGTTTAAAAATGTCAGGGAGCAAATGAATGTCAAATCCTACCCATTGTTTTCCCAGCAGGATGTGGCCAGGATGCGATGAGTCAAAAAGGTTCACAACAGCATCGCCGAAGGCCTACGCATAAAAGTCACAATAAGACGATGTCAAAGCAATCTTTTGGAGTTTAGGAGTTTTCTCCATGCTTACCACAGAATCATGGCCTGTCTTCAGACAAGACTTCTGCAGGCCAGCCCTCTCAAATGGCTCAGTCGCGGCCTCGACATAGAACCAGGAGTTATATGGGAAACGAGCATTGATCTCACAAATAATGGGCTGACATGGGCTCTCAGAAGTGGCCGAGAATAGAAAATCTGGGCGTGAACATCCTTGTCTCCCGGCATATCGTGGCACAATGCCAGACGAGGCGATCCACTGATGCATCTGTTTAGACTGGAGGACAAGAACGACCAAAATATTCTAGATCTCATACCCTGAGCACATCTTCTTCGTGTCTATCCAAGGGCATTCTCGATGGGAAATTCGCTCCTTCGTCCGAGAACCACCTCTCAATGATATTGGTCGTGACTTTTCCCAGTGCTGACTGTATTTGATCGAAGCGCTCCATCAGCGAAGGATGTATGTATGTGTGATATGTTGTTTTAGGTAAGGCAGTGCCTAGAAATGTGAGCATCGGTGGCCCAGTCTGGATATACTCGTTGTCTGCTTTCCTCTGCTCAGGCGATGTGGTGAGCTCTGTGGTTCGCACTGGATGGCCCTGGCGAATACTCTCCAATACATCGACCTGGTAAACCAGGTCGGAGGCTGACAGGGGCAAGTTTGACATGATGAACTGTCTGTAGTAATAGGTCGGCATAGAATGTACTCATTCTGTTTTCTGATTGAGAAGGGAAACAGTGGGATCATTATATAGCCTTTTCTCCTCAATAGATAACAGTGGATCTAAAGAAATACGCATTTCGCCAGTGGGACTAAGACAAAATATGTGACTTATCTCATAACCAGTCTCTTTAGTGCTGAGTAAGATCGGATAGATTGCCGTACAACCGTTACAGAATAAAGGAGCAATTAAGTGACTCACTTCTATCGACTTTACTTTCATGTGAGGCCTTTTGGGCATAGAAAATTCGTGACATGATATACCTACTTACACGTGGATCCCAAAGCTATGTTCGATATCATGGCCATGGCAGCTGAGTGTTGTTGCAGATATCATCACTCAGCCGAACGAGGTTTCCAGTGAATCGCAAATCCAAAACTAGACCAAATAAATAAAAATAAAAATCCTTTAAATTAAAGAGCATTGCTACACAGTCGGCAACTCTTGTTTTTTTATCATTTGGTGTTACCATTACATTACATACATAATTAGATTCCCCCCTCACCGTCTTTTTTCTTTTGGTGGGCGGTTATATGGGGTAAAGCTCGCTGATATCCAAAATGGTGTTGCTATTTCTAAAAGTGGGTAGCCTCAGCTCCAAAACCGCAATCATTAAACTATATGTAATAGCAATATCTTGACAAGAGCCCGAATTTTCCGCTACCCCTAGTCGTATATTCTTGAAACAAGGTGGAATGTTCGTCATGTTTAGTATGGCGGAGCAGAGTTACCCTCCCAGAATAGTAGGCCGCACAGCGATCTATCATCAATACCTAGGTAGGTAGTCCAGAATGAAACCACAAGTATTATGGTTTGCAGCTCTGCAAATAATAGCACGACATTAAAGACTAGGTATGTCAACTATGTCCAAATATAAAAAGAGGAAAATTCGGCACTTGGCTCTTAGCTGGTGATTCCATCTCATCATATAACGAAAGAAATGCTGTATAGTAGCTATATTACCCTATTCAACTCAAGGAAGCACTTCCATAACTTCTGTTCACCGTATATTAGACTCTTCGATAAGCGGCTATATGTGTACTAGAAATATCCTTTATATCAGACATTCAGTCCGCGGCAATAATAGGGTGGAAGACCTCCCATATTATATTACAACCTAATACTTATGGCCATGGTTGTGTATCTTGATAATACCCACCACGTACTTGTTTAACCTATGTGCTTTGAATCAACATCTAAATCTACATCCAATCTAACCTTGGAGAGAGCAATAATGATCTCTAAAACTTAGGGGGTAGCTATTAGCAAGTTGACTCTCTAGCACCCCTGCGTGCGTGGAGTTTCGGCATCGAATCCGGATGCGAAAGAAAGCCGTTTATCTACCGCTAAAAGCATTTACTAAGTACCGTGTACCAAGTTCTTCATCTGTCTGCTGCTATGGCTATATTTCATGTCGTATATGCTACTATAGCTACATTTCTCTAGTATCTGCTATTATAGCTACCTACCCATCCATATACTTTTATTATATATTTCTATAACAGTATCTTTAAAAGAATATAAGCATGCGCTTTTATGAAACCACCCTAACACCTTCACCAATGCGAAGCCCCATTATCGCATAGGCATTTGAATAGGAGCTTTAAACTTGCCTGGCACAGTGTATATCCCGACTATTCACAACCATCCCAGCTACTGATGCTGCTGATACGCTCTCTATAGTTTCCCATTTCGGGCACACTCCTCTTTGAACCTAGTGATTTTGTAACCGGTAGCTTGATAATAGCTTCAAGACCTCTTGTAATCACCAAATCAAGCGGCGACCAGTTATATTCATCCACCAGCTCAAAATAAGCACCATTATCAAGAAGCAGCTGGACAATAACCTCATCGCTTTTCCTAACTGCATGAAAGAACGCCGGCTGACTGTCTTCATCCTTTGACTCAAGATTAGCACCGTTCTCAAGGAGTAGCTTGGCAGTAGCTTCATGGCCGTTTTCAACTGCATAAAAAATCGCCGTCCAGCCGTTTTTGTCTTTTGCCTCGAGATCAGCACCCTTATCAACTTGAAAATGGAATCATAACCACTCTTGGCTGCTAATGAAAGTGCCGTTCGGTCATCTTCGTCCCTTGACTCAAGATCAGCCTCATTCTCAAGAAGCAGCTTAACAATAGCTTCATGGCCGGTCTTGGCTGCTAAGGAAGTTGGCGTCTCCTTGCATTCTGTCAAGGCATTTGGACCAAATTTGTATATCAACTTTTGTGTCAAGTCCCGAAGTCCAAAAAAATGCTGCCAGATGAAGTCCTGTGACCCGACTCGCCCTAAGTGGTTGCATTGCAATTTTCCCATCCATTTCACATAGTTGCCATGCAGCCTCCATTGTTGATTGGTCGCCGAATAAAGTATTGATGTCTAAATTTGGACTGTCTGCATTTCGTGCATGGTGTCCCCATTTCTCAGCTGCGTAGGAATAGAGAGGATTGCGTCGCATTCGCTCCCTAATCGCCTCGTATGTGGGACAGACGCCCAATTTAAATACATCGAATGAGAGGTAAGTAATGCATGTTGATGTAATCTTAGTATGTGCGCCCGGAAACCAATCTTTTGGAGTCCGCTGAAAGTACTCTTGTGTTGTGTAATGGACTAATCGGACAACGTCGCTCTTTTTATCGACGGACCAACCCAGCACATGCGGAGACTATGTCACTAATCTCTGGGATGTTGTCATCATCTATTCCACGACTACCTTTCTCTACAGCCAGTGCTGGCTGAAGCTCAAGTGTGGATAGCTGTCTCATGGCGCATGATACCCACGACAAGGCGTGCAAAGCAAGCTGCTGAAACCCTGCTCCCTCGTTTTTTATTCTCTTCATTGTTTCGCCGTAGGTTTGATTCAAAGCCTCATCACCTTTTGGTAAATTGTCTAAAGCTCTGAGAACTGCCTTTGGTGTAGGTTGATGTTGGAACGAGTCTAGATGGAGTTTTGCAAGAAGAAACCTGTATGGATGTCAGTAGAGGCATTATTAATAGACTTCATGCAACGTACATTCCATCAGTCGAGTTGGCGATTTGGTGTACTATTCTTCTTTGCGAATCGGAACGCTTTAGGATGAAAGATGGTAACCCTGATATATGTTCCTCTAAATATTGTCGAACATCGTCTTCTCTTGTTCGAATATCCAGTAATATGCTTTCGTGGAACTGGTTTCGGATGCCTTGTATATGCCGCGAGGTCGCAAACAAATTTGCTTTTGTCGCATTCTGTAGCGCGAATATCTCAGCCAAGAAATTGGTTCGGTTGTTATCAGCCGCTGGGCACTCATCAAGTGCGTCGACGATTACAAAGACCCTCGTGTACATCCGAGCCACGGACTGTAAAGCTCCGCGAATTTCTTCCAGGGATGGCCGTGTATGTTTGGCTCGATGAAAGTTGTACAAAATTTTTACACCACCTGGTAGGGAATGTTGCCGTGCAGAAAGTTGCTTCAATAAGCTTGCCATTAAATCGTTAACTTGCTGATCGTCAGTGCGCTGGAAGTTGCAGTAGATGTACGCGATTCCAATAGTGATGTCTTGATCAAATCGTGTATATAGATCGTTAATTACGATTGATATGAGAATGGTCTTTCCCGCTCCAGGAATGCCTTGGCAGAATAATGTCTTTCTGCTTGTCTGAAGCCACTCCTCGGATTGTGACGAGTTGAGAAACCACTGACCAGTCTCACGCTGCCGTCTCTGAAAGTAATCACTCTGTTGAAGACCATAATTTACCAGTGTTAGCCATTCGAGGATCCTAATGTCTTCCTCGCTAGTGATTTTAGACTCGATACGTGTGACAGCTTCTCCAGTCGTAGCAAAGTCTTCCAAAACTACATTTAGCGTTAGACGGATTTTTAAGGTCATATGTGTATGACTGAGAGTTGCTATTCATCAATTGGAGCGGTAAAAACTCACATTTCTCAAGAGTTTTAGGTATGGCTTCCAATTCATTGATTTCTTGCGGTCGAATCACTCTCAAGAGGTCCTTCGCATATGCTGCTGCCACAACAGCAGAGTAGGGCTGCCAGATTTTGTTTTTGTGATCATCAGCATAGTCACAAATCCCTCTAATAACTAATAACAATACAAGGGAAGTTATCCATCAGTCCTGCTGCTTCCATCTCAAAGCTTAGAACACCCCAAGCGTCTCGTAGCTCATCTCGACATTTGGCAGACCTTAGGACAGCATTACCAGGGGCAATAAGGCCGTAATGAACTATAGGATCATCCGAATATCGAGAAAGTCTCTCTTCCAACTGTGCAGGATCACAGGCTGAACAATTTGCTTCAGATTCATGATGATAAGTCGCACTGAACAGTTGGTCTTTATCCCGACCCGGAAAGCGATATTGCCTCAAACCGCGAAGCTTTGCCGCTTTCAGAGCCACTTGTTGGATGTAATGTGACATGTGGCCTTCGCCAAAATCGTGTTCGGATTGCAGCAGCTCAATGGCCTTTGACAAAACCTTAGGTGGTTTGTTCAAGTGTGATTCGATGGAGAATTCTCCATCTTTCTTCCATTTTCCATATCGTATTGAAGAACGCCGCCTACATGTTTAAACCGTCAGCTTTAGGTACTTTGGAAAGGCGTTGCTTTTGGTGGCTTGCCATGGTTTCCCTTTGTGACACCAACGACGACGTCTCCGAGCAGATCATTGAATGGATCATCTGGATCCGGTCGATTCGGCGCTCCACCACCCACGCCTACGAGCAAGCCGAATCGAATATTGGGGAAAATGCGAATCATTCGTACAGCAGTCTGTGCGCCAGCATTTGTTCCACAGGTGCCCAATCCGGTGAAAGCAATAGCAACATTATGCCTGCCATCCGACCGAGGAGATAGCTGTTGTCGTCTTTTGCGGCTGAGGGAAGCTGTTCATGTTGCTCATCTAACAAAGCCTTTGCCGCGTTGAGCTCACATTGAAGCACGCAGATCCACCCAACAGTATATGCGTCATGGGATAACCGCTTCTTCTCGCTGACTCCAAATGGCGTTGGTTCTTCAGGTAGTCCAATGTGGGACATTGTTCAGCCAGCCGACGCCAATGCCTAGCTGGAGTGGGAATAACAACAGCGCTGAAGAGATGAAGACAGATATGGACCAAGTACTGGATTTGGTGGTACATCAGCAAAGTTTGACGGTCTTTACCTGTGTCTAGCTACTAATTGGATGGTGATACGATGTTGCTTGGCAATAGCTTGCTGTTGAGAGCATAGAATCCCTCATGTTCCGCATCTAGGCAGCAGAAAACGGGTCAGCTTATAATGGTCATGATGCTGCTTGATCGGTGTAGTTGCTACATGCTCGTCTTCTGCGTTGTTCTTCCACGTTTCCTCGGTGGGCAATTCTTATTGTATATTAGCTGGCCCTGTGAGATCTTTTCTTTTATAGATGAGATATGATGATTATGTGGCTGGTTTTTCTTTTGTATTTTTTTTTTTTTTTGGTTTGGTTTGGTTTGGTTGGCTGCAAGCTAAAAATACGACCCATTCATTGTCAAAGTTAAAGCCCCAGCGTATGGTTGCATGCGCCTGGTCATAGAAGGAACAACATTGAAAGACTTTGTACGTTGAATATACCTACACACTGAATCTGAATCAAAAATTCAGATGGTACAGGAGCCAGTATTCGCTGCAGACACTCCATAAATCTTCGTAGTCATTAAGATTACCATGTATAATAACCTACCTTTGATGGAGGCCTACTAGCCCAGAGCCCATGACTTGAAAGCGCGTTACACCTGATGTACTGGCGAGTAAATGTATATTGGACGCGTGTAGCAGCCAGGCGTGGGCCATAAATGCAATTCAAATTCTATTTCTTTAAGATATTTCCACATGTTAGGTACACGTAAGTTTATAGCATCTCGATTATGGGGCTTGCGATAAGCTCTGTGGCGCTCACTTAAGCTTGCTACACCACATAACTTTTCACTCCGACATGGAGAGGAGATACGCAGACGGGTATTTAACCCGACCCTTTTCCTATCATTCCGCGCAACTGATGATCAAGTTCTATTCCTCTTCATAATTATCACACACGTTCACATCGTGTACTCTCCAACTCATATTCTTACATCGCTCCATTACCAAACTATCACCGCTTTTGGTCTATCATACGATGTCCTCGACATCGTTTAGCAGCAGACAATGGGATTCAACCTGGGACGGCTTGCCTAGAGAAATTCGACTTCTCATCTTCGAAGCCTTGGTGCAAGACGGCTGTAGATTGAGTCGCTTGGCCACAGTGTCCAGAGAGTGGCAGACCGAGCTCGAGCGACATAACTTTGGTCGAATCAAGCTAACACCATCGCGCCTCGCTGACTTCAGTTCAATGATTCATCGCAATCGGGTCTTTGTTACCTATATTTGGTTCTGCTTGGAACTTGATGAATATGACTGCGCCAAGTGCTATCCAGACAGTGCAGGCCCGGAGTTTGAAGAAGCATTCGCTGTCAGTGACACAGTTCACTGTCCTATTACCACGTCATTCCATACCCTCTTCTCCATTCTCAGCACATGGGATCTTACCACCAATTTGATACTCGATATTAGTATCTATTCGCCTAGTGACTCAGAACATTGGTTTAAGTATCTGACCTTTATGCCCGATACTGCTCTAGATACATTAGACTGTCGGCGTAACATACAGCATATGGTATTTAAAAAACTAGTCCATCATGACCCTCCACATGGATGGGTTCGGGGTTCTTCATACTACCCTCCACCTCGAAGAATGCTTCTTAACGGTTTTTCTTCAATCATGGAAGAAGGACCGTTTAGTAGTCATCGGTCAGAGCTACAATGGTGGGATCGGCTTCCATCGGTCCCTGTGGTAACCACTCTACTTCTGCGGCAACAGAACCGCCGCAGATGGAAGCCAAAATCGCTTGCACATATGTTTGCCCGTTTTCCTAGACTTCAAGAAGTCCACTATGAACCCTGGAGAGAATGGAACTTTAAACAGGGGCTTACAGACAGAGGTGAGTGTGGCTACATACCTGCCCGAGTTACTGCTCGATGCCATCTGGCTATGCACTCGATTGCTAATAATCTGCATCTTTTATTCAGAGTATCCATATCTTTTTGAGTCTATCCAACGTTTCAACGGCAATCTTAAGAGACTTGTGGTTTTCGAGAATTTTAATCAACAGTATTCAAGGTATATGCAGCGAATTCAGTTCGGGGTTGGAGTATCTGGATGCGACATTATTCGTGAACCAGCCCCTGCTGTCAGCCGGATAGTCGCACTCACCAGCCGCAAGCTTGAGCATCTCGCAGCATCATTTATCGTAGATGCTAGCCACTTCTTCAACATCGAACCCTCTTGGGAGTGGCCAAACCTGACTTCACTTGTGCTGACTTCAAAGTTACTTGCACCAGACGAAAGTCCAATCGAAATTGGAGCTATGCTTCGAGCCGCGGCGGCAGTGGCTACAAAAATGCCACAGCTGAAGACAATGGAGATTTGGAACGGACGAAAGGGCATCGCGGCGCTCTTCAAGTACCAGGTGTCCCACCATATACAGCAGGCTAGAATTGTTTGGAGAGGCACCTGGAAATTGGTCATGGAACCGTCTGTAATCCGGGCTTGGGAAGCTGTCGTACAACAGCACCATAGCTGGAGACTTGATTTTACTGAGGAGCTACTAGATGGAGCTGCTATCAAATCCCATGGTGACGCAATTCGCTACCTTATGCTTTCAGGTCAGGTCATTCGGCCTATCTCGTTGCAGCAGATCCGGATAGAGCAAAGAGCCTTGGGTAATGTAATGACAATGGGATAGTGATTGAAGAATGGACAGAGATATGAAGCGCAATTGCATATATGGGAAATACAAGCCAGCACCCCCAAGTGTGGCATCCAGCATTTCATAGCTCAAACTTAAAGCCGCATAGGTCGCGAGTTATAGTACCAGAATCAAAGATGTATAGCTATAGTAGCAGACACTAGAATCAAGTATCTATAGTAGTTGAAAGTAGCGACGGTAGCAGATACTTCACAAAGCCGAGTATCTACTATCTGTTAAGTAAAGGGTTTCCCTTCTCATGCTGTTCCCACACTTGAATCTTGGGCACTCACTGGAGTACCGAATAGTAGACTTGGGAGGGCTGAATAGCTACTCGGTAGTTATGAGGACATATTACTGCGTCAGTCGTATCGTTATGCCTTTAACTCTTGCCTGATATCTGTTCCAAACATCACACCAGAGACCTTTCTAGCTACGTTACACGTCTTTGATGATCTCAATTACGGCTTTGTGCACTATCCTTGCAACACGCAATCAATGCATCAGTTGCATATTGCTGGTGAAGGATGGAATCGTCCCATTTCACATTGTAAGTGTTTTCCTCTCGGGAAGATGGAAATAGTTTGGGCGTGATACCTTGCTTTACACCTGTTAGATGTCAATATTTACACCTCGGGTATGTCCTCCAGAAATTACCGAGATTCAAGATATCTGTGCTTCTTATCGCGAAAGACTGAATATTCTCGTCAAGGTTTATCCAGTTGAAAACATCCACTGCAAATGTCTCATTTGGGAAATCCGCATTGTCGGAAGGTTACCCTCCGTCACCAGCACGCTGCCCTCGATCACTAATCCATTCCTGGTCGTATAGGCCCGAGTGTCCAAGGCGCCATTGGAAACGATCAGTCGCAATATTCGCGATGGATGAGCCCTGTCACGAAGCAGGTGACCAAAAGTATGGGCGATAAAAGGGCCGAGATGAACTTCTTCGAGTGCCGACATATTCACATGCCCAACGATGTAGACCTTCGCTAACGGCATCGCTTGTTTGGGATATCTTGCGGACGATCATAATATACTGCACAGGCTAAAACCAACGACCGTAATGCAGAGCTCTTATAGCAGTTTGGGCTGCCAGTAAGTTGGCACGGTAGTTGAAGATATCCTCCAGTGATAACGGAGACTAGTATGGCCCAATTTAACAGCTAAACTGAGGCTATAAAACCCGTATTAGCCAAATTTTTAAGCTTATATGATTAGCCGTGGTTAAATGGTTCGTGTGCAAATGCTACCTCCGCATGTTTTACAAGGTAACATTTTCTCCGCTTGTCATATAACACGGTATCTCCGCCTCTCACATAACACGGCATTGACTCTGCCTAGTATACAACACCGTATTGTCTCTAACGGCCATACGAGGTAGCATTACCTCCGCATAGCATACAGAATGACACATTCAAATTCTCCGTCACCGGTTAATTATCTATTTTAGAAACAGCATGAAACTTGTGTAGATCATTGCTTAATTCCACCAATCGTAGATTCTAGACTCTCTACGCAGTATTCCCACAAGTATATAAGAAGTCGACGTTGCTGGTTATCAATCAGATAAGTCGGTTGCTCCCAACAAGGTTGAGACCAGAATCCAAACCACATCAGCATGAAGTCTTCTGTTGTCGCAGCTCTTGGCTGCCTTGCCGGCAGTGCCCTCGGTCATGGGCAGATCCAAAACTTCACCCTCAACGGCGCGTACAACCAGGGCTTTATCCGTATGTCTCCGTTCTTCTTGTAGTTTCCAACCAGCTTCATAAGATATGTCTAACATTTGTACTCAAACAGTCGATTACTACTATCAAAAGGTCAACACTGGCCACTTCCCCAACGTTGCAGGCTGGTATGTTACAAGCCCAAGACCTCTGCTTCTTCCCCGTGAGTGGATTGCTTATAAGGACGGTATAGGTATGCCGAGGACTTGGATCTGGGCTTCATCTCCCCTGACGCCTACACCACGCCCGACATCATCTGCCACAAGAACTCAGCGCCTGGTGCAGCCACTGCCACCGCCGCAGCTGGCTCCACCATTGTCTTTTCATGGGGCCCTGGCGCATGGCCACACCCGTATGGTCCCATTCTCACATACGTTGCTCAGTGCAGCGGATCGTGCACGACCGTGGACAAGACATCGCTCCGCTGGGTCAAGATCCAGGAGTCAGGCATCAACTACAACACCCAAGTCTGGGCACAGCAGGATCTTATCAACCAAGGCAGCAAGTGGACCGTAAAGATCCCAGCAAGTCTCAAGCCTGGAAACTATGTCTTCCGAAATGAGATTCTCGCGTATGTTGTCCCCTTCTTGTTACGCCTCGCCCGAGGCTGATGGTATTAAACTAACTTGAACGATTTCAGCGCCCATGGTGCCTCGAGCCAGAATGGCATGCAGAACTACCCGCAGTGCGTCAATATTGTCGTCACTGGGTCGGGCACCAAGTCGCTTCCTGCCGGAACCCCAGCAACTTCACTGTACAAGCCCACCGACCCCGGCATCTTGTTCAACCCTTACCAGACAATCACCAACTACACAATCCCTGGCCCAGCCCTGTGGCAAGGCTAAACTTGGGGAACACAGAGTGAGTGCATGTAGCGAGGTCTCTGGTGCGGAAAGGGAGACGCGGGGTACATAGGCAGATGGTGCTGGATTGAGTGTATACACAGGTATCTTTAGCGATTGAACTGTGTAGAAAGCTCAAGGAATCCAAAGTATGAATATAAATATTTTACTCATGATATGGTGCGCTGTAATGATAAATGCTTGTTGAAACACATTCCTGCTTGGATACCTCTGCAGAGTGCAGTAATGACATTGTCCAGTATTGTCTTGTTTGCGATCAATAACCATGGGCGGGGCCTGTGTAAAACATCTACGAGTATTCAAGAACACACACAGACTTACTGAGCAATCAAGTTGAATCCGCATCCACAAGTCCACTTATGGATGGTTTAGGCTAGAATAAGCCAAATCTGATTATCAACATAAAGGCGCTTATGCACTGCATCTCTCCAATAAGATCAACTTGTGCTGTACAAACCACCTTTTGGCGGCGCTTAGACACCCATGTCCGATTGTGGGGCCGAACCCCCACTCCGGCGCACTCGGGGTCAGAACCAACAACGGCCACTTCCGGACATCTTCACTCCGGAACCCGGAAAACGTCAACTTCTGGACATTGTCGACTTCTGCACGTGAGAGGTTTTCCGTCAGGTGCGGGGAAGGGGGTTTGAGGGAATATTTAACGCGCACAACTTTCCGACCTGAAGCTCTCCCCAACTCTTCCCAAACATCATCACCACTGCACTCATCCGTCTCTACCATTTGGTCCTTTTTTTTTTTTTTTTTTTTTTTTTTTTGGCTCGTCTTTGCGAAATCTCTTGATCATTGAAGCCTATTGCCCACCACCACAACATCCCCAACTCGCAACCCACAAAATTGCACACAACAGACATAATCATCATGATCTCAGACCTTTTTGCGCAGTTGGCAAGCGCCAACAACCTTCACATGGAGCTTCAAAATATGCTCTTTCTACTTGTCGCAGTCTTCCTCGCTCTCAATATACCTCAGCGATTCCAAGCTGGCTTTATGGGGTTCTTCTCAGAACTTTTTGAGCAATTGGAGCGCTTCAACAGCCTTCGGGTCGAGCTTCAAAATACTCTTGTTTACGCTACCTATGTTGTAACCTTTGTCGCTCCCGTGGCTCCAAAACACTACCAGACATCCATGATGAGCATGCTCTCAAACCTTGCTTCGCCATTGGGCCGCCTCGGCAGCCTCGGCCTCGATCTTCGCGATAGTTTCTGTACTTTTCTTATACCCGACCTCGCTCTCCAGCTGCTGTATATACTCCAGCACACGCGGAAACTCCGTCTTCCATGAGCCTCCTTCCCATTCGCCCATGGAGTCGAAGCTTCCTTGGGCGGCGAAGAGCGGGAAGCTGAGGATGATGTCAGCCGGAGTGAGATGGTCGCAGCAGATGTAGCGACCGCCGGAGGTTCGGAGTTGTTGATCAAGGAACTTGATGTGCTTGTAGATGTTGGGGAAGATGTAGCTTGCGAAGATGCGGTTGGCGACGGCGGTGGTGACTGGGCGGATGAAGAATGGGATCGGGGGTTGTTTGAGTTCTAGAAAGCGATGCATGAGCGTCAGCGTCGAGTTATTGGGGGAAGCGGTTCATCTTCTTGTCATTCTTTCTTTCGCTTTGTCTTTTTTTCTTTTTCTCTTCTTCCTCCGTCTTCTCTTCAGAGAGGGGCTATACGCACTTCCAATCACCAGGCTGAGCACCAGATACGGCATGAAGCTGCCTTCGCTATAGTGCAAAAAGTACTGGTTGCGCAACCAGGCCTCAGTCTCACCACCGATCTTGCCCTCCATGCCCTCTTTCCATTTCTGCGGCACGAGCCGGCGGCCCTCTGGGAAATGCTCGCAAAGATACTGCGCCAAGTGGCCGCTCTCCGCAAGGACAATTGGCTCGGCGCCCTCACCAGGAGGCGTGATGACGACGACGGGGGATTTGCCCAGGGGATGCACTTGTTCGAGCTCTGGGGGTGCGAAAGAGGTTTCCTTGTTGCGGTGGTGCAGCTTGACGTCGAACTTGATCTTGAGCTCTTCAAGCAGCCAAAGCAAGCTTTGAGATCGGGATTGATTGAGCCTGTATCAATTGGATGAGCTGAGGTTGCTGAAAGTTGGGGGAGAATCAGGTGTCGGAGATGCAAGCGGTCAGCTTCGTGTTTGTATGACATACCAGTGAAGGGTGACTTGGGGTTGCTCCTCATCAGTAGCCATGGTGAATTGAATAGCGCAATGAGCGATGGTAGATTTAGAATGAAATTCTGTTCTGATTGAATGAGAAGGCGATGTGTGTGAATTGTTGTAGTTAATTAAGTGAATGAAATCAAAAACAGTCGATGACGGTGTTTTAAATGAAATCAGACATCAGGGTCCCATCAACGTCATAGCGACAACGTTGTTTTTAAAGGGAAAAAAACTAACAATAAGCAGCCTCGGCGCAAATTTCCCAAAAGCGCCACTAGAAAACCGGGGATCATGTCATTGCTCCCGCAGATTCAGAACTCAAAACAGACAGCCAAAGATCCAGGAACAGGCGTAAGTGGGCTTAGTGTCGGAGCTCAGGCTTTCTTTTCGGCATGGGGGGTTTTGTGCCTCGGCCGGATGTTTGCGCCTTTGTAAGCTGGCTTACTGTGCATCAGACGTTCACATTGAGCGGTTGCGGCGATAGATTAGTATCTGTAGGATAGATTAGTAGGTAGCAACTCTTTCATGATTCAAATGTCGCCGGTGGCAATCGTGCAATTGAGTGCAACGTCCCTCGTGATGAGTATATCGTGATGAGTATACACGCCTTGGCGTCAAAAGTGTTTTGTCCGAGTTGCTCCGTCCCCATTACCAAGGGCGTGGAAGCTTCTGGGACAGTTCTGTTTCCGCAATATTCTTAATCTCTCTCAAAGGTTCAATTCCTGTATCACGGTTCCCGTCTCGCCAGCAGAGCTATCGTTTAATGGCATTTGTAACCCTTACTTGAAGACTTAATCACTGAAGAAAAAAGGCCCTGTTCAGATCCACTTCAACCTTCACCCAGCAGGAAGCCTATATTGCCACTTTCAATAATAATAATAATAATATTGATACTCTAGATAGCTAACTAAGTGCCACTTTCAATACAATACAAAGCCTCTTATCAACATAATTGCCATCATTGTCCTTCAAAATCTCTTCACAAGTAAAGTGCGCAGCCCGGCGATCAACTTTTGGTGGAAAAGCATGCGCCACCTGGCACTTCATTTTCCCGCCACATCATTGGCCGCTCACCTCCGTCAAGCCACAATCTCCGAAAATGTTCCGCCACATCAACTCAATCCAAACCCCAGCAATGAATTCTCACATGCTCAAAACTCCGGCTATATAACCTTCACCCTGTCCGCTCCCCTCGAGCCATTGAGCTCTGCGCCATGCACGCACCAAGGACCATCTGCTCAAGATGTGCCTCGCAGATCCGCTCAGTTCAGGCTCGCTCTCTCGGCGGCGCGGCGCTGTTTGCGTCCATGGGTGATGCCTCAAATGCATCATCAAACACATCGTCGAATGTCTCATCCAGTATAACAAGGGACGGGGCTGGAGAGGCAGCTGGACGGCAGCTTTACAGCAATGGGCGAGGAGCTCCAAAAAGGAGCCAGCGAAGACCTTTCAACGGACCGTCAAGCTTCACAAAGAGGGGACCGCTGCGGCCCTCGGAAGACTCTGCCATTGCGCTCTTCAATGATGTCGTCAGTCCAGAGGCCAAGAGGGCGGCATCGCAGTCGTCTCCCCTTGGTGAGCTGGAGATTGCGGCCAAGATTAAGGATCTGTCTGCCAAACAGATGGACGTTGTTGAGAAGCTGCAAGTCTTCCAGACAACCATCGAGCCGCACCTCAACGAGTTCCGCGGACAAATGCCTAAGCATTTACTCCTCTCATCGACTCTATTTCTCGACAAGATGTGCGAAGAGATTGTCGAACACGGCTACACCGGCCACGGCGTCGATCTATCCCTGCTCTACAGCATCGTGAGAAAGACTGATCTCGACGTAAGGAATCAGCTCGTTCTCAACGTCTGCCACGCCCTCATTTTCGATAAGAGAGATTCTGCGGGTCGCAGCGCCTTGCTGGACGAACTCACTGGCCTGTGGCAGCACATTTCCCAACTTCGCCGCAAGAGCCAAGACCCTCGACAGTTGAGATTTGCCTTTCCCTCGTTTCAAGATGTCCGACAAGACGTTGCCGAGGGCAAAGCGACTAACCCTCACACGGATCCCACGACAAGGGCACTGGCTGCCATCTTCCTACAATTCAGCCGGGACGAGGCCCGCGACATCTTGCCGGCACTCTTGACCACTCTTGCCGTTCTCTCAGATCAGCGACTCGTCAAGAGTGGGACAAACATCGTCATGGACCCCTTGGTGAAGCTGGTAGCCGTGGCCCTCGGCAACCAGGAAGATGCGACACAATCCTACGTCTCTGGAATCTTTGACGACCGTGTGCGATACCCCTCGGCGAGACTCACAGAGATTCAAACCTACGTAGTCCAGCAGTGGCCGCACGCAACTGAACTGATACACAAACGGTCAGGCTCCTCGTCCGGTTTCACCGCTCTCCACCGCCAGCTTCGATCAGCATACCTGGCCCGCGATTATGGCACCGTATACGCCATCTGGGAAGACTTCAAGAGTCGCCTGGATCAGAAACCGGAGCTCGCCAAGCAGTTGCACAGCAATGCCGAATTGCTGGACTTTTGGGTCTTTATATGGTGCGCGAGCCGTCGTGCCAGGCCTCTGCAGGAAACGTTTGACCTCATGCAGCGGCTGCGGATACATCCGACCCTCAAAACTTACACGGGCATGATGCACGGGTGGAAGATTTGCAAGGACACGGATCGGATCGACGCGCTCTGGAAGAAGCTGGCGAGCTCTGGCCAGAAGCTCGACGCCCACATCTGGACGGAACGCATCTCCAGCCTGATCGAGGCGGGCAAACCCCAAGCCGGTCTCGAAGCGCTCGCAGAGATGCTTGCGCTGTGGAAGCAGGCAGTCCAGAAGAACGCCACCCACACAGCCGTACAACCCACGATTGAGGCCGTCAATGCTGCCTTCAAAGGCATCATCCAGGTCGACCGCAAGGCCGCCTTTGAGGTGCTCGAGTGGGCAAGCCGCGAGCAGATCCAGCCCAACATCCGGACATACAACATCCTCATCCGCCATAGCTTCCGAGACGACTCCCCCGACGAGGTTCAGACGCTGCTCAAGGTCATGTCGCAGCACGGCATCGAGCCAGATGCAGCCACCTTCACCATCATCCTAGAGGAAGTCATCGGCAGAATGGGCACCGCCTCAGCCGCCGACCAAGTCGAAGCCGTGCACCTCGTCTTCCAGGACATCCAAAGCGCCGGGCTCCGTCCCAACCTCGAAACATACGGCAAAATGCTCTACGCCGTATCATCCCTCGCCAACGGCACCGACGAGGCCATCGCCGCGGTGCTGTCACACATGCGCGCCGACGACTTCAAGGTCACGCCGCACATGGTCACCATCCTCATCGAGCGCGCCCTGCACCGCGACCCGCCCGACATGACGGCCATTGACGCCCTGCTCCTCGAGCACGGCTTCTCAAACATTAGCCAGGGCGACCAGACCCTGTGGGAGCGCGTCATGAGCGCAAACGCCATCACCGGCAACACGGAGCGCGCAATGGCCGTCTTCAACGACTTGCATAGGGCCGGACGGCCAGTCACTTCGTTGCCGTGCCTGGCGGACCTGCTGTGGGCGCTTCTGTCGGGCGACAAGCGTGATGAGGCGCGGCATGTGGTGGATGTGGTGCTGGATTATAAGACGAGGGATGGGAACAGCGACGTCAAGGATGGGCGGTACTGGAGGCATTCTTTCTGGTTTTTGGCTGATGAGGGGGGCTTCCTCGAGGGGAGGGATGTGCCGGACGTGCTAAAGGCGAGTCTGCGCGGGTGAAGGCCATAAGAGATATTATCTAGGAGACTCATAGACTTACTGTATAGTACGTGGTTCATCATACAATGTAAAGTATCAATGACGACAACATTCACATGTCAATACACACTCATAACTGTCTCTTGTGTATCTCTGTTTGGGTATTCTTTATTCTTCTTCTTTCTCACAACAACCTACGTCGTATCCATATCATCCCCCCCTCCACCATCCCTCCCCCCCAACATCGCCGCCACCTTCTCCAGCCCTTCCACCTCACCTTTACTCAACCCCCTCCCCTCACCCTGCCACTCCCCATCACGAACCTCTCCCTCCGGCCCCAACTCCAACCCAACCACCGTCTCAAGATACTTCCTCGACGACGTCTCAATATACTCCGCGCGCTCCCTTCTCCACGACGGCGCCGCCGCCGCGGCAGCATCCGTGCCAGAATCATCCCCAAGACCAGGCAACAACTCCCTCAACGACCCGGACAAAGCCCGCAGCGCCTGCAGCTGCGAAAGCGTAAACTCCGTCGTCGTCGTAATCGGCTGCTGCCCACCGCTCTCTTCAAGCCCGCCTCTATCGCGCAAGAAGGTGAACGGATGAGCCGCCGCCGCACTACCACCACTCTCTCCATTCGTCTCTTCCGTCTTGGTGGTATCAGGGACGACGCCCAGTAGGGACCGCAGGGTTTTGAGAAGAGCGTCGTTGCGGGCTTTTTCAGCTTCCAAGACGGCGTTTAGCTTCTGACTTGCTTGAAGCCGTCTGCGGAGGGCGTTGATTGATTCTGGAGAAGGCTTATCGATTTGTTGCGCCGCAGCGGCATCTTCATCGGGGAAATCGAGGCCGCTGTAATGTGAGAGACGCATGTATGGCTGGTCTTGCGGTCTGACTGTGATAATATTCTGCATAACGTAGAGTTCGAAAATGTCAAAGTTCTTGTCAATGGAGGCGTTGAGCAGTGTTTCCAGCTGGTGTGTGCCGTTTTCGATTTCGAGTTTTGCGGCTTCTTCGGGAGAAAGGTTGGGGTTCTGGTCAGGGTTCTTGCTGCTTTTTGAAAAGCCGAGTTTCTTGGGGGGTATAGAGAGGAGGAGGCGTTCAACAGAGTCGAGAGCACGGTCGGCGAGGACGTTGACGGTGTTGATGATGTCGTCGAGGAGGGACTGCGGGGGGGGAATATGTCAGCTTGTTGTTGTGATTTCTTGAGATGGAAGAATTGTGAGGCGTACGACGGGGGGGTAGCTAAAGTGCTCTGTGAGGAGCTCGTAGTCGGAGTTGCTGGCAGCCATGGCGGGCTGAGGTGGACGAGGCTGATGAAGATGGTGATGCTTAGACGAGGCTGTGACGCGACACGGCGCGTTGGTATACAGAGTTGAGCTTTGTCCGAGTCGTTGCCGATGTCGATTATTAATTGTTCAGCGGTGTGATTGATCCAATGAGTCCAAGTTTGTCTCAAGATTGCGCAATCCAGCGCAACAACCAACCATTCATCAATTCATTCCCATTCTTTGTCTTCGTCTTCGTCTTCAATTCGTCATTGTAAAATCCACAAACAAAGTAATTCAATCAAAGGTCCCAAAGTGGGGCTCCAGTGACAGCTCCTTCGGTACGTACCGATCCCCCACTTCTCTCAGCTCTTATCAATCATGTTCCAAGGCGGTCTCGCCGATCATGTCCAATTATCGACAATCCACACACAATCCGACTCTCCCAACACTCTCATATACAACTCTCCTATACATAGATTCTTCATTCTTTTCTTCATTGCTTCATTCCTTCATATACGGATCGCGCGGATACGCCGCTCTTCTCGCCCAGCATGTCGAAATACGCCGAAATGGCCAAGGGCAAATTGTCCTCGGGCCGCGAAAAGGCCTCCGAGTACAAAGGCAAGGCCAAGGGCAAAGTCGTACGTCGTCGCATCGCATCGCATCGCATCGCATCTCCAGCGTCTCACAAAATGCTACTCTATATATTTAGCATGATACACCAGACAGACACGAGCTAACATATACATCTTCTTCTTCTGCTACAGACAAAGCACATCCCCGGCCGAGGCCACAAAGAGGAAAACGATGCTCCCTCCCACGTCGCCCGCCCCTTGGCCTCCCTCCGCGACCCAAACTCCTTTGCTCCTCCGCCCAAGCGCACCGGGTCCGGCCTTGCGCCTCCACCGCCTCCCTCCACAGCCAAACGATCCGTCGTCGCGGCGCCGTCCAAGTATCAAGATCCGCATGGGCCGAGGGTCGAGCCGCCGCCTAGATTCGCCGACGAGCACCAATTGGAAGCGTACGAGGCAGACCAGGAAGCCCAACCGGCATCATCCGGACCCTACAGAGTCAACACCACGGGGCTCACGACAGATCATCTCCCGCCTCCCCCCGTGAGGAGAGACGCCGCGGGCAGTCGGAGTCCGCCTTCGTATGATTCAGTCGTCGGCGCAGCCCCCGGCGACACCAAAGCCCCGAGTCTTCCCCCGAGGCTGCCTCCGCGATCAGGGTCCGGAACGCCGGATCGAACGGCCAGTCCGCTATCAACACTCGGGGTCAGCTCCGGTAGCCTGAACCAGGGCGCCATCAACAGATTGGGCGCAGCCGGCATCTCTGTGCCCGCCTTTGGCATTGGATCGTCTTCTCCCAGCCATGCTGACGACGAGGCACCTCCCCCGAAGCCTCCCCGGCCAAACGCCACCCCGCCATCACACCTCAATGAGCTGCAGAATCGCTTTGCAAGACTGGGAACTTCACACACGGGCTCTTCTACGGGACCTCCAACTCCTCCGACCGAGGCTGCTGCCGTTGCCGCCGTTGCTGCTGCTGCTGCGCCGGCTGCCGCTACGTGGGCACAGAAGCAAGCTGCTATCAAGCCGGCAGCACCATCCCCGTCGCCAACAGGATTGCCGGGCCTTGCAGGAAAGAAAAAGCCTCCTCCTCCCCCTCCCAAGAAGAAGCCTGGTCTAGCTGCCGCAGCTCCTTCTCCTGGCGACGGGGGCCCACCACCCCCTATCCCCTTGTCAACTCGTCCATCATTCTAGTCGGCCTCTCTCTTCCGTCTGTCAGAAAGAAATTGTCTGCTGTACATTTCACTAATGGAAGCAATGGCGTCTTGTTGCGTTTTGCGTTTTGCATTACACATTTTCGTATATTGCATGTCCTCTTGTCTGTCTCGCCTGGCGTTGGGAAATCATGGATTGAATAGCCGTTGCCCAGAATACTTTGCAAGGGGATTTTCGGAATCTCAATTTTCATAGAATAAAAGCACCAGAAAAACAAAACATAATTTGGATCAGCAACTTTTTTTTTGTCTTGTTTAAATCGTCTGCCGCTTGTTTCTCCAGCTATGAGGCTTTTAGGGATATATGCCATGCGCCGAGTAAAACGCAAAAATGGGACTCGTAACTTGTGTTCCTCCACTCCGTCTCTCTCCAATGTATCTTCCCCCTGTTTTATGAAAAAAAGATCTTGGCCCTCACATTCTGGAGAGCCCAAGGCTCCGGACAATGGACACAAAAAGCACTTAGACCTTCATCTCGGTGAGACCGTGCTTCCAGACGATGACATAGGGGGTGACACCATCCTCACGGTAGTTGAGGAGGACGATCCTATAGTGATATGAGTCAGTTTCAGTCTCGTTAGACTAATACAGAGGATTACACAAGTTTTGACTTACATTCCGTCGGGGTTCATGGACTCGCCAGTGTAGAACTCAAGGTCCTTGAAGTTGGGCAGCAGCTTCTCCTTGACGTAGGTCTGGGCACCCTTCTCGAAAGCGGTGATCTCCTCGGCGGGAGCACCCTTAGCCTGGAGGCCGGCCTTGACAGCCTTCATGTAGCCTGTTGACGGAGTCGTGTTAGCAGGATTATACCTCTGAGAATCAGGACGAGTACACGCGTAATGAGCATGCCACGGAGGGGGAAAACTAACCCTTCAGGTAGGTCAGGTAACCCTTCTTGTCGAAGCTGGTGGACTGGAGACGGAAAGAGTGGACGATGTTGTTGACCTTGACCTCGGCATCCTCAAGACCCTCCTCGGCCTCCTCGGCGGAAGCGTTGGCACCAGTGTCTATAATAGAATGTTTGTTAGATATGAGCCTGTATAGTACCAATGATTGGCTTCGCTATTGCGCATTTCAACCATCTTTTGTGTTCAGGCGCTGATGCGGCACAGGAGAGACAAAAGACGGAAGAAAACTGAGCTGCAAGCCGGACGGGGTTCTGTTTCTGTACGCACCGACGGTGACGGCGCCCTCGGTAATCATGGCGCAGTCGGCCTCGTAGACGATGCCATCGACCTCCTTGAGGTCATACGAGTCCGAGATGATCTCGTCGTCGGTGATGAGGTCCTGTTCAAAGATTTGCGGGGTCAGTTTTGGCCGTTTTTCTTGTTTTTCTTTCGCATCTCCCAATGGCGAGACAAACGCTGGAGATGGGCAACAAAATGCAGAGCAAAGAGACCAACCTTGTAGATAAGCATGGCGGCGGTTGTGAATGGACGGAGATTAAATGAAGGGAGGATTTTTGGGGGTATCAGCAAAAGGGAAAAAAGAAGAAGAAGCAAAAGAAAAAGGTGAGATGGAGGGGTTATTAGCGAGGAAAGAGGCAGGTTGGCGATGGGTGAAAATCAAAGTGGGAAGACGCGGATGTGATTGGCCGGAGCATCGTTTTCGGTGGGGAGGGGCTTTCGAGCGTCCAAGCAGAGGGGCGGATTCTTACACCAACTTTGCACGCCCCGCATTTGGAAAAAAAAAATTGAAACTGTACTGTAGAAGCTGTTAGCGTGGGAGGTGGCACTGCTGGAGTCGATTAGATCTGGCTGGATGTTGTGAGGTATTCCTGGAGTACTTTTGATGAGCCGGTTTGTTGATGGGGCGCGTTGATGCTAATGAACATTGACAGAGATATACCTAGCTTGACTTTTAAGATACTTGGTGAGCTGGGGTGCGAATACGACAAAGTTGAGAATGGTGGTGATGTCTACAAGGCCACAGACAGATGAGCAAAGGACCTCGACATATAGGTACCAGGTAGTCACAAAAGCTCAATTTCTCTACCTAGGCAACTTGTTCTCCGTTTGTCTAAGCCATGGCTGTTGCTGAATGCAACGTAGCAACCCATTTTACCCAGCAAAATGAAGCTGAGATATGGTGTCAGCAACAGCCTCAAGCTCGAATAAGCTATTCATACACTTATCCCTCCTATACAGGTTGTGTCTTACAAGTCCCCCTCCGCTCCATCCCTCGCTAATCCAGCTCCATTTCTTGGTGGGATCTCTTCTTCTTCTTCTTCTTGTCGCTCTCTCCGGTCTTTGTTTTCTTCTTCTTCATTTTCTCCTCTCCGCCTTGCTTATCCCTCTTCCGCTCCTTCTTCTCTCCCTTTCGCTTCTTCTTCTTCCTCTCCACCTCTGAATCATCAGTAGTATCATCGTCCGTCTCAATAATAACCACGTCTCTATCAGTCATGGCAGCATCATTGTCTGTTGCAGCTGATTCAGCCACAGCCTGTCCACTCATTTGCTTAGATGCCGCCATCTCACCATGCAACTTTGCAATGTCTATCTGTAGACTGTCAACGCGGTGCAGCATTTCCTCCTTGTGAGACTTCTCTTGTTGATCAAAGATGTCTCTCAGCGTGCCCATCTTAGCTTGGAGTAAGCCACGAATATCCAATTGCGGTACTCTTGTGATGACAGCATCAAGATCGTGAAAGACTGAGTGTGCTGACTGGGGAATCGTCCAAGCAGAGGGGGCAGGCTCAACGAACCTTTCCGTCCACTGAAACACGTCAACATCGTCTCGCGCTTGTTCAAGCCAGGATAGCAGCATTGCTTTTTGTGATCTTGTAGCCCACAATCTTACTGTCTGCTTTGCTAGACTCGGCAACACTCTGACGTTCTTGTCGGTCAAGACTTCCATGATGTCTCTCTGAATGATGCCATTCCAGTTCTCGCTCTTGAGCCGATCAAGGAGGGGCTGAAGCTTCGCCATAACGTCTCCGCGGAAGACTTCCATGAGAGTCTCGCGCACCCTGACAGGCCTAGGCGCGAAAACAGATGTTGGCGCAGGATTCGGCACTGGAGCGGGCATCGTGATTTGTGCTGGCACTGGCACTCGCGCTGGCACTGGGGTCGGTATCGACATTGGCACAGGCATCCGTGTGATTGTTTGGGTTTCCGCTGGCATTGGCATTGGAGCTTCGCGCCTCTCTTCTCTAAACTCCGAAGCTTGATGCGCAGCGGCCGACTCTCGTTTGATAGGGGTTTGCTCATCTTTCACCTCAATGACCTCATTAGAGGTATGGTCTCTAGGAGTTCGCAGTTTTTGAATCACAACTCTTCCATTGATCTGGTGTATCTTGGTGTTTGGCATGCGTTGTAGGGCAGAGGGGGTGAGGTCCCACGGTTGATCCAAAGTCAGATACTCTTGACGCCAATGCATCTCGTAGAAATAGATAGCTGTCGCGGCCTTGTTGTGAGTGTCAAAGTCTCTGAAAAAAGCATGTGCCTTGCTATTTTCGTCTTTGCTACCATGCAGTACGACTTGTTGCATCGCAACGGCCACCACTAGATATGGGGCGGCTGGGCAATGGAGCAATTCGGTGTGTCGGGTTAGGCGCTCGGTTTTTTCCATCATCTCGAGGAATTTTGCAAACCCTCTCCAGCCAGTCCAGCTTGCAGCTTCGATAACTTTTGTGGACTTGCACATGTCTATACAAGCGTTGAGGCATTCCTGATATCGCTGGTCATCGGATCCAAGAAAGCGAAAGATCCCTATTACTAACGCCTTGTAGAACTTGTCGATCGACTGATCAGTGGCGTATCTATCTACGCAGACACTCCTATAGTGACTGCGTAAACCATTCATCTGATCTTTGGATAGCCTCCACGGAAAATTCGTGACGATAGGTAGTGGATTCATGGGAGGTGGTCGAGGCATCTTGGGGTAACAGAGCGATTATCCTCCCGCTCAATGAGACTGAGATGAAAGCAAGGCAAAATCGGTGAGTGCAAACAAATTAAAGTTGAGAGAGAATTTTCCAAGCAGGAAGAAAAATTAATACCAAACGGTGGGAGAGCTGCCAGCTGTCGGGCACTTTGAGTGAGGGCTCGACAGCTGCTGGAGATATTCTGCCAGCAGCAAGCCCTAATCAGACCTCGCACTACATTTTTCGAACATTAATTGGACTCTGTCGTACTCTATACTATTGGAAAATTGATTCAATTAATCTTATCAAGTTATAACGATTTAAAGAGACTGCATAAAGAGGATAGATGTGAAGTTGCGTGCGTATAAGTGAATCGACCACTCCCAAAGGTATGTGAATGCGCCGTACGTCTCAATAGATTACTTGCAATAAAACAGTGTCCAAAGCCACGTTTCTCTTGACCATCTATAAATAAAATCAGTCGTGGAAACAGCTCACTACTATAATACATCGTTCCAGAGTCTTCCTTTTAAAAGTATTTGGCTGCTGATATAACCGTCATCAACACATGTCAACGCTCAGTTGTGTAAGTGAGGAATGTCGGCGTTGATCGGTACAGGATACACGGGTGCACCCCAGGCAATGGCACACAGCCCAGGTACCAGATACTTGGCAACATCATGCCGGGACCTGCAGAAACCACCGATAAAGGCCAGCTGCATCTACCTCTGGGCACAAGATCCGATTCGCCAGCTGTTCTGCCTCCAAAAAACACCAATCTGCGAATCCCATCACATCCTCACCATCACCCCCTTGACTCGTGCCAAGTGGTCTGATCGTGGATCACAACACGCGACACGGCAAGTCGCCTTCCATGGCTCCAGGGGAAACGCTGCTTTGGGCTAGAGAATAATTCGGCGGCCGGCGCTCTTGTCCGAGTCTCCGACCGCGATAAAACCTTGTATGCGATCTGCACCCACTCGCTAACATTTTTAACTTCTTGGCTGGCAGCTGTGCCGTCCATTTTTTTTTTTTTTCTTCTGCCCACCGCCTTAGAGCTTGGCTTACTCCAGTCTACTACTGTACAGTGTTTCAAGGCGCTTGTCATCCTTTGCCGTTACAATCGTCATCTTACGCTCCTTTTTCTCGATCCGGCCGCGCCTTTATAATAAAGAGGAACCGCGTCCATCTTGTTCTCTCTCCCACTTGTTTCAATCTCGCTTCTTTTTTTCTTCTTCTTCTCTTATCGTCTTGTCGTTCTCGTTTATCTTGTTGCGATAAGCCCGCCATCCCACTTTAAACCATCTCTCGCCCCCCCTGTACCTGTACCTCCAACCCATTGCTCGCACGCGCCATCCGACGCAACGCCGAGATTAATTCGCTTTTTTGCTCCGACCACTCCGTGCTTCGACTTTGAATCAAATCCTCTCGACTTCAACTCAGCTGTTTGTCTCTTTTTGCATGGTCGACACCGTCAATCGCATCATGAACAACCTCTCCTCCGAGGCCCCCATCATGGCGAACCACAGCCTCTACGATTCCTCGCTTCCGCCGCTGCCGGCCTACTCGCTCGAGCCCAAGCCCGACCTGTTCCCCTTCATCTCCGACCTCTGGCTGTCGCTGGTGCTGCCCGTCATCGTCTACTGGGTCATGTCGCTCCTCTTCCACTCCATCGACATGCTCGATCTCTTCCCTCAGTACCGCCTCCATACCCCGGAAGAAATCACCAAGCGCAACCACGCGACTCGCTACGAGGTGGCCCGCGATGTCATCATCCAGCAAATCATCCAGGTCACGACGGGATATGCGCTTGCCGTCACTGAGCCGCAGGAGATGATTGGCAAGCAAGACTACGACATTGCTGTCTGGGCCACCCGCATCCGCCTTGCCCAGCGCGCCCTGCCCGGCCTGCTCGGCCTTGTCGGTCTCAACGCGACGGCCATCTCCAAGACCATGTCGTCTTCCTATCCCCTGCTTGCTGGTGTCTTGGCAGGTGGCTACTATCCCGTATCTACGACTGGCTCGGCCGATGCTACCCCGACATTCACTGCGTGGGAGATGACTCTCGCAAAGGCCATCTACCATGTCTTCGTTCCCGCCCTCCAATACTTTGTTGCCATCTTCATCCTTGATAGTTGGCAATACTTCCTTCACCGGTTGATGCACGTCAACCGCTGGCTGTACAGTAAGTCTAACTCCATCGTCTCGCTCACCAACACATTGTTGACCATTCCTCTCTTTGCAGCTACTTTCCACTCTCGCCACCACCGTCTCTACGTCCCTTATGCTTACGGCGCTCTGTACAACCACCCTATTGAGGGATTCCTTCTCGACACCCTCGGTGCTGGCATCGGATTCAAGGTGACCGGCATGTCTCTGCTCCAGGGCACATGCTTCTTCTCCTTCTCAACCATCAAGACCATTGATGACCACTGCGGATACTCCTTCCCCTGGGACCCCCTTCAGCTCATCACGAGCAACAATGCCGCCTACCACGACATTCACCACCAGACTTGGGGAATCAAGGCCAACTTCTCGCAGCCCTTTTTCACCTTCTGGGACCAGCTCCTGGGAACCAAGTACAGTGGAAAGCGCTCCAACACGCCTATCGGCAGGAAGCAGGCTGAGAAGGCCCAGTAAACCTGGCATGACACCACTTTGGTTATTCTTTATTGATATGTGCGCAGAATGCTCTATAGAGATGCACACTCCACCCTTTTTTTTAATACTTTGTTCATCTCATATTGATGGCGAAAACATATGACGAAACGCGTTTTGGATGACGGCAGCAACACTGGCCATGCCAAATTAATACTCTAATGTCTTAATTTTTTACTTATTCGGCTCCATGGTCTGCCGAAGGCAAGAGATGGAAAAGGTTTTTTTTTTCTTCACACTGTACATAGTTGCTAATTTCGGCTTGCTTCTTTTTACTTTTTTTTTTCTTATCATGGGACCGGAGGACGTTTTACTTTGGGGGCAAGAGATGTGAGTAGTACTACAAGTCATGGGAGAGTTATCTGTTTGGGAAATAGGGTTTAGCCTCGGGCCCCCTTTTTTGTATTATAATTGAGTTTGATGGGGAATATTGTAGTGCGATGGATGCTGGGAATGAGGCTTTCTTGGTGTGGGCTTCGTATGAAGCAATGTGGATGGGTGATTCAATCTACCTTTTATTGAAGGTCAAAATATGCTCATCGTATGGGGTTTTAAGATGCCGTGTTTCTCGCCTTGACTTTGACTGATATGAGCAAGTAACTTTGCTGTTGAAAACTGTTCCCGTTGCTGCCCCGTATCACGAAACCACCCTCATTAGGAATATCAAGGAACGAACATCTCTTATGATAGCTGGCTTTTACCAAGATAGCAATGCATACAACAACATACTACAACAATATCTGCATCCCCTAACATCATTTCCACGGTAAATTCTAAAACCATACACGCCAGTTACACATCTTTCATTCTCCAAGACTGCTTCTCTGAAATTCATGTCCATCATCAGCATATCATACTACCCTGGACCTCAACACCCTCCTAAATGATCCTTTTCTTTCCCTAATGAATTACAAATAATTACGTGTTTACTTCTGCCAGGTCTCCAAGAGTTGGAGTGGGGGGTTTCATCACTGCCAGCCACAAACTCTATCAAAACTCTTCGATAAAGTGAAATCGCACGTGTGATTGAGGAAGAAGCGCATCAATAAGGGGGTTACATTTCTGTTACTATGTCGTATCTTCTGTGAAGAATAAACCAGTCTAGGGACTTCGTCAGTTTCACTTACGCCAATATTACGTAGATCTAAAAAGGCCATAAAATAACTAATAGCAGCGACTTCACTGAGATACAGCTACCCCCTTCCGAGCTGACTTCACAAAAGCTCGTGAAAATCAAGTAATGGATAACCTGGACATATCGTGAAACTCATCTCCCCGCGATAACCGCAAGCCATCATCCATGGCCAAGTGGCTTCCAAGTTTCGAAGAAACGACCGGAGCTTCGACGGTGGCTGCGTACGATTAGTAGCATCACATCGTTGAGCTTTTCAGCCACCCTCTCCCCTTCTATCTCGCTAGGGAATGCTTGCTGATATTACCCTCAGAGGAGGCAATAACCCGGGCTTGAACTTGTTTGCCATCCCTCCCACCTGAGACGCCGAAGTTCTGTGCAAGCGCGCGGGCTCCCGATGCGGCCTGTAGAGATCTGATCAGCATTGCCATGGGAAAGCCAACTCAGCATATGGCGAAAGAATGCTGACGTAGGCACAATACTGTTCAACACGCCACCATCCCATGCCCTGTCCGAGCCAAGAGAAACAGGGCTGTCACTGGGTAAGCGTTCGACCCCAAATAAAGATCTGATTCTCATGGAAGACACATATCCGAGCTCCAAGGCTCACCAGCGCGCGCTCCTTGCCTTGCACAGGCGTGTATTCGCAAATTGAGGCGTGTAAATCATATCTCGCTCCCGAGTTTGCCCAAAGCTTGTGATTCTGGGTCCACTCCGAATGTTCCACTCTCTGAGACGCGCCGCTGCGGCGAGAGCCTTCGTCCCGAGCCCTGTGATGCCGGAGCAGCTTAACGGATAAAGGAGGAGCTTCATCTAGCGGAAGCCACAAGGCTTTCTGATTCCAAATATCCATAACCTGCAGCAATATCAGTCCTTAGGCCAGGAGAAGCCGCAAATGGGGAGCAACTAACAAGAACTAAGGGCGCCACCCCGCGAAGACGGATGCATCTCCTACCGTGATTGCGCCCGCATGACCTCACGCCTCTGATGAAAATAGGGTCCCCTGCTCATTAATTTTTTTTGCCAAAATTACAACCCGAGCCCCCAGAGCGCATAGTGCCTCTGGGAATAGTGGCAGAACGCCGATTATCAAAACCCGGGCTGACAGGCCCAACCCTTGTGCAGAAGACAAAGGGGGGTGGCTGCTGTTTAGCTGTTTCATCGTTTTACCCGCAATCGAGCCCGACGGTTTGGACACGATCTGCTCTGCGGAGTCGGCATTTGGGGATGAAGCACGGAGACGGATTGATTCAAAAAGCCCTTGAGGTGGATCGCCTTGATTGCGGGTGCGATATCCGGGGGAATTGTCAGACCGTCAAGATATTCTGAAGCTGCATGGATGGGCCTTGTAGAAGCATCGACGATCATGGCGGATGATTAGTCGCTGATTAATAGATTGATAAGATACGGAATCAAGGGCCGTTTATTGCACAAAAGACCTGTATCAAGCGATGTGAAGAACTATGAGAGCCATTGATGAATGAGGAGCATCTTCGGTAGCCCTTGTCTGGGTAGCATCGAGGTGAGAACCGTATCTCCAGACAGGCCACGACAGGAAGAACGCATCACGTGAGATGCGTAATGAACGACACTGATGCCCTGTACTCTGTATCAGCAAAGCAAAGCCACTTGTTCAAAATTGTGTTTAGACAACCGGCTTATGAATAAGGTACCCAAGGCAGACGACATGGTAGCGTAGGGCGGGATTTGAAGAGCGAAATTTGATGAGCGCACAGTGTTGACAGACAATTCAGGTTGATCATTTGCATTAGGTCGTCGAAACACGGCTGCGTTTGAAGGGCAGCCCTAAATTAAGGCGAGTGTTGATGCAAATGCCATTGTGTTGCGAGCCAGTGAGAGACTTCGGAGCTTTGTTTGGCAGCCGGGCCTTGAGATGAGACGATATTGAATCTCCAGTTCTGGACATGTGATTGGTAGTCCAGCTCGGGAGGTTTAATGTGCCGTCTCATTTCTGTGTTAGTTGGAGCATCAGCGTAGGGAGAAAGGAGAAGGCGCAAAGTAGCCCGCCAGCTTGACTCCGTATGCACGGCCAGCTCGTACGGTACGATAACCGGTTGGAAGCCCCTACAGCAAGGTTGATGATACCAATGTTGTTGGAAGACCCGAGGCTGGGGATTTATGCTGATCAGTCTCATATTGGCGGGCTGTGAATCTTACCACTAGGGCCAATGATGGCTTATTGGGGTTCCCCCTTCTGGCAATGCGCCACAAGAACCAACCACGTTTCTTGAAGAAACATTGTGATATGTGATACTCTGTCCGAAACATCAGTAAAGCGCTCTTGACGAGAATCTCAGCCTTGCTCCGTCGTGCACATACTCGTACGGTTACAATGGGAATAACGATTTGTGGACGTCTTTCTGGCTCTCGGTCACCAGCGGCCGCGACAGGATCGCTTCCCGTCCACGACCCGGAATAGGCAAAGAAGGAGGCTTGTGCTTTGGTTTGGTCCCCATTTTTCTCTCTTTATTTTCGGCCTGCGGGCGGTTCGAGTCGGGCGGGCCAGGCTGAAGATCTGGAGCTCCTGATGCCAGTAGCCGTCGGACCACGCGTACAGTAGCACAAAGAAAGCATCATGTGTCATGGATGTGCATCAACGGGTACACGGAGTATGGAGTACAGAGCAGAGCCATGGTACGGAATCGTGAAGCCACCAAATCCTTTCTCTCGCTGCGTTGCACTGCGTTTTGTCCCACAATCGAGATTGTAGCGTGCGTGCACTGCACATATGCATGTGCAATACGTGGATAGGCCGGGATCCAGTAGTTTCTCTTTCACTCGGCCTGACGATGCTCTAGTTTGAGCATATTGGCACATTAGCGTGCTTTTCAGAATGCCTGCACGGAGGACACACTCGTGAATGCTCATCGATTGGGTGGTACACGGAGTGTTGAAGACAACCGCAATCAAATCATGCAGATGCTAATTGGCAGTCAGCCCTGGCCTCGCCGTCCTTTGTGACATCTGACACGCCTCCGGGGACCTTCTCAAGGGACCTAATCCAGAGTTCCACGTGCAAAAGGCAAAAAGGAGCTCGATGGCCGATTCTCAACGCTTGCGGACCAAGCTGGAACAGGGGCATCGGGGGCCCAACGCAGAAATGCATACCTGAGCCCGCCGACTTATGCATAAGAGGCTGAGACAAAACGAGACAAGACAAGACAAGACAAGACACGCCCCTGTGGCCGCGACCAGGCCTTTTCTGGTCGATTCGGTGGTGCAGTCACGACATGACGGGGGTGTTTGTGGGCATTATCGCTGAGGACGCACTGCCGGGCCGCTGAAGGGGGTCACAAAGAATTTGTCGTGTTGTGCGAGTTACCTCAGCATATCCATGTCCATGTCCATACTCGTGTTCTCTGCCATGACGATACGGAGCAGCTGGCATTTGCTTTAGGCCAGCCAAGGAAGAGTTGAAGCCTGGCAAAAATACCTAGGTATTTACTTGTCTAGAGCTATCGATAGGCCAAAGCCCGACCAAAGCAGCAGGCGGTCGGGCTGAAAGAGGGAAGGAAGGAAGGAAGCCAATCCCAGCATTCTGTAAGCGAGCGATCGAAATATTTTCCATCCATCTCCACTCGAAACGAACCACAACCGCTTTCATCGAGCCAAAAAGGAACAGAAAAATGCATTTCAAGGCATCATGTGCAAACGTCGAGCATCGCGGAGAATCAGAGTATCACGGCGTACGGTAAGGAGCACTGCTCCTGTATCACTGCACTGCTTCTCGGCATGAGCCTTGCCAGGCCCGGCATGGCTTAGGCGCTCGCCATCGTGTGTCCATGGGTGAAACAAGTGCTCGAGTGCTCCCTTGCAGCAGCAAACCAAGACACACCGCACGCAGCCAGACGTCTTCTAGTGTGTGTGTGTCTGTGTCAAGCCTGGGCCTGGATTCGACGTCGAAAACGGATGAGAAGAAAGATGGGGGAAAAGCTGAAGCTCTGCGAGTAAACGCTGAACTGGTGTCGTCATGCCGCAAAACTGTCAATGCTCAACGGCAACGCAGGGGTGCGGATAATGCTGCCGCCAATAATGCAAATAAGCGGCTTCAGCGAGGACTTGCATACAGGTATGGAGCCCAGATGCCACGAGAGGCATCGCCCATGATTGGCGCCGGCGATGCTCCAGCACGGCCCCGTTCAATCTCTCTAGGCCCTCAACGCACGGCCAATCATCCAATCAGCCTCTCGCTGTGCCTGCGTGCGTCAGAACGTGCCCCTGCCGGGACCCTGGCCAGAAGCTTCCTTGGGATCCGGCTCAGGCGGCTGCTGCCCATCCCCGGCTGAGCTGAGCTGAGCTCAACTGAGACCTGGAGTCTGGCATCGCCACGTCCACGTCCCTCCAGAGAAACCTCGGGGGCTGATGAGAGGCCGCTTGGTGCTTTGACTGCTCCCATTGGCACGGCATCGGGCGTTCCGATCAATATCCTCTGGCCAGCAGCTCGCTGTTAGCTGGATGTTAGCGGAGCTCAACTTGCTTCGTCCCCATCACACCGGATCCAATTACTACAGCACTAACCAACACTATCTACGAACGCCGCTCAGCTAGCTAGTCAGCCGTCTCTCCGGATCCCACGGTGGCTACGGCAACACTTCAAAGTTTACACGGCCAGCACAAGAACCATTACCAAAGTATGGACGGGGAGGAATCTGTCTTTTGCCATCATCTTCTATAGCCAGGCTGGAGCCTTGCGTCCTCTTCCTCATTTCCCGTCGTCCGTCTGTTTGTGGTTGCCTCACCACTTACAGCTTCTCTTATAGCATCGCCATTGTTGGTCTTTGATCTTGGCAACGAAACTGCAGATTATACCATCTCCGCTTTGAACATCTATTGCTGTATTCAGCTTGCCCGGTTACTCACGATCCCTGCTCGTCGCGGCTTTTTCCCTCTCCCCCAGGCCATTCTACCCGCCTCGCCCCTTCTGGATCGCGAGTAGCAAGATTCTTTTCGTTCATACTAATAAGCGCCCGTCTCTTCTCTCCCTCTTGGTCTTTGCCCCCCTTACTTCGGTAGCATCCAACGCTGGAATACTACCCAAACATCATCCAACCGTCCAGGAACCGATTCCACTACTTCCCCCCCCCCCCCCCGGCTCATTGGCGGCGCTTGCAGCATCGTGATTAAACACACCAATTGGCCAATCACGTCACCCAAGCTCTTGTGTTTCGGCGCTTCTTCAAACATGCCCGCCAGCCCGCCTTGTTTCACCCTCTGAAGTTCTCTTTTGTCTCTGATCCAACCTTACAATTAAGGAATATTGCATCGGAAGACGCATCTCGACTTACTCTGCCATCGCGTGGGTATTATCCAACATTAGCGCGAGACACTGCAAGATAGCCGCCGGCTACCAGACCGAGCGTGTCACCTTGAGTCGCCTGCGCTCAGTACTAATAAGGCCCTATCCCGTATCATACAAACCTTTGTTGTTGCTTCTTTTTGCCTTTCTGAGCAATGGATCCGACAACAACTCTCGTTACATTCATGTTGTGAGTGTGTTGTGGAATATTTTTTTATTTCCTTCTTTTCTTCTTCCCGTGTTTTACATTCATTTCGGCTTCCTCCCTCGCTTTGGAACGTTCTGTCTCTCCTATTTTTGGGTGGTTCCCTTCTTTCCGACAGCCGAAGCTCTCTTTTTTCTCAGCTGTTGTCTCTCGTTTACTAGTCTGGCACTGGGACAAGGCGCATTGATATTCATTTCCTCATTCTGCTGGCAGACTCCCTCTCCCCGTGCTACTGAATTTCCGCCCTTCGGATGCCCAACCGTTCATATTGTCCGGCCCAGGCTCCGTCAATTTGGCAGCACGGTACGAGTACGGAGTAACAACGCTTCATTTGCTTTTCTCACCCGGCTATCGTGCCCATCAGCGTGGCCGTCAGCCCGCTCTAATCGCCCACCCCCTTGCATCGCCTTTCTAGCCTATTGGTATGAGCCCATCATCAGTCTTTGCCACGCCGCTTCCACGCCGCCCTGCGCTTGATTCACCCTGACCTTACCCCCTGATCCATGGTTACGCCGATACCGATTTGACACTACACCTCACTGCCTGTTCCCTGTTCACATCACCAGCCCTATGCTTCTTGGGGGCGGGCCCGGCGCATAACACAAGATGGACGGGATCTCGACGACATGACTCTTGACTCCCGGCTTGTGCTAGTATGGCCCTGGTTTCACACCACACATACATCTATCCGTACCCCCCGTTGAGAAATGATATTTTTCAATCAGCCATCACTAGCCCGCTGGAACGGACTTGAGCTGACGCCCTAATCTCACAGTCAGACGGAACCCTCTGTCCAATCGGTACGCCTCATTGGGTCCTGGGACAACTTTACCATGTGCTATAGCATGGAGCGGGACAGTCGACGTGGCCATGGCCAATGGAGAGGGTGCTTTGCATTCCAAAACATCGTCTGCGATGATGAGAACCCGCACCACCAGAAGCGAAGTGGTGGTCTAAAGATGGGTCACACCTACTACTACTATGTGAGTCTTGTTCCTTTTTTCCATATCATTGACGCTTCTCCACTGCCCATCCATCTCCCATCTCGATCCATGTGGTGGATCAACCTACAGTTTCTTCAACTTGATGTTTCCTTTTTATATATTCCGTTCGATCCCCCACCCACTCTTCTATCTAAGCAGTGTCTTTCTACTTGCACATATTTCATCATTATCCAGTCTAACTTTTCGTTCTTTCAGTACGAGGTGGACGGGTCAACTGAGACTTTTGATGCTACGATGCCCTACACAACTGCTTGCCCATATATGCCTGGCCAAACAGTCAATACTATCCACGTCCCTATTGAACATACGATCCGCCTCCGAAGTGCATCCATGAATTCTATGCACCAGGAAAACTATAGGACAATGGACCCGGCAACCAAGTTCATGAAGCCGCTGCCACCCACGCCTCTCTTACCAGGCATGGCCAACCGCCGGGCTCAATCTGCCCCAGTTACACGTCCCTCATCGTCGTCATCTCGCTCAGTATCTCCGCCGTCTTGGAAGAGATTCTTCTCACGCAAGCCACACAGCTCTGACGGTCAACGCCGCCAGTCAGCTGCTTCTGAAGAAACCACTTTCACCATCTATGACAACGTCATCACCGTTCCCTCACACGATGCTCGCCATGGTCGCCATACATCGTCACTTAGCGAAGGTGCTAGACCAAGAGACATCTCTCCGAGCTCACTGTCTCGTATCTTACGCGAGGGTAGCCACGCTCCGCGTCGTCCTAGCCACACTGCTCAACTACCATCCTTGACGATTCCCGAGGACGTTATTGAGGAAGACGAGGATGATGACAACTTTGCCGCTTCTGCAGTCTCGGAGAGCATGCCATTTGCCACCATCCTGTCACCACCTCCCTTTCAACGCTCTTCGTCATCAGAGTCTATAAAACGGGATGTCGAGGCAGGCAACTCTGCTGCGGTGACCAAACCCAAGCTTTCAGTTCAGCCTCCTTCTCTTGATCGGAGTCAGCCTATATCTGCTGTAACAAACGAGCCCAACCCGGTACCTCAATGGTCCAGCTCGACAAAAGATAAAACCACTCCAAGCCCTCTCAACGAAGATGTCCCCATGAGCTTCTATGATGATGAAGACGATGACGACGATGTCATGTCTAGCAACGATGACGATGGTCACTTCCCTCCCATCCCCATCTCAAAGTCTCGGCTGCTTTCCTTCAAAGGATATAGCTTGCCGCGTCACATTGAAGAAACCAAGGGTGCTTTTGCCCCTCATCAGACCTTTGCAACCACAAGCTCACCAAAGCTGATCCCTGGTGGATCTAACATCTTGAACACTCATGTCGAGGCTGGCCTTGATGACTTTGTCAATGAGCTCGGTTGGATTGTCGATGCTATTGGCACGACCAACAGCCACTAGGCTTTCAACAAGGACCTTTGACGAATATTCTCTCTTTTACTTGTATACTCGCATCACGGCATAGCACGTGAATCGTTCGCTATTTCATTGAGCAACATCTTGGCTCAGTTCTCACATAGATCTCTTTTTAGATACTACCTTGTATTACTCTTCTCTCGTTTTTATTTTTGCTTCTGGGCTCGGCGCATACTGTATAAACTCGGTCACAGGCATCTGGGTGGATATACAGGACGATATACCTCGTTTTACTTGTCTTTACGTATATATTGGGAATCCAGGCCAAGCTTCGGCGAAGCTGCTGAACGGAACTGGCTAGGCGTTTTGGGTTTGCTTTGATTGGGAATGGAAAATGGAGACGAGAATGTCTGATTTATGGAAATGATACCTCAGAATTTGGAGGACTACCTCTCTTTGAAGATGGGAAGGCGTTGGCATGAACAGCGAAGATGGTTTAGCTATCCTTGATGTTAGTTTTTAGCCTTTCGAATAACGACACGCTCGTTGAATGAATCGAATTCGGTTAAAGCAGACATTTGTGTGTCAAATGAGTGATTATGCCTTTTCAAAGCGTGACCTGGAATGGAAGATTGAAGATATTATGAACGCTTAATCAAAGTTGAGCCAAATGCTCTTGACGAGAAAGAGAGAGGGGAGAGGGGACATGTAACATCACGGCTGATATGCACTACTATACAATGATACCATAGAGTATTGGAGTGTTTTTATGTTTACTTTTTATCAAGATATAAACAAGTTTCTACTAGTACATGTCTGGCCTGACAATTGGGCATGTTTTCGTTATTGTGTGGAAGTGGCCGCTGCCTGGACCCCCTGTTGTGGAACAGGAGGCATTTGCGGCTCAGCTGCAGGTTCTTTTTGAGGCTGAACTTGGGGCTGAAGTTCAGGTTGAGGTTGAGATGGAGCTTGAGGAGAGGGGACTGCGGCTTGAGCAGGGCTTTGAATAGCCGGAGGCGGTAATATCTGCACCGGCTGTGGCGCTGGTACTTTGAGAGGGGACTGCTGTGGAGGAGCGAGTGTTGGAGGCACAGTGGGGGCCGTACTGGGCGCCGACGGCTGCGGTATTGGAGCTTGCAGATTTGAAGCTGGTCGGTTTTGGAGCTGTTGCGGTGCCTGTAACTGCTGGGGCTTTGCTAGCTGCTGGTGTAAAGGCAGTTGAGGGCGATGCTGTTGAGGTAATGACGGTCTCTGAGCCTGAGACTGTTGCAGTTGCTGTACATGTTGCTGAACATGAGGTGATTTATGAGCTGCTGCCACGACTGCCGCCGGCGGCCCCTGATGCTGCTGCTGGACTTGCACAGGTTGAGGCTGCGGCGGAACAGCCCTTATCTGAGCCAACCTTTCCTTTTCCCGCTCTTCGGGAGACTTGGTGGGAGCATTTGGGTCGAGGAATCTTGCTGGTACGCCGCGGGCAGCCACCTTCTCACTGCCTACCCAGGCGTTGAGAATTGCGCTCCAGCTCAGTTCTCCGCGCTTGATACGCTGGAGCTCCTGATAGGCAGCGACGTTGTGGTACGGCAACCCGGTCTCGGGGTCACGGTAACGAGCTGGAAGGTTTGTAATGACACAGTTCTGACTAGAAGGGGGTTCTATAATATTATCATGTCAGCGACAGGACTTTGAAGTGCGGGAATTGCCAAGATTACACATACTATTGAGCTTCGTCATCTTGCGGCCAAACAATATCTGAGTCTGTATAGTCTTGTCTTGAATGGCATTCGAATCAAAGTTCTGAAAGATGATGACGTTGCGAGTGGTAGTCTCAGGGGCTTCAGGGACCTCAGCCGGAGCAGGAGCAGGCTGCGAAGGTGGCTCTGAAAGGCTAGGGCTTGCCGATTTGCTGATCGGTTCGAGATCGGGATTGATAGGTCGTAGAACGGTGTGTCGAAGAACGGGCTCGTTTGAGATGTGAACAGCACCAGCCAGGGGAACAGGGGGAGTCTGACCCTGTATTGGGGGTGCTAGAGTGGTCTGAGGTAACGGAAGCGCAAGGACGTTGGATTTCGGTGCCGAGCTGGGGCGATAGTCCATGCTCATGACTGGCGGAGGGGCAAGCATAGGGGGCGCCAATACAGAGGATGGCTTGCTGGCCTCTATAGGTCGCGGGCTGCCAATGCCAGCGGGCGCCGCCAACGGTGACATCTGGCGAGGTGGTCCAGAGGGTGAGGCGGCCGCCGGTGCAGCCAGACCACTATGAGACGGAGGTGGTGGTGGAGGTGAGGCTACTGATGGCTGGCGGAGCTCTTCAGATGGCTTTGCAACGGTGGAGGTTGTAACTGCATGGGGAGCAGAAGGAGGAGAGAGAACACTAGACGGGGCAGCGAGAGTGCTGGGACCTGAAGAGCCGGTAGTAGCGGCAGCGGCAGGAGGAACAGCATCGTTAGGGGGCCGTGATGATGCGTCTGGAGATGGCTTCAAGGGCTCTTGAGGTTGAAGATTCTCCCCAGTGTCTTCTTGCTTCACAGGAGGCGTTGTGTCCGTGGCTTTGCTTTCGGTTACTGCTGCTGCTTGTTCTTCCCTTGACCGCGGCTCAGTAGGATCTGCCTTGGGCTGGAGGGCAGAGGCATTCGCATCACTACCAGCTGCTACCTTCGCTGAAGCGTCCGTCTGTTGCTGGTCTCCTTTGCCATGCTTATCCGCTGCTGGGTTGGCAGCGTCATCCTTCACAGCTTCGGCTTCTTTGGGCTTCTTCTCTACCTTCCTCCTCTTCGGCTTCTCCTCCTCTATGACAACACGTCGCGCCTCGCCCAGACCCGTCCAAAATGTAATCACCGGACCCTTGAGGGTTCTCTGGTTGAGAGCCGCTAGTTTTGCCCTTCGCTCCTCTTCCCTCTGCTTTTCAGCCACCTCCCATCGATTCAAGCTCTTGCTATTGCGCTTCTCCACGATGGCAGCCTCGCGAAGCCGATCCTCCTGCGTCATGGGGGGCTTCTTCAGTGCCTCCATCTTGGCCGCCTTTTTCTGCATCTGCTCCAGCTGCTTCAGCCGCCGCTCTTCTCGCTCAATCATTTGCTGGTGCAGCTGCTCTTTGGACATGCGTGTCGTCTTTCGAGAGGATGCTCGAGTGGGAAGATCGGCCGGAGAGGGCAGCCACGACGTGCGCTCGGATTTCTTCTTGGGTCGAGGCGCAGGAGCCGGCGTCGACGTGTCCGAAGCTGCCGGGTTGATGCGGACCTTTTTCCTGAACTTGGCCGGGATGGCATCTTGGGCCTTTCGCTTCCGCTGGGCTGCGCGCCGCTCCCGAGCCTGTCGCTCGAGCTCCTGTTCGCCCTCGAGATCGTCGCCAGCATTATTCTCGTCCTCGTCGTCGGATGACGAGTCCATCTGGACGTCAGAAGCATCGTCTCCGACGTCGGAGAAGCCCTGGTCGTTCTCGGATTCGGCGAATAGCAGCTCGAGGTCGGAATCCGGCTCTTCGTTGGCGAGCATCGACTTCATGCGATTGCCAGCCGTGGCCCGGCGCGATCGTGAGGTGGCGAGCCATTCTACGGCTTCGGCTTCCGTCTCCTGTCCCGCATCTTTTGATTCCGGCTCGCTGTCGCTGTCGGAGCTGTCCAGGTCGCTGAGAGGAGGAGGTGCCGAGAGCTGCGACTCTTCCTGTTCGGACAGCTTCGCTTCGGAGCCGACGGGCGACATTTTCAGCGGCTCGAGAAGCAACGAGTTGGTTGAGTGATTGAAAGCTTGAGCACTAGAGCGCGCTGGATTGTAGCGGCTACATTGGAGCCGTGATTGATGGTGAGGAACCAAGGCGGGAGCTCTTTGGGGGGATGGAGGGGGAGAGAAACGCGTTTGTCGTTGGACCGTGAAAATAAAAATAAAAATTCCACTGACTGACTGGCTGACATCACACACTGCCCTTGATGAAAGCTAGGCAAGTAGAGGTACCTGTTAAGATATGTATGCTACATACAAATACTTGTACTTGTACTTGTATATGAGCCAACTTGGACATCAACTTATTTGAATTACATCATATCACAAGAAGCAGCAGATTGTCAAATGGAAAAATAAACCTCAGTTGTCATTTGTGTATATGCCTAGATAGTCGCTAGGTCGAGGTAGGTACTGTTTGCCACCTACTCATTTATCGTAAACGCTACAGAATGTTTGCCCGCTTCAAGCACGAAATCTTCCCAGCTAACCCCAGCAGTGGTCTATTAAATAAACAGGATGCCCAACGCCATAATATTAAATCAGAAAAGTACATCCATCTCCTCTCCAGTCATTCTCATTCTTTGCCCTTACGTTGGCACCTCGGTGGGGGCAGCTGTGATGGTTGGAGCGGTGCTCCCAGCGGCAGCTTGTGTGGTCGTAGATGTCACCGCATCATTACAGCCCCAGAACCTGCCAGGGGTTTCGCAGGTTGTAGTTGCGGGGATTGTTGCGAACGGAGTGCTTGTCTGAGTATCATCATCGTTGCAGCCCCAGAACCGTCCGGGAGTTTCGCAAGTCGTTGTTACGGTGGATCGAGAAGTGCTCGCCGACGTCGTCGTCGTCGTCGTCGTCGTCGTCGTCTTGTCTTTGCATCCAAACCAGCCAGGTGTCTTACAAGTCGAGGTAGTAGTGGTCGTCGTCGTAGGTTCAGGCACGTGTGTGCCACCTGTGGTTGTCTCGTCCAAGCATCCCCACCAGCCAGGAGTCTGACACGTCGACGTACGTGTGCGTGTTCGAGAGGTTGTGGTGGGAACCGCAGACGTGGTCGTCTCAGTGCCGTTGCTCTCGTACATTTTCCAGGGACCACAGTCTCGGCAATCGGGAGTACGAACACATTTGGGAACCGTGTCGTATTTGAGAATGACATCTGAGATGACGGACCGAATCTTGTGCGTGCCGATACCAACTCGCCACCCCTTATCCGCCACAACATCATAGACACACTCATAGCCGGTGTGGCAAGTAGACTCCATGGCATAGCCAGCAAACGAGCACGTAGCAGTTGCTCCATTGCATGTACCGATGTATACTGGGTCTGCGGTGTGGCCAAAGTGATACGTCCCTGTGTAGGCTCGTGTCTGTGGCGTGTCGGGATTTGCTCCAGGGGGAATCGGGAGGCCCAGTCGAGATGCCGGAAGCGCTTCTGGTACGGCCTCAAAGGTTACGGCGGGTAGGCCATAAGTCAGGGCTAGGAAAGAAGAGACGGCACCTCCGAGAGAATGGCCTGCTATCCAAATGTTGGAGTCGGGATACTGTTCCGTGACGTTGGAGTAGAGCTCGCGAGCCGCGGCGTAGTACCGGTTCTCCTCTTGCAGGGCTGTCCTCACGCATGTGTTGTTGCAGGCATATGTGCCGGTAGCGCAGTCGCATACCTGGTGCCACGTCCATTGGCCCTGTTGAGCGCAGCAACAACTGAAGAACAAGTTGTCATTAACCTTGTCGTTGGTCGTTGTGCCCTCTCCATCAAAGACGGCAGGGGATGTCCCTTTGAGGCCGATGATGACAGTGGAATTGTTCTCGTCAGCCCAGATATGACCACGAAGACCGTCCGTCCCCCAACCAAAGTCGAGAGTTTTGTTGTAAGGGGTGCCAATGTCTTGCCAATCAGTCTGCCCATCATTTTCGACGTAGGCATCAGCGGCAACGTATGCCATGGTAAGAACGGTGTTTTTATCGGTGATGTCGGGCGAGGATACTTGGTCCATCGTCCATGCAGAGGCATCTAGAGCGGCCGCATAGCCTTGTTTTCGAGATTCGGCGACGATGGGGTCGACAACGGAGGGCCGCCTGTCAACTAGCCGCTCGATCGTCTCGCCACGACTCTTGGCTGTGAGCTTCGGCACAGTGTGCTCGGCATATCCATCGTCGGCGGCGAGAAAGACCCGGGATTGGTCATGGACGACGTCTAGCTTTCTGTGAAGCGTCGGGTGTCTGTTGGTGCCGTGGTGGTAGATGTGTCGAAGAGTAAAGGTGTGTTCACCGGGATGAACCGTGTTGGGCTGTGAAGGGAGTAGAGGGCCCGGGCCAACAGGCATCAGGACCTGCTGGTCGAGGCCAACATCACCGCCGATTATATTGGCCGAGCCTGGCGAGATGGCGAGTGCCGATGCCAGCAGCAGGGCGGCGGTGACCCTGCCGGCACGACCGCACCTGTAACTGGGCGATACCATGGGCAGATACGGTATGGAGGAATCAGAGACGGGTTATTCCATCTAGATGGCGAGTCGGGGTCGCAGAGGAGTTGCCGGCGATGGTAGAGGAGCGTTTTGATGATGGCGATGGGAGAGTCGAGAGGTATGAATAGGGAGCGCGGCTGTCAGGTGATGGAGTGCATGTAGTTGTCATGGAGCATTACCTAGTAGTATTGAGTTGGCATCGCACGCGCTCAGATGACTGACGTTATCTCGTTGCTACGGGAGGCGACGCACTGTGTGTGCTAACCCAGCGCTGGCATTGCGGAAGGCACTCGTCGAGGGCGGCAACAAGCGTGATTAGCCGCAGTGCCGTCACAAAGTATCTTTGACAATAAAGTTTGCGTTGCTGGTACCTATAAGAGCAATACATTCTACCGCATTCTGTTAGTGACCCTGCCACCCGTGGTGAACGCCCCGGCACTTAGCGGACCCTCCCCGTGCTAAACTCAGCGAAGCCACTGTGCTGGTCACTGTGCAAACTCCTGAACCCGGCGCGGACCGGCGTTTGCTTGTTCCATGCCGAGCCTCAACTAAGCTTCACTTGACCTTCTCACCAGCACCAAGTCAGTCGCCAGCCTCATCGCATCAGCAACCGGGTTCAAATACAATGGCGTTTCTCTCTCGTCCTCTGACCGTTGTCGGTCTGGTCATTCTTGCTCACGGGTATGATGTTTCGTCTTTGTCTTGTCTCTTCTTTTTCCTTTGATGTTTCTTGTTTGTTAGGAATTCACATGTGTCCGCATGATGCTAAGATGATGCCAGATGTTACTCTGCGCATGAGCACACAGTCCTCTCATCTACTTCAGTCCAGCATCCCACATCACCGTCAGCAACTTCTCTACCATTGGACATTTACATCGAAACCATTGCTGCCACTCTTTTGATCTGCTTGGGACTCGTGCTGGGATCAGGAACGCCGGAGCCAATTCAATGGCGCACTTGGGCTGGCAAGATTGAGCGGGAGGGAGATGGTACCTCGGGCGATGCGGACAAGGAGCTGCGCAGCAATCCGTTCAACGCCCTGGAAGCTCGAAGCGGGTTTATCAACATTCACAAGCTGCATGGCGACTTTGTCAAGTATCAACAGCTTGGAAAATAGCTTCAAATTTAATGATAATCTTAATGGTAGTAACAACGATACCCGAGCACGCTGAAGCTCTGAGCTTGGTAAAACGGCAGCGGCCAATCATATTCTGTGCTTTTATGTAAATATTGAGTTTCACTCTGAATATCAAAGATCAAGATCAGCGTATCTTGGCACAACGGGCCTGTTCTATATCTCCCATCCGTGTAGATCCATCGTGAGAGCTGCAAGATGAGATCCCAGAGCTCAGCCTTTCTGATGCACGAGCCACACTAACTGGGATGTCTGCTGTGGCTGAGCCCCCAAAGGCTGAGGCGCAAATGCGGGTGGCGCGTCTCTGCGCGGTGCAGCGTCGCGCCGAAGCTCAATTTTAATCCATTAAAGCAGCCTCACCTTGTGCAAAGCCACACGCAGCTTGATTTTCCAAAGCTTTGCTGGCATCATTTCATTCGCATCAATTTGGGCCGCCAAAATGACTGCAATGTGAGTATCTTCTACTTTCCCGTCTCTACTGTTTTTTCTTCTTTTTTTCTCTCTCCCTCCCATGTTTCTTCTTCTTCTTCTTCTCCCTCCTCTCTTTCATCAAGGTAGAGGGAGAACCGCCACCCTCTTTTCCGTTTGTTCACGGCGTCCAGCAAACTTTGCCCCAGAACCGACCCCCAGAGTGCTAACCACAGCCTTTTCCCGTACAGCGAGAGTTTCGACAGCATCTACCTTGATCTCTCCAAGGAGAGCGGCAAGTGCAGATTCGCAGAGACCGGCTTCGGATGGAAGCCCGCGGGCGGCGGTGACACCTTCACCCTCGATCACAGCAACATCGGAAGCGCCCAATGGAGTCGAGCCGCCAGGGGATACGAGATCCGGATCCTGCAGCGCAACTCGGGCATCATCCAGTTGGACGGGTTTCAGCAGGAGGATTACGAGCGCCTCAGCAAGATCTTCAAGAACTGGTACAGCACCGTGCTGGAGAACAAGGAACATGCGCTGCGGGGGTGGAACTGGGGCAAGGCCGAGTTTTCCAAGGCCGAGATTGTCTTCAACGTCCAGAACCGCCCGGCCTTTGAGATGCCGTACTCTGAGATTGGAAACACAAATCTGGCTGGTCGAAATGAAGTCGCAGTAGAGCTGGCGCTGCCCCTCAACGCCAACGACACCGGCACCAATGGCCAGCTGGGCGGTGCGCGTGGCAAGGGCAAAAAGGCCGGCGCGGGCAAGGATCAGCTCGTCGAGATGCGGTTCTACATTCCCGGTGTGACGACCAAGAAGGAGACCGAGGGCGAGGACGCCGGTAGCGACGCCGGCGAGGAGGAGGAGAAGAATGCCGCAACACTCTTCTACGAGACGCTGATTGAGAAGGCAGAGATTGGTGAGACGGCTGGTGATACTATCGCCACCTTCCTCGATGTTCTGCATCTCACCCCCAGGTACGTGTTTAGCCCCCTTGATACCCACTCTTCATCCAGTGGGCTCCTTTCTAACACTCTCGCAGAGGTCGTTTTGACATCGACATGTACGAAGCCTCGTTCAGACTCCGTGGTAAAACGTACGACTACAAGATCCAGTACGAGGCCGTCAAGAAGTTTATGGTGCTCCCCAAGCCCGACGAAATGCACTGCCTGCTCTGCATTGGCCTGGATCCCCCTCTCCGCCAGGGTCAGACAAGATATCCCTTTGTCGTCATGCAATTTAAGAAGGACGAGGAGGTGACTATCGACTTGAACATTGACGAGGCAGAGCTGGAGAGCAAGTACAAGGACAAGCTCGAGCCCCATTATGAAGAGCCCCTGCACCACGTCGTGGCCAAAATCTTCCGAGGCCTCGGCAACAAGAAGATTTCCTCCCCTGCGAAAGACTTCCTTACGTGCGTAGCCTCCCTTTTGAGCGACTCCTTTTTACTGTTGCCCAAATGTAAATGCTAACTTTGTCATGTAACAGCCACCGCAATCAATATGGCATCAAGTGCTCCATCAAGGCCAGCGAGGGTTTCCTGTACTGCCTAGAAAAGGCCTTCATGTTCGTCCCCAAGCCCGCCACGTACATCGCCTACGAGCAGACCCAGTCCGTCACCTTCTCCCGCGTCAGCGGCGCAGTCTCCGCCCTGTCCACGTTCGACATCACCGTCGTCATGAAGAACGGCGCCGGGTCATCGCAATTCAGCAACATTAATCGTGAGGATCTCAAGGCCCTGGAGTCCTTCTTCAAGCTCAAGGGCCTGCGCGTCAAGAACGAAATCGACGAGGACGCCAACCTGCTCGCCGCCGCTCTTCGCGAAGAGGCCATGATGGAGTCTGACGATGAGGTCGTCGCTCCCAAGGCGGATCGCGGCTCTGCGGATGAAGACGAGGAGAGCGTCGATGAGGACTTCCAGGCGGACAGCGACAGCGATGTCGCCGAGGAGTACGACAGCAATCATGAGAGTTCCGGCTCTGGAAGTGCTGAGAGTGATGTTGATAACGACGACCGGGATGAGGATATGGACGACGTTGATGACGAGGAGGAAGAGGAGCGACCTAAGAAGAAGTCAAAGAAATAAAAACCCCGTCCCAACTGAGGTACTTTGGCTTATATCACTCCTAATTCCACAAACTCTCACAACGGGGGCAAAGAAGAAAAAAGAAAAGACTAGGAATGAAGGGAAGAATGAGAACTAGGATGGCGTTTTTTGGAGGCGTGTGGTTTCGCTTTTTATCAAAGGCTGATTGAAAGCTCGGTTTTTTTTATAACATCTTTTTTTTTATCATGCCTTGATGCTTTCAACGTCGGTTGGGTTATTCGCAAAAGATACGGACGGGGTTTCTGTAGTTAATAGTTCAATATAGCTACACATAACAAAGAAACATCATTTCACCAACTTTCAACAACGTAAAGGGGGCACCCCAAAAAAAAAAACATCCCGTTGTACGGTTCTCTTTTTTTCTTTTTTATATTTCAAGCGATTCTCTATTCAATGAAAATTATACACAGTTTTGTGTCCTGAACAAGATCCAAAAAAAAATCCCTCAAAAAGCCAAAAATCCGCACTTATTACCCTTGATAGATATCGGATTCGAGCACAACAAAACAAAAATCCCAGGTATTTTCCTTGCATACAACGACAAAAAAAAAGGACCAATTGTGATGCCAACTCAAAAAAGACAAAGAAAAATTCGAGACGAGGACAAAAAAAAACGAGATAACAATAATAATAAAAAAGAAAAAAAAACTCTTTCTAAAGTCCAGTTCATAAATCCCATCGCATTCGTCATAAAAAACCTCACAATTCCATCCCGGAATTTCCATTTCCAGTCTTTCCAGACAACAGAGAGAGACAGAGAGAGAAAAGACCGTGGCAGCTATGTGTGTTTTGCCTGCCTTTTTTTTCTATATCATTCTTTTTCTTCCGGCAGGATTGTGCGCTCTCTCTTTTTTCCCTCCCTTGTTCCCATCATCTCTAAGGAAAAGCCCAGCGTCGGGCAAACATAGGCAATCTTGTGCCTCTAATACTCTATACAGCAGAAATGAAGAACGCCATTAACGATAGGTAAGAATCACACAGGATTCTGCGTCATATAGTCTCACCGGGCATCATGGGCCCGGATCGTGCTGTATGAGAGAATCTCAAAAACTTGACAAGGAAATAATAGGTGGTGTACATCGCTGGGGATACATAGGAAATCGAATGGCGCATGCTTTCAAAGAGAGTGCGTGATAGTAGGGCCGATTTCGAATAAGATTGGAGTGCGATGTGTGTGTTCGTATCGATGTGCGACATGTAGGAGAGGGTGTAATTGTTTTGCTGTGTTGTTATTTTTAGATGCGGTCGCCGGTTGGCTTGATGTATGATCGGGGAAACAAGGCATATTGTCCCACAGGAGGTGCTTGGCTGCTCAAACTAGCAGTCCTGGCTCGTGAGCCCCGTCTCTGGCCAGCCTCAAACTGCTTGAATGAAGGCTCTTCGTGGATAACGGACTCGCTGGCATGAGACTTGTGAGAAACCTTCCTGGATGGACCCAGAGGGAACGAGACAAGTTCAGGGACTGTGTCCTCTGGGCTGGCAATACCGGCCTCTTCTTCGGCGTCAACATGCTGTGGAACGTCGGCCTGAGAAACGGGCAGAGGCTCCGCCGACTCGGTCCAGGATCCGGTCATCTTGTGCACAGACCCGCTGCTGCTAGCTGTGTGGCGGGTGAAAAATGACCAAGTCGAGTTGGTAGAGATGTGGCGATCGGCAGTCGAATCAGAGTGAGTGGAGGCAGTCCCCGTTGTGGAGGTGCTCGCCCGCTGCTGCGACCATTGCATAGTCTTGCTAGTTTCGTCATACAAACCGGCTTGGGTGTATGGCAGCGCTAGCTCATCGTCGTCGGGGTACTCGTGCCTGGCGCCCTCCTCAAGGAGCATCTGCTGGTGGAAATCGCCAGGAATGAGCAGAGAAGGCGACAAGGTGAAGCCGTGAGACTCTTTGAAGCTCGAGGCATGCGAAACGCGGAACAACTTCTTCCTGTCAAGGAGGGGAAGAGAAAAGTTGCTGGCCGAAGGGGCGGCGGAAACAGGCGTGATGGCCTCTTGGATAGTAGGTGTCGATGCCTGGCTAATGGGGCTCAAGCCTGGAACGTCAAACGTGGCTACCGAAAGCATGCCAGGGGACGACCTTGCGGTCCCGATGGGCACCTCGACGTCCTCGGGAGCCAAAGTCACCTCCACCGGGAGAGTATCGCTATCACGGGCAGTATCCATGGAATCACGCTCCCACTGGTAGTCGCAGTCGGCTTCAGCTTCGTGCTCATAACAATAGTCAATGTCATCTTCCCAGCTCTCCTCGATAACGCCAAAGTCGAACCCGTGCTTCTCAGCGGTCGACTCCATAGCAGCCTGTTGCTGCCGCACCGACATCGTGTGAAGACTGCCGAGAGTCTCTGACGCGTTGCTCGCCGGGCGATGGGATCTACGAAGCATAGGCACGGATTGGCTGCCTCGGATAGACCGTCGATGGGCGGCACCGTGCTCATCTTCCTCCGGGACATCGGCAAGCGGGGTCTCGTATGTTGCCAACGTAGGGCTGGCGAGTGGCCAAGCGGGCTCAGTAGGCGAGGGCAGGATTGGCGAGAGCATCGTGTTATAAACATGGAAGTCCTCTCGGCTAGTCACGATCGGCATAGGCGGGAGCGGCTCGACTGGGTCATTAGGGTTGTACGGCTGCGGGTGCCGGAAACCGCCGCTGGTCTTTGGTCGCTCGATATTGACGACCGGCAGCTGCTCCTCAACATCTTCGTATGCGACTTGGAGGCTTGGTCTGCGAGAAGGCGAACCGGGAGAGCCTGGTTGCGGTGCGGTGGGATGGATAGGGGATCTGGGTGGCCTGGGTGGTGGTGACATGGAAGGAGTGCTTCCTCGGAGCTGGTCCTGCGATCGGATCCGCCTCATCAGCCGACGAGGTCCAACTGATGCTGACTGGCGCGACGCCGCAGCAGGCCGGGAGAAGAACGCGCCAGAGTCGTTGTAGGCGTCGGGGTGGAAGAGAAGACCAGACTCCTCGTTGACGTTGGGGGCGCTGGTTGGGCCAGTTGCCCGCATCGTCAACTGCTCGGGGGCCTCGTTCGCCGAATTCTCGTCGCGATTGGTGTGCATGACATGCTGAAAGTTGTAGGGGCCCGAGATCTGCAGCTTCTTCTGTGCCGCTGCGGTGTCGTCTCGGGAAGCTCGTCGTCGAGCAAAGGCCTGTATGAATGATTCTTTGGGGGGCGGAGCAATGGCATTGTCCGGAGGTGCTTCAGCCGAATACATGGAGCTGGCTGAGGAGGAGTTGGCGCTGCTCTCGCGCTTGGATCTCACTCGCCGGTGGAAGGGGTTCTTGCCAAAGCCGTAGACGCTATCTGAACGCTCTCTCGAATGGGCACTGCTGCCGGTGGACTTTACAGAAGCACGCCTGCCCAGTGACAGGTTCTCCAGAGTCTGCTCCCACCCTGGATTCTCGAGGTTGGAAGCTACTGAGGCCGACGCGGCGGTGCGGTGGCCGTTCTGGCGGCGCAGCTGCGAGGCTCGCCTCATCTGCGAGTTGAGCTGCCGAAGTCTGCTTGGGGAGGGTGGCCTGTCCATGGCAGGCTCGAAAAACTCGGCGGCACTCATGGGAGACATTTCGGATGATGGATGGTTGTCGAGGTTAGGAGAAGAAGGTGCCGTCGACGACCTATTCAAGTACCAGTAGGAAGACGTCTGCGGCCTGGCCCTGGAAACCTGCTGCGGCGCTGGGCCGCCAGCATAGAAGGCTATGGCATTCATGCTCCACATTGCGAGTCAAGGGCTGGGGAGGGCGACGACAGACCATGCCCTCTGGGGATCTGCGGCGAGACTGACTGATCCAGGGTGAAGCAAGGCGATGAGGGGCCTCTTTTTTTTGGGTGCTTTGCTTTGCTTTTTTTTTTTTACACTTGGCTCCGCTATTCGTATGAGTACATGTAAGGATATGATAGTCCGTGCTCCATACAGGTATGAGTATGAAGATTGTTCCAGGGGAGTCTGGTGATGAACTCAATCGACAGTTCGGCCAGGGCGAGGCGTGGAGTGGGTATGCTCAGCACGAGGCACGAGAGTAGCGGTCCTGGTATATTATATCTGGATGCTGGAGCTGAGATGAGCTGGGCCAGAGAATCACGGGCGAGGGCTTTCCTCCAGGGCCCTAGACAGAGTTGCTGCTGAAATTCCCAAATTTGGGGGCTATCCTTGACCCCAGGTCAGTCAGGAGATTGGACCGCGGAACCTCGTCGAGGGTGGACTGGACTGGGGGGGGCCTGATGGAGACGATGGTGCTGGGGAACAGCTCCCTGTTGGTCTCTCGGCCGACAGGGTCGTGGGACCCCTGAAGCGTCTGGGATACTGCATCCTACCGAAGGCTGGGATGGCTAGGCACCTTGTCTGCATACCGATGGGGCCGGTGAGGACAGGCAAAGTTGCACGAACAAGCCGGAATGACTGAGCCCAGCTCTGTATGGACGAGGCCGGAGTGCGGAAGAGAGGCTTGCGACAGGACTCGTACAAGTGTGACGGACAAGGCTACAAACATGTGCGAGCCATGCAACCGCATTTAAGCGTGATGCAACCTGCAGCTGCTGCAAGAGCGTGCGATGCGATGCCTGAGCTGCAGGAACGCGACCTCGTACGTACGGAGCGCAAAAGTAGCCAGAGTCGAAGCATCGCGAGATGAGCAAAGGACCGCTCGCGTACCATGGCGTGGAATCGCACGGAGTACTCCGAGCTCCTGGCAATATCGTCGACGGCCTTCTGCGGGTGCTTCTAGAAGGGCGAGGCGTGCGGTATGCGGTATTCCGGCCGGGTCTGACTGAGACAGCGCGGCGCTGAAGACGGCGTGTCTCGTTTTGGCCGTGCAGCTGAAGATGAAGATCCCAAGACGCTGGAGCTAAGGCCGATCGATAAATGGGCGATGGATTCTGGCGATGGCCGTTGTGAGGGCGGTGCGGCACCCGCGACAGGTACCTGTACCTGGACTCGTACCTGAACTGGCGCCGGGCCGGAGGTACTAAGCCCAAAGCAACGCGCACGGGAGGATTCCGTTGCTGGCGTGGGAGGAGCAGCGCGCTAGCCTACGCCAAGGTACCAGGCACGAACGGAGAGCATTCGTACCAGTACCTGTGCCCGTGCCTATGCCTGCGCTAGGATGCAGCCAGTGCCGTTAGTTAGCACGAGGTACGAGCACTCACTCATCGAGAGCTCTGGCCAGGGACGCAGCAAACACTGACGAGGAGAAATTCCACGTTGTTGAAGGATTTGTGCTTGTCCTGTTCGGGCACTTGAATCTGCATCAGGACTATCTGTACCTGCACCTGTACCGTACCAGCCGGGGAAATACAGCGTACCTTTAGTACCTTAGTAGTACCTTACAGGTACTAAAGGTACAGTATCGTACTGTAATCTTTCTGGCAGGAGCCCCGTCCACGCGTCGGAGAGGCCAGACGGCAAGGATCTGCGTGGCGCTACTGAGCAGTGGCCCAATCCGAAGCGTCGGGTCGGCGATGCAGGAGCACTGAGCAAACTCTTACCCTGGGCGAAGGGGGAACAAATCGGTGTGCAGTACGGAGTACCTGTACCTGTGCCTGTGTCTGTACGAGCAACTGTCCTGTATCTGCGCCTCTGCTCCGGTTTTGACAGCTCTCAAGATTTCTACCAAGGTCTACTACCTAAGATAATTACCTATTGATCCATACCAACTAAGCCTTGCAAGTGAATGAATGATGTGGTACTTTAGTCCAAGCTGCTAGGTACGAGTACCACGATGTTAGCACATCATAGCTGTATGTAGATAGTATGACTGGTAAGCTTAGTAGCACCTCGATGCAGTTGCTAATCCCATCAATATTCCGTGTCATTATAGGTACCTAGGCAATGTACCTTAGTACTACCTTAGTACTAAGCAATAGCTGGGATTTTAACGTTACCTGGTGTTTTGTTTTGTCTGGGAGCAATCTTGCTAGGTTCTCTTCACAGGCTCGACGCTAGCATGTACAGGGACATTTGGTCCCTAACTCGGCACCAATTCGACCTAGCCCGTCACACAAGGGGGGTCAATGGGTTTAGCTCCAGCCATTTACTAAACCTCGTACAGGTACAAGTCTGCAAGTAATCGGCGATATGCGGCCAGCTTCCCCTCCATCCTCTACGGCGTGCATATGCAGGAACGAAGACGAAGGGCTGGCCATCGCTCAACGACTTGATGTTTTTATTCGCTCAGCCTCCACACCGCGGCCGGAGCATCTGGCTCTTTGCATGAATATTGGCTTCTTGCTGTAGCTTGTGCGGCGTCGTATCGAATGTGCTGTACGTGTACGCGCAACACAACAGCAACGGATGGAACGCGAGCCCTTCGCCTGCTCGGATGCAGAGCTGACGTCCGCTGTAGAGTGACGTACGAGCCCACGAGAACGGCGATAACAATCCAGCAACACAACATCAAATTGATGCAATCTGGTCGCAAGCACCGATACGGCCAACTAGCTCTTACCAAGCAGGGGCCGCTGTCGAATCGAGAGGCTGCCCTACGAGTACCGCACCAGCACCAGCACCAGCACCAGCACCAGCACCAGACGGACAGGACAGGACAGGACATGGCATCCAATGGGTGGGGGCGACAGACACGAAAAAAAAACTCGCTCGAGATTGCCTGCCAGGGACGCCCATGTCACGCCTTGCCTAGCTCTCGAGCATCAAGAAACAACAAAGGCGACGGTGCCAGGACTCGCTCGCCCCCCGCCAAAACGCTCTTGATCAGCAGGGATTGGCTCTCCGGGCCGGACAGCAGTCGTGAAACGTCTGGCTCGAGGCCTAGTCTGCTCCTGGCACACGAGCATGGCCCCCCGTCCGGCCGTGCTCCAACAAGCCCGACACAAGGTCCACGATGGGCAGCCGTCCTGTCGAAACGGGAAAGCCAGCCACTGTTTGTCAGTTGTGATCGCTGCTCAGAAAAAGAGGCGACAGGCTCCGGCGTCTCATTCGGAGCAGCGAGAACCATCAAGTCCCGGGCCAATTGCTACTCTACGGGCTCATACCTGCTCTTATACGGCTCCGAACTGACGGATTTTCTCCCACTTCCTGCTCTGGTTTCGTCGGTGCTTTTTTTTCTTTCCTCTTACTCCTCCCTCGTGAGGGGTTTTCCAGGCTGCAGCTTTCGGCATTGCATTGCACAATTGCTAGCGCTCGTGCCCTCGTACAGGTTACATACACACTTGTACGAAGCAAAAGGATGGAGCATGAAGCCAAGACGGTCAGCGGTCCATGGACGAGGGATGGAGCCGTTCCGGGCCATGGTCCATGGCCCAGCATCTCCATCATGGTGAGGCACTCAGGGATCCCCCAGCAAAGCTCCGCTCGTGCTAAACAGTCCCAAGCCGACGGTTAGTACCTGCAACAGCGGCATGCCAGTGACCGCTGCCCGATTGCTTGCGTACGATATGAGTACGAGTAGGTACTCGTACTTGTCGCAGACTCAGAGCAAAAGCCCGTGCGTGCTCGTGGCGGCCCAAGCTGCCGGAAGGATGCCGTTCTATATTTGCTCTGTGGCTGCTGCAGGCACGCTGGAGGCTTCCGACGATACGAAGATGGACGCTCGCTTTCGATACATCTCGGCACCAGATTTACGCGTCCACGATACTACCGTGCCCCGTGGTCTCGTTCCGGAGGAGGAGGGCAACACAAAGCAATGAATGAATAGCCCTTGCTCCAGGTAAGCTCCCTCACGAAAAGCAACTCTTGGTTTCTGTAGATCCCTGCCCTTCACAGCACCGGCGTGCTACTGCTAGTGGTGAGTCGTCGTATCAGTTGTAATTTCCATGTATCTGGTCGCTTATCTCCCTGACCTAGACGTTCATCCAAAACCAATCTCCCCGGATATCGGCCGTCAGGATTCTGCCTGCGAGGAACGGTGAGTCTGTCGACATCAGCCTGTTTTGGGGTTTGTGATTGCCAATCCCCATGATTCCCCGTTCCCCCCAATCACCAGCTAGTCAAATTACCGTGCCGTTTGCCCATGTGTGATGATGCCCGGCCCAACAACGTGGAGAAGGCGTTCCTGTCTGAGGAGGAACTTCTGCCATGCTCATTTACGCACACATACAACCGCGTCCATCTAAGATCGGCTGAGTACTTGACTGGTGGCGTTGGACTAACACTGTTGGATTTGGACCCTTGGCCTGGGCTCCGCGGCGGTCCCTTTCCCCTCCGGTTCTTCTTTTTTTCGAAACAGTATCACCAAAGACGGTTCAGTGCAAAGACGGGGGAGGTTTCGACACCGAGTCGCAGAATCGGGCAGTTCCCTTCGCAAATCGTGCAACTTTGGAAGCAAATCGTGCTACTCTGTGACTAAACTTGTTTTCGCAACGCAACCGAAGGGGGTCCGCAACCCCGGACAGCAGCCATTGGGCCGTTTCATTTGCTGGCTGGCTGTTGGCTTTAGTGCCCAAGCAAAAAAAAAAAAGAGTGAGAAGCCAAAAAAAGAGCGTCGTCCGGGTCAGGTCTGCAGGAATCCAAATTGAGCTACTCCATTGGCGCATCGTGGGTTCCCGCCATGCCCTTCTGCGTAAGTCGAGGTAGAAGCTAATTTGGCTTCCATTAATCTAAATTAACGAGGCAAAAGGCCAAGCAAGATAGACGGACGGGATGCTACAGGTACTTCGTTACGGTACTACTGTCCACTACGACGACGACAATTGAGGCTATTTACGCGCGCCCCTCGAGAAAAAAAAGAGGGCACGCACCAGATTTCCCGATGCGGCAATGCAGGATTTAATGCAACAAGCCAGCATTGGGCCAACAGCTCGAGAAATACAGCAGAAAACGTGAGGACAACAGCGAGAGCCAGAGATGGAATGCAGTGGCCAATTATCGCCTTATTGTAAACATGGGTCTGGAAGCTTGCCGGGGGGGGGGGGGGGGGGGCAATACAACCCCAGGCCCCCCCCCCTTTAAAAAAAATCA